AACGAACCCCAAAAGAGAACTCATCTCAGCCCCGCCCCTGGTGATACTATGAGCTCTTTGGCTGCAAAGAACACACGTGAACTTTTGAGAAGCCTCGACCTGGGACAAGAGGACGGCATAAGCCGTCAATTTATCACGTTTCCGGATTAATTCGATAAAGCGCCCAGCAATGATACATACTAGGAATGAGGATTCGAGCTTGGGGCGTCAAAAGTGGCCAGCCCAAGAGTGTCGGTAAATTGAAGCAGACGGCTTGCTGTGTTGCAGGGCCATGCGAGCCAGGCTATAGATCCCAGATGGTCTAGAATATCGCTATCCATGATTCATCATTGGCTTCTTCCATGAATCTCATGACTCTACATCCCTCACAAGATAATGATCGCGCTGTACCTTGTCTCGAGATGTCTTCAAAACGCCGAGATGTGGGTTGGATTTGGAGGCTTGGTAGATTCCTGGCATCGCATTTACTAGCCACAAGGTCTGAACGCATCTAGACTCACTAGGCAGCTTCCACGACGCCAGGTGGGCTTTCTGATCTGATGAAAGTCACTCGTCGCAAGATCTGTATCTGTGAGCGACGAGATTGACCGTGAAAAGGTCCGAGTGATTCATGAATTATTTGGAAATCGACCACCCCTGCAGATAGACGGTCATGTTGCCAGGCTATTGGTGACGCTACATCACTTTGCAGCCTCATATGGCGGTCTGTAATTTTGGGTGTCCCCTGAAGGACAGGCCACAAACAACCACCCAGAGGTGTGGAAGCACAGTCTCAATGCAGCTGACTTATCGTGAGGGGGAGGTTTGGCACAACATCGCGAATCTTGCAGACGGACGCGAGCAGCATGCGTTGTCACGGAAAAGGGAAGCCGATCTTTCACTGCCGGCCAATTGTTAGAGCCGCGTCTGCAACCACATGCATGCCTGTATCCCGCAGTCATTACCAACTTCAACCCGAGTTGACGGACTGGACGCCTCGTAGTGTGACGGCGTTTTCAAAGAGCTTTTCATCGGTCGGCACGGTTACCCACATCTAGATGGCGGTGCAGTTCCTGCAATCAATGTAGTGATGCTATACGGGCACGCATATCTATCACAGGTCCACCAAAGCCATGTCTCTTCGATATGGCAATGTATGCTTGCCTCTGTCATTCGACATTTCTCGGTCCATGCCCGGGACTGGAACAATCTTGCAACTGGACCGAAGTGTCAAGTTTCAGATGAGAGTGTTGCCGCCTGTTCACCTGCTCGCACAGTCGTACCAGTGTCCACCGACAAGTTCCGACACGGGAGATCTTCACAAAGATGACACCAGTGTTTCCTCAAACATTTTTTAAATCCGAGCGACGCCAAGGGTCATCGAGAAGCCGTGATATTGCGTTGACAATTGTAAATAAACCAAAAGGCCCGTTCTTGTATATCTAAAGAAAAGAGTATTTTCGGCTAATAGCCGCGGTTTAGTTCCATTACCTATTGGGTGCTACCAATTCGACAGTACCACTGAACATAAAAGGATACCTAAAGTTTCAAACCTGACCACCTTAGTCAAGCCACCAGCTAAATCCCGTCAGCAAGGCACGGATCCATGAGCGCCTGGCCAGGCCGAATTCCAGGTTCCCGGTTGTGACGCTCGGGTGGTAGTCAAGCCACGCGTTACTATTCACACGCCAACTGCACCACCAATCGTTAGCTTTACTTGCTTATTCCAAGGGCACCTTCTAGGCAAATGCAGAATAGCTGCTATTGTTGCTTTTTTCTGCGTCATGACAGCGTCTTGATGTTACACGCCAAACAGAGTCATTCCGGGTGCAAGTGTCTACATCCATGCTGGTAGGGTCTGTGGGTTCTGACCAGCCATCCTTCGTCTGGCCGCTTGTTTTTTTGATCTTCGACGCCCCTAACGTGTCACGAAAACTAAACCTCCTACCACATCTGTGTTCCCACTGCAACTTCCCAATGAGACATCTAGCTTTGTGGTTTGTTTCCTCTCACATCGCCAATTGTCAGGGAACCCCTGTTCGGATAACCTCGTCTCCAAGCCTATAGAGTAGAGGTTTGCCGGAGTGCCGTCGGCTCGATTGTATTTACACGGCTGTATCAGCCTGGTATGGACGTTCCAAATGGGCATCGCCAATGGAGGATGGGAATCCAGCTGCAAGCTTCTCCAAATGAAGTATAGCAGGCGAGACATGGCTATAATTGCCTGGAGACTTGACACGGTACGAAAGGGCATGGGATGAAGCCGACACAATCTGGTGAATGCCCTGAATCTGAGCCGGTTGCATCCATCCTCTGCACTAGTGAATAAGAAATGTGAACACTCGATTCAGGTCCTCCTGAGCGGTATTGTGTACTATGCAGCAAAGCTTTGCATTGCTCCCTATTGCGTATTCGCAACCGCGCGCATATAAGATGAAGGCCGTTTTGTTCCATGTTATACGCTATTGGTTTGACAGGGAACAAGGCTATGGAGAGATCAACCCAAGCCCTTGCACATACAGCGCAGGGACCTCGTCTTCTCTAATCATGGTATTCGTGTCGACCTGCCTGCAGGCAGGGTCCGCTGGCCCAGGGTTCACTTCACTTCAGGAGGCAGGTATCATCAGGGACAGTCCGTCCGCATCTCTCAATCTGTGGGCTGCATTCTATCACACCGAGAACCCACTGCTGATGGATGATCTGATTGCCAAATGCAGGGTGGTAGTTCATTCGTGTTCGTTCATGTCAGTCTGGCCGGATGCGTGCAATGGCCGGGGAGTCGCCTCCTCACCTTGTCCTGGCTGATCTCACCGACCGACATGCAACCGAATTACTGGCGGAAGTTGCTCTGCCGTTGTGCTAGAAGACACATGTCAACATCTCGACATGGGTGAATGTAGTGTCTGCCGTGCTCGGATCCGGAGGTACTTGATGAATAATGTAAATCCGGAACGACTGCACATGTGACAGGAACGATTCTTGATCTCCATTCGAGTACCGCAGTAGGGGGCGGCGAAGACTTCGGTCAGCAAGTGCATGTCCTTGGTTTCCGTTTCGCTTCGACGCCCGGACTTCGGCTGGCTCCCCGCGAGCGGACGGGATCTTGACAAGTTTGACAGCGGCCAGGGTTGTTGCCGACCCCATCATTTGCGCGATTCGCGAAAAACGACAAAGAAGGACAACGTGTCCGTGGTCAGACCCGCACAAGACGTCACTAACCCCGAGCAACATCCTGGAGGATGTGCGAAAGGGGATTGGAGTCGTCCGCACGGAACCGCCTGCCCAACTCGGTAGCCAAAGCCTTTTCACGATGCCACGGTCCTGGGAACTCGCTTGGTAGCTCGATTTCCTCGGGTCCCGGCAGCACTCAGCAGGTCGTCAAAGATCAAGATCTAGGGCCGGTGCCACATGCCCTTCATTTCTCAGAGGCCATGCTCGTACGAGCAGGGAGGGGAGAGCCAGATTGGTGGTGTGCTCAGCGCGGCAAGCATGTCCAGCCCGGTCGGTCGTCGTGGTCGTGCGCGGAGCCCCCGCCCCGACCTTGAACGGAGAGCAGATCGTACGCGACCTAGACGTTGACTTCTAACGGCGGCGTCTCCCATATCACATCTCAGATCGGCAGTGTTTCCATCGGCCGCGTGGGAGCGTTCTTTTTTGACCTCACCTCTCTCGGTCTGACAGGGGCCCCCGTTGACAGTGGCATCCGGCCCTCGCCCCAGCGCCTCGTTTAGGACCTTGGCTTATAAGCCAGCGCACATATAGGGGGTAACAATATCCACCTTGCCTGGCCCTGGCAGCCAGGTAGGTAGGACTGTAGGCCTCCACTACACACAGTGCCAGATCGAGACATGGAGGCCTGCGTACGCAGTAAGTGAGCAAGTAGCAAGCGGCCCCCATCCCTAGGCCGCAATGTGATTGAATTCCAAGACACCACCCACCCCAATGCTGCACAGAAACCGGTCCTGCCAAACCGAAATTGACCAAAACCTGGTTCGCAGGGCAGCCATGCCTCCCTGCCCTGCTTCCGCCCTGGTAGGCCTAGAGCAGTGCCTTATGAGGGTCATCATGTACATACCCTTGAGCCTGAACCCTCACCGGCCCCACGGCCTACTCAGGGGCCGCTCCGCCCAAACGGCCGATGCAGGCCAGCAAGCAGGGAATCGCTCGATCGGCTGGCTAAACAACGGCTTTTAGAAGATAATCCTTCTGGAATATGAATTAGCAGCGTCGCCTATAGCACAAAGACTGATATGTGGCTGTGTATGTGGATGCGTTTCGCTGTCTGTGTAATTTTCCGTTCGAGATATTACTATTCTCCAGGCGGACAATGACCTGTCCCTGACTGATCGACAATGGCACTGTCAACTATGGCACCGAAGGTGGAGGCCACTGCATATGACTTGATTTTTTGGAGCAGTCTTCCCACTTCGGGTATACTCACGGCGGCATATAGATTGCGGGTCAATGTTGTTGCAGCTGTGTCTCCAACCGTTGGAGCGGCACTAGATCGACTCGCTACCATGATCTCCCTAATTCGGCCCTTTCATGCAATTTTTCTGATATGACGGAGGGACTGAGGCGTCGTCACGAAGTCAGAGAGATATTGATCTCGTGCGGTGAATGAGGCAAGTATCGATGTCTGGCTTACGTGCTTCGCTTGGCTCAGTGACGGGCCACGCACGCATCATTGTACATTCAGCCGCCAGATGCAATTTGCTACACTGTAAGAAACACGGCCTGCGCAAATTAAAAGCACAAGGTAGTTGAGACATTGACGGCGGCTGAGGAGATGAAAATGCTTTGTTGTAATACGGTATCACCTATGCGCGCCGAACCGTCTCCGGTCTTTGATAGATATCTCTGTCCGACCTGATTTGCTCCAAACCTAAATCCTTGAAAATGCTTCTGATCCTCGTTTGTGCGGTTATTCTTTCCAAACATGCCGTGACGTGATATCTTCTGGTAGAGCCGTGCCTCCTAACCATAATCCACCTCGGTCAATCACCAATGTACCTAATATTTCACTGGCTGGAATTACCGGAACTTCGAAGCCGCTTCCAGAATGTCCTGTCTCGACTTGACTTCTTCTGGTCTCCACTGCCCGCTCCGTATTCCTCTGATAGCTTGCTGTCAGTTCCTTGGAAGGCAGTGTCGTTTTGTGATGGCTTGGGATCAATCTTGTCGAAGTCCTGCGACGGACGCTCCCCGAGCTTGTCTACACCCTCCTCGCCCGGAAAGGAGTAGCCTGTCCGGGAGCCAGATGCGTCTTGCATCTTCTCGATACCTCTCGCAAGCGGCTCTACGAAAGGGACTTTCCTATCAAAGTTGTCGTGGCCCTTGCCCTTTGTATTGTCTGAGCTGGCCTTATCAGGAGCAGCCGGCTGCAGGTCCCGGGCCTTTTTATAAAGCTCGGGGAATCTGTTCATGAACTCCGCTTCCAGCTCCTGCTGGTGTTCCGTGACCGCTGCCATTCTCTTTTCAAAAGTCTCTGCGTCAAGGTCGGCCCCAGGCACACGATCCTCCGCGCCGAGACGCGATAGCCACTCTTCGTATGACTTCTGGCTCTGCCTCGCTTCCTCTTGGGTCGGCGGCGAGCGCTGTCGGATGCTGTCAGCAAAGTCTTTGGACTCTTGCGTCATCCTGTCCCCGGCAATGTATTTGTCGAAGGAGACGGCAAATTCCCGATAGTGTCCTTTAAGATTAAAGCATTGTCCTCGCCAACCCTCACGCTTGAACTTCTCCAGCAGTGTCTCAGCTGTTGGGCACTCCCAAGGGAACTCAATGACTCTATCGTAGAAGACAATGCATTTAGACTTGTGCCATCTCGAGAACGCTCTCCGGCTTTGCTCGTCTGCAAACGCTCGTTCGAGCATGTGGAAATCTGCAATGTTGAGGAAGCTCTGGGGCACACGTAGGTTTACGGCCCCGTGGATGTGCGATTTCGCAAAGTCGGATGGCGACCTGAGATCTAATAGTAGGGTCTCTCCAGGAACAAAGATCTCTAGAAGTTGTTGTAGATGGCCCGCGAGAATCATGCGTATCTCTTCCCCGGAACTGTTTTTTCGGGGGTTGTCATCTATTCTGATGCTTTGTAAGTTGCGTTTCACAACCTCGTGTTGTCGCCGGTGATGGAACCAGAGCTGTAGAGGGTTAGAGAATTACTATCGGGACCAGTCCAAAGCGTTCAAAACTTACATTGATGTCTGATGTCTCGACCCCCAGATGAGACGCATAATACTCTGTCGTAGCAACGCTTGGTTCGGGATTGCTCTCAAAGTAAGCTTCGAGTCGCGATGTGACGTGGGCAGCTAGAGGAGGGCCTTCTGGAACATCCTGATCATTCATAAAGACAGTCCTTCTAGAGCTCCTTGCTTGATTAAGCAGTGGTGTCATGAGAATATTGCCTTCGTGTGCGGTCTCTCCAATGCTGTCCATCCCGGGTGTGGCCCCTGGTGTTGATTGGAACGAGACCGCTGAGGTTGCTCGCCGTAGAGGAACATCGGCCGAACTGCCTCGTGAAGAGGAGGACCTCATCGATGTAGTCAGAGAGGCTCTTTCGGATGCCATAGTTTGCGTTCTTCTATAGTCAGTCCTTGAGCCACTTGATGCGCCGGAGCGGATCGACGTCCTTGGGGCAGTTCCCCTTCCACCATCTATGTTGGCAAAGCCTGCACCATGGAGTCCTGTCCCATGTCGCAGATTATCGTGTCTTGAGCCAATTGTGCTCGCGTTGTCTGCGGGAGTAAACGTTGTGCCAGAAAAGAAAGACTCAGTGTCGGGACGGGTGGCCTCCTCGTCCATATCTTCCTCAATCTGCTGTGCTCCACGGTGTGTCAGGCCTTCTGCTCGTCCTGACATACTTAAAAAGTTATTTGATCGTATAAACGCAACGAATGAGCAAGCCTGATCCTCGGGAAGCAAGTCCCACACCATGACCGGCATTGACAACAAGAGCAATGTGGAGTGGCTCTTGAAGACACCTTGGACTTTTACATACTTCGCCAACGCAGGGAAACTCGAAAGCCATAGTTCCCAGGCATTCAAGTCCAGTCGTTGATCGTCCTCGAGTGCGAGAGAGATCATTACATGGGGCTCATCCTCGCATGGCTCAGACGCAAAGCTTCCTGGCTCGGGACCGCCTCTGCCGGAAAGAGGTATATCAATTGGACTAGGGTCTTGAGGAGGTGACGGTGGTATCCTCTCAGCGGGCACGACCCGGCACATCTCTATACTGGGCGCCCTGTGATTCGCCGTCATCATGAAATGAACTGGTGTCGACCTAGCCTCGAAGTGCTTTCCATTGATGGTGATGGGTCGAGGATGCTTCAAGCGAGCCAGGACTTCGGCATGCAGCATAGCTGCTGAGAATGTCCTGTTTCTCCACTCGCCAAGAACCTCGATGAGTGCGTTCGTAAAGGAATACCTTCCTGGATCTGGGGCTATTGCATCCCAACTAGACGCAGATATTGTCTCTGTAATGCTCTGGCCGTTGGGAAAGGTCGCGCTTGCAGCCCCTGCACAACAGTCTAGAAGTATCAAGACGTCTGACAGTGATCTCTCTAAAAGAGTTTGGGTCGCCGACCATCTACATCTTTATGAGCAAGACCAAGATATTTAGAAAGGGGGAATTGTGCTTACTGTAGCCATGGCGAGCCAGAATGTCGTGTTCTTTACGTAACATCAGCATCTGACTTACACAGAGTGTTTTGCGCAAGACTTACGCGCACCAAGTGCTCTGCCTAGACTCATCTATCCTCGCATGTCCTCCATAGTAAACGATAAAAAGTGTGTCTTCGGACTCGTGCTCTTTTATCAGAGAACCAACCCTCATCATCAGCTCTAAGTGAGAGTTCTCGGAAGGAATGGGGAAGACGTCGGTATCGAATCCGTAGTCTTCCCTGAAGCATTTCTCGAGGTCTTCTAGCTCGGGCAAGACGAAGAGATCGTCGGTTCTCCAGTGCAATAAGAGCGCCTGCACTTTCTTATACCGCTGCGAAGATCGACCGCGATTCGGGAAGGCTCTGCTCGCAGACTACAACATCACGCACATGAGTACTGACCCTTCGACAACTGGGGAAAAGAATTCACACAACGCACATCTTGAAGAGTTTGGGCAAACGAGTCCAGATGCTTCACATGATAGCTAACGCGGCTGACATCGTGAGTTGCTGCAGGGGTGCTAGCTCCGGCGGCACCAGAGCCATACTGCGGCGAGGAAGAAGAGCGTGAGACAGGCATCCTAGCCAGATCTGTAGAGGTGAGTTGACGTACAGTAGAGTCGGCACTGCTCAGACTACTCCCATCGGCCGGCCGCCGCGTTCTTAAAGCATAGTATGGTTGCTGCTGGTCAGTCATAGTGTTCAAGGCTGGTTGCCGGTCTCCCTGTCTTGCTGGGAGATGCCAGTACGGAGGACCCGCCGTGTGTTGACGGTGAACAAGACTAACTAGGTGATCGCAAGGGACACCGGGGCGACGAAAAAAAATCGATTTTACATTATTGTGCGGTGAGGGAAGAAATTATGTCTAGGTTAGGTACAGCGCGCTTTTTGGAGATGTTGTAAGACCATTTTCCTTAAGTTTCCCACCGAGCCATCATGGCGCATGTTCGGCGCCGTCAGGTTGTCGAGAGCGGCGGCTGAATCGTCGAAGTCCCGCTCTTCAGTTCGGTAACAAATTGGGTTTAGGGGCAGGGGATGATCGGCCCCGTTGTAGTTGCACTCCCCATGCTGCAATAGACACTAGTAGCATGTCCAAAAGGATACTTCAGAGTCGTCAAATCCTGGAGGCGATTCATGAGTACCAAGACCAATACCCCCAGTGCAAATATTCCCCGACTTGAAACCCTGTCACTTCTCGGTGAGGCAAGTCGGGCAGGCCGCTGGAGCCACTTCGGCGCAGAGCACCACGTGCTCTCCAATTGCGCCTCGACAGCTGGAGAGCTTGGCCTGATCGACACCAAGCTTCGGTAGCCGTTCAGGAACGTTGCCCTCGTCGCTTGCGGTGACGTCCGAGACCATTCCGCATCTTGCATCGCAGATCCAGCTTTTCGACGTATTCTCTGCCGGTGCCTAGCGTCGCTGTCAATCCGGCATTGGTCTACCAAACGAACACGGCTTTTGTTTTCTTGCCGGCCATCCTAACTACCTAGGTACCTTACTCAGGTAGGTAAAGTAGACACGATGCGCCAACGAATCACATTCGTCCACAAGCCGGGCACGGCAGTCGATCCAGCCTCACTGCAGGTCAGTGACAGCTTCATCAAGGGTCCTGTCTTTGAAGCCGCCCGCGAAGAGCGCATCACGCTGGCCCTGGATGAGCTCCCCTCAGAGCTACGTGACGTCGTGAGCAGCTGCCACGAGCTACATGTTCGATGGGTCAGCCCAAATGCATACGAGACTGTAGCACCCCTACTCTCAAGACTTTCGCCTGGCCTCCATGTCTTTTACACGCCGCAGAAGGACAGCCTTAAGCAGGGGTGAGTGTTGACGGACACGTCAAGATGTGTAAATGCTAAGTTGTTCATAGCGAACGTGTTTGTGCCGTTCTGAAGTATCTATTTGGTCGAAGTATCGATTGCTCAAGTCCTGAGGTATAGTTTCTCTTCAATCTGAGAGGAGATAACAATTGCTCACTACAAATCAGGCCTCTTTCACAACGTTGCCGAATGAGAGGTTCTCTCACTCTACGGCTTTCCAGTATCATTCACCACTAGACAATCTTGAACGGTTCATCCAAGCCGTGGTCAGGTTATGTCCCAATTCAGACCCATCTTGCGAGACTCGCGTAAAAGCACTTGAGGAAGCCACTTCTCTGGATGTGTCATATGACACAATCTCCCATGCCTTGAAGCTCACCGCAACCTGGCCGCTCCAGGAGCGACCGCTTCTTGTCTCATCGACCTCCAAACACAGGACCGAAGTAGGCATCCTGTCAGCGGACAACCCGCCAAACCTCGAGCCCTATGAGCTCGGTATTTCTGGGTTGCTGACTGTGCTGGGCCAAGACAGCAAGCCATCAGCTACCCTGTTCTCCTTCCCTTCGCGCCATAGGCAGTCTGGCTCTACCTTCTCATCTGACTTCTTGGAGCCAGCCGGACTTCATCCCACGTTACAGCTGAGAGTAAGCTCTCCAAAGCCACCCTCGGATGATTCCTTCTGCGCTCTCCATGCCTACTTCACGCTGCCTCGCACTATCTTCGCAGACAGGTACCAGCTGTCCGATCCCCTCTTCATGGCGTCGAAAAACCTGACAGCCCTGCGCTACATGAGCCAGCCTGTCGACCTCGAAGCCCCGGAATACCTGACGAAGCTCTGGGGCTCAGCAGTGCTTCTGGAGCTCTCCCCGCCATCCACAGAGACACAGGGCTCCTGGACGGCTGAAGTCCCGCTGCACCTTCGCTATCTCAAGCCAGCGCCTGGCGGCTATGAAGACACTGAGGTTTCCTACCCGGCAGTCTTCTGGGCGTGCGCGACAGAAGAGGGGACAAAGTTCCCAAACAACCCGTTTGAGAGGGTTAATCTGGGCTACGACGGCCTGTTTGGCCCCAGGACCGTGTTTTGGCATGTCGATCCCAAGCCTGCGCGGGGCGAGAGGCTGATGAGTGAGATCACGGTTCCCGTGCTGGATTATGACGGAGACAAGGGCTGGGGAGGTGTGATCAATGCAGGAACTGCAGCTGTGGTGCTACTTGGGTTTGCCTGGGTGGTGTGGAGGCTACTGAGTGTGTTGCTCCGGACAGGCTACGGTAGTGCCCCTGCGAAGAAGGCAGAGGACAAGAAGAAACAATAGGTGCACACAAGTGCTCACAACGCCGCGCGAGCCATTATATTTTGCTATATGACTAGATCTATAGTGATTAAAACACGATCATATACGCGCAACCTTTTTACTTTTCATTTCTAGATCTATGCCCTGATAAACGGCGCCTTTGCACATGATTCTGCGATCTAGAGCCAGGTGCTGAATGGTTGACATTATGTCCACACGACGACAGACCAGATCGGACGCTACGCCCGCTGACGCCTGCCATATTTGTGACTTGTATGCCGAGTCAAGCAGATCATTTTTTCCTTTTCTCAATGATCTCCTTGGAGACTTAGAAAGCGAAGACTTGGTCCTCGAGCTTGCTCACGGGCCGTGCCTTCTTGAAGCCCAGGCTTTCAGTCGCCTTCTTCAGTCCGCTGACCATAGGAGGAGGCCCGCAAAGCAGGATCTTAACATCGTCCGCAGCCTTGGGCAACCATTTCTGTAGGGCAAATTAGCACTGAGAGTGCTGTTGACTTGTATTTCGTTACGGGGTGACTCACAGTAAGCATGTCGGCGGTGACATATCCCACGCCGCCGGTCCAGGCTGCAGGCGGCTTGTCCAGGACGTAGTGAACACGGATGCCCTTGTCCTCGGCCACGAGCTGGTCCAAGTCCTCCTTGAGCAGAATGTCGGCCGGGGTGACGTTGGCGAAGATGAGATCAACTTCGGTCTTGTCACCAGCCGCACGGCCCCGGACAATGGCTCGGATGACCTGGAGCATGGGCGTGATACCAGTGCCGCCGGCGATCATGCCGAAGTGGCGCACCATGTTCGGCGTGTAGACGAAGGCGCCCTTGGGGCCCTTGACGCGGATCGTCTGGCCGACAGCCAGGCTGGCCATGTGCTTGCTGATATTGCCCGTGGGGTAGGACTTGATCAGGAGGTCGAAGTAGCCGGGCTGATGGTCGCCGCTGATAGGCGTGTAGGAGCGCACAATCTCCTTGGTGCTGCCATCGGGCTGTGCAATCGCAGCGCCAATAGAGATATGCTGGCCGATGGGAAGGCCGAGGATCGAGCTAGGAGAGGGGAGGCCGAAGCGGTAGCTGCGAACGCGGTGTTAGTTTTATAGCAGAATCTTAGGTCAGAGTCTTGGTGGACTTACATGGCAACGTTGTGTGAGATAACAGTCTTCTCCTTAAGTTCGAACTCCTGGAAAGCATCTGGCTTGAGTACCTTCTTGGGCTCTGCATAATATGTGAGTATCAAGCTCGGTCTCCGACTTTTCGAAATCGACAAGGGCTACTCACGAGTTCTAATGAACTTGAAGGCGCCGAGGGCAAGAGCAAGGGCCACAGCATAAGGGAGCCACTCGCGCTTCACGATGAAGGTGCCGAAGACGAGCAGGCCGGCGGGGATGTAGATGCCGTCGACATACTGCTTGGAAAGCAGCGACGGTGCGGACATATTCGCTAGCGAGCTACTCGAGATGATGCCGAGACTTCGCCGGCAGTTTTGTCACGGTCAATTGCGGCGCGTGCAAGGTCCGGAAGCGCTCTGAAGCTTCAAAGCGCCGTTATGAAGTCCTGAACGACGACTGCGAGAGCTTGTTGGGAGCTGACGAGGTTGTCGTTGAGGAGATATGCGCTGGCTAGAAATAATAACCGAGCCGAATCCGTTTTTTGCTCGCCCCGAAATCGAACGATTTTCGTTGCAGCGGCTTCGGCAGGCGGTGCAGTGCGGCGGCGGCGGTAATAATGTTGACTGGTGTGTACTTGGGTGGTGCAGGGTTCAACCACCACCGAGCAGCTCGGGATGCATAACCCGTTGGGGTAAGGCGATAGCGCACATTTGGTGGGGTCGCTACCTGTGTGGTCGGTCTCCTACCGCGGGGCTACACACACTAACAGGTACGTCTATGTGTCCCTTCCCTGTGGTATTGTGAATTGGACCTCTTTCCCCAAAATGGACAGCAAAAGGGAAGCCACCAAAATAACTAGGTGCTTCTCACTTGTGTAGATTCTAGACCAGTTCTCATATTGAAGAGGTATTCTGAGTCTTCTAGATCCGGCTCTTCACATTACTCAGCAGGGTTTTATACCGTTTACCCCGGTGTTGCGAACTAACTGGGCGGTTCACCGCTCCACATTACATTGTTGCAATGGCCGAGACTGCGCACGCCATTGAAGAGCCACCATTTCCTCTGACGGATGTAGACAAATGGGTTCTGTCACAAACTGATGAGGAGTTCAAGTATCATGACTGGAACGATTTAAGGGAGATAATTGGTGTGTATTTGACTCTATACCTGTCGCCCTAGGTAGTTCCACTAATGCCTACACCAAGAGACAAACAACTTGTCCGTGCTCAAGCGCAAGCCTTCAGATCTTCGAAGATATATGAAATGGACGGCAGAGACCAAACAGCAATATGGTTCTATGACCAACTACCTTTTGGTGCATCGGTTGCCCAAGGCCTGGGGACCCATACCTTTCACTCCCGCATCCACAGTCCCTCTTCAAGAGCCTTCAGACTATCGAGTCCTGCTCAATGACTGGCCGTATGGTCTGACTCCAGATATCACCCATATTGTAGTCTGGACTCGGACGCTCATCCCGACAGATGCAGAGACTGGTGATGTAACCTCGGAAAGCCGAAGACTCATCAGAGAATTTGTGAAGACATACTTCGCTGACAGGATGGGTGCGGATGGCGAGGATCGAGTGATGTGGTTCAAAAATTGGGTTGCTCTGCAATCTGTCAGGACTTTGGAGCATATTCACATCCTCGTCAAGGATGCGGACCCCGGATTGCTCAAAGACTGGACGAAGGAGCTAGACTGCCATCGTGCATGAGAGGATGCACCTTGAGCTTTGACGGCATAGAGATGGCCTCGGTGGCCTGGCCATATTGAGCAGGCTCATGCCGCCCGCCGCTGTTTGCGGTTTCCAGCCGGTGGTGCTGGTCCCGGTTCGGCACCCTGCATGCCCTGCATTCCAGCCATTTGGCGCGCTGCACCGAGAAGTCCATATCCCTTATAGGCACCATAGGCAGGGACAACAGCCCAGAGGAGCCAGAACTTGTTGCCGAAGAGTATGACGAGAACTTGAGTGGCCCAGGTGACCCAGATAACATCAAACATGTACTCCGTCAAGCCTGGGGCAGCAAGGTCCTCTCCAGAGGACTTCAACGCTTTGGTGGTTGCGTCATATGTAGGCCGTCCGGCCCGCTCCAGCGTCAACTCACATAGGAAGCTTGGAAGAGACAATAGACCATAGAGGAATATAGATCGTGACTTAAAGAAGAAATAGAAGACAAGGAAAAGGCCGTTGACGATTGCTGAGCCAAGGTGGAGGTTGTTCAGCGATGCCGTGTTGGATTTGGCCCGGTCCTTCTTCGCTTTCTGAGCCATGATGATCACTATGTTGTGTGTTGATTGCAAACGCCGTATGACCGAGAGATTGTGATGTGTATGGAAGCAGTTATCATCAATTCCGGTCTTGGTATTGGTGACGTTGGCGGCGGTTGTCTCAAAATGGCCTGTAGCGAGATGATTCAAAAAAGGTATGATGAAAGAGGTTGGTGGTGGTTGAGAACTGGCGGCTTGGAGGGGCAACCCCGCGCCACGCGACTTTCCGTTTGCGGCGCTGGTCAGCCTCTGATGCTACACCAGCCACAGGCGCTTAGATAGCCCCTTGACGCCCCGGGCCAACCAAAGCACGGCAACTGGTCTCCTACCACAACAATCCATCCCTCGAGGCAAGGAAAGGCGCCTGGAAACATCCGCGCTCCCACGACACCACCACCCGATCACCTGCCCCAGGACTTCCTGGACGGATTTCGAGGTTGCACACCTGCTTGGTACTCTGGTGGTTGGGGACCGACAGTAATTCCTTGTTCTTTCCTTTCGTCAAGGGGCATGCCTTTTTGCTTCTCAGGAGGACTTGAGGAGCTGTTTTGGCAAGCTGTTGTTGGAACAGGTCGCATTCTGTCAACCCACACGGCCACATCTTCACAAAGTGAAACAAGATTTCACGACCCGACGACAAGATACCGCCAAACTTGAAGAGAATCCAGCATCTGCTTCTTCAGCTTGGATATCCGAGTCGCATACAACATTCCGGTTCACCTTAATAATACCATCAACCATCTACTGTGTACCAAGGCAGTCAGTGGCGCCAGCTCTCATGCCTGTATTGCACTTGAGACAGTAGGCCAATATCAGTCGCCACTTCAACATTTTTGCAAGACAGTGGCCATAGCCTGTGTATTGTTCTCTACAATCGCTTTCTACTGACCGGATCCAGCTCTTCAGCTCGAGTTGCCAATACAGTGCTGTCGCCAGACACCAAACGAAAAGTCGGCAGATCTTGGTCCTCTTCGCATTCCCCAGGCAGCATCACAAATGTCTCATGGCTTGCCTCAGTTGATAATAAATCACCATAATCTCGCTGTCACACCAGTGTCATCGTCGGACCTGTCAACATGGCACCAGCTGCTGCAGCTGCCAACGGTCTCTTGAGACAGGCAGTCCATTACCATCTCGACAACTCCTCCTACGAGAACGCCTTGTTCTTTGCCGAGCGGCTCTGTGCACAAGACAAGACTGTCGAGGCGGCTTATATGCTGGCCCTCTGTCACCTACGACTTGGGGACGACCGATCGGCATACGAGGTTAGCAAGGCTGCTGGCTATCGGGGGACACATCTAGGCTGCTCATATGTGTTTGCTCAGGCTTCGCTGCGCTTAGAGCGGTACAAGGATGGTATTACAGCTCTGGAGAAGTCGAAAGGCTCCTGGCTCAACAAGAATTACATGGGCAAACACAACGCCTGCAGCAGGATGCCCCATCCCGATGCGGCAGCGTGCAGTTGTCTTCTTGGAAAGCTCTACCGCGCATATGATGACAAGACCAAGGCAGTGGCATGCTTCGAGGATGCGTTGAAGACAAACCCGTTCATGTGGGATGCCTTCATGGCGCTCTCGGACATGGGTGCCAACGTAAGAATACCAAACATCTTCAAGCCGAATGAGCAACTGCTGCGGAACTTAGATCAAGAGCAGAGTGTGTCCGCAGGACCGAAGGAGACGGGGCACACAAATCCCCTCGAGCCTTTATCTAAGCGATCCACGGTACGCACTGCAACACAAGAAGCTGCCGATCCCTTTGAAACCCAACGCTCGACTGCGTTTCAAGACATACCCTCGTTCAGCAACCTACAGTCCGCGGAAGTGGAAGGGAACGACCTGCTGTCTAAGATTGCTGCAGCTCGGTCTAGGAACGCGGCAGGAGGCGGAGCCGGACATGGCCAGGAGGGTATGGAAACGCCAACTGGGCCCAGTACATCTTCTGAATCACTCGTACCGCGCCCAGGACCTGGAGTTGAGCCACCCCAGGCACCTATGCGCAAGTCGAGGACAGTTCAACCAGTAGATACTGGCTTGTTTGAAGCCCCCAAATTGGGATACCGACTAGGGCCCAGAAGGAAGGAGAAGGGACAAGAGCCATCTGGGGATGTGGCGTCTGAGCCTGCCTCATCTCTTCTTCGGTCTTCGGCACTGTCCGGAGAACGGAAGCGCACAGTATCTGGACACGTCGTACAACCAAGGCAGATCCATCCGGAGGACCCTGGAGCTCCACCAAGGAGGAGCACGAGGCTCAACTTCATCAACAAGGCGACAGGCATCAAGGCGAACTCTGGCGCTGCTACTATAGGCGCCAGCGCAAATCGGGAACTGAAAAAGACTAGAGCTCCTGTCTCTCGTCTGATACGACCTGGGTCCAGTGGTACGAATGTAGGACGCGTAGTGAGCGGAAACCGCACCCGCCATGAGGAGAATGGAATGGATATCGACCATGCTGAAGCACCTACTGTCAAAGAAGCACCTATACAACGCTTGGCGCCAAAGCCTGTGGAGCCAGAGGTTATCAAGGCTGAAGAGACCCTCAAGTCAATATTAGAACTACTGAAGAGGTTCGCTACTGGGTATTCTCAACTTGCACAGTTTCACTGTCAGGATGCGTTGGCAACCTACGCCTGTCTACCGCGATGGCATCAAGATACGCCTTGGGTATTGGCGCAAATGGGCCGTGCTCACTACGAGCTCGCATCATATGCGGAAGCTGAAAAATACTTTAGGAGGCTACGCATTTTAGCGCCAACGCGACTGGAAGATATGGAAGTGTATTCGACAATCCTATGGTTCCTCAAAAGAGAAACCGACCTCTCCTTCCTTGCCCATGATCTAGTGGACTCGGCATGGCATTCACCACAGGCGTGGTGTGCTCTTGGAAATGCATGGTCCCTGGCTCTCGATCACGAGCAAGCTTTGCGCTGCTTCAAGCGCGCGACTCAGCTTGATTCGAAGTTTGCCTACGCCTTCACACTTCAAGGGCACGAACACGTCTTGAACGAAGAATACGACAAGGCACTCACAGCCTACAGGCAGGCTATTGCAGCTGACCGACGGCACTACAATGCTTATTACGGCATCGGTAAGGTTTACGAAAAATTAGGGAACTATGATAAGGCTTATACACACTATCACTCAGCCTCTGTCATCCATCCGACCAATGCTGTTCTCATCTGCTGCATTGGCACCGTGCTTGAGAAACAAAAGCAAATCGTCCAAGCACTGCAGTACTTCAGCAAGGCCACGGATCTAGCCCCTCGAGCCGCCCAAACCCGGTTCAAGAAAGCCCGTGCACTCCTTGCCATTGGGCAGTTGCAGGCTGCACAGAAAGAATTAATGATTCTGAAAGACCTTGCGCCGGATGAAGCTCGTGTGCACTTCCTCCTCGGGAAGCTATACAAGACTCTCAATGACAAGAGCCAAGCTGTTCGTCATTTCACGCAGGCCTTGAGTCTAGATCCCAAGGTAAGCCCTCCTCTTCTTGCATATGGTGATATTATCACACTAACTCTTGCATAAGGCGAGCCAACAAATCAAAGAGGCGATTGAGAGTCTGGAAGAGGACGACGGCTTCGATGATTCGATGATTCAATAATTTATATCAGAAGACGATTCACGATGGTACAGGGGTTCCTATGGTCTGGGCTGCAAGGGGCATGGTATGGTCCAACTTGGGAGTGCTTCTCAAGAGATCATGATGCAAAACAGGTTCATCATCGGCAAGCAAGAAAGCAAGCATTGGTTGACTGCCGGACTCCGACATGGTTTGATAGGCATTCAGCATGGCATTTGGCGTTCAGGAAACTGTCAGGCCGACTTCGTGTCTTTACTCGGCGGGGGAATTGGTTCTCAAGTTTTGTGTATAAGTACCCGAGCATGCATTGTGATGATTATGTGTATAAGACGGCACGGAAGACTTGGTGGTAGACAGAAAGGAGACCTAAGGCAATGCCCTCGAGTCCTTATAAATACTATGCACATCTCAGCAAGCACAGCTCCGACATACTGTCGGGCTCACTTCTAAAGACTAAGGAGAACAAACAACAGAATACTCAAATAGCACTGATTGAGGCAGTTCATAAGGCTTCTTGTGCATAGGGACTGGCACGCCCACGATATGCCTTGCCCATGTGGGAATCGAGATTCTACTATGTAGCACAACACAGAAGAGCTACTAGATGTTAGGGTCAAGAGTAGTGATCTGTGATTCTAGGTAGGTAGCCGAGTGAGCCCACCAGAAAGGATAAAAGCATGGCTATGTCCCACCCCCAGAATTATTCCCTCCATTTTCCACTTTGTTGACTGGAGTTTGTTGTTCTCCAGAAGCTCAAGTACCCAATTGGGGAAAGCGTGGTCTGCGTTGAAGGCGGAAGGTGCCTGCACGGACCATCAAGCCCGAAAATCAGCAGGACAGGGCGCTCGGACCATTCGGATTAGGTAGGTGTTAGGTAGTTTTTTTTGGCACTAGGCTAGCTGAGCAAACAATTGGGGCCGAAAATGCAGGCAAAGGAGCAGCGCTTTTCTGAGAGGAATTGGCAGCCGCAAAGCACCGCGTTTTTGGCCGCCATAACAATTGTAAAACAACGCCTTGCAAAGCGGCGCATTTTAATTCCTAAAATCAGCAGCAACAGACAACAACTAAAAAGGACTAGCGCTTTCCTTTCAATCACTCCCCATCACCGATCACCCCCAAACTCCCGCTGCCTATCTGCACTGCACCTATAAATCCTAAGTCCCCCTCCACCCACTCTCCTCGCTTCTTCTACCTTTCCTCTTTTATCACAGTCTACCAACGTCATCAACAAAGACATCAATTACTCCTTTGGGACATCATCATCCATCAACAAAACACATCTTCATCAACACTAACCCCCATTCACAATGACTGGACGTAAGTGCATCTTCATTTTCGCTCGATTAGCTGCGTCGGCGTCGTTGTCGGCTGTGAGGCTCCTGTGATGTGGTTGGTTGCCTTGGTGGGGTGTGGCAGTTGTGTATCAACAGTCGCGACGCGTCGCATCAACCATCGCATGCAACCCTCACCAAGCGTCAACATACTATTTTCTACCATGATGCAAATTACTGACACAGTTTTCAATAGGCGGCAAGGGCGGCAAGGGCCTCGGCAAGGGTGGTGCCAAGCGTCACCGAAAGATTCTTCGTGACAACATCCAGGGTATTACCAAGCCCGCTATCCGACGTCTCGCTCGTCGTGGTGGTGTCAAGCGTATCTCAGCCAGTAAGTTGACGCTTCCATTCGTTTACTCTACAGCTTGCTAACAGTAACTCCAGTGATCTACGAGGAGACCCGTGGTGTCCTGAAGTCCTTCCTCGAGGGTGTCATCCGTGACGCCGTCACCTACACTGAGCACGCCAAGCGCAAGACCGTCACCTCTCTGGACGTCGTCTACGCTCTCAAGCGACAGGGCCGCACCCTGTACGGTTTCGGTGGTTAAGCGCTCCATACACTACCATCACAGTTATGGAAGGTGGACGTTGGTTGCTGGATCTGTTTTGCCGTTACTGTTGCGCGTTTCCAGCCAACCTGTTGCGCGTGAGCTAGGCAAAGGGTTTGTGGTTTGACGCTTCTACGGAATGGTACTACACGTTGCTTTTTGGCGTTGGGGATCATGATAGGGAACCGTTATAGGGCGTCTGGAATGGTAGACGAGCCCGAGTCTTTTGACCAAATGAATATACCATGAACAACATAAACATCTGTCCCTAACGAATTTGCATTGTGAACTGTTTGGACGTGTTCTAGCTACGCTCTATCCTGGCATGACAGCCGTCCAGAACTACCCCTAACTTAGTGTCGTTGAGCAACTACAGCAGAAATGCCGCAGGCGAGCGGATCTAGCGGCCGGCTCTCATGACAATTCGTCTGCCTAACATAGCTGTACTCGACTATGGATTTCATCAAATATGTATGTGTTTCTATATGGCACGCATGTGTATGGGTTGGTAGACCCTGGGTATCATAGATACTTCCTCCCTGCTGCTGCAACTCTTGCCCTGAATACAGGGCTCCTCACTTCCATGTTGACCTTGTAGAAGGGGCTCATAATGGCCTTGACCCAGCTGTCGTACACCTCCATGAAGAAGTTCTTGATAGCTTCCTCTGTTGCCGGGCTGGTGGGATTCGCGGCGATCGATGTCGACGACCGGGAAGATGCTGTAGAGGCGGCTGTCGTAGGCTGGTGGAGTAGTAAGAACTTGGCGTTCGCGCCCGTCATGAAGCACGAGATGTAGTTGTTGAAGAACTTGTCGATGACCTTAAGATACCTGTCGGTGTAAGAGCCGGTTAGCTACGCAACGCCCGCCTTCAGGATGCGCTGCCTGTCTTCATCGCAACCGGCGTTGTCATGCGTACATTTGCCCATTATTCCACTGCACCTCCTCGACTACATCCAGCGAGCTGTGCAGGATGAACTGGTTCAGGTGCCTTGCCTGGTCTGAGAATCGTGGCTGTCCATCCCCGCCCTGCTTGGAGGTGCCGAACTCATACTCGAACAGCGGGTTGTCCTGCGTGCCAATTATGGCAAAGTAGTACGACATTGCGCTCGTTTATCGATCATCTGTGCATCTGGACGGTAGGTATCGAGAGGCTGGCGCGCTGTCGGCTGGATCACCGGATTGAGTCCACAGACAAGAAGCAACGGCGCTATTAGGAGTGCAGTAAAATGTGGTGGTGGTACTTGATGCGTGCACGGGCCACTCCGTCTCACCATTCCCCCCAAAAAGCTGGGCCTGCAGGAGAGGGAGGACCTCACGCATCTTTTAGCTGCCGCTGCGAATTTTCCCGAGCTCCATCGAACGTCTTCGGTCGAGCAACGACAACCCCGCAACCATGTTCGGGGCCTTCAGATTCACGAACCCCCTCAGCGGCGGCCTGCTATGGAAGATCCCATGGCGGCTATCGAAATTCCAGAAGATGCGGCAGCGCAGACGCCTTCGCGCCGTGGATAGCGTCATTGCCACCCTCGACAAGGCGCTCGCCAAGCAGGGAGAGACGCTGAAGTCGCTGGAGAGGTGGAAGGCCGAGATGCCGACTGAGCAGGAGATGCTGCCCAAGGACAAGTACACCATGTTCGACCGGAAAGAGAAGCGGTACCGCAAGGGCATTCATAGTGCGTTTCCCCGTGGTGATGGATGCATACCTTGAGGAGGGACTTGAGACTGACTGCGATTGACACAGAATTACCGAAATGGACAAGAGTGTCCCAGAGAGTCAACCCGCCTGGTTACTAATGACTCAAACAATAAGAAAGAGGGCAATCAGACTGTCAGGCGTACCTTAACGGCTCTTACAGCGATCTATGGACGTCATGTATTATAGGGGTGTGAATATCTATGGCTTTCCCAGGCATTTACATCTTGACCGATGGTTACGTGTCAGTACTGTACAAATACTTGCATTCGGTGGAAATTGTTCCCTTGATCATTATATTAGGGACAGAAAGAACATGAGAGGTTGGAATCAGACTAGATGAGCATACCTATGCTGCAGCTTAGTTACCAAACTCGATTAGAACAGGGCATATATCCTAATAAAGTACCACGTCAGATGACTGATTTTGTGTCCAACGTCAAAGATCAGTATCAGAAATACTCCTTTGCTTCACTATGACTGTGAGGTCTTATATATTCTAAGGCTACTGTCATCAAGTGCCGTGCTTGGATAGGCAGTGTGGTCCGCCCAGAGTTCAAGATGATGGCGGAAGAAAGGTCAGGCCAGCCGCTTACTCTGATTCGCAACATGTAACCTCCATTCACCATCAGGAACACTTCTTTCAGTACCAAGAATCAATTGGTTAATGACCATTGACCTGCTGTCCGAGGGGGTATTTTGGGTTCTCTTCGAGATTTCCCTTCTGATCCGTCCGTTTTCCCTAAGTTGAATAGTATTACAATTTATCTGAGTCGTCCATAGTCCTCTTCCAAGTCTCTACCGTCTCTCCTCGCCTCCTTCTCCAGTTGAATTGCTCTGCCGAGCCCACCGCGGCCCTCATCGTAATCCTCGCGATACTCGTCTCGTACCTGGCCACCAGACTTGCCTCGGCCGTACTGGCGGCCTTCCTCGAAGCCGGGGTCGAGATCTGTGCGAATGATGCGTTCGTCCAGCTTTGTGCCTCCGATGTACTTCATACAATCCAGTGCATCCTGGTGGGTGTAGTACTCAACGAAGCAAAACCCGCATGGGGTTTTGTTGAAACGGTCGAGTCCCATTACCAGCCGCTTAATCTCCCCGCACTTGCTGAACAGCTCGTAAACCTGCTCCTCTGTGGTGTAGAATGACAGGTTTCCTACGTATAAGGTCGTAGCATTCGCTAGGGGGTCCTCGGGCTGCACCTCGGGCTGGGTGTTGCTCATCTCATTGTCCTCGCCATCACGGTGATCGGTGCGCCTGCGCTTGTTCTATGTCGCAAAGTCAGTGGGGGTATTTATACAGTATAAGCAGTAGATGACCCGCTTACGCGACTGTTGAAGTAGGCACTCGGCCTGTCGAGTCGATCGACTGTGTTGCGGTAATATGTCGGCATTGTGAGGATTGGGTGCTTTGCAAGGATAGAAACGTGGTGGGTTAAGATGATGAAGGTTGAAATGCGACAAGGCTAAGCTGTTGTGGAGCTCTCGGTCGCTCCTGCAGGTGCAGGCGCGCTTGCACTTTTGGGGTGGCAGGGGTTAACGCGCTAAAAATGTTGCCTCGACAGACGGAGCTTGGCCAGGTTTACTGAACCAAACCACCTCTTCTTGATCCCATGGCAGCAAGGTGATAGAGATATAGTCTTCTCCTCCCTGCCGGCTGCAGGCTTTCATTAAATTTCTTTCTGAGCTCTCAATCTGACGGTTCTACACCATCTCTCTCTCAATTTCCCACATCTTGAAGCGTTGGACCGCTTGATTGCTCGGTGCGCACCATCACTGCCGCGATGCCCAGAATTAAGAGCTACACCCCGAGCTGGCTCACTGGGTCTTCACCCGGCCATACGCTTTTCGCCGCATCAGGAGAGGATCTCAGATCCTCTGCATTCTCCCCGTATGCCTCCAAGAAGAAGTCCCGGTCAGGCCCTCGGAGGACGATAGCACGACGAGGTACGGAGGTTTTCGTCGCGGTGAATCGAGAAATCCGCTGGGGAGACCTAGTGTACCTAAAAGAAACCTGGGAAGCCAAACATGGTAGGAATCATCCTGGAGTCCGAATAAAGCGCGAGGATTCCGACGGCTCTTTTGAGGTCTATGATGAGGAGGCCAATGGTACTCCGCAGGTCGAACCAACCGCAGCTGAAGGCTACCGCGTGAGTGTTTGCATTACCTCTCTACTTCATATTGCCCCTGACTCATATGAAATGCTTTAGACCATCAAGACGCCCGTCGCCGATGAGATCAGGCAACTCGTCATATCGCCGAACTCGAATTTTCTGGCGATTTTGACAGCACACACCGTCCATATCTGCGTTCTTCCGGATTCAGGCCATCTTACGGCGCCGGAGACCGGCCCGTTGAAGCCCAAGTTCTACACTCTAGGTCCTACAACACATGTCACGTCTCGACCGGCGGTTATGTCCGCTCTATGGCATCCTCTAGGAGTCAATGGTTCCACTTTGGTGACAGTCACGGAAGATGCTGTGGTTAGACTTTGGGAGATTTCAACCACAGACAGGTGGTCATTTGACTCGCCATCGCTCTCTGTTGATCTAAAAAAACTAGCAGATGGCACCTATCTTGAGCAAGATTTCGCTGCTTCGACCACTGCAACCAACACAGCATTCTCACCGGACTCTTTCGATATGGAGGTTGCTGCTGCATCGTTTGCAGAACGGAGTTCAGGCTTGTGGTCTCCAATGACGCTATTCATTGCTATGCGAGGAGGCGATATATATGCATTGTGCCCACTGCTTTCTCATCGCTGGTCTCCTCCTCCAACACTTATACCCTCTCTGTCTGTGTCGATAGTCGCAAAGCTTGCTGCCATCGAGGATGATCCTAATGTTGCCCCTCAAGCAAAGCTTCTGGCACAACAGCAGTTGGAATGGATGTCTGAGCTTGACAACCAAGAACCAAGAATTGTGCAGGGGGCTCCGGGTGATCCCGCCGTGGAGATCTATACACGACCCAGTCGTCCAGGAGTCGTCCCAAAACTACAAGGCCCATTCTCTTTTGATCTAGGAGTGGACCCCGATGATGCAGATGACCTTGATACTGAATTAACGGATATATTCGTCATTGGCCAGAAGGTTCAGACAGACGAACTTATGCTAGGAGAGGAAGAGGATTTGGAAATGGAAGACAATGAGCATGAAGGTCTCTCGCTATCTATTGTCTGCCTGCTCTCGACAAGCGGGCAGGTGAGCATATGTCTTGATCTTGACGGAGTTGAGGCTCAATGGTTGCCTCCTCGCAGCAAGTCGAAGCTTGGCCGACACTCGATAAGTGCAGACCCACCATCACTGCTCACCTTCCAGACTTTGGATGTTCTACGGCCGATGGAAGTAATCGATGATGGCTGGCCAGTCTTCAGCTCAGATGTTACATCCCGGTACTCATTTTTCATCACGCACAATTCCGGCATCACCTATTTATCTTTGTCTCCGTGGGTTTTCCGCCTGGAAAGCGAGCTTAATGCTGAGACAGAAGCTGGATCGGACTTCCGAATCGACTTGCTTGTTAAAGGGCAGAATTCGACGCGGGAGAGAGTCTGGACCCAACCACCGCCCGGCGCCTCATTATCTGCTTGTGTCGCAATTCGTGATCCAGACCTAGGGTACTTTGTGCTCTCAGCTACGTCTTCTGAAGCTGTAGCGCTTACATTCGATGTCCCGGAGGACGATGTAATTCCACTACGTCCTATCTCACCACCAGTCTACGAGGAATCTTCGGAGGCGAAACCTCTGATCATGTACACACCGCGCCCAGTGTTCCAGCCATCAAGCGTCTTCGACCAAAACTCAGACCTACCAAGTTTCTTGCAAATGCTTAGAACCAGTCGGCACAAGGCCATGCTGAACCAGGAAATACGCCTCTCTCCTGCCACACTCAAGCTCTTTTCCAGTGCACATGTCGTCCTCAGTGCGGAGACCGGTCGCCTTAACGAGGCCGTTGCTGAGCTGTTCCGCAAATGTGACAAACTCCAGACCGAGTTGAGGGAGCAGATCTCGAAAGCCAATGAGCTTAAGTTAAAGATCGAGAAGATCACAGGCGATGACGTGGAAGAGGAAGAGCCTATGACGGACAATGTACGTCTCAAGAGGAATTTGGAGGCACGCAAAGCCAAGCAAGAGGAGCTTGCACAGCGCTTTGAGAGACTAAGAAAGCAACTCAGTAAGGCAACCAGTCGCGAGCTCAGCGACAAGGAGAAGGCGTGGATGGAGGAGGTACAGATGATGGAACGGGGTATATTAGGCTCCGAGAAGAGTGCAACAACGACATCAAATAAAGCAAAACAGCCTTGGAAGCGATTCGACGATGTCAAGAGCCTCAAAGATGAGCTTTCGTCACAGGCGAATCAGCTTCAGAACAAGTCAACAGGCGATGGCGACGGAGGCTTGAGCACCTCGATGCCTAACCTCCGAGTTCCCTCAGAGATTCGCAAAGCCAAGGTTGCACAGGTAATGAGCCTGTTAGAGAGAGAGACCGCTCTCGTCGACGCCGTCAAGGGGCGCCTTGAGCGATTGTCTGTTGGATGAGAAGGCATCAATAGAGCATGTAGTTAGGTACGGTGGCAAACATATTCCAAGATTTGCGATTTATTCAAGGACATTACCCAATGATACTGTGAGTCAGGCATCAGGCGGAGGCGGCTCATCCACACCTGAGTCGAGTTTGCGGCTGCTGTCCACTTTGCAGCCAGTCAAGACATCGACTCCCGTACAGATGTGCAACATTATTGGGGCCCAATGGAATATGCAGTGAAGCACCGGCAAGGATGAATGCTGCAACCTGGTAATCAAAGATGTGGCGGCCTCTCCACGTTCTGATTCCCAACGGGTGGGAGGAAGACATCAACCTACTGGACATTTCCTCTAGCTCATGCAGAGAGGGCTACTGCGTGGGCAACGCTCATACAACGGTTAGTCCCGACGCTCATCTTGCGATCACCCTGGTCAGTGGAGAGTGGTGGTACAGAGATCCCCCACTCTTAACTAAGCATCTCTTTCGCCTTATTGTCAGATCCTTTACATTTTGAGATGTTAGGCTCTTGGACTTGTGGTTCACATTTCTTATGTCTTAATTCTTGTATTACGGCTGATCAAAGCAACAAGGCCACCGGACTCTAAACTTGGGGTATCATCCCAGCTAATGTATTGACTAGGTCCATCCGAATCTGTCTGCATCAATGGACTGTGACTAGTGGAACAGGGGAACAGGGTCACAGCGTTCTAACGCCTGCGTGTGCACAGCAATAGTCCTGGAGGTGAGCCACGGTGAGGGTGACTCTTGACCGGACCGGACTGGACAGGACAGGACAGAATCTCCGGTGGCTCACGGATTATGGCAGAAGCGCCATGCCATTTCCTCTCGAATAAGTAACATGTGCTTTGGCTGTTCAGTTTCTTCTGCCGCAAGCCAAATTACAAGCCTATGGCCGTGGGGTACGTCCGACCGGCGGCGCCGCCATCAATGTTAAGTGCATGGGAAGCTACATGTGCATACATACCACCTACTTGACTACACACATGCCTTTGGTCCCCAAACAACTCATGGACAGTTCCTCACCTATGGATCTTGCATGCCGTTCGCCTCGTTTTCCTCGCCATGCTTTCATACCTTTCCCTTTAGCAATTAGGGTTATGCTCTGGTCAGTCGTCCACAATCATAAGAGGATATAATCATGCAACCCGTCTCCCTCCCCCCTCAACATGTTGGTTTTCCGTTGAGAGTTTACGCGCTTCTTTTTTTTCGTCTCCATGAAAGTGTCTATCCCTACCCACAACGCTCCACCATCTTTCCTCTATGCGACTCAATGGGCCAAGATGGCTCACAACTCTCATTCTATTTTTGATTTAAGGAGCCAGATCCTGGGTAAGCTTCACCACACCGATTTCTTTTACAGAGACCGGAGAAATCGTGAAGTATCGTACTTACACCGCTCCTCTAGAGAACCTCAAGTTTGTCTCCTGGGGTAGTGCCCAACTCAGGACTCTGACAGCCAGAGACCCACTCGGGAACTACAAGGTTATTGTCACCATAGACGAGGACGAGGGCCGTCGCCCTTTTCTAGCTGAGACAGGAGAGACCTTCCAAAAAGCTCTGGAAGCACTCCACAACAAGTCTGCAGACCTAGTTCACAGACACATCGAGAGTGTTGGTTTCGAATATCGTCGCCGGTCCAGAAAGAAGTCCCCAAAATCGCTGAAGATTGTCGACGACTCTGACGATGGCCTCATGTCTACGAGTTCCGACGGTTCTGCGTCTCCAACACTGGCGCTCTCTGACATAGAGTCCGCTGACGAGGCTGGAAGCGATGATGATGATATCGTCTCAGTGGTATCTGACGCTCGTGAGAAGCGCGCGAGCAAGCACTCGTTGAAAAGTAGCCCTCCTCAGCCAGGGCCACCCAAGCCACCAGCTTCGTCGAAATCTCGAGTCGACGATGCTGAGTCCCGTGCTCGTCGAAGCCCATCAGGGGGGCCAACGCCTCCTCTCCCTCCCCCAGGGGCTCTGCGTGCTGCCGCGACATTCCCACCGCCGCCGCTGCCCCCCGGCTGGCGACCTGCGTTGTCCGGCCCACCGCCTCCCCCACGGCCTTCCTCGATGGCCTTCCCTCCGCCCCCCGCGCCACCCGTGCCGCCCCCCGCGCTCACGGTGAGGCAGCTGAGGGAGCAGATCCAGCAACAGCAGCCGCCAGCCGGCCCCCATGCCCAACTCTGGGACGTGCGCATGGCCATCAAGTTTATAGGGCGCGGAGACACACATGTCCTGGCAAGCGTGCGCCCGAGTATCCAGGAGCTGCGTAAATTCGCGACCGACTACGTAATGAAGAACCCAGCCATTTTCCGCACAAGCAAATCCCAGTACGAACAGCTGAGGCCACAGACCATGGTCAGGCGCGTGGTCATTGGGCAGGTCGGTTACGACGTATCGACATACCCTAAGGATGACCTTACGAAGCTCTTCACTGCCGGCTCTGCTGAAGGCACGGATGCGCAGATGCCATTGGTCGAAGTTGCTGTGTGGCCACAGCCTCAAAACTGTATGCCTCCAACGCCGGCGAACGTGCGCTCTCCGTCTTCCTCGCCCACTTTGATCGACTGAAGAGCTCCATCAGGAATGAGGACCGTCTCTTTTCGACTTTCTCTAGGCGCTAGAAACTGCCATGATGCACTGGACTCACTGGTTTTCTCTCTGAAGTATGCTATGTTTCTTACTACTGCGGCAGATTTACATGTTGCAACCGGTTTTCTGGATATTCCCCAAGGCCCGGCCCGTTCGAAGTCTCAAGTTTAGTTTATCTTCAAATCATACTCTTACTCCAAAGACTACATGTGTTCCCGGCCTTCCAGGATGAATACAAAAAAGAACCTTCCTCTACACTCGTGATGACCGAATGAGCTACGACCGAGATGACCAAGATCTAATGCTAGCCGCTGTGCCATGGACCTGACACATTTCCTTGACTGTATTCCCTCGATTTTCTGGTTTCCATCGTCCGCCTTACATTCACATTTCATACCATCCATCTCCACACCGGTCAGGACGGGCCCATACCGGATTTCTCGGCACGTTGCGTGTTTCCTTTCCGTCCATGCCTATCTAAGCGCTCAGGCAGGAATACAAGTGGTTTCAGGGGTCATACAGAATGATACAACCGGGGCGTTAGACAAAATGGGGAGGGGAAGGGGGACACGTGCATTTGGTATCAAACTCGTTTGTCAGGTTGTCGTTTCCGGACGTTCCTGGGCGCTTCGTGGGGATGGGGCTTACGGGGAGGAATGGGGGTGGGTTACTCGGGGCGTGCATGTGTGCAAAGCAAGCAAGGTCATCTATTCCACCGGTACGTAATATGGAGAAGGACATATACCATCCCGTCAAGTTTTCACAAGTAGTTAGACAAAAAAGTAATGAAGAGTGCGATATTATTTTCTTCAGCCCGAGACTGGTCAATTGTACTACGTGTATACGTTGGTCCTTGAGGCTGGTCATGCGCAACTAACTGTTGCTGAGTCTTTTTTCGTTCCCCTTTTCTTTGACCAAATGCGCAGAGTCTTTTTGACCGGTCAAAGCCAAAGCTTTCGCACCCCGCGACTTTGCAAGTCAAGTCCATGCAAGTCACAATCAACCACCTGATTTGCGAAAAGCTGATTTGTGCTTCGAGAGCCATATCGTTCATTGCAATTCTCTCTGGTGGTTGCTCAATGAACTGCTTGCCACGATCTCATGTTGTGCTATCAGTCTGCTTACCTGGCCCCCATCTATTTAGATAAGGCTGTCAATTCTCGATCCCGGATCCTTTCACCTCGACCCCATGGTTCCGCCAAACCCGAGGCCGAGGTGACAGAGGACGCCTCACTTCCAACGCGCTTATTTCTCGGTCACGAGGAAGATGTAGACGTAACTTGCATTTACTGCTGTGCCCGATTGCGACTATCACGAGGCGGTAGGTTCTCCTTGCGGCTGTTGTTGCGATAGGTGCTTTCCTGATTAGATAGTTGGGCCTGGAGATCAGCGAATTGAGTGGCGAGAAGGGGTTGTGTTGCAGGGTCATCTTCCACGTTCTTTGGCAACATCCCGAGGGAGTTTTGCCGATCATATTCCCGAATCATCGAAGCGCCAACACTGCCGATCTGGTCTGAGACCAGACCAATCCCTGCCATTGAGGGATGCCGACCACTCGTCTCAAAGCAAGGCTGTCGGCCTCCTGAGCTACCAGAAACACTCTGTGATGGCGGTTGAAGCTTTGGTGATTTCGGAGGATGGGTTTCTGGAAAGGCACCGTGCCAAGACATGTCCGCCTTCCGAGTTGCGGATGAGGTGCGAGGGGAGAGGCCTTGTCCCTGCTCTTGGTCGGGGCGTAAAAGGTCTCTCGCATGTCCTCTGTGGTAAGTTGCATCGAGCAGAGGATTCGTCGTAGTTGACAGACTGTGTGAAACGTCTGACAGTCCCGTATCCATACTCCAGCCTAACTGCGTCTCGTGTATGTTGTTTCCCTGAACGTGGTCGTCAACTTCGGATAGCCGGCTGGCGTCCCGAGTAGAGGCGGGCACGACGGATGTGCATTCCCCATGCTGTGTTGTATTGTTCGATGAGTATGTCGGTGCCCGAGGGTCTAGCATGTTGGCAGATGCATCCAGGCCATCACGACGGTTCACAGCAGCAGGCATTTCAGGAGAACCCCGGCTGACTACGCAGCATGTCAGCTGTGTCACCTGGGGGAGTGAGAAATGTCCTTAACTCACCGAATCGAAACTCATCGGGTTTGCTAGATCCAAGTCTTTCGTCTCGAGTTGCTCTTTCGTCAACTGCTTCTCATGAATCGAATGTTAGCGCACAACCCCCAATTGTCAAATACTGAATACCGCATACCCAGTTCACCAGCTAGTCGTTGGTGACCACGCTGCATGTCTTGTTGCTCAACATGCCTCTCGAAGTCGCGGAGGAACTGCTCCTTCTGCTGCCGCTCGACCATCTGTCTGACCCTGTTTGGGTGCTCCAGTGCCTCCTCGTCCTTCCGTCCATCGATCTTCCACTCCTTCAGAGTGCCGGTGAAATTGATGCTGCGCATGAAAACTCTCTTCTGGGCACGAGTAACTCGCGGCACTACAATACCTTGAGTTAGCGATCGCCTTAGTGGATGGGAGTTTTGGGTTTGTTTCCAGATGTCTCGAAAGCAACCCCCCAACATGTGTTTGGGACCTTGGGCATGAACTTCTGAACCTTTCCTACAAGAGGTAAGGGAAGAATTCCAGAGAGATACTCACTATGCTGTCGCTCAATGAACGCAACGGCCGCCTTCTTTTTGTCTAATATGTACAACAAGATCTCCTGAATATCCTCCATGTCGACGTCACGGCGATGGCCGCTGTAGCCTGCACCATTCAGACCCTCGTTAAACTTTGTCGCGAACTCGACGATGCCATGGAGGTGTGTCCCCTTGCAGATGAGTGAGAGCATGATGTCGAACTCGAAAGTCGTCCATTCATGTCGGTGCCCGTCCGAACGTTGCTCGAGGGACCTGTCGTCAGGAGCCATCTTGGTGCTGGCACGACGCGATTAGGAATAATCAGGGGAGGCTGTCGTAGTGCTTCGAGATGACGGGACCAGACCTAATATCATATCGCCCTGACTCAGTATTGGTTAGGTTGTTGGGACGACAATAACGATATCGTGCTCCTTTGAGGAATGGTTCTCCCCGGGCGGTAAGCAGCCTGGATATCACTCGAGGGTAGAGAGAGCTGGAAACAAATATGTGGCGTCGATGTGAAGATCGAATGAAGACGCAAGCCTTTCTAGGTAAGGAGATGTGACTACGGAGGGAAGGAGGTCGTCGTCTTATCTCAGGGGGAAGTCGCGTTGGCAGGCAGCGAGCTAGAGCAAGCTTCTCGAAGTAATAAATGATATAACGATGAGCCAGCCTTGATTGATTCAGAGACATGAGAGTGACTTTTAGACCAAGATGCAATGAAGGGGTGTATAGCAAGCGTATCATCCCACTGTAAGACTCGAGTGAAGGCAACTTGGCACTCTAAATGCTCGTTATGATGAGCTTCCGCTATCATATTCAGTCACTTTCCATCCATTGTAGAATCAAGGCACACATAACACAACTCATTCATAGTAGGCGATGTTGTCTAAGTGCAGTTCTATGTACTCATCAACTAGACTGTCTCGAGGGCACAAAGCACCATTACATTGCCCCAAACAGCGACCACTTTTATTTGACTGCAAATCAGCCCGCTTGCTCGATCTCCTCGACGATACCCAACCCCTCGGTACGCAGCTCTAATGCCCCCAAACGCCGCCTTGATGCCGTCCATGCAAGCCGAGTTTCTGTTATCATTCAATGTGAAATACTAGTTAGAACCGCCTAGTAGATGCCTTGAGTCCGATACTGGAAAGTATCATAACTGGGTTTTGGCTGTCAGCTTGCGCCATGGCTTTTTTTGGTGAACAAAGCTAGGTACTTACAGTCGTGTGTAGTAGCTCCCGATGGACTTCCCAATAATGTCGTTCTCGACAAAGTGTTCAGCGTCATCGGCGCTTAATTGCAGCTGGAATCGCTGCCGCAAATTGGTGGTGACAGTGGCCACCCCAGCCGCGTAGCATGGCATCTTCGAGTCACGCCCCATCATTGCTACTAGGTCGATGATGTTGTCCGCGGAGCGGCGCAATGCTGCACAGGTGTCAGAAGCAAAGATCCTCAATAAAGCAGATGGGGTTGATTTACCTTGGAATGCTTTCTTGCAAAGCTTCTTGAAGTCCTCATACTCAGGCGAGCCGAGTCCGCCCAGAACATCGACGTACTCATGAGTGAGCTTGAACGGAGCGGCTTCGAAACCGACCGATCCAGGCGAGTTCGACAACATGAAACCAAAATCTATATGGATGATGTGCCCCTCATTGTCAATCAGGACGTTGCCATTATGTCGGTCTTTCAGCTGCAAGACATAGGAGATCATGCTGTACGCTGCCAAGGACCTCTTGAAAGCATCCACGCCAGCCTTGTACGTGTCGCTGTCCGGCGAGCCGAAAGCCTTGGCAAAATGATCTTTGAGAGTTGCGATCCGCCGTCTGGGATTTTGACCAGACTCGATGGATGAAAGGGTCAAGCTTCTTTTAATAGAGTGAAGCGAGACACCGTTTGTGATTGTTTCGATCAAACCCGACGACTCCCCTGTTACGAGAATGCGCATCAACTTTACCCACACATCCACTCCAGCGTCCACCCAGATCTTGTGGCAGACGTCAATAAGTTGGCAGGCAAATGCTTCCTGTCGCAGATCCGCGCCCGTCTTGACGATGACACTAACAAGATCCCAGTTCTTCATCCAGCCGTACGGTGAAGACCGTCGAATGCGCTCCTTCTTGGCATGCCAGGCCTCGCCAAATACTGCGGCACTTGGGTCATCTCTGTCCCCTTTGCGTTGAATGCCACCGGTCTTGAAGTCATTCTCCATTCTCTCAACACCTGCGCTTGCATTTATTGTGGAATCAAGGGGTGTTTCGTCATCGAGGTCGGCCCCGTTGACTATTGTGTTTTGGGCAGTAGCTTTGGCTATGATAGTATCAAAGGTAGGGCCCTGACCGTCGTCTAGGTCAAAGCTTTGTTCTTCCAGACTCTGCATGCTTGCTATAATCTTAGCCCTGATGGCTGCCACCTCCTGCTTCGGGCGTTTGCCGCTCGTTGCCTCCAGCTGCGCCAGCATTTGTGATGCCGTTCGCATGTGTGTCGCCAGCGCAGAAAAGTCAGGCTGATCAACAGAACTGGTCCGCGGATTGATGGGTATCGTCATTTTTCTGAGCAGCGGGCCGGGGCTGCTAGACCGTGACGTTGACGCCCCAGAGCTTCGGGGCGTGGTCATCATGTCTGACGCCGTTGATACTGTTGTTCCACCACTCGACAGGCGAGGAGGGTGGCCGGGTGAGGCCAACTTCCCCTGTGCTTTGGCTGGTCGATCCTCGTCAAATGGTTTCAGCATCGGAGAGCTGCCAAGATCTCCTGAAGTTGGCTCAAAAACACTGTCGATGGCGGGCTCGGAAGTACGTGCCGCGGTATTTATCCTTGGAGAGTCAGATAGGTCAAATATCCTCTTCCTAGTTCCTTGTTCTGCCAGAAGATTTGTCAAAAGCCTCTGATTGTCCTGGGATTCATGATCAAATGTAAAGTCCTCCCGCAAGATCTCCACCATCAGTAGATATGGAACCTTCTCCGCGCTGTTTAGCACGGTGGCCTCGGCAGGATTCAGTCGCACAATACGGTGATGTCTGCTCTTGCCAGGGGCGCCATCCACCAAGGTTGGAGGACAGATGATAGGTATATCGACCTCGGCGGGCAGATCTTGCGCAATAAGGGCCAACTCAGCACGCAGGGCGCTGAGACGTGCTTGTTTCGGAACAATGACCAAGCGATTGGAAATATCCTCCAAAGCACTCAGAAATTGTGTTTCACAACGGAAATAGTTCTGCCTCAAAAGCCTCGTCTTTTCCATCGATGTCATATCGGCCTGGTTCAGAAGAGCCTTCACATGGGAAGAATGCCTACGGGCGAGCGATTCGCCCGGTCGAAGCCCAGCAGAGACCGGAGTTGCCGGCCGACTCACCATCCGCGGTGATTTCAGCTCCGGAAGCGGGAGGGAGGAAGAGCTCAGCCGCGCATCAAGCGCCTTCATATTGAGGTGGTTTGCTTGCCGCCTCTCGGTCTCGACAGGGGACCGAGGATCTGAGCCTGCAGATGTCGGCCGGGGTGGGGCAGCAGCTCGCGGCGACTTGATAGGAGCTTCCGTAGCACTCTTGGGGTTTGGAGCACTTGTAATCCTGCCTCCATCTTTGGTCCTCTTTGACCTCGTAGTGGTTGGAGTCACCGTATGTGCTCGAGCAACCTTTGAAGGTCCGCTGGTAGTCTCGAGGACAGGATCACCAATCGGCTGTGGCTTCCGGGCCTGCGCAACGGCGAGAGGGCCGGCCCATTGAGGAAGAATCGGCACTGCTATGCTTGCTAACACGAAACTGGCCAGTACGGTTACGGGAAGGACGTTCTCGGTGATCTTTTCCTGCCTTGCAGAGTCTCCGAGCCCGAAGACGATATGTTGAACCTTATTGTATACCCTCCTGCATGTCCTAAACGTTTCTGACTGTGGGTTCGAGGCGAGATCGTGTAGGTAGGTCTGGAAGAGCCAGAACGTCTAGAAGCCCTATTAGTGAGCGCCTCTTCACTGATGTTTTCCGGGCACCACGTACCAAGAGAGCGGCCGTCACGGATTCCTCGCACAAGTCCAACAAGAACTCCTCCAGAGCCATTGACTCATTGTCGACGCTGATTATGAGGTGGCATAGCTGCGGCAGGAAGAACTCGATGTCCTCGTACGGGAACTGGCGGAGCTTGTTGCACAGGACATGATGTATGCCCACATGATCGGCGTACCGGCTAGACGGCGAGAGAGGTAAGCACAGATGCAAGTGAAGCTGCAGCAGATGAACGGGCCCTTACGAGAGGTAGGAGACGGAGAGAAAGGGGTTCTGGTTGAAGACGTCGCTCTCGAGGAACCTCTGCAACAGGTCCCACGACATTGGGGCTACCGCCGCCGCGCTACAGGTCTGACAGAAGGAGAGACAACGGGAATACGCGCGAGGCAGGTAGCCTCATAGGGATTCGACATGAACGTGTTGGGCCAGACAAGCGACTAGCATGGCTGGGCAGAGTAGCATTCGCGGATCCAGTACTTGTCCGTGGTCTCCTATTGCGGCGACTGCTGTAGGTATGTTGAACAGAGGCTATCGTGTCTTTACGAGCAGGTAGTCAGTCTAGTTAGCAGGTACTGATTTCCATGCAGGCACTTTGGCGTTCGGCAAGCTAGGTCCAGATGCCCCTCAAGGTCTCCCTAACGCCTATTAGTCAAATTGATTGGAATTTAGGCTTGGCACCTATCCAATGGCCACGCACGGGCCCGACACCTGCTAGAGAAGCCCTCTCATAAGGGGCAACGGCGCGTCTTTCGGTATCGGTAACGTAGTTTAGCTGCCGTGTCTTCCGAGCCTCCGCCGTTTTAAACTTCACCGCACGTCTTTCACATCCGCGCACCCTACCTATGTATAGGGGAAAAGCTCACGCCTCAATGGTTTCTCGTGGATATATGGTTCCTAGTTAGGCACCGCTATTTATTATCTTACGCGATGTGAATACTACTTTCACCTTAATATGAGTGTAGACGCATAAGAGAACTCAGCCCCTTCTTCCCGCTCGTCCACTACGCTTTTCGAGAACCTCGAAGGTGATAGAGCATCGATGCCACGCCTGAGATCCAGACAGGTGGACTGCGGGAACTTTGCTCGTATTGTTTGGCTCTTTTTTGACGAAGATATCACGCATTCTACGCACAGTTCCAAGAATATGCTCTGAGAAGCGGCGCATAGGTTCAATTCTGCATCACACATTTTCTCTTGACAAAAAAGTCTGTATAATCGCAAGCAGTTTCCGATCAACAAACCCAGCAGCCCCCAAACTCCTTGCGACTCAGACCCGGACCCGGACATGAATCTCGGCACCAATCGGACTTTTGGTCGAGCATTGAGACCAACGCCGCTGTATATGCTGTATTCCCCGAAACGCCAGACATCGTGAATCGTGCCCCATATGTCATACCAAATTAACCTGAGAAGAAAGAAGACCCACCAGTCTGCTTCGTACAGACCTCAAGCCTTCTTTTTTCTCCCACCCTTGACCTTCTTCTTCGACTCGACGGCCTCTTCATCGCTCGAACTCTCGGCCTTCGCGCGACCGCCGCTCTTGGCCTTGTCTTCATTCTCAACGCGCCCAACAATGTCTCTTAAAAAATCCCACTGGTCGTCTGACTCCACCACATGCTTGAGCATCTGGGCCGTCACTCTCTTAGAGTTCTTTTCTTTGGCGACGTCGGCGCTCTTAGTGACTAGGGCAATCATGAAGAGCTCTAGCGCCTTGCCCACGGCAATGGGAGTCTGTTGAGCCACCTTGCCGACCTCCTCATCAGCTTGCATAATACGCTTTATGCGTGCAGTGGGGAATTTTGTCTTGACTGGTGACGGTTCGATGACTGGCGGCTGTGGGGCCGCGGCAGCTCTGCGTGGAGGCATTGCGCTTATGTCTCCTGGCTGCTGCTGTTGATGATATTCTTGGTGAGGTTGTGCGTCGGCCGGAGGTTGGAGTGATGGGGTTTGGGAGGCGAGTGGATTGTAATACTGAGGTTGCGAATACGACTGTGCTGGAGCAGAGTAAGGATAGCCTTGCTCCGCGTAAGGTGGCTGGTAATACGGCGGTGGTTGTTGTAGGCCAAAGCCAGGTTGAGATTGATGAGGGGCCTGCTGCGGAGATGTAGGAGTATAATATTGCTGGAGGGGAGGCTGCTGCTGGGCCTGGCGGCGTGGTGAGTAAGGGTCGCTTAAAGGCTGATGTTGGTGGGGTTGTTGTTGGACTTGGGGGTGTCCGCCGCCGAGTCCACCAGAAGGCGAGAGCGGCGTTTGCTGATAGTAGCTCTGCGGAGGAGGCTGCAGGTGCAAGCCTTGCTGCTGGTTCGACCGGCCTTGCAGCTGGTAATCCTGAGCCTGGGTCTGGTAGAAAGCCTGCGCGCTGGCGTCGTTGTTGTTGTTGGCAGCAGGAGCAGGCCCAGCGAAGAGCGAGGAAAGGTCCGGCGATTTAGGAGCGTATGTGCCTTCTCCCGACATGTCTCGAGACAAAGAGAAGCGCGGGGCACGAGGAGGGACAATAGAATTATGTACACCGAGGTACAGGGCCAAGGGGACACCAATTTCTGCTTGGGTCTTATACTTTCACCGCCGCTGGCCCTCGAAATTTGCACAAAAAAGGCTTTTGTCTGGCGTGCGGGTTTGCGGGTCCAGGGCCCGGGGGGTTGCAAGCGTGTAAAATGCTATGCTTCGAGAGGATTGTGTGTGCGCGCGTGCGGATGCAATGCAGTGCTGTACAGTGTCAAGCACAAAGGGAAGCTGGAAGACAAGACTTGACTGATTCGAGCCTGCTGTGGTCGAAGCTCCCGACCTAACGTCAGTGAGGTAAGGTTGGGTGGGGTGAAGGTGCGTTTAATAGCTGGTGTGGCTGGAATGGCTGGGTTGACGATGAGAAAACAGACAGGGAAAGAGCGGGCTTGGAGGGGCAATGTTCGATGGAGGGGTGCCGGCCGCGGGGCTAATAATGCACGAAAGCTGTCCGCCTGCTGCTACTTGCTGCTGCTGTGTCGCCCGAGAAGCTACCGCCTTCCCTTTTTTTTTTGGGGTTTTTTTTTGGGCCTTTTCTTGCTCCTTCCCTCTTACCCTTCAAAGAAAGAGTGGACAGGCACGAAGACTAGAAAATAAGTCGAGATGATGTGATATGGAGGCAGCTACGACCGACGGAACTGATCGGGCTGTCGAGATGGGTGCAGGTGCAGAAGCAGGTGCCCAGGTGGTACTGGATGGGCTGGTGACTGGTCAATGACGCGCCCGGGATCAGTGCAGGTGGTCAGCCAGTGCCTGCCCGTTGCGGAGAGACTCAGCTGCCTGCAACGGAAAGAGAATAAGATTCCCCGGAGGCGAGTCAATGGCTGGCGTTGTGGGCAAACAAGGCAACCACGACCAAGCCAGGGGGAGTCTTTTCCTTGGGTAGGGTAATGCCGTTCCAGTCTCTCGGGAACCCGAGGCAGCAGTCTTTGATTCGTTTGCTCCGTTTGTTGGTTGGGATGGGACGGGACCTAATGAATGGAAAAGACCCTCCTTCTCCTGTGGTGAAGGTTCAAGGGTGGGAGCAGCTTTCACACGTCACACAACACAACACAACACCGGACTGCTTCCAGATCCAGATCCAGTGGGATGCCCTGGAAAGGTACTGACAGCCTCTGCTCAAGTCTGGGTCACCCTAAAAGAGAGAATCCAGATGGAGAAGAAAGAGTATTTCCACTCACAAGCAGCGAGCTAAAGATACCTTACGCAGGCGTGCTGCACACTGCGCTACCTAAGGCAACTCAGGTAGGCAGGGTCAAGAGATATGAAAGCTTGCAAGAAAACTGTCTCCAATGTGAAGAGCCAGCTGTTCCAGAAGAAGAATCTCTGTTGTGGACGATGCCAAAAGCAGCAACCAGCTATACCTGGGTTGTGGCTGTCAAGCTTGAACCCTGTACCTTGTCTGGTACCGTACCCTAAGGAAGCCCTGAGATGTGGCCGATCAAAGACAACAAGTGCTTGCCTAAACGAGGATGGCTGCTGAAGTGTCTGAATATTGAAATCGGGAGGCTTATTTAAACCAAGGATGAGATAACAAGAGCTCGGCCTCTTCTGCTTGTTGAAGGTGGGGAGCTAAAGCGAGAGCTTGGACAGCAGTGGCCAGTCCAGTGCGACCAAGAGCCCAAGACAGCTGGGCGGGATTTTTCGTGGGACTTGCAGCCCGTTTAAGTAGCCGTCGCGCAACCTCGCGGTTCAGGTGCGCCCAAAAAGCATATCAACAGGGGTGTGCCGCTAAGCCTGTTCGGGCAACGAACTCATTGCACTGCCCCATCTTGAAGATCTACATTTCCAATTCACGATCACGCCCCATCTAGCCGTCCTACATACACAACATCTGTAGCTACATCGCATACCAACACCACAAGTGCAAACACCTTCAAATTAGACCTTGCATCACCGTATCTTACCGAGCGATTCGTCGACGGACAGCAGCTTCTCATGATGCTCGTGCTGCAATCATACTTTCACCTAAGTCGACTCAAGTGTGAAGAAGGTAAGCGGCTATGGTGAGCAGTCTAGCTCCCGCGAGTCATCATTCTTTCGGCTTGATCCACATATCAAGCATATATCACTTCTCGAAGGTCTTGTCATAAATGATGATAGCACAAGAGCATACTAGAGACCATGATATAGCGGTCAAGCTAGAAGCCGAGTCTCCAAGGCTCTGGTTCCTTCTTGATATGCCATGTGTCTATGACGGTCATAACTTGATCTAATCTGACATTGACATGACTTCCTTTCACCAAATCAACATATCCCCTCCTTGACCTTGCTCACGATGCTCCGCAGCCCCTTAAGTCTTTGCTCAGTTGAGCTGCTCAGGAAAAGCGAGGCTACAGGCCACGCATGAATGCCACCTGCCTCAGCTTCGGCCCCCACGAGGATGCCTGCTCCCTCCAGCAATGCGACAAGATTCCTGATCTCCGGGGCAAACACCTCCTCCTGCCCATACGTGACATAGACGCCTTTCGAAGGACTGGACTTCTCCCACCACATGATATCTTTACAACTTCCCGGCGAGGCTAGTGGGTTGGTTACTGCTGACTCGCTGCCTGCGTATTGCGCGCTGTACATCTGCAGCGTTTTCTCGTCTAGATAGTCGCTCGCTGTGTTCTTGTATTGAGGAGATACGAGCGTCGGCCATGGTGATATGAGCACGGCCATCCCGGGCTTCCCTAGGTGACGGGAGAGCCCCGAGATGCCTTGCTGCTTTACTCCGGCGCTAGGACTCTCCAGATGGAGCAGAAGGCTAAGGATCAGCGTCGCGCCGGCCGAGTCGCCGCTGACGCAGACTCTGGAAGCATCTCCCGTCAGCGAGAGAACATGCTCATAGCCGTGAACCATCTCGTGAAGCTGCGTCGGGAAAGCGGCGTCAGGCACGAGGGTGTAGTCAAGCCCGAAAACGGCTGGGTTCTTGTATCCTGCCTCTACCAAGAGTGCATGCCAGGACAGGAGAAATTCTAGGTAGAATGCCGAGCTTCCCATGGAAAATCCTCCGCCTAGATGTAATCAGCGTCCATTGCCAATAATTGTAGATAGAGTTTGTCGACATACCATGGGCGTAATATATGACAATATCTGGCCTCTCCACAGGCTCCTTGACAGCCCAGATACCCCTAAAGTTCCTCTATTTCCCTCGTTAGCAATGCTCGCTCTCTCACATAAATAGTAGGATCACCATACGCCATTATACTCTTGCCAGTAGACAGGCGATCTAAAATAGCCGTGTCGGAGCATGCGCCATCGCAGGAAAGGCAGCGCCACCTGCTTGGAGAAGAAGACGCGCCCGATCCGCGGCGGGATGCTGGCAAACGCGAAGCGAACACATCGCACCACAAAGTCCTCGAACAAAGTTGCTCGCTGCACGAACGGAGACCGGTGCCTTCGGGTCACCAGGATGTGCTCATACAAGAAGCTGACCGGAAGCTTGATCACTGGGGTGCCATTGTTAGACACGTGCAGCTCGGCCACGGACGGGCACATGACTGTGACTTACGCAGGAATGGCAGTGTCTGTATCACTGTCCATGTTGTCCTGAATAGCCCGACATGAATGATGAGCTGTGGTGCGAGGAAGATACAGAAGACGATGCAGTCAATGAATGAGACGGGACCAAGGATCATCGTCGCTGTTCATTCAGGTGTCTATGTTTGTGCCCCTCACCATTGAGCCTCCTTACAAAAGAGACCACTTGTGAGTCTGCTTGTAGTTGAATGAATGATTGCTCTTCAAGTTGCAGATAGAAACGAATGTCAGTGATGAAAAATAGAAACAGTGTGTACTGAAGTGTGATTCTGCTCACTATGTTGGAGCAAGGTGGTGACGTCGATGAATTTGTGAATATAGGTTTGCGTTCAATCCTACACTAGTTACCATGATATTTAAACGTTTCTGTCAGCATCCAAGCTTCTCTCAACCATGCAATTGCAAAATTTCAGTCAAGCACCCTTCTTATAATTAATTCCTTGATTTGAAATCCTTTAGTCTATTCCTTCTATATGCAATGCAGACATGACTTCCCGACATCTCATTAGTTGTGCGCCACCTTTAAGATTTTCTTCTCCATCTGCTCAAATGCGCCCACCACCTTACCATACTGCTGGAAGATGCCGTCCCTGAAACCGTCATCAACCTTCTCAATCGTATCCTCCTCCTTCCAGCGCTTTCCAATCAACTCATCAAATGTCTCGCCGTCCTTGCGCTCGAACGCCCACACTGCCTTGTACGCTCCACCCAGGGCGCAGGCATTACCGCCGACATCCAACTTATAGACACCCTCGGCACCGCCTAGGACATCGCCAATAACCCGTGCGATGGCCGGGTTGAGCGAGCCGCCGCCTACAAGGTATATCCTCTTGGGCTGTGCGGGTAGACCGTCGCTGGGACTATGCACGAGATTATGTGACCGTAGCCTCATCGACAATGCTTGAGACTCGACAATGACTCTCGCATCGGTCTCCGGGCCCCAGTCACTCGTCTCCTCTAATCCGCTTCCGTCCGCATTACAGGTGTACCTCCACGTGCCAGCCTTGATGTTTGGTACGATCTCAGGCAGGTAGAAGTACAGCCCCAACTTCGCCTTGTCGCCCTCGCTCTTGATGTCCAGTGGCGGCGTCTCTAGAACCTGCTTGTTGAAGGTGGCCCACTTGTCATCGCCCTGAGGCGCAGGAAGTACATCGCGGACCTTCTCGCGAGCTAGACCACCGTTTTTGTAGCAGAGCATGAACATGTAATGATCTGGTGTGGTGGGATGATTGAAGAAGTGGTATGACGGGTCAGGCTTGTAGTACGGAGTAACCATCAAGAAGGTCGTGGATGTGCCTAGCGACACAATGGCGTCCAGAGGTCGCAGCGGCAATGCGAGGATCGTGCCCGGGTTGTCGCCCGTGAAGGGGGCAATCTGGCAGTCCGGGCTGAAGCCATATCGCTCGACGTAGTACTTGGAGATACTACCCATGCTGCCGCCACCATCTTGACGTGGCTCACCAAGCTTCTTTTTCAACTCCGCAACACCATCCTTGCCGGATGTGAGCTCTAGAAGATGCTCACTCCACTTGTTGGCACCAATATCCCAGAGGTTCATACCGCAGACATCAGATATATCCAACGGAGCAACCGCACCAATGAGGAGTGACGCTAAGAAGGACGAGACAAGGGAGATTCGTGCGGTCTTGGCATACATGTCCGGCAGCACCCTTCGCAGTCGCATTATCTGCGGACCTGTGAATCTCTGGACTGAGTTAGCTTCCGACCGTGTCTGTTATGTATTCGAGGGGCTTTTACGTGATGCGCCGCGCTGCCTGTAACCTCTGCCAGACGATCCGCAGTCTCGAGGCTTGCGTCGAACTTGTCGCATTCCGCCTGGGTGCTGTGATCTTGCCAATTGGGCGCATACGGATGTGAGAGGGCGGCCGTCAACTGCTCAACTAGGGGCTTTGTCGGCTCCAGCCCAGCCAACAGCTTCTCTGCCTCGCTACTCCAGTATACGCTTCCATGCTGCTGGCAAGCTCCGCTGATGCCCTTGATCCTCTCGACAGGGACTTTCTTGTCCGTCAACCTCTTGAGCACTAGGTCGAGAGCCTCAAGCCACATTGCCACGGGGGCAAAGACCGAACCTTCGTCATCATTCTGTAGGACACCCTTATTAATCTTGTATTTGCTGGCAAAGTCGGCGTCGAAGTCGACTTTAGCTTCTCCCACAACGTGGAGATCTGATTGAATCACAATGGCTGCAAGGTGTTAGTCGAAGTGCCGCCATCTTGCGGTGTTCACTGTGAGGTGAGAGCACGAGCCTTTTAGTTGCTGGGTTGAGAGGTCAAACCCAAGATACAACGGGCCGCTCATCTTGGGTAAGCTCTTTAAAGGGTGAAAAGATGCTGATTTGGGTTAATAATTGAGAAAAGGATTAAAATTTGGGATAAGAGTGTAGCCAGATTTCTGAAGAGAGGTATGATGTAAAGCAGTGAAAGAAGAGCTCGCTCGACAGGACCTGCGTGGGCCAACGTGGGGTCCTAGCTAACATATGTGATCTCATTGTGAAAGGGTTTTGGCGGGGCACGACGGCACGCCTTCTGAGAGCCTCGTGCTGGCCGATTTTAGCCTAATGTCAGACAGCACTCACGTCCAATGCCGGCGTCGGATCTAGACTCGCAGGGATTAGCGCTCCAATCAAACCGGAGACGTACCTGGGCGTTGGGCAATGCTGGCTAAAGCTACTATGATTCCTTTCCGTGATACTTAAAAAGTCTCCCCGTCAGGTGGATTAACTGTCAGGCGCTGTTTGCGCTGGATCGACTGATTCACTGAGACAAGCGCATAGATACAGACTCTAGATGATTCGTATTGATTCGCGTTGTGTATGTCTTATCCCTCCCTGGGGGCTAGAATATATTTCCAAAATCTCCCTAACGCCATCCCAATGCTAAGGCTGTACTTGCACATATACATACAAAGTCCAGTGGCTTTTCTAACAACAGTGGCTCGACCAGCCGTAGAATAGGGGCCGAGTGGACAGAGTATTCTCTCAATGATGCTTATGGTGATGATGGCCATTGCCATTACTAGTGCCATTGCCGTTCTCATGAGTGTGGTTGTGCTCGTCTTCCTCGGGTTCCGGACTCGACCGTGGACTGACACTCCCCGGGATAAACTCGTCGAACTTGGGCAGCTCCGTAGTCTCCTTCGGCGTAAAGCGGGCACGCACTCGCCGCACACCCCGTACCTTGGAACCGACCCGTGTGCGGACCGCGTTCTCGACCTCTCGAACGTCCTCCACCGTCCAGGTGCCGGGCACGGCCAATTCTAGATCAACCAAGTAGTTTTGGCCGGATTTGACTCCGGAAACATCTCTTAATTCAACGTCATGTCCTTCACTGACTTCTACCAGGCTCTTTTGTGCTTGTTTCCGTACCGAACTCTTGACCTCGTCGTCGATGCTGCGATCCGCCAGCTCGTATAGTGCCGACAGAGTGTTTCCGAGCCCTGCACGGATGACCAAGAGCGAGATGAACAGTCCGCCGACGGGGTCAAGCCATGCCGCCTCCTTCAGGAAGTTCGCGCCGAGGATGACAGCCAGTGTCACGATTCCAGTGAGACTATCGACTCGGTGATGTACGGCGTTGGAGGCAAGGACGGAGGATTTACGTTCGCGCGCTACTTTCATGGCTGGGATTGATTGTCAGCCTTGTGTTACGGTGTGATGGGCACATGGGGCTCCAAGATGCTTACTGGCATGATACAGCCATTCTTTCACTACCACAGTGCCAGCAGCTAGCCAAGCAGCGTTGAGACTGGGCGCGACATGGCTGTGGCCGTGACTGTGGCCGTGGCTATGGCCGTGATGGGCCATCTCGGCAGCGGCAGAGGGATCGAGGAAGAGCTGAGCATAGAGCGACTCGCAGCTGCTCAGGCACATGAAGAGACCTCCGCCAAGCAGCATGCCTGAGACGCCCAGAGATCCCAAGCTCTCAATCTTGCCGAATCCGGTCGGGTAGCGGTCGGTAGGTGGTCGCAAGCTCCAGGAAACGGTCGCAAGGGTTAAAACGTCCGAGGCCAGATCGGTCATGCTGTGCCATGCATCCGCGATCATAGCTTGGGAGTTGAACATGTAGCCGCCGATGCCCTTCGCGAAGGCCATGCCCAGGTTGGAGTAGAGGCCAATCCTGGTAATGCGCACGCCGGCATCGTTCTTGTTCTGCGAGGTGAGGTAGACATTGTCGTGATGATGATGATGTGAGTGACCCGCGTGGGAGCGCGTCTGTGTGGTTGTGGTTGTGGTGGTGGCCATGACGCCGGACAGCCAGGACGATCGATGAGGTTGGGTGGAGAGGAAGACGGAGTTTGGGGAGGGTAATGAGCGACGATGGAGAGAACCTCTAGAGACAGACGGGGGACATGAGCAATGAGACCGGGCGGTGGTGGTGAGCACACGACAGCCGCTCGGATGTGGTTGAGGTGTCCTTAAGGGGTTAAATGGAGGATGCTGCTTCCGTAGGCGTAGGGATCTCAGCTGGTACGGCGCAGACGGAACTCGCAGGCACAACGACGAGGGGCCTGGGGGTCGTCTGCAGTATGGGGAAGGCATCAATTGCTGACCAGGGGGGCAGACAGTGCCCGAAACAAAGGACAGGACTTTATACTCTAGTATAACAAGGTAAAGATAGCAGGTAGTAGCAGTGGTACCGGTAGTGTAGTGGCAGTAGACCTGACAGACAGTGACAGACACGCGCGGCTGAAACAAAGCCAACCATCAGGGTTCGTTCGCCAGGTTTGGGGTGCCGGGGCGCAAAGTGATAAGCATGGCCAGGTACAAAACATCACCAAGCAAGCTTTGGGAGACGTCAGGAAAGGCTCGGCGGCATAGTCTCAAAAAACAATCGCCCTAGACGCGACTCGGTGGACACTTCGGAAGAAAAGGACATGTTCTCGGAGCTCCACACATCCACAGCGACGACGCAATTCCCGCCCGAAAAACGCTTCCAATTGCAGGGGAACCCACCGTCGCTGGGCTCGCGGGGACTATAGCCAAGGACTAAAGACTAATGTTAAGGCAGAGTTGCCCAGGGCTGTTACGACGCCTCGAAACGCCCGCTCAGGGGACGTACTGCATAGTATGCGCGCGCGGGCACAAGAGAGGCTTTGCTCCAGTAGTCTTTAGTGCATTACCAAAGCAAGCACTATGCAGGTAGTGGGGCCGGCGGCAAGCCTACTACGCAGTAGACTAGAATGCGTGGCCTCCTCCCACCTACCGAGTCAACCCAGTCACTCATGACGATGATACCTACAGCAGTACCACAGTAAGGCGCAGCCGCCCTTGACAATCTGCACAGTGTGTGTTTTATATGAGGATCTTCGATATCACAGTACCTTTTTGTCAAGTCTCTTTCCCATACATGCGTACGTGGATGCTTACGTACGTTATATAAAACCCCCTGGGACCAGAAGCATCAATGAGAAAACCTTTGATGCGCATACCTTACACAGAGGTCTTCTCTGCACCAACCGTTATACCGGCCAGTGCAAAGACCCTGCCCGGTGCTATAGCCGCCTTACAAGACTTCTTCACGTCACCACCTCCAAGGGGTCTGCCGGCCTCGACTGTGGTTTTGTCCGGGGCTGGCCTTTCTGTAGCGAGCGGACTGGCCGACTATCGTGGCGACAAGGGCACATATCGTGTGAACAAGACATACCGCCCCATATATTACCATGAGTTTCTTCAGAACCATGAAGCAAGGAAACGCTACTGGGCCAGGAGTTTTCTTGGATGGACGACTCTGGAGAAGGCAAAGCCCAATGCTGGGCATTATGCCGTGAGGGACCTTGGGCGACTTGGATTGGTCAGAAGCGTCATCACTCAAAATGTGGACTCATTTCACCCCAGAGCACACCCAAGCATACCGACATTAGAGCTTCATGGCTATCTGAGATCTCTAGTCTGTACATCATGTCAGAACGAGTACCCTCGAGACGCTTTTCAGGCCGAGTTGGCGCGTCTCAACCCAGCTTGGGCAGTCTTTCTCGCCGAAGTCCTAGCTTCTGGTGCCTTGGACACCGAGAATCCAGATGAACGAAGGGCCAAGGGCATTCGCACGAACCCCGATGGAGACGTTGATCTTCCTGATGCGCCTTACACAACATTCCGTTATCCTGCCTGTCCAAAGTGTCTGGCCAGTCCGCCAGCAGAGGCCGATGGCTCTCGCGGGAAAGTCGAAGTGGACCATGAAGGCGCCTGGCAGCCGAGCAGTACGGGTGGCATATTGAAACCCGCTGTAATCATGTTTGGAGAGAGCATCCCGAGCAGGGTCAAGATAGCTGCGGAGGAAGCTATCGACCACGCCGGAAAATTTCTAGTGTTGGCCACATCTCTAGCCACATACTCTGCCTGGAGACTTGCCAAACGGGCACAGGATCGAGGTATGCCCATAGCCATCATCAACATGGGTGGGGTGAGGGGAGAGGAAGCCTTCTTTGGTGATATAGACCCTCATCAAGGGGCAGCGCAGCGGGTCAGGATAGACATGTCTACGCAGGAAGTGCTACCGGCACTTGTAGAGGTCCTGCGCAAGTCACCTGCTATTGGAAGCTCCGCCGATGCTTACTCGGCTCGGCTCGAGAACAGTAATACTGCGGCATTCAAGGATATGTTGTCGTAGGCATAGCCTCTGTAAAGCGTACACATGTGCCATAAATATTAAGTTTTTAGAAAAAGCTTGCTGTGCCAGAACGGCTTTTCGTGGGCGCTTGTGCAGGTTCGTTTTCCTGGACCGTTGTGAACTTCTTGATCGACGGAGGATCCGATGGTTTTGTCTTTTCTTGCTTCTTTTGGTTCCTCGTAATGTCGTCTCTTTCAATTTCCTTCAGCACTGCTTCCCAATCGGCCTCCTTCTCTGGGTCTCCCGTTCCCAATGCTTTCTCCACGTCAAAGTTCTCGCCTCTTTGCAGCTTCTCGACCACCTCTTTGAGGAGACCGATCCTCACATCCGATTGCCTCACGAAGGCTGCGAAATTCTTTCTCAGTGAGATCATTTGGATCGACATAGATCCAATGAGGAGGAAGATTATAATGAAGAACGTCGCAGGATTCCAGTCTTTCGACTTTACTCTTTTAGGCGCATTTGGGTCGGCCAGAGCGCCTCGACGCAGGGGTTTCGGAATCAGAGACTTCCAAAACGACGTGTCGGCAACAGTCAGTGGTGAGTCGTAGAGGCGTGCGCTGGAGTGTAGAGTTCTGGCCGGAGATCGTGTGAGGCTCGAGCGAACAGCGCTAGGTATGGCAGCTGCCCTTCGTAGAGCTATACGTGCCATGGTAGAAGCTACGCTGGAGTCTAATTAGGATCAATAGAGACAATTGCGAAAGTTTGAGACACTGAAGATTGGTGATGTCGAAAAGGTACAGTGGATGGACAGCCGAAAAAAGTGTCTCCACACTGAGAGGTCGTGCCGGCAGACAAGGATTAGACGCTGTTGCTGTGCCAACATCTAGGCGGGATCTGCCTCCACCGGCGCTTGTGTACCGACCCGGGATTTTGCATCATTGCCTGTAAGCGTCGGCAAGCCCTGAGCCTCATGAGAGCATCATTCGACAACTACCTGCAATTTTTGTCATTGGCGTTTTCCTTTAGAATATTCTTGATTTTTGTTCATGGCATGACTAGGAATCAACCATATAGAATCTCCTAATGGCTTCTCTACAATCACAGGCCGATGCTGTCAAAAGCGCGGTAACCTCAATAACAACATGCTCACCGACGACTACTGTCCTGCTCAAGGACTTGCTATTAGCTAAAGATGCTGAAAACACTACAGAGACGCGAAATGCTGACTGTCGAACTGCGAAAACCCCACGAGCTACGAAAGCGAGGCCAGTATCGAAAACGACGAAGGCAGGCGCAAGCAAAGATGGAAAGGATGAGCTATCAGCAAAGGAGAAGGCAATTTTAGCAACACATGTTATCAACGTGGCTCTAAAATCTCTGGGAGAAGCATCGAAGTCACCGCAACCAACGCCAGCCAGAAAACAGCCAGCTGTGGGGGAGCTTGCAAAGACAGCATCTAGAAACGCGTTGAGGCGGTCAAGTTCGTCACCTACAACGCCATTGCACCCCCGGTCGCTCAATCGAACGTCTACATCTCCAGCGGCTACAATGAAGCAAAATCGGTCTCCGACTTCGATCTCCAGCTTGAGTGGCTGTCTATCAACCGTAGAATGCGCTCGAATTGCATTCTTGACTCTAAGGACTCTTCAGAATTCGTCAAAAATCACACTTCCGGAATTTCAGATGGAGTCTGGATTATCTTCATTTGCCGGAAGACTTATTGGGTTGGGGCTGTTTGAACAGGCTTTGAAGGAACTGAGGATATTGAAGAGAAGGCTAGAAGGCACTTCCGGTCCCGAAGTAAAGAAAACAGCCAAACCAGCTACCGTTGAGAGAAATACACTCTCCCAGTCTGTTGCCGATCTGCTAGACTTCCCGGAGACAGAGTATTCGGGCCAAGCACTTAACCTCATCATCACCACACAACTCCAGGTTCTTCGAATTTTGGCGAAACTGAAACGGCCATCAGCAATCGAAGCAGCAATATCATTTCTGCGAGAGAATCGCAAATCGTCGCCTGTCAACTTGATTCTCTCCTCCGCCAGGGCGAGCACTGCCGAAAGAGCAAAGGCTGCACGGCATTTGGAGACTCTCTCACAGCTTCTCCTATCTCTTACACCCAGTGTTGCAAATTCGGATGATGCAACAGCAGTTGAACCAAGGCTCAGCATTTCACCAACGAGTGCCCTCGAACTCCAAATGCTGGGCCTTCAGTCAAGGCTGCATTGGTGGAAGTTGGCGGACCACAAAGGTGATGCCGACAAAGACATCCTCTCGCCCATGTCTCGCTGTTTGACAGCATATATCAGGAGGAGCCGATCCCCAGGTTCTACGAATTACGAGCTTTGTCAGGATTCCTTCAAGAAAATCTTCTCTGAAGTCGAAGCTCAGGGCTTTAAGCATACTTCTTCGCTGAAAGCTCCATTAGCGCTCATCTATCAGGCATTTACAACGATGTCTAAGGAGTCAGGGAAAGTTTCTCAGGCTGTAGCTTGGGCGGAGAAGCTGAGGCTCCTAGTGGATTCTGGGGGAGATACTCCAGCCAAGTGCTGTGCTATTTCAGCACAGCTACTTGCACTACATTTAAAGGAACCCTGGAGACATTTAGAAAACGAGTCTCTGCTCAAAGAAGTCATCGATGGGTCTCAAGGGCCACTGAAGGGCGACAGCAGCGAGCTCGAGGAGCTTCTCACAAACCTCACGATGGTTCGAAGAGCTGCGTTGAATCTCTTGCTTGGGCAAGTAGCAGATCATGACAAGAAAAAGTTTCAGCCAACCGACAGTACAAAGGAGCTCCTGGAATCATTCATTCTGCAGCTGCCAAGATTTTGTCTTAGATGGCTCGGGAAACCTCCTGCAGTAAAGGGCAACACGAAGGATTTTCTACGCTTTGAGCAGCGACGACAGTTTCTTCTGAAGTCGTTGTACCCGACAATGGACTCAGCGATGATACTACTGAAAAATCACATCGACGAAAAGGCAATGACCTGGGACCAGTTAGACTCGATCCTCCATGACTGCATTGCTCTCTTGGAACACATTGGCGATAATGCAACAAATGGCTCCTCAGGCGCCTGTTATATAAAAATATCCCATCTCTACTACATGCAACACAAAGCTCTTCACCAAGGCTCAGATACAGAAGAGAAGGACATCGGGACCGCATTCAAGGCCCTACGGCGTTCCATAGACTGCATCAAATACCGACCTAGCAAAGAACAAGAGAAGGCACAGCTCAGCTTCAAGCTTGAACGAATGGTCGAACTTAGCAAGGCCCTTGGAAGGATCGAAGAAGCACTCGGGGCGCTTCAATGTATCCGGACTTGTCTCTTGGATGATGGTGTATTGGCAACGATTGCAAAAGCTTGCCAAAGTCAGCCGCCTGCCATCGCATGGACTGGTAATAATAAAGCAGAGAGCTTGTCTCGGACGATATGCTCCATATCCAAGATGGAGACGGTTTGGATTGACTGGACAGTTCATCTCGACGAAGCGGAGAGGCTTGCAGCTCTTGAACATCGCTTGCAATTCATTCTCCTCGGAAACAGAAAGAAGCAATCCGAGACGCGCCTGTCGGACCCTTGTGTTAGCACTCTTCTCGATTTGTACTCTCAAGCACGGTTCCCCGTAAGGAGGCTCAGGGTCTTGATACGGCTGCTTGTCGCTAATATTGGTGATACGTCTGAATTCGATGAGATTAAAGCGATGGTGGACGAGCTGGCAAATATCTCGGAGAGCGCAGCTTTAGGAGAGGACGCTTTGCTTGGAATCTCCCTACAACATCTGCAAGCCATGCGCCTATCGACCGGGCAGCTTACCTCACTGAACCCAGACTTTGATCCCATCCGGCAGGCACTCTCCATATGGCGCTCTCTTCTCTCGGACTGCAAGACGAAAGACAATCTTCTCCATCGCATCGATGATGTTGCCGCCCTTCTAGAGCATCTTCGATCGATAGCTGACTGCTTGCGACTGGCAGGTCGTGATGATATGCTGATAATTGCTCTGCAGTTGATAGCAGATCTCAGTAAGATGTCGTCAGATGCGGACTTGGAAGCTACATTGAAAGACCAAACAACGCTTGCGTTACAACTTGTCGATCACGGCCATTCGAATCGTGCCGCCGAAATCTTTGAAGAGCTCCAACAGGGGCGTCAAGAGGGACAAATATCCTCGCCAGAAATACTAATAGAGTGTCACTTATCTTACTCAGAGTATTTCCTCACAGTTGGGCAGCTGGAAAAGGCAGAGGAGTACCTCTCACTCGCACAAGAAGCGTCGGCGATAGAGAATAGTGGCTTTCAGAGAAGTCAAAGAAAGAACAATGTTGCAAATGCATCAGTCTTGTACTCATTCCTTGCTATGGGTCGTGGAGACGCCCATCGAGCTCTAGCTTATGCAAGAAATGGTGTTCGTTCGTTGTTTCAAGACTGGACGCGGCTTGAGCAGCAATCTGCGTCAAAGGAACTTGGTCATTCTGTCAGCTCAACAGAAAAGGATGAGACTCAAGAAGACACAAGTTTGGCAATGTCGACATGCAAACTCCAAGACACCGTTGTCAAAGGGGCACCTGGCCCTGAATTCTGGCGGCTTGCGAAACCTCTCCTTAGAAGTCTTCTAAGCTTATCGACTACATATGCGCATTTGGGCATGCACCAAGAGACGATGTATTACGCAGATCAAGCGCGGAAGATTGCAGAGACGTTGCATTCATCTGCCTATCTAGCTCATTGCGAATCTTGGATTGCCTTGGTCTCAGCACGAGCAGGAAAGGCTGCAGAGTCCCTTGAAATGGCAGCAGCAGCTCAGGCTCGGCTTCCAACAAATCAAAGCTCTCGCCAGTTAATCGAGTTGGTTTGCCGTTTGAGTAATACCTATCGCGAGCTTAGGGAGTCCGCCCTAGAATCACAAATGATTGCGAAAGCGGATTCGATGTTGGAGCATTTGCGAAGCAAAGGCTCTGGAGTCACTGCAAACACAGATATATTCAATATCGAATCTAAAATGAGGTACCTCACCATCAGTGAGAAACCAGTCAAGGCTGCCAGAAAAACGAAGGCAACGACGACTCGCAGTGCGCCGAAGAAAGCCACAACAGCCAAGTCAAAGGCCCCATCCCCTACTGCTATCCCCCTTAGTGGTGAGGTATCAATGCCCGAAGAAACGGCAGCTATCCTGCTACAAAAGGGAGCTTCGATGATCGTCAAGAAGGACTGGTCAAGCGCCATGGTACTTCTACAAGAGTCATGCTCCCTGTACAAGAACATGCCGCAGTCATCCGTTGGGCTGGTAGCTATGGCTCAATCATTACTTGGCCAAGGTCTCGATCAAATGGCAAAAGACTCCGTTTTCTCCGTAGTGCAAGACTCGACGTTGTCATTCCCATCAATCTGCAATGGTACAAACTTCGATAAAGCGGTGGATCGGCCGCTGCTAGCAAAAGCGTCACCTCCGAGGAAAGGACGCGCTACCACGACCAGCCGAGAGCGTAATACTTCAAAGGGGCGCAACAATGAATACCTTGAGAATCTTGGACGGGCTCGAGACCTCTTGTTAGAAGCCCATTCCATCGCTTCTGTGACAGGGGATGGAAGGCTGGTGCATCAAATATTGGGAATGATGCAGACCGTGGTCCTCCTATTGTCTGCCGCGTCATCAGCAAGCAACTGTGTCTTGGGCCATCCAGGATATGCTACGTACTCGGTGGAAATGGCTCGTAATCTGACATGGCGGAGAGAGAAGAAAGCACTTCTCCTTGAAAAGGATGTGCCAAAGTCAGGTGGATTAGACTGGCCAGAGCAGGTCAAGTCACCCGACTCGAGACGAACCAGTTTTGGCCTCTCGTTAGATATCAACAGACTACAGAAAGACTACATCGACATCATTCCGCCAAAATGGAGTGCGATATCGATCTCACTCAGCGAGAACAAGCACGATCTATGCATCACAAAGATGCAAGCCGATCAAAGTCCTTTCATTATCAGGCTTCCTCTAGAGCGCGCAAACTCCCGTGATGCCGATAATGAGATCTTCAACTTCCAGCAAGGTCGGACTGAAATACTCGAGGTCATCCGCCTCGCCAATGAAACCTGTCATGACGCGCGAGACTTGTCAATAAAGGGTGCAAAGTCTGCCTGGTGGGCAGATAGAGCAGCTTTGGATGACCGAATGAAAGATCTGCTGGAGAACATTGAGAATATTTGGCTTGGCGGTTTCAAGGGCATCTTCTCACAACACCAGCGACGCTCTGCCTTACTAGCAAGATTCCAAAAGAGCTTTCAGAACGTGCTAGACAAGCACCTACCTTCTCGACGACAAGTTCGAGGTAAAAGGGGTAAATCGGTAGCTCCGAAAGTCACACTGGACCCAAGAATCCTCGAATTGTTCATCGGGTTAGGCGATGCAACCGACCCGGAGTGCGACTTTGATGACGCGTTAAACGATCTGCTGTACTTCGTTGTCGACATCCTGCAGTTTCACGGGGAGCGAAATGCTTATGACGAAATCGACTTCGACTCCATGGTCGTCGAGACTTTCGACGCTTTGCATTCCTATCACTCAGCCGTCAAGAGCGAGCCAGAGATGGAACAAGGAGCCCATACGATTCTCATCCTAGACAAAGCACTCCATGTATTCCCGTGGGAGTCGCTGCCATGTATGCAAGGCCAAGCAGTGTCACGCGTACCCTCGCTTGCATGCCTCCGTAGGTTGATTCTCGAGCAACGATCCACAACAGAAGACCTTGATGCCGGTGCTGAGTCGGCCAAGCCGAGCGGCCACAAGGTCTCTGTCAAGTCAGGCAGCTACATCCTGAACCCGGGAGCTGACCTCAAAACGACACAAGCGACGTTCGAGAAGCCACTGTTGTCTCTCGGCTCCTCCTGGAAACGAATCGTGTCAAACAAGCCCACAGAAGCAGAGTTCGAGACTGCACTCACAGACTCGGATGTCCTACTGTACTTTGGCCACGGCAGCGGCGCACAGTACATCAGGGGCCGCGCAATCCGCAAGATGGAAAAGTGCCGCGCGACCGTCCTGCTCATGGGTTGCAGCTCGGCGAGACTGGCCGACGTAGGCGACTTCGAGTGCCACGGCCCCGTGTGGAACTACATGCTGGCCGGGTGCCCAGCCGTCGTGGGCACGCTGTGGGACGTCACTGACAGGGACATCGATCGCTTCGCCGGGCGGGTGTTTGAGGAGTGGGGTCTGCTGAAGAAGGGCACCTTCGCCGACATGGACAAGGGCAAGGACAAGAGCAAGTGGAAGAGCAGGGCTGCCGATGCCGACGGCGCTATGCACGCTAAGCGGAAGAGAGCCGCGACGCCCGACGGGCCTGATGCTGAGGATGGCAGGGCGTCTCTGGTTGAGGCGGTAGCCAGGGCGAGAGATGCATGTCGGTTTAGGTACTTGACCGCCGCGGCGGTCTGTGTTTACGGCATTCCGGTCTATGTGGACAAATGATGGGCTGCATGGAGCGAGTTGTCACCTTCATGGGTACTGGTCATACAGAATGTCGTTATGGAAAGGAGTTTGGAAAGCGGGCGCCTACTAGATACCGTCTCACGACGAAGCTTTTACTAGACTGGTGTTTGCATACCCATTGTATTTAATATCATAATGTGTATCGGCCTTCTGATCTTAGGAAGGTCAAGTACTGAGACGTCTTTGACCAACGTGCATACGAATCTCAAGCATCCAGCACAACGTTCACATCTCCTGCGTCACCGTAGCATGCTCCCTCTGCGTTTTCCTCGTTATGCTAACCGAGTCTGAGGGCCTCGTCGATCACGGCGGCTCCTTTCCGGTGTCGGACAGGCGGTTGGTGGCAGCTCTCACGGAGTAATGCACCGTGCCCTCGCAGTCGCTCGTCACCACGGGCCAAGCGGGCGGTGCTCAGGGGTACAAATTTTCGCCAGTGAGTGGCTGGGGATATTCCATTGAGAGGATACTCTGGTAGAACTATACATCGCTGTTATGGTCTGATGGGTGAGCGATGCCAGCACCTCAGCGCAATTCGAAAAGTCAACATGAAGTAGAAGTTTCGTCGTAGGAGAAGAACACCTGACAAGGATCCCCAACTTCGGGGGTCCTCCCACAGTATCATCAACACACACATAAGATTAGAGCGGGCAAACACAGCGCGAGGTCAGAGTACAGGTCGAGCAAGCATCGATGGTCACCTCTATCTGCCTCCCTCGACTAGCACGACGGGGCGGTCTTCTTCTTGCTTTGACCAAATTCGTTCTGACAAGGCGCGGGCAACAGTGATCGCGCCCGCCTAGGATCGGACATTCACAGCTGATGCAAGTGACAGGGCTGTAAGGGTCAAGTCGTAATCAAACGCATCGACCCACAAGGCAAAGCATCCAGGTTGAAGATCCACCTTGATGAGCCTTGTTCACCGGTGGCAGGCTAGGCGCGCCTCCTTTCAAGGTCCCGGGCATGCCTCTTTGAAGTGAAGCTTGCGAGAGCGCTCCGTGAAGATAATACGAGTAGCGTTGGATCCTGTGGCTACCTTGTAATGTTGGGTCCATTGAGGGCTCGCCTGCACCCGAGCGCCAATGGCCCGGGGGACCTTGCCGGGATGAAGAGTATGACAGGGGTAGCCATACTGTAGTTTCTGAGCTCATTTGAGAATGGCAAGACTTATTGGCCCTGTGTGAAGCAGCAGCAGAGAAACGAGAGGGCCAAAGCAGTCGCGCTACGATAACACAAACAAAAATTGCGACTTTTTGTTGTTATAGTGCATATATCTTAAGGCAGTCGTGAACATCTTGAGGCGGCCTCCTGTTGACGAATCTGGGGTCTTCCGACTCCCGCATATTGGACTATCTCCGACCTAGCTTTACACCATGTAAATCGCCGAAACGGCCGCCACGAGGCTGATGGCTTGATTGCAAGGAGATTAGGGATCTTATCCGGATGGGGTATCGTATTGAGTGAATCTCTGTTTTCGTTTGAAGCGGTCTGCCACTCCGACTTTCGATGCGGATGCCACCCGTAATACCCTATTCGCTACCAAATTTGCGCCGTAGAGATGTCCCGACAAAGAAACTTGACAGCTCATGAGGTTGCGGGGGTGAGCAGGCTTTCAGGTCACTCGTCACACGCGTATTCTCCATTAAGGAACACCGCAGCAATTCGGAAACTATTTCGTCTTCTATGCGTCTTTCTAGACAGTAGCCGTTAATTTAGCCCCAGGTTTTGCCAGATGAGTTAGATAGGCGACCCATCCCGCTGTGTGGTCGGGTTTGACTTTGATTCCCTGCAGAGCATATCCTATCGTCCTAGGAAATTCCGCATCGCAACGGGTGCCGCTGTCTATCTGCTTGGCTTCAGCGGGCCGAGTCGACGGGCAGAGGCAAGGAGGATATGGGGCTGTTACAACCGGCTCGGTTGATTCCTTGCTGTGCAACCGCGATGTAGTGGCTTGCATTTTGAGGGAATGGCCATGAGTGGACGTGCATATGTAAGTGAGTATGGTGTGTGTGGGCTCCATCCATCTCGGTTTGGGTCGGGTGCTGTAAATTGTAGACGCGAGAGCCATATCTTATGCTGTGATACAGAGACCCTTCATGGACACCTCATCCAGCGTGCAAGGGCCCTCGATGTCGGCGTGTCACTGCTTGACTAGGACGATGCAAGATGCGGTGTGACAAGTAAAAGAAGTATACAAATCATTAACACATAAATAAATGGAAGTATCCAGTGCCATGCTTGTTGTTTGGACTTTGCTGTTTGGCATAACCTAAACAGGAAACGACAGTCTTGAGAAGAGCAACCAGGGCAAGGAAACCATAAACCCATGCACTCAAGTGGGGCGGGAAAGCCGTTGAGGAATGAATTAAGGTGGGAAGGTCACCTAGGGTGCTTCCGTTCTGAAGGAGAATTTCCATTGGTCAGACTGAGAATCAGGCAAGGGCCGTGTTGAAGCAGTCTCTGGGGGACACTTGTTCCTGGTTCGCTTGAACAAGACTGGATGCATGATCACAGATAGACAAGTGACAAGGGACCAGGGGACCAGGGGACGGGCGGAACGGCGAGTCGAGATTTGCAGAAAACCTCCGATACACACGGAGTGAATGTTTGATGAACTCATCAGCATGTAACCCTTGGACCTGTCAAATTGTGGCAGGTAATCCTCGCCCAAACCAGCACGCGTAGTCGATGGTGCTAGCACCTACATATTTCTTGTATAGTGTTTGGGCTGGCCTTCAGAAAGATGCAGAGAACCCGGATCGCCTGGACGCGCGAATGGAACGGGACATTTTCATTTGGAGGAAGCCAAAGAAGGGGATCCCTTGGTGCGGAACGCCATCTTTCCAAGGTACCCATGCCCTGCAACGAGAGAAAAACGGCCGAGATTGCGTATTGTTGGTGGAGACGAAGGTAATCATTCATTGACGAAACCTGGGTGTCGACCAGCAATTGGCCAGCTGTCTTGTCAGGAGAGGAGATGAAGTGCCCGTTGAGACTGGTGTTTCCGAAATTTCCAGAGTGCATTCACTCAGTTTCTTTGTGCTCTTGTTGCATGGCTTAGACGGAGTTGACTCTGGCCTGGATATGCGTCTCACGAGCTGACGATGCACGTGGCTCATCGACCGTGGCTTCGCTGAGAACGCGTGTAGAAGCTTACCTCATCGTCTTGACCGAGGCATGGATAATGCCGTGTCCATTGACCGTTGAGGCGTGACTGGTTCATTATGCTCATGCACCCCTGCATGTGCCTTCTTAACAAATGTTTCTATATGTAGAACCGAAGGGGCCTTGCGGGGGCGGAACGCAGGCTGGAGAATGAAGTCGTCTATCGCAGACCGGAAAGAGGACATGCCTATTTGGCGGCCTTACTGGGGACAGTTAGGTGACCTGTTTGAGAGTATCTCAGGCTGGGCAGGTTGCGGCGGCTGGAGAGTCGCCCATTGCACTACGGCGGTACCTGGTGTGCGTTACTTTACTGGAAAAGGGCATGCGTACCCTGGATATGATCCCAGTCTTGTTTGAGCGCTCGGCCGTCATGGTTGCGAGATTGATCTGCTGGAGACCATCGTTAGAGCAGAAATAGCGCTGTAGGTGCCGAGGAGTGGAGCCCGAACTGGGGAGCGGGTCGAGTAGGAAAAGCCCCGAACGGGTGAAGTGAAGAACTGGAAATGGGTAGGTCAGTAAACTATGAGAGTGGTATTGACCATGGGGAGTCATTGCACGAGTGCTGCAGTGCGCTACACCTCCATTCATTCGTACAGTAGAGTGCATGTAGGAGCAACACTCTGTGAGATCGACACCGCCGGTGGTGAGTGGTGAGCAGTGAGCAGTGCTATATTGATATGGGACTTCCGGACCTCAGATTTGTGCTCCGCGCCAGTGATAACGGACAAGACCATTCCAGCTCTTTAGCCGACATGAAGAGCCCAGTGGTTGTAGTACGTGAACATGAGCGTCTTTGCGTGTTTCTGTATGTGCAAGGAGGAGGCGACGACAGAGACCTGTCAAAATACCCTTGGAGATGCAATGCTCAGCAACTTACAAGCCAAGCAATGGATCTCAATCTGATTAGACAGGCCTCCAATAGCTTGCTTCTGGGAAGAGGGTTCTCCACCAGTGTAGTGTAGCTGCAATAGAGGACGAGCAAGGAAAGTGGGAGGAGAGCCGGGGGTTGTGACGATCATCGTTTTGTTGTCTCTGGATCTGCGACCTACTCCGCCCTGGAGGCGCCCGAAGTTACCTCACTAAGCCTACCTAGCTACTGAGTCTAGAGTCTACTGTACCTTCCCTCTCCACTGCTCGAGGCGTGACTTCCCATTGTGCCATGCAGGACAGCACTGAATCTCTCTACCTGACTTTGCCAGGTACCTAGCCTAGCAGGCGCAGGTCAGGTAGATTAGGTATGATGAGGAGGGGCAGAGGAAGGCGCATTCGAGGTGGACTTGCTTGGCCCTATCGTGTGACTTCCGTTGGCGACATCGACCTTGGTCTAGTCTATGCTGGGACGGGCACAGCTGCCCAGATCCAGGCAAGCGTGGAGGGCTTGAAATGTGGAGAGAATGATCATGAAAGCCGCCTCGGTGCTGGCTGTGTTGTGTCGTGTTAGTAGTGGCGGCTGCATTATTCAAAGCTGTCGTCATGAGGTGCATGGGATGTGGAAGGAACCGAAGACGAGACTCGCAGCGCGCGCTATCACCCTACCTTACTTCCACGATCGCACTTGCTGAATAGGTACAGAATAGAGAGTCTGTACCTTCCCAAGGTACCTAGGTAGGCTCTTCTCATGAGATCTACCCGGATACCCTTGACCATAGATGCAGCCTCTATTATCAGACTGATAGGAAGACAGACAACACTGACGTCGCTGACATGTACGAACAGACAACCTGGCAGGCGACGGGATGCAAGGAGGTCGACGGCTGCGGCTTTCTGAAGCCTTGGAGCCGACGCAAACAACCTCGACGACATCTCGTCTAGCTTCGAACCCGGGATCGTCCATTGCGTGGTATGGCACCCACACCCACACGTTCATTCAGACATCTTCGTCCACACCTCACTTTACATCGCCCACCTGCCTAGCCCGTAGGCGCCTGTCACGATGCTTCCGACCCGTCCGGGCTCTGTCTGTTGTTTGCCTGTGCTACCTACAGGAGGCTGTGGAGGTTGATATCACTCGGGTCGATCATGTTGCAGGCCTAATGGCCCATCGGGATGTTCTGCTGTGAACCCGTTCCTCGCTTCGGTCATCCATCTTTGGGACGCAAGGCCGGGGTCCAGCACAGAACTACGCGCATTCAGAAGCGAGGTCTCGAGTCTCAGTCGCTCTTCATGAGCCTCTTCCCTATCTATCTTCGACAATGACTATGGACATGTAGATGTCGAGATTCCCGCACCCTTGCACAGCTCCAGCCGAACCTATCGGTATCTAAAGTTTTGTCATCCATTTTGTCATCGCTGGTACAATAGCCGTTAGTCCCCAGGGCTACTCTCAGCAGCCGCCAGAGGTGACAGCAGTACGCAGAGGATCCTGGTTGAAATGTACCTATATCATCGGTCCATTCTCGGAATTGCCCATCTTCTGAATGGATGCAGGCAACCCTGGACATTGTTCTACTGTACATGCGCACGACGCTATCTCTACAGTAGTGCCAATGCCCACTACAACGAATGAATCCCCAGCGTTCTGACAGGGCCCCAGCCATCCATTACAATCTCCACCACGGTCTTCCAGGCCCTCTTCCCTCCACCCGCGTCGTGTCGAGGTGATTAGGCTCACCACCGGACCCTCCCCCGGGCTTCTCGCCAAGCCAGTGCTGCCCTTTGGCCCCTTCAGAGCATCTTGTTTGTGGTCGAAGAGCTGCATCAATCATGGACGCACGAAGAAGTCACCCGCATGCCTCAACCCACATGGCTGCATGCAGCAGATGTGCCTCACTGTACTCTGTATCAACATGCTCTTGCTTGCTGAGGCGACGGACAGCACGCGTCCCCCTTGAGCGGGGAGCTGACTTGCTTGAACGGCCATCTGAGTCCACTGCAAATACCAAGATAATACTCATGTCCCTGTGGATCGCAAGATAAATCAATCTAGGTCACTACTCGCTCTCGGAGGAGCAGGCTTACATGATTGCCTTACCTTACCACTTACTGACCTTGGCCCTGCTGGCTGGCCATGCCATGCTGACCTTACTTTGCCTATTAACTGCCAAGGCTCTCTACACTGTGAACACCCACCTTCCATGCCTCCCCAATTCGAATGACGGACTTCATCCACCACCACTTCTCTATTTCGACCTTGTCTTTCTCCTCCATATGGTCTTTTAAATTGTGTGGCCAACGACTTCGCTTTTCCCCGTGCTCTCCTCCTTCAGTCCGCCCTCTCGTCCTCTTGTTGTCTCCTGCTGCTGCTGCTGAGGCTCGTCGTCACCTTTCACATCTCGCACAACGAGAGTCAGTCTTCTCTCCCAGGAAAAACGCTACCCCGGACTGGTATCACGAGGTACCTCGTCCCGCTGCGGAGCGCTTTAATGTACTGCTACTGCGACACGCCCACTCACGGAAGCTCGTTTCTACCCCACAATTTCTGACCGCCGAAAACGCTTCTTAGGCGGGCTTGTGAAAGGACCACCATCAGAAGCGCATGCATTACAGAAGGTCTGGTCTACCTTAGACTTAGACCAGGACTGGCACCCCTGCCCCAGTGCTTCTGGGATTCCCAGTCCCCCGCCCTCCACCCCCGTCGAGCTCGCCTTCCATAAGCCTGCAGTCCTAGTTTTAACTACAAGAGACGACTAGGGAGCCAGTTTGATCCAAATTCTCTCACTCACTCGTCGATACACCTCGCCGTTTCTTCCCTTCGCGACGCAGACCCGGCACGGCGCAGGCGAGTCAGTCCTTTCCCGGTCGACAACTTCGGAGTACCATGGTCCTGTTGTCCTCGACCATTCTGCCAACGACTGGATCGCAACCAAAGGCGCCCTCAGTGCTGTTGTGGAGCAGATTGGGGGAGAAGCGCATAAGCCTCGGCGCCGTGTGAGCAGTAACCGAAAGCCCAGTCCGCAGCAATCGCCGGATTCATACTGCTTCCTTCGTGTTGCCGGGTCGAATTCTTCGACGTCGATGATTATTTTCTCCTTCTCGGCACACATTTGCATTTCTTTACTCTTCTCATACAGCCATGTCGTCAACTCAGCCCCAAGACGACACAAAGCCTGTCCCCGCATTGGAACTGGACTTCTCACACCCAAATGATGACGCCGAAAGCCAACTTATACAGGCTGATACCACCAACTTACACGCTTTCAGCTTGGAACCTGCCAATGACAGCATCCACGCCGCAACCTCAGCACATAGTCTTATAGACGCCTCGCACTTTGGCGATTTTCATTTTCCCTATCAAGGTCTCGACGAAGACGTCTCCCTGGCTCAGCTAAATGATGACCAAACTGCCGATCTGTTTGCTACATCCCATCGGCCATCAATATCATCGGGGCCCGAGCGCCAAGGATCAGTAGCATCTATTACCGCTCATATTCCCAACTTTGCCGGTGTTGAAGCAGATCCAAGACGCCAGAGTCTTGATGCTATCTCCGATGATGGAAGTCAAGGGAGCAATGCACATGGGCATGGACTGGATGAGCCCTTGTCCGATGAGTTTGGCCTCTCTAGGAACGGTCCCGATGACGGAACAGACCTTGGAGGCAAGATGAAAGAGGACAAGACTGACTCAGTTCCGGCTTGGAGTGAACTGAAGACTAAGGCCGGAAAGGAACGGAAGCGACTGCCGCTGGCTTGCATCGCCTGCAGGAGGAAGAAGATACGTTGTTCAGGAGAGAAGCCCGCATGCAAACACTGTCTACGATCGCGTATACCCTGTGTGTACAAGGTGACAGCTCGCAAAGCGGCCCCGAGGACAGACTACATGGCGATGTTGGACAAGCGTCTAAAGAGGATGGAAGAACGCATTATCAAGATCGTCCCCAAGTCGGAACAAGATGGTGTTGCTTCATCGGTCCCTAGAGCTGTGGTCAAGCCTGCTATACCAGGCACTATCGCGACCGGTAAAGGCAATGGAAAGAAGCGCGGGGCTGACGAAGCCTTTGGGCCGGACTTAGATCATTGGGCCCGGGCTCCGCCCAAGACAAAGCTCGATGGCCCTATTAAACCAGGAACCTTGCTAGCACAAGAGTCTGAAGAGAGCAAATTGCTACAGGAGGGAGTCGAGGCATTGCCGTCCAAGGAGATTCAAGAACACCTGGCTGATGTGTTCTTTGAGAATATTTATGGCCAGGCATATCATATTCTCCATAAACCAAGTTATATGAGGAAACTCAGGTGAGTGTTCCCGAGTTGTCACAACCTTCGACCGATTGCTGATACTGTTCACACAGAGCCGGCACACTGCCGCCTGTCCTTATCCTTTCAGTCTGCGCTATTTCTGCCCGATTTTCTACCCACCCAAGACTCTCAAACAGTTCTATGCCGAACTTCCTGCGAGGCGAGGAGTGGGCAACAGTGGCGCGCGATATTGTCATGAAGAGATACGAGTGGCCCAACATCACAATACTCACCTGTCTCCTGATCCTCGGACTGCATGAGTTTGGCACCTGTCACGGTGGACGAAGTTGGGCATTAGGAGGTCAAGCGATCCGCATGGCTTTTGCGCTACAGCTACATAAGGACCTCGAATACGATCCTCAGAGGTTGACTGGGACAGCACAGCTCAGTTTCATTGATCGAGAGATTCGAAGGAGGACTATGTGGGCCTGTTTTTTGATGGATAGGTTCAACTCTTCCGGAACCGACCGACCGACATTCATCAAGGAGGAAACGATCAAAATTCAGTTACCTATCAAGGAAAAATATTTCCAGCTCGACATGCCAGGCCCCACTGAAGATCTCCATGGCAAAGTGCTACATCCTGTATCAGCAGATGACGGTGAACTTGCCGATGCGAAGAGTAACATGGGCGTCGCTGCTTACATGATCCGGGTGATCGGGTTATGGGGTCGTATCATCAACTATCTAAATCAAGGAGGCAAGGAGCTGGATGAAAACCCAATGTGGAGCCCCGATTCCGAATACACCAAACTCATCAAGCAGACCGAAGATATAGTCGCATCCCTACCCGAGACGTTAGCCTACACTCCCGAAAATCTCCATCTTCACGACACGGAGGGCATGGCCAACCAGTTTCTCTTTCTACACATCTCAGTGCAACAAAACATTCTCTTCATGAACCGATTCGCGGTGTCGACACCGAATGGGAACTCGCATCAAGACGTCCCGAAGACATTTGTCACTAAAGCCGGTGCAAAGGCTTTTGCTGCGGCGAACCGCATCTCTGAGCTTCTGAAAGATGCAGAATCATATCTCATCGCTGCGCCTTTCGTTGGATATTGCGCTTTTCTCTCCAGTACTGTCCATATTTTTGGAATATTCTCTGGAAACCCGGCTATGGAAGCCACATCAAAGCGGAATCTAGCAACGAATGTGAAGTTTCTGGCGAAAATGAAACGGTATTGGGGCATGTTTCACTGGATGTCAGAGAATCTAAGAGAGCAATATCGTACCTGTGCCGATGCCGCGAGACAAGGAAATCCTGCGAATGAGAGTGCCTCCTCCCCGATATTTCAATACGGCGACTGGTTTGACAGATATCCTCATGGTGTTTCGCAAACCGACTTCGTCGATCCCGCGGTGTACAAGAAGAAAGAAAGGGGAGATGATGCGGTGCTAGAGCAGAAGCCAGAGCTGCACACAGTCGAAGAGTTCTTCACCAAGCTCTCGCCCCAGAGCCAGGAAGGTCGAGATGCAGCAGGCCGACCTGTAACACTTAAGAGAAAGGCCGCTCTTAGGAAAGCAAGCAGCGTGACTTCGCGAAGTGACCACAATCAGTTGGATCCCTTGATTACAGACTTGAATCCGACCGCCGAGCAATTGCAGCGCTTACAGCATCAACGAGCTTTCTCTGGTTCATTGGGGGGTCAGTCCAGCGGGCCCACGAGCTTCAATCCCCTGACCATTCCACACTCGCATAGTGGCTCTAATTATCATGCTCTGTCGCCCATAAGCCCTGTAACGTTTGGCCACCATCATCACGCTGTAGGGTACTATCCGCAAGATATCTTGTCTTTACAACTTGCGCAACAACCCAATGGTATTCTCCCTCAGCTCGATAGACAGCTGGTGTTTGGTGCATATGCAGGTCTGGACCCCGGTAGTGATATAATGGAAGGACTTCACGGTTGGTCTGGCGAAGGTGGTCCAGCGAGCGCCTCGGGTCGTGGGGGTAGTAATGCCCCGAATGGTCAGTCTCGCGGGGGTGGGAATCCAGCTCATGGCGCAGCAGCGGACTCCCTGCATGCGGCGTTTGGACATGGCCACGAAGCCTCCTCGGCCTGGTTTATGCCCTTTAATATGGAGCCGCCAGAGATCGGACAGGACGTGGGTGTGGCCGGCGTCGGGAGCTTGGATGGTTTCGCAAACATGTTTGGCACAGGAATGACAACTCCGGGTGGAGGTCTTGGTGGTATGCATCGACGGGCCCATTGACAATCAGCCGAACAATCAGCCGAACAATCAGCAGCCCGAAGAAGGTCCAAGGCAGTCGCCAAACGGTACGAGGATTAGTCTCCCCGACAACTCATATTTGCCATATCTTCGGGATTTTCTGATTGTTCGCGCGTTATTATGAAGAGTTCATCTTCTGCACCATGTGATGCCAATACCAGGTTAAATCGCGCACTCGTTCCAAATCGAACGGCTGGATTGTACATGAATTTGGTCTACATTATCGCTATCGACAGGAACTCTGGAGCGACTATGATTATTTGTGTTAGAATGTATTAGGATGAGGCGCTTTTAACAGATTGGGTGGACTGGGAGCCTATGTAGCTTAAGATATCCAAAGTGAGCGTGAACAATGTAGGTTGGATCTTTCAATATCCGGCGTATTCAAACAGATAATGATCCTCACCATGTGTGACAGCATTTGACGCTCAGGTATAGAATTATGGTATGATCTTGTTTTACATCACATCTACTTAATAAGATGGGACGCCTGACTATGCTTGTACAGCCGTCTTCTTCCCCTTAGATCTCTTTCTCTTCTTCTTCCTCTGGCCATCAACGACACCAGGCTGCTGCTCAGCGTCAGCTTCCTGAGGGTTCTCATCGTTAGTGGCTTCTACGGTGCCCGCTAGCTTCTCAAAACCGTATGTCGGGCCGGTGTGTTCAAACTCTTGGCCGAACACCTCCCGCCGCCACTGGCGCAGACGAGCCTTCTTGCCGAGCTTCTTCTTATCTTTTCGCTTCTTCTCTACGTCGCGAAACGTGGCAAGCTTCTTGAGGCCGACGAACTCGTTGAGCGCCGAGTCTGAAGGAGCCATCAGGATGTCTCGCGCGGTTAGGCCGAATGTGGTAGGACTGGTCTCGCGATATCGGAAAAGCGGTGCCGCCCCATCCTTGTCTTTGGATTTCAGCGCCCGTGGATTGTCCAGTTCTAGTTGCGCATCCACGAGAGCCTCGATCTTCGACCGTTCTTGGCGAGCAGCGCGTTTGGAGGCGATTCGCTCTTTCTTGTGGTCTGCAGTGGTCTTGCGCTTCTTTGAGGGCCGGCCTTCATCCTCGGCCTCATCATCTTGCTCCTGTCCGTCTTCATCCAAGTCACTAAGACTAATCTCGGGTCTCTCTTCCTTGTCCTCGAAGTCAGGGATGATGTCTTTGATATCGATATCGTCATCCCACATCGGCTTCTTTACCTTCTTTTTCTTTTTGTCGCCAATGTCCTCTGCGTCCGACTCGTCTACACCCTGTTCAGCCTCTGCATAGTACTGGTCGCCAAACCGGCGACTCATTTCCTCCTCCCATTTGTCATTATCCCATGCATCCTCAAGAAGCCTCATCCATTCATCGTCATTCAATTGCTTGCCGCTCAAGCCCGCGGCTTTCTTGATCTTGCGTAGCTTCTCTTCGGCCTCTTCTACCTTGAGACGTTTTAGGCGTGCCCGCTCCTCCGCTCTTTCGGCCTTCTCTGCTTCCTTCTTCTCTTTCTCTAGCTCTCTTTGCCGCTTCCGGCCCTTGGGATCTTCCCGTCGTACGGACCTTGCCTCGACAAGTTTTCGGGAGTATGACTTCAGAACCTCATTGCTCTTTTCAGGGTCCTCAAAACGTAAGTTATATGCAATCTCAACCTCGTCTGCCAAATCGTTGTCTTCGCCCTCGTCCGACTCAAACGCTTGCCATTTGCCACCTTCCTCAGGCACCCAAGCCCTCGAGGTCATGAAATTGGACAGGAACAGGTCGGGGTCCTTGTCTGCAAGCTTGACATCAACATCGACGTCCTTCTTTGTAATCTTCTGCACCCGCGAGGGGTGCACGCCGTCCTGGGAGCCGGCCGTTGGGTCGACCTTTGGCTTGATGAAGTCGTCCTCCGAGTCATCCCCTTCGCCAGCGTTTATCTCCGACAATATGGCATTTCGCAGGTCTTCTTGCTCCTGAACGTGTGTCTTTGGGGCGGCGTCACCCATTTCCACATCGTCTGTCCCTACGTCACCCTTCATGTACCGCTCGCGATGGTAGTCATGGAGGAACACGGGCTTCTCTTTCTTCTCCTTTGTGGCACCCGCATCAGTCTCAGTCATCGCCCTATAGAAGGTCGAGTCTTTGTCGTATATCCTCGGATCTCTGTTCTTGATCGCCTGTAGGGTCGCTGAAATTTCAGCATCGAGCTCCTCTGTAGCTAAAAATCCTTCTTCGTCTTCTGTTTCGTCTTCCGAGGAGTCGTCGTCTTCGTCGTCATCTTGCCCTTTGCCGTTAGGCTTTGCCGACTTGAATTTCTCTTCCACTGTAAAAGCTTAGCTGGGAAATGAGACATTGAAGTAAAAGTCAATGGGACTTACGCCTATGAATCTCCTCTCTCTTCTTGTTGTGCTCAAATCTCCGAGCGAACTCTTGGTTGATCTTCAAACCCGAGTTCTCAAGTTTGGCGCCGCCATCTTCCAGATCCTCTTCACTAGAGCTGCCGGACTCGTCTTCAAAAAGGTTTCTCTTTTCAGTTTTGGCTGCCTTTTTGGACTTTGTCTGAGGCAAAGAGTCAAGTTTATCAGTGCTGCTGGCCACTGAGGAAGCGACACCTCGTGCCATCTTGTAATGGGTGCCTGTTCTGCTTTACTGTAAATCTTCGCAATCGAAGATCACAAGCCGGCTCAAAAGCTCAATTGACGGGAACTTTTTTTTGGGCAGGGAATATTTTTGGGGACTGATAAGCCAATTGCCTGTGTTAGTGCAAACCGGGGCACGAGTACGGAAGTCCTTAACAATCAATGACTGCCGGCAGTGGGGCAGGAAAGAGTGAGTCGGATCCAGGCATTATATTTATCCTGGGCTTGCGTGGAGGGGTCTGAGACTAGCGCCGCTTTGGGTGTAGTCTCGCCTTTCCGAAGGCGGTCCAAACGGACTCTCCAACCACCAGATCGTCTCCTGCTACCTTGCTAGTCTAGCTCTATCTGCATCCTGCCTATCACGTCACAACTTCAACAAGGCAGCAAAGGAACAACCTCTTCGAATATCTGTCCTTCCTGACCATCACTGGCCGATCTACCTGAATTTCGTTTGTGGAGGACCTCACGATAGAGAGCACACAAGGATAATCCCTAAAATGGCCGACTCAAACGCTCCAAAGCCGAGCAGCAGCGTCAAGCTGGTGCTTCTAGGCGAAGCTGCCGTCGGAAAGGTAGGGCTTCACGAAGTTACACCTGATCATCGTCAGAGTTGATGCTCACAATCCACCAGTCATCCCTTGTCTTGCGCTTCGTCAACAACGACTTCCAAGAGAACAAGGAGCCAACCATCGGAGCCGCCTTCCTGACACAAAAATGCAACCTGCCAACGCGGACAATCAAATTTGAGATTTGGGACACCGCAGGACAGGAGCGATTTGCATCTCTGGCGCCCATGTACTATCGAAACGCACAAGCAGCTCTCGTTGTCTACGACCTGACCAAGCCTACATCGCTCATCAAGGCCAAGCACTGGGTGGCAGAGCTGCAGCGGCAGGCATCCCCGGGCATCGTCATTGCGCTGGTGGGCAACAAGCTCGACTTGACCAACGAGGCGGCTGGATCGTCCGGCGCTGATGGTGAGGAGGCTGATGGTGGCGATGACTCCGGGGATGCCCGGAAGGTCTCAACCGAGGAGGCCAAGACCTACGCTGATGAGGAAGGGCTGCTTTTCTTCGAGACCAGTGCCAAGACCGGCGTCAACGTTACGGAGGTGTTCACGGCCATTGCAAATGCCATACCGGAGACGTCACTCAAGAGCACGAGGGGACCTGGTGCGGCGCATGCCGTCAGCCGGGGAGAGGAGCAGAGAGTGAACCTGGGTGGACCTAGGGACCAGGCAGCGAAAGAAGGCTGCTCTTGTTAAAGATATACCAGAGATGCAGAGCGAACATGGACAGTTTAGTGCTAGGAGTAGTTGAGCCGATATGGCCGCGGGAGAGCATTGCATTTCAAATCGGTGGTTCGGATGTTATAATGCTATGACGCTCGATTTACAGAGCATGCTCTGGGGCAACATCTTTTTCTGTAGTTAACAGCCTGTGGCGAGGATGCTACAGGCAGGATCAATCCAGCGTTTTTGACACCTCAATAATACTATCGCATTACTCTATGCCCGCTGTTCTGTATTTGGCGAGCTTCCAACGTTATAAGTTGCGGTTTGATATGTGACTGTTCCCAGCTCATTTGCACCCACAATCAATGATGATCTGCAGGTCTGATCAGCTGCAGGCTCATTTCTACTCATTCTGCTGTAGAACAATCATTCTCGAATCTTCAGCAGGCAAACTGGTGTCTTTCTTCTTCACAGGAGGCGGTTAGGTCGGGTGCCACCTCGTGCTGAAACTCCACCTAGACAGGCCATCATTGGTCACCCTCACTATCGGATTGTTCCCAACGCACGGGCCAAGCCCAACTCCCGCTTCAGCCTCTCAGATCCCAATTTTTCCATAGTCACAACGCGACACTGCAACCTAGCTGTGGCACCTTCTCTACACCCAATTCTCACGGCAAGACACCTCGCCATCAGGTTGACTCACGCGGCCCCATGATGAGCGAGCACTCTGTGCAGACAATTCTGTGAGGTATTTCCTACGGGGACGAGCCTGTCTGCGCTGATGAGAAGTATTTCACTTTATCCAGCCGTGTACCGGTAGTCAGCAATGGCTGCGACTGCGATCACGCCTGCTCAGGCGGAGCTCATCAGGTAAATTTGCCAACAACAATCCCAATTCCTGAACCTCAACTGACATAAGTTGGAGCTCTCTGACCCAGGACGAGGTGCCTATCAAGCTGCGCTGCGCCATCTGCAGCAAGCTGGCAGTGAATGCCTATAAGCTGCCATGTTGCGAACAGGCGATTTGCGAGACCTGTATGGCATTTACCCCCTCGCTATACCACCGCCGCCTATATTTCTAACAATTGCACAGGTCATTCTACCCTCCCGTCGTCTTGCCCCGTCTGCGAGCACTCGCCGCTCTCTGCCTCGGACTGCAACCCCAACAAGGCTCTTCGTACAACGATTAGAGTTTTCTTGAAGACCGAGGAGAAGAAGCGTGGAATCGGCCAGCCGAAGGAGAAGGATGCGACGCCTGTTACGCCAGTGGAGCCGAAGGATGTAACACCATCTGTTATTCCTGAGAAAGTTGGCGAGATTGTCGAGGTCACGGATGCAGCAGATGCTTCCCAAAGCCAAGATGATCATGCCCTAGCTGCGCCATCTGAGGAATTGAAGGGAACTCCTGTGGTGGAAGAGGCCATAGACGCAAATACCTCAAGCGACGCAAAGGTACGTTTCCTATACTATGAAGCTCTTACGAATCTTCTGACAAAATCAAACAGGATGCGCCTTCCCAGGGGTATGCGCCTGACAGTTCCGGCGATGCTGAAAACACGCAGATAGTCGAACATGAAGGAGGCGATCTCGCTGCTGAAGAACACAAAACGGTCCAGGTCGGGGAGGCACACGACAACGATGAGGAGGCCGAAAATGACGGTCAGCCGGGAGGAGACTCTTCTAATAGTTTCGGGTTTGATGCTGCCAACGGGGGTTTCCCAAACATGAACTTTGGCAACGGAGATTTCAACCAAATGCAAATGATGATGGCTATGCAGAACGGGATGGGGCCAAACAATTTTGGCGGCTTCCCGATGATGGGTGAGTTTGACAAGTGTTTGCGCTTGGAACATGGAGCTGACCTAAAGTAGCTGGAATGTCTGGCATGATGGATCCCATGATGATGCAGAACATGTACATGAACGGTGGCTTCGGATCACAAGGCATGGGCATGAACGGCATGATGGGCATGGGAGGCTTCAACGGTGGTGTTGGCTCAGGCTCCGATAATAACTGGAACGATCAACAGTCATGGAATGTCGGCCAAGATAATTTCAATCAACCAAATGCTTCTGGCATGGGCAACGGTGATTATGGAAACTTTAACTCGGGCTTCCAAACAGGCTATAATCAAGGTAATTTTGGACATCACAACCAATTCAATGACTACCGCGGAAATCGCTTTGGCTACGGACGTGGACGTGGCCGTGGCCGAGGAGGATACGGATATGGCCGTGGTGGCTACGGCTACGGCATGAACGGCAACTATGGCGGCCAGAACTACATGTCCCAACAGTATTCTGCTGGCACGGGCGGTCAAACCCCGAATGATTCACAGACTCCCGGAGTTGTATCAGGTGATACCAACCAGGCTGATGGCGTGGATGAATATGGCCGAACTCTACGTCCTGACGATGGAGAAGCTGGGGATTCTGAGAACGCGGCTGCAAATGAGACTGGCGACAAGGGAGCTGGCCAGGAACAGGCTGAAGGGACGGGAGGAACTGATAAGACGTCAGGCGATGATGGCTTAGCTGAAGGTGCAGCAAAGCCGATCCCGGCCCTTGGTGATACAGGTTCTGCATCTAATGGTGACCCTGTATCTGCTTCTGGTCCTAGCGTGATACCTACTGGACCCATGGCTGGGTATCAAAATTACAATCGCGGTGGCAGCTTCGGAGGCATGCCTCCTCCAGCTCCTGCTCCCGATGTTCCTTTGAATGCCCCTAAGGGTCCTAAAGCTATGCGTCAAGGTCTGCCGAACACAAGTCTACTAAATCTTCGAGCCAGGGGGTATCACATTCCAGGAGAGAGTACTCAAAGCCCCAAGTCTGTCACGCCGGCCGTAGCGAGCCCTGCCGACCGGCCCCGTTCTTCGCGGAGTAGTTCTCCAGATGCTCTCAAGAGACGGGACTCGGAGCAGTACCACAAAGGAACTAGAGAGCCCGAGAAGGAGCGTGATAGAAGTCGTGAACGAGAGCGTCGTGGTCGAGACCGGACCAATGACGACTCCCGTTCACCCAGTAGAAGTCACAGCCGTGAGCAGCGAGACTCGCGAAAACGTAGACGGCATCGCTCGCAGTCAGCTTCAGATGACGAGCGTGACGATGATCGCCACCGCCGGAGACATCATAGAAAGCAATCGACACATGGCGAGGATGACGGGTCTGCGGGCCGCTCTAGAGACGAGAAGTATGAAGAGCGCTCGAGATCCGCTTCGCCAGATGATTCTAGGCGATCTAACCACCGCAGCCGGAACGATCGTGATTCGCAGAAGCGCCGTGATCGCGACAAGGATCGGGATCGAGAAAGGGACCGAGAAAGCGACTATGATCACCGCCGGAAATCTAGTCATCGTTCTCGTAGAGATAGGGACTATGACAGGGAGTATGATCGTGACCGAGAGAAAGACAAGGACCGCGGCAAAGATCGCACGCGGGATAGCAGAGATCGCGATCGAGATCGTGACAGGGACAGGGACAGGGACAGAGACAGAGACCATCGTCACCGCAGTAGAAGGTCTTCTGCTGAGCCTCCCACACCTGTGGAGCCCAAAGAGAAAGATTTCAACCCACCAGCTGGGCCACGTGCGGCAAGTGCTTCCCACAGCAGAAAGGGGATCGAAATCAGGGGCGCCAACATAAAGTCACGCGAGTCTACTGATCCGGGCCGACGTCCTTCACAATCGTCGCAGAGAGCCACGCCGACAGGACCTGCCGCCAGTTCAGATCCGCACGCTGCAGAGCGTGAGGCAAGGAACCGAGAACGGCTTCTACGCGAGACGCAGAAGCTGGCTGGTCTCGCCGGCTTCAAGCGCAAGAGCGACGACGGAGAGGATGCCAAGCGGAGCAGACGCAAAGGCCGGAGAGGAGATGTGGTCACGGCAGACGATGAGGAAGCAAGGATGAGGCGGCTGGAAGCCGAGAGAGAACGTTCGCGTTGGAGCTAGAAGCCCGATATCAGCATCCGAGGCATCGCTAGGACAGCTGGATCGTTCAAGACTAACAAGCCATCGTCAGACCTCGATTACTGAGGGCGATGCGCTTAAATAATATGACATTGTATGATGGCAAACTTGAGGCAAAGGTCTGTTGCTCTTTGACTAGATGCACATGGCATTTCATGGCTACGCTGTGGATGAGTCCTGATCATCAGCAGTCAAAGCTTTCCCTCACTTGGACCATGGTATATACCCACCCATAATAGCAGGATCAGAGTCACATACTACGACGTCACTCGAGGGGAAGTGTGTTATCGTTCATTGTATGCTACCGATAGATGCCGAGTCATAGAGAACACCAATAAATCCAGTGCTTCTCCGTTATATCAAACAAATTGAGAACAACCTAATGTATATGTGTCTGTTATTTCAGATCACTTACAAGCTGACCGCTGTTGTTGTCGACCTCGTCGTCTTGCTGATCGGTCCATAATGATCACATCTGGCGGCCTTGAACCCTGCAGAATATCAAGAATGGCCCTATAATAAGGCACCAAAGCTAGCCCATAGTGTGCATGTGGACAGAGAACCCACAGCTACTATGCAGTAAAGGGCCCCGGCTCTGGCGGGAGGAGCGGGGTCAAGTTGCTGTAGTTAGGAATGAGACAATCCGTCATCCACCTCACGGCCTCCACCACTATCAGCTTATCATTATCAGCGAGCGAGTCCGAGACGGACGGGCTGGCTGACTTACCTTTCCCCCCTTGACAACCTCCAACATCCATTCCATGTTGATAGTGACTTCCAAGCAGCGTCTTTTCATGATAACTATTTCTCCAACGGCTATACACAGCCCTTGCATGTAGGGTCCTTCATCATGCGACCCCTTCCCGGCGAAGACGTCCACCCTGGACGTCCCACCCCGCGCGTCTCTGATAACGACCTCCCCACTGCCTTCCAGCATCCCTCCGGTCCGCAGATGAGCTACTTTGTCGGCGACGAGTCCGCCATAGATGCTGCGATGGAGCAGTCGTCTTGCCACTCCCACCGTGCTCGTGAGGCCCGAAAACACCATGTCACCGACTCTACCGACTCCGGCGGGGGCTTATCGGGCCTCGGCCGTGCCCGCGATACGAGCGCCGCACCAAGCGGGAAGAGCCACATCGAGACAGACATGAGCTCCATAGGCTCTGTGTCTCCGAGGTACCAGCACGCAGGGGCTTCTACAATTGCTAGTCAGGCGGCAACTTCTCTACCCATGACACCGGTCATGCTCGGCGCCTCTGGCCCCGCCTCGGCGTTTAGTGAGAGCTCGTCACGGAGGAACTCCCTGTCCGGCTCGTTATCCGAGGAGCTTGGGAGTCAAGCTCTGAGCATCAATGAAGATCTAGAACCAGAGCCGTCGGCAAGCATGATGGACAGTGGTAGTGCTCCGCAGCTCATCATGCCGAGCATCAAGATGCCCAGTCGTCGGCCGTTCACGGAGGAAGGTAAGAGACTAGGGAGGCTCAAGGTGCTGATCGCTGGTGACTCTGGTAGGTATCCCGTCTGCTCTTTTGACATTGCTTCCTCGCTACCTTGCAGTAATACTTAAATTGTATAGGCATCGGCAAGACCTCCCTTGTGAAAGCTATCGTGCAATCATGCGAGCATATCGTCCACGTGGACCCGATCGCCCCTCAACAGATGTCACTTGTCCCTCGTTCAAACTCGCGCAAGAGTAGATCAAGGTCTTCCCGACCGGAGAACATCACAGCCCAGATAACCGAGATATATGCAAGCACAAAACCGTACCCCGAGTGGTGGTCGGACTTGGATGACTTCCGCGTTCTCGCCAGGAGGAAGAGCTTGGGCGATACCGTTTTAGACAGGAACATTTGCTTTGTTGATACCCCTGGATATGGACACGCTTCCTCTGTAAGTCTGCGCCAAGAACATTTCCCGAGTGTGTCACTGACAGTTGTAGTGCATGGAGGCCATCTCACCGGTTGTTCAATATGTTGAATCGCATTTCGAGCGAGTGTATTCCAATGCGTCAAGTGATGCGGAGATGCTAAACATGCTTGGTGGTGATGGAGGCTCGCAGGTGGACGTTGTCTTTTATATCATAAGGAACAGTATGCCATCCTCCGAAAGCTGTCCTAGATCACCGGTTAACATTGCTTTGTAGAGCTCAAGTCTGTCGATTTACAGTATCTGAAGCAACTGGCACCGTTGACGAACGTCATCCCTCTTCTGGCTCAGGCGGATACATTGTCTCCAGAGGGCTTATCTCAGACCAAAGCTCGAATCAACAGCGAACTTCAAAGCGCAGGTGTCCGGCCGTTCCAATTCGCTGGTGCTCCGGCAGACGCGTCCGGAGTTGCTGCTGCCTCGCCTCCCTATGCCATTTCCAGCGCGCCTGGATCTGATCACGATACCATGGATGCCAGCCTTCTAATGAGCCCAGACTATGTTCAACCACTGATCCCATCAGAACTGGGAACATTAGTAGCACAGGTGTTCTGCGAAAACGGGACGTCCTGGCTTAGGCATTCCGCAGCGAGGAAGTACCTGCAGTGGCGGATGTCGGACAACGCGTCCAGACCGCAAGCGCTATATCGGCCTTTGAGCACGCCCAACGCCATATCTACCTCATTAGTCACGACCTCACCGTTGACGCCGCCAATGGGAGCAACATCGTCCTACTCCTTAGCCCGAATAGCTGATCACACCCTGCGAGAGGAGCGGCTGGCCCAAGTCAGACTGGCCAACTGGGCTTCTGAGCTCCAACGCAGTCTAGCGAATGAGCGCTCTCGATATGAGCAACTTGCGCGTAGCGAGAGGGCCATCTGGCTGACGGAGAAGCTCAACGAGTGCGTTCAGGATGGAACACTGGTTGCAGTGGGCAAACGTAGCCCTAGCAACTCGCCTATGCGCGAGAAGATCAGGAGAAAGCTGGCAGGCGACCGCATGCACTCAAGCACGACGATGCGGCATCAAGATCCACTGGGCTTGCTTGAAGTCGCGGCAGAGCTGAAATCCAAGGGCTGGGTGGCCTTGGAGCTGCTAGGGAGCCTGAGCGTCCTTGGTGGGCTCGCATTTTGGATGGCCAAGCATTACTTCCACTTCCAAGCCTATGACTATGTCGTCGGAGAGTGGTACAGGTGGTGGTACGGAGATCGTTGAGTGTTGGGGCTCTGTCGAACTGTATACAGGCTCATGGGGCCCCATGGGTGTGGGTGGCGGCTAACATCCTTTGCATGCATCATTCTGAGTAGAGAAAATATCTTGCTCATGTAGTAGACGTGGCTATCGCTGGCGTTGAGGACGTTGCATTCTCCCATCTTGAACCTCACTCTGTCTCTCCATAGATACCACACAGAAATGAAGACCTCTCACTTTTCCCCAATAGGGACAGTACCTGCCTAGGTAGTTCAAGCCATCCTGGGATGTTCACTTGGTAGAAGTTAGTGCCTTTGCCTGCCGCGCCAGATGCTCTCTACCCCTGCTGTGGGGCGTGTGCAGGGCCTCCACAGTAACCCGGAAAAAATAGCCAGCCGCCCTGGCCGGCCATTGGTACAGCGTCCGCTGCTTAAGCACCACCCTTGTCTCAAGTGAAGCTCGTTGGCTTTCACCTGCAAAACATCCATCCGACAAACCACCAACTCCCCTACCCTTCGCCTTCCTACCTCCTTTGCATATCCTCCCTCCAAACGGAACAGCGCAGGACAAAGCAGGCGGCTGCGATACTTGTCAGCGTCTGCCACGTCCCTTGCGCGTATCGGATTCCTTCCTCTTTCATCTATTCTCTCACCTTCCTCTCGGCCCACGGTTTTGTCTGCTTTGACACGAAAGCTTTGGCTGGCTTCCTCGACTATTCTCTCACCCTGTGCCCAGTCGGCTTTCATCTCTGCGCTTACTCCGGCCACGCGATCGAGTATGGCGTCTGAGAAGCAGTATGGCACTACGCCTCCCATCTCCGTCACCCTCCCAACGGAAGGCGAGAAGCAATCTACAGAGTCTCTCTTCCGTGAGCTGAAAGCTCAAGGGACTTTCGAGCATGCTACTGAGACCCAGAAGAGGTACGCTCAACCCCTCCTCACACGCTATTCAACTCATACTAACAGTGAACCTGATAAAGAGAGAAGGTGCTAGCATCGATTCAAGCCATCGCAGATGTTTTCGTCAAGAAGGTCGCAAAGGAGAGGGAGCCGGAGAATGCCCTTCTGGCGAGGGATGCGCGAGGTCATGTCTTCACATATGGTAGCTACCGGCTAGGCGTCTACGGCCCCGGTTCCGATATCGACACACTCGTCGTTGCGCCGCGATATGTTACCCGCGAGGACTTCTTCAAACACTTCCCTGGCCTGCTGAAGGAGATGACGCCACCTGGATCTATCGAGGACTTGGCTGCGGTCACCGACGCATTCGTCCCCATCATCAAATTCGAGTACTCCGGTATCAGCATCGATTTGATCTTCTCCAGAATAGCTACCCTCAAGCAATTGCCCCCGAGAGACAAGTTCAACCTCCTCGACAACAACCTCCTACGAGGACTCGATGAAGCAGAACTACGTTCTTTGAACGGCACAAGAGTGACTGACGAAATCCTCGAGCTCGTTCCGGAGAAGACATCTTTTCGCTTGGCTCTGCGCGCCATCAAGCTCTGGGCACAGCGACGTGCTATATACGCCAACATCATGGGTTATCCAGGAGGAGTGGCATGGGCAATGCTTGTTGCAAGAATATCCCAACTCTACCCCAAGGCAACGGGCGCTGTCATTGTCAACAAGTTCTTCAACATCATGCGACGCTGGCCGTGGCCACAGCCGGTCCTCCTGAAGCACATCGAGGATGGCCCCTTACAAGTCCGCGTTTGGAATCCCAAGATCTACAAGGGAGATACTTTCCATCTAATGCCCATCATCACACCAGCATATCCATCCATGTGTGCCACATTCAATGTCACCAAGTCTGCCATGGCTGTCATTCAGAAAGAGCTCGACACATTTGCAGAAGTAACCGACCAGATCATGTTGGGTAAGAGACCCTGGAAAGATTTGTTCGTAAAGCATACCTTCTTCACCTCGGGTTTCAAGTACTACATCGCAGTGATATCAGCCAGCAAGACGAAAGAGGCACACAAGCTCTGGTCCGGTTTTGTCGAGTCAAAGATCCGACTCCTAGTCCAGGGCATAGAACGCCATCCTTCCATTGCGCTTGCGCGACCGTTCAACAAAGGCTATGAACGCACGCATCGCTGCAAGACCGGCGCCGAAGTCAACAAGGTCCAGGACGGTGATCTCTCTTTCGTACTGAAGGAAGCAGAAATTGTCGAACAGAAAGCTACGACCGAGGTCGCAGGCGTCGAAGTAGCTGGCACAGAAGTGAAGGCCGCAGACGGTAATGGAGAGGAGGCGGCAAAGCCTAACGGTACTGAAACAGAGACCAAGGAAGAGACAATCGACGTCTACACGACCACACATTACATCGGACTAGAGCTCTACGAAGGTAAGTCTATCCTTCCGTTTGTTATTTCTCAATACCCGTCTTAGTCCTCTTCTACTGCCACGTTTTCACAATCACACCATAACACCCGGGTCATTAACATCACAGGCGCCAAATCTCTCGATCTATCGTACCAAGTCAATGAGTTTAAGGATCTCTGTCACAACTGGGACAAGTATAAGGACGAGTTGAACGAACACTGCTCCCTCAGTATCCAACATGTCCGCAAGTGAGTTAGGCCACTCGTTTCTCTCTAGTACTGTGACTGATGAGAATTTACAGCATCAACCTGCCCGACGACGTATTCGAAGCTGGCGAAGTGAAGCCAACAAAACCGATCAAGAAGAAGGTCCCGGCCACCAACGGCGCGGCTAAGAAGCGCGGTGCCTCTGAAGTACGTGCAAATGGTTTGACTTCTGGCTGCGGCGTGAGATATAGATCCTCGTGGATCGTCGAGGAGCAATCAATTCCACTGACAATAGCCAATACCTTCCCTGATGAACCTACTGACAAGCATCTCTCTAGGACCACCCGACCACAGCGTCAGCGAAACGCCAACAAACATCAGCTGTTGCGGCTGGCTGAACACGGCCGCGAGCTGCGTTAAGCAGCTTGTTGTCTCTTTTGTCACTCATGACTTGATACGTTGGTTTCTTGCTGTCCCAGAGATGGTGAACGGCCTTGTGATTACTACTAACAGACAGGGATGAAATCCGGCTTTGAAGAGCCCTCCTCCCTTCAGACACCCCTAGTTGCCATTTCATGGCACGCGGCGGTTATACCCTTTGCAAAATGGAACACAAAAAAACTAGAAGGGCGTATTTGACCGCCTCTCACTACATTCAGATGCATTGCTCACAGCTTTTCCGGAGTTGTAGACAAATAAGACGAAACGGAAAATCATAGAGCACATGGAGTCAGGGGACCCAGGTTGTGTGGTATGGAAACTTCGATACCCTTCAGCAAATGATATTCATGAGCAGGCCGATCTGCTCGGATCATGAACAGAATCCGCGACAGTACCGCAGGATGAAAGCCAGGAACAGCCCAGGAGTGGCTCGCCTGGCTGTGTACTTAGAACAGTCGCATCAGCATAATAAAATCACATTCATGAGGCATAAGTGCCTCACCAAATATCATGATTGTTCTTCGTTGAATCATTGCTTTTGTGTCCCTGTGACCGTTGCCTTGTGAGGTATCTCATCTATCCTGCCCAAACAGCGTGAAAGGCACCCTTGCTCGGTCGTAGTCCAATCCGTCTTTCCTTGCTGCACAAACCTAGGCAGTAACTTGCCATTCCGTCTAGTCATCCTCACCTTCATCGCTGCCACTTGACCATCCCTCGTGATACTCGTCTGCCATTTCGGCAAGATCGTTGCTCAGGGTTTCTCGATCTTCGACACCAATGGACCGGACTACCGTTGAGCGTAAGAGTCTCAGGCGCTGCGACAAGGCTGTGTCAGTAGTCAGGGCTGTGCTAACGGATATTGGTCCCGCCAGGATCTCCCCATCGTCGCCCCTGAAAATCTTCGGGAAGCTGTCTGGTGTAGGGTAGCTTAGTTGAGAGCGGTATGTCCTGCTCAATGCCTCTCGATCATTCCGTCGACGGTGCGCCGCGTCTTCCCTGTCATCCCCGTCGTTCTCTTCCTCGTCTTCTTCGTCTGCCCTCTCTCCGCGCGTGGCCAGGACCTGGCTGAATATCTTCGGCACGTTGAATCCGTTTTGACGATGGCTGTCGGCCACATCGTCGGGAGGGCGGAAGTCGATATCCAGCCGCAGGCCGTCTGACGGTTCATCACCTACGTTCTCGCTGCGAGGAACCTGGTCGGATCGGGCTATGCTCATTTGCAGGTGGGCGACTGTCTGCTTGCCGTGCACATTCAGCAGATTCCCAATATTGCCTAGGCTATCCCTATTCGTCAAGTCTTTGAGTCGCGATGGCAGCGTGGCACTCTCTATGGCCGTTGATAGAAGGGCAGATGTATGCCACGCGGAGCTAGAGTCAAGTGCTAGGGAATGGGGAGATAAGTGCTGCGGTATTGCCAGCGGAACCAGTAGAGAAGCTTGCTTGTAGATCTCTGTCAGGCTCTTTGCCTTGTTCACAAGTCGTAGAAGCCGCTTTTCCTGTGCCATTATCAGCCACTGATCGCGCATGAGAGAAGGAGGTGCTCTTAGGTGTGCATACTCTATTCAGCCCTGGAAAGGCATCCTGCAGTCCCCACGTCCAGATGGTAGTCTTGCCGTATTCGTCCCTCAGGCGTTCTATATACCGCGAGGCAAACCCGCCCCAGGCGTCATCCACGGTGGTCATGATCTGGATGGCCTGCATTTGATCTGCCTCCTCCGCAAACGGCCTGATGTCTCGATCAAGAAGGTCGTTCTCCTTGTCGAGGGACGAGAAGAGGTCTTCGCCCGTGTCCCATCTCTCGAATGGCACGAGGCTGGAGTTGAGCTCATACTCATTGAGCTGCACAATGGAGCGCGGATGGAAGAAAACGCGGTTAAAATCAGACCAGTATCTTACGGTGCTGGTAGTCAGTTCCGGTGGCTCCAGACCGGCGTCGAGGCTCTGCTGGTATGCGCTGGCCTCGATGGGCTGTTGTCTTTGCACAACTGTTCTGCCATTCCTGGATCGGGCATCTGATGAGCGCTGATCCACCTCGACGATGGAATAAGGATGTTGGTACTAACCACAGGCCCTGTGGCGGACCGTCCTGCTGGACTTCGTACAGAGCATTGATCTGCCTCAACGAACCAAAGCCGCCCTTCAGGTCGTAAATGACGGTCCTTGGCATAAAAGTCTCGGTGCCATCAGCACCGATACCTGGTCTCCAGTGAACATCATGGTCAATAGAAGCCTCTTGGTCTTCGGAATAGGTAAAATATGACTCCTAATATACCGTTAGTAACCGACGACTGTGATTGATTGTACTGATCATGGATTCAACATTGTTCTGACCTGTGCATTCCAAAAATGGGTTGCTAGATAGTTACTTTGCTGGCCAAGCTGCAAAGTTATAATCTCATGCATGCTGTTTCTACTTAATCGATGCAATAGTCATCAAATCGTGAAGTGTTTGGAAGTCTTTGGGCTGCGGTCGTATTGAAAGGTTCATAATTATCTACCTCCCTCCTAGTAGTTAGTGTAAGCATTTCTTCGTAAAGTGGTTGCAGTAGCGCGTGGGTAGCTTTATCTTAGCGCTATCGCACTTACACTGGGACTGGGAAATACCTGGTGGGCAGGCTCCCAATGAATTATTATTTCTTGCCGCAAATCCACATGAGACGGCAACCACTCGGACCGGCGAAACCCACGGCTCTGGTCGATCCAACATGTCTCTAGACATAAAGAAAACGCTCCAACAGGAGTTCAACTCGTTCAAAACACCGCCAACCAAAGAGGTAGCTCCAGTGCCCCAGGTCGGCGCACAGGCTCCCGAGTCGCCACAGCTCATCCTACCCCGTGACAAGCCAAGCATTATCTTCTTCCTACGCCATTGTGGCTGCGCCTGTAAGCACCATATCCACCACCCCTCGCCCCTTGGCATCAGCCTTGGTTTCCTGTCACAATAAGCGCACTCTGCTCACACGGCAGCGTTTCCCCTCTGCCAGTCGCAGAGAAGGCCTTCCGGTCTCTGACCAAGTTCTCCTACAAGCACCCAGAGATCCACTGCGTGGCCGTCTCGCACTCGTCCCGCGAAGCCACGGACGCCTGGGTCGTGCAGGTGGGCGGCGAGTGGGAGGTCGACGTGGTCGTCGACGAGGGGCGGGATCTCTATGCGCAATGGGGGCTCGGCCTGTCCTCGTACTGGCACACGATGGGCCCCAAGGCCGTCTACTCGGCGTACCGCCTCGGCGTGGATGAGGGCGTCTGGAACAGGGCTACCGAGTCCGGCTCGAGATGGCAGACGGGCGGCGCTTTCGCCGTCGATGAGAATGGCATCGTCAAGTGGTCGCAGCCGGCCAGGAACGCGGACGACGTGCCTGATCTGAAGCAGATCTCGGAGGCCCTGCAGCCCCCAGCGCCGAGTTCGTAAAACCTCGAGCAGGGTTCAATAGGTTCTGTGGCTTTATTGTCATCTGCGGCGTCATGGGCTTGCTTTGGTCTACTATGGTATCGGCATTTTCATAGCACTCGAGTATCTCACGTGTCACTGCACAGTTTGCTGTTGTTAACTGGAAATCTTAACGAGAATGTTCATTAATGATAACTTTTGATGCCCAAATGCTAGAATGCAATATGTGAGGGCAGGGTCTCTTCATTCTTTTGCTGATGAGCAATGCACGACCATGAATGAAAGGGAAAATCATATAGACCAAGGTATACATCTGCGGAATCCTCAAGCCCGACTTCTCAGGTATCTTCAAATGTCGCGTTGACGGCTGAGACCAATCGATCCACTATAACCATAATGAGCTTTGAAGTCACATTGTAAGCAGGCATGATCATGACATGGTCTCCTCGCCGATTGCCTGCACAGCCTTGACCATGATAGATCATCATCGGGTTCTTTGCATTCATCGCCTCAACATGGACCCTACGCGCGATCTCCATGCTTGGATCGAAGGGTTCCTTGGTGAGTCGGTCTCGAACAAACTCTATCCCCCAGAATAGACCCCGGCCCCTGATATCACCCACATGCGGATGTGCTCCAAGACGCTGCTTGAGGAGTTTCTCAAGGTAGCGGCCTTGGACCTGGACGTTCGCGAGAAGTTGACCCCTTTGGATCAGCTCCTGCACTTTGAGGGCAGCAGCAGACACCGATGCATGGTTTTGAAACGTGTGGCCATGAGTGAAAGTGGCTCCGGCACGCCACATTTCTTGCACGACCTTCTCACTGACAAGGACGGCCGACGCAGGCTGATAACCACCAGCGAGGCCCTTCCCGATGGTCTGGATGTCAGGGACAACGCCTTCCTGCTCCCAGGCATGGAGGGTTCCAGTCCTTCCCATACCGCACATGACCTCATCAAGGATCAATAGAGCACCATTTTTATCGCAGACCTCTCGCATGGCCCGGAAATAGCCTGGAGGGCTTGGCACACAGCCCATAGCAGCGCCAACCAGAGGTTCGGCAATGAAAGCTGCAACAGTTCCTGGCCCAGCGTCCTTGAAAGCTCGATCGAGCTCCTCGGCTTTTCTCGTGACATAATCTGCATCTGATTCTCCAGCCAGCTTCTGGCGATATGGATTGCAAGCAGATACCCGGTAGACATTGGGCAGGAGGATATCTTCGAAAGGGGCGCGTCTTGTGAGGTGACCGGACATGGACAAGGAGCCAATGGTGGTGCCGTGATAAGATTCCTCCCTAGCGATGAAGTTTACTCGCTGAGGCTCGCCTTTCCACACGAAATACTCTCGAGAAAGCTTGATTGCAGCTTCAATTGCTTCAGATCCTGGGGGTGTTAGCACATAAAGAGTAAAGCCTGGTAACTTGTTGTGTTGTCATACCAGACGACGTCAGGTAAGCCACCGGTAGCTTCCCACCAGTGCTTTGCTCCAGCCATTTCCACAACTTGAGGGTTGGAAGGTTGTCAAAGAATGCCCAAGGGACATATGTGAGTGTCAAGGACTGGCAAAATATAGCCCATAGAACTTTTCTGTTGCCGTGGCCTATGGAGGCAACACCCGCTCCGCCACAAGCATCGAGGATCTTTCGGCTGTCTTCTAAGTTGAAATAATGGCCTCTGCTTCTTGTAGCAATGGGATGACTGACTCTCATGCCTTGCTTAAGACTCAACCCTGACTCGGATTCGGTCAAGGCGCCAAGGTCAATTTTGGAGATATTATCTTCAGGCGAGTAGATATATGATAGCGATCGCCCCGACACTTGTAGAGAACGAGCCATTTCCACGCTTTCAGAAAATGCTTAAAGTATCTCGGTGAAGTGTTAGAAGTTGCCAATGTCTGAGATTAGAGAAACTTGGCTTGAAGGGAGAACAGAGAGAAGTGAAAGTTTGGTTGATACTCGATCTGAGCTGGCTGGTCTGCCGCCGAAGTAGGATGGCTTTATAGACCGCCAGCTCGTACTCAGCCTTTTGCTCTGACCGAGTTATCACCGCATTGAGCTTAAGAAGAACCAACAGCATCTGCCATCACCCACCTTGCATGTTGCCCGGTGGGATGGACGAATAAGGGATATCTTTCCAACAACCACGGTCTCTGTGCCTCGATTCCGACGGCAAGCACTAGTATCAGGGCTGTAGACCAGAGAGAAGAAGACAAGAACCAGCCATTGGTGTTTGTATGGGTCACAATTGCGGGTAGTCGGAATGGAAGCTTGCATCTAGCGGAAGGGGATTAGGGAGGATTGAGCGATCTTCACCGATAGGGTAACCTCAGTGAACGCTTCGATTCTCTCAAACAGATAACACAAATGGAGCCTAGCCAACCTGATCACTTGCGCTGGCTTATCGAGAACGTAGATCTGACTCAGCTCATCAGTCGACTTTGGGGAGGCTCACGGTCGTATGCGCAGAAGTATCGGAACTAGATCTAAAGCCAACCAGCAATCACGTTTTCGGTCCAGTGACTCTCGGGTAGATCTCTATCCCTACACTCGAGACCCCTCGTTGTTAGCTTGAAAGGCGGTAAAAAGGGCGTGTGTGAATAGTGAAGACTTTTCACCGGACATCTGCAGATGACCACAAGTGACCGCCGAGCCAGTCTAGGATTTCAAGTTGTGACTGAGACACAGCCACGCGGCCGGACTCGACTGGAGACAAGTTATGAATGAGAGTGGTGGCGACGGAGCTACCAGACTGTCGGTATCGAAACCACACTCAAAAGAAGCTCTGATCACCATGATTTTGACGTGAATGGATTAAATAAGAACATCTAAATGCGAACAATGGCCATCTGACTCTGCAGTGTAACAACTGCACAGAATTATTGATGTATAGGAACCGTGTGAAATAGGCGCCGTGTCTCTGATGTGCAACAGGACGCATGGAAAGCTCTGTCAACATGCATTCTAACCAAATAAGGTTCCTTGCCATGAAGGAGGGATGCGCGGATCGTCGGCGTGGCAGCTGCAGGGCAGGGTAGCTGACGTCGGGCTCATGACATGCCCGGGTGGCGTGTCCTTCGTCTCGTAGGAGATGATGAGACTCGACATGCTCGGATGATGTCCTACCCTCTTGGGCAGTGTCCCTTCCGCTGACTTGCTTGCCTCAGAGCACACGCCACGGCACGGCTAGCTGTCTCATGCCGACTCCAACCGGGCCGAGTTAAGCAGTGAGCCGAGATGGCATCTGCACACAACCGCGCTGTCAAGCTGTCCATTAGAGTCAAGCAAGGCAAAGCACACCGAGACACGGAGGCTGAAGCCCTGCATATCGAATCAATGACCACTCGATCAGTGGCTACCTGCATCAGGACTTTTTCGATACAGCCATCTGCAGGGAAGCAAGAGTTACATGAACCTCGCGACTCCTTCTGGATTTCGGCTTAGACATACCCGTGTCCTGTAACCTTGCTCGGAACAAATTACGACACACCATAAGTGTGCATCCGTTCCTCACAGAAGCAGAAACGTGTCGAATGGTGTGGGAGGACGAGAACGCCCAGCAAGTAAGGCAGCCCTGGACGCATCAATTGGGCGTTAGAAACTGCGGAAGTCATAGTAGTTGGCAGAAATGAAGATCGATCCTGCACAAGAACTTATGATCATGCGCCTCCCTGCAGTATCCGCAGCTTAAGCAGGTTCAGTCGGTCAACCGAGCCAACAAAAGTATTTTGTGCGCCAACCGTTGGCACAAGAGAAGACGCCCTTTTCATGACGATTCCCAGTGTCGGTTGAGGTCTTGGGAAGACGCTTCCTTGTGCCAGGACAATCAACATTAGTTCGTCAAGAGCATCATTGCCTTGTCAACAAAGTAGTTACTACTTTTGAAGCCTGGTGGAGCTATTGTAGTAAGCAGCATCCTTGATGATCGACTATGTGCTATGATGCCTATTGTTAGGCATCGTTGTCCTCGGTAGACCAATGTCTATTGTTCTGGCGGAGTATCGATGAAAACTGTCACTGTGGGAAATCATCCAGGATAACCTGGGAAACGAAATTGCTAGTTTTGTCCCTTCAGGAGGGCCTGCGGGAACTAACAACCTTGCATTCCTGTCAGTCTCAAGGTCCTCTTAGCATATGAATTGGTCAGTCTTTAGCAATCAAAAAGTTGAGAGGCATCAGAGACGTGAGATTGACAACGACAAATCTCAGAAATGATATCAAGGGAAGAACAACATTCTTTTCTCAGGTGAGAGCTGTCGGATATGGCATCATGTGCTATATCATGTGCCAGAGTTTCTGAAGTGAAGATTAGCGGGGTCGAATGGCGTGCATACCAAGGCATGCTTTGGTAGGTAAGGTTTGTTCCTTCCCTGGTTGAAGGGATCCCGGCCAGTCAGTGCCCAAAGAGTCGAAGAGCATTGTTGAATACTTCTAAGTATCTTTTAAGTAACATTGTTAGTGAATCGTGTGCAAAGCTACTTGAATCGACTTGGTGCTGATAGCGTCTTTCTTGTTCGTGCACAGACCATTCAACCCACTCAATTCCCACCAAACACGTTACAGGGAAAGATAGAGGCTGGAGGCGACGCGAATTTAGCAATCGCGATCGAGTTTGCATGTCATCAATTAAACAATCCACCAGCACCCTGACAAAAGAAGACAATCAGCTCTCCTCGAATATTCTCCAGAGCGCAGGCGTGGGCAGATCTTCATCACCAACTGATCGTCGTTCAGAATCACGTCCTCCCACCGGCCATTCTTGTATGTCCCACACTAGCTGAGGTACATTCTTGAGGGTGCACCTTACCTTGCCGCATCCGTCATCTGTCACGACTGGTCAGGTCTCGTGTAAAATCCATTTACCTGGCTTCAAGGCTTGCCAGCAAGGTTTCCTCTCAACCACCACACACGCAGTCCAAAATCCCTCCAATTCAACACTGAAAACATCATACCATCTACTTTAGATGCAGTAATCAATCTTGACGATGCCGACTCCGATCAAACGCTCCCAGCGGCCTCGTCGAGACTCGGCGCGCAAAGAGCTTGTCTCCGAGCGCCCGGACGATTCGTCTCCCTCAAGACCTGCAAAGCGCAGAAAGAAGGTAAGGACCCAACATATCGTGTCGCTAAGGCATGACTTGAAGTACTGACTGCGCATTTCGCTAGGCCGAAGACTCACCGACGGATATCGTCGAGGAGGAGGGCTCGAGCCTTGTTGCCGACGAGTCTACCATTAATCTCAATGATTACGATCAAGTCGTCTCTCGAGTCGCGCAACATCTACTTGCACCGCGCGACCAAACCATCCAAGCGAGCAAGGATCACTCTAATGCGATACATGAAACAAACAAAGCTGGTGTCCAGGCCTATGCCAAAATCGCGGCTCAGGATTGGACATTCTATGTGACGAAGCTTGCCGTCAACATTGGTCGTTCCTCAGACCCTCCTCCGCAGCATCCGGAGGGGTATGATCCAGAGTCGGATGAGGAGCATATCCACATTGATCTCGGGCCCAGCAAGATGATTTCACGTCAGCATGCCATTATCTACTTCAACTCGAACCAAGAAAAATGGTTTCTACAGGTCAAAGGGCGCAACGGCGTCAAGGTTGATGGCAACATCATGAAGTCGGGACAGAGCGGCCCGTTGGCGAGCGGAGAAGTTATCGAGATTGGTGGCATTGAGATGATGTTTGTGCTGCCTTCGGACCTCAGCCCTCTGCACATCCATCACACCTATCTTCAGCGCGCTGGTCTCTCCAAGGATGACTTTCCTAGTTCAGCCCAAAAACACCGTGGGGGTGCTCGCCCGACGTCTTCTGGCGACATTTCTTCATCCCAAAGCGGTCCCCAATCTCGACTTTCGCGCGGCCAGCAAGCAATTGCGCCCGCTCCTCCAGACTACAAGCGACCTGGTACTCCACCTTCCGTGAAGAGCCGTGCCCAAGCCGCCCAGAACAAGTCGCCTCAGGCACGAACGGCTGGGACAATGCTTATGCATACTAGCGACGTTGATCTCAGTCTTGACGAAAACCAAAACATCAAGCCGCAGTATAGCTACGCGCAAATGATAACGCAGGCTATTATGAATACGCCTGACGGGAAATTGAACTTGAATGGCATCTACAATTTCATAATGAACAACTACTCCTATTACAGACATCAACAGGCTGCTGGTTGGCAGAATTCGATTCGTCACAATCTGTCTCTTAACAAGGCTTTCGAGAAGGTGGCAAGGTCGACAGACGAACCAGGAAAAGGTATGAAGTGGCAGATTGTCCCTGAAGTACGAGACGATATGGTTCGCAATGCATATAAAGGAGGCCGCGGTGGTCATCGTGGATCATCAAATCCGTCTTCGCCAAACCAGCTGAATTACATCACTCAAGGCCCGAAAGACATGGCCGCCAAAGAACCAGGATCATCTCGCAAGCGCAAAGTATCCCCATCAGGATCACCGCAGCCTCGTTCGTCCTTGAGAAACGCACACATGACGCCAGACCGTAGTTCTCGGCGCCTCGAGTCAGAAGACACAACTCTCGCCGCCGACGGGAGCCCTCTGCCTCGGGTTCGAAAGAATGCTGCTGCTAGTTCTGCCAGTTTGTCAGAGACAGTGCCCCGGTCTCCTACCTTAACTTCCTCATATTTGCAAGAGGAAGGAGCCTCTTTTGTGACACCAGCTCCGTTAAGAGTTCACCCGAAGCTTGCACCACCAAGCACAGCTCAGCGACCCAGTCAACACATGCCCACAAGCTCGCCTGCCCCATTTTGGAAGTATGCCGAGATTGGTAGTACTCCATTGAAGCCAGCCCAGTTTGACTTGAGCCCTTCGAGGACCATAGGTGGCATGCCACAGAGCAGTAGCCCCCCGCCAGATCACAGCAAATCACCTGTAGCTAGTCCGTCTCGCGGTGCCAAGAAAGAACCCGAGGAACCGGCCAAAGTTGAAGAAGTCGAGGAGGATGGCGGCTTTGATCTCACCAAGTAAGTTCCACTCGTACATGCCTCGTACATCAAGAAGCGTACAGCTAACCAATTTCAGGGGTTTCCAAAGTATCGGAGCCTACCACGCCCCAGTCAGCAAGGGATTTTCTGTCGCGACTGCGATGAATGGAGGGCCTACGAATGGGAACTCATCGTAGCTCTTGGTTTTGCTCAGTCTGAGTTGATAGCCACCCTGATGCCGGCAACCAGGTTTGCTTCACGATATCTTGTCTAGTGTATCACTTTCAGCAGTACCGTATTCAAATATCCTTGCACAGAGTAATAGTGACAGCTCAGCTTTCTTAGCTAAATGAGACGAATAAACTGAATGGCCAAACGCCTTGAAGGAATCTTCAAAGAATATTTTGGATATTGCTTTTGTATACGCAAATGAAGTTGTTCATGGGGAGTGAAGATTTATTTGATCAACTATAAGACGAACGGAGTGGCATCGTCAGTCCGGAAAAGCTCGCTCCATATATATGCCAACCCAATGCGTGGCGCCATAGCAGAGTTCTTTTGTGTGCCAACCCCCCTGATACTGTACAGAACAAGTGGTTATACAAATAGTAAGCTATTAAACAAAACGCCAAACCATGACTGATGATGCACAAAGCCACGACGGGCTTGATGGAGATCCTTGGATAAGCCCCATTATTACTGTAATACAGGTGAGTGGTTGGGTGGGTAGAGTGGTGTGGGTGGGTGATGGACTGCCTTATGCGGTGGTGCTGACTGGTCCGTTGCGACGGCTCTTGGGATTCTTGCTCCTCGGCCCCTTCTTTGCAGCCTTGCTCTGCTTGTCGGTGCCCTCAATGAACTTGATTAGCTCATCGATGCTACGTGCGTCCATAGACGGCTTCTTCTCGAACTCGGACTTTAGCGCCTTGTCCGTAACCTGTGCTGTGGTGGTGGTGGAGCTGCCAAGGGGTGAGTTCCTCGGCGTGAAGCGGATGCCGGCACGCAGACGTCTGGCCTGGACATCCTTGGCGTGCTTCGCGATGGAGACGGCGTTCTGCGTCAGCTGCTCGAGCCAGCTCTCCGCCTCCTTGGTGTTCTTGTCCTCGGGACCCAGCTCGGACAGGAAGATGTTGTACGACTCGCGCATGCGGTTCACCGCGCCCTTGGAGTCCTGGTCCAGGGCGAGCGCCTGCGCAAGCTGGAAGAGCAGCGTGGCAGAGTTGACAGACTGCTTGCCAAACACCTTTTCACAGATGCGCAGCGACTCCTCGAACCACCGGCGAGACTCGTGGTAAGCCTTCAGATGTTGCAGCATGACCGCGGCGTTGTTGATGGTGGTGATGGTGTCGGGATGATCAGGCCCGTAGATGATCTTCCACAGGTTGAGAGCATGCTTGGCATACTCGAGCGCGGTCTTACTGTCGCCTAGCTGGTGCAGGAAAAGGCTCAAGTTGAGATAGTCAAGCAAAGTCTCCTGGGAATCGACGCCGACTGTTCTCTCGGAGACGATGATGGCCTTGCGTGCAAGCTCTACGGCAGCCTCTTTCTCCTCTAGTTGGTAGTACAACATAGAAAGCGAGTGGTAGACTCTAGCAACCTCCGGGTGAAGGATGCCATAAATCTGTTCATGAAGTGACAGAGACTCCAAAAGAAGTTCCTGGCCCAGCTTCTTCTGGTTTTGCGCAATAGAGATCTTGCCAGCTTCAAGAGCCTCCTCGGCAAGAGCACTGCGGGGAGACGAATCCTTGACAATAGGAACGACATTGACAATGTCATCAGGAGTAAAGGTATGAGGTACACTTGCTGAAGAGGCAATGGAAGCTGGTGAAGCATCACGAGCCTTCTTGTTCTTCTTCTTCTTGCTACCCTCGCCATTCGCTTGGCCGTTTGCAGCAGGAGCATCAGTGAGCGCGGGCTTAGCATCAGCAGCGGCTTCGGATGAGTCCGCTGTGAAGGCAAAGCTCTTCGCCTGGACCTGGATACCTAGCTTCAAGCACACCTCTCGCAGCACTTGCAGGTGGCTCAGCTGGTTGTGCCATCCAGGCTCCAGCGTGTATCTGAACCTCCGAGCAGTCTCAATTTCGATTGCCTCACGCAAGGTTTCAGGTGTCACGTTCTCAAAAGCTAGGTCTGCATCATCATACAGAGCCCGTATCGACTGGTCAATATCGGCTGTAGGCTTGGAGTTGAGTCCAGATCCCAAGAAGCAGTTGAGCAGATGGGCAATGCAGGCTGATGTCAAAGGTAGGGCTAGGTATCGCAGATACTTCGCAGCCACGTGCTTGAATGATCTTACAACCATCTCACGCACGCAGACTTCCCGAAGGCACTCCAGACGAGGTCCTTCGCTCAGTGAAGCGACCTTGCCCATATAGCGCAGGTTGATGCCACGCTTATGCAGCAATTTGCTGAGCGACCTGCCGTCCATGGGAAAGCTGATATCAGATTCCTTCAGGTCGTTGAGCAGCTCCGGAATAGCCACATCACGCAGGAAGTCGCAGGCAGCACGAACATCCTTCTCGTCCGAAGACATTTCCTCTTTTTCGGCCTCACTCTGCGGGACCTGTCCACTGAAAACATCAGGGTTGAGCGCGTATTTGAAGTTTGACACATCAATCCGCTCGTCCTCTGCCTCATTCTTCTCGGCAGTCTGTTCATCGCCTTCTGGCTTCTCTTCTATCGCCTTAGCATCCTTCTTAGATTCGGCACGCTTGGCAAGCTCAGCATTGACCCAGTCCCTCATCTTGTTCCTGACAAAGAGCTCAACTAGTTCCGGCCGCAGGACTGTCATCCGATGGGGGTATTCTGAACCAGTGGCCGTCTCGCCCTGAACGCCATGCTCTTCGAGCCAAGCAATGTCCAGAGGGGTGATGCGATACAAATCCAGCACGTATTTCCTGCCATCAGTACCAAGCAATCCCTTGGTCTCCACGCTGGATTCAAGGTCGAATCGCTTGCCGTCCTTGTCCCAGACAGCATGCTTCTTGACCTTTAGCGCTTGAGACAGCTTCTCGAAGACAGAGGTGAATTTGTCGTTGGCCGCGACAACATCCTTACCATCCACTGCGCCATAATCGATCTGGTTCTCGCCTGGGTCTCGCTGCTTGAAGATACCTGGCACAATGCTCTGACCCACAATACGCTTGCCGAGATAATCCACAACAACAGTCCCGGGGGTATACAAGCCGTCAATATCAAGCTGATTTACCAGCTTCACACCGCTCACATCCTTGCCAGTAGCCACTCGGGCAGCCTCATCACCACCCTCAGAGGTGAACGTGCCAACACCGTCAGCTCCAAACGAGAAGAATACGTTGTTGTACACGAATATTTGTGCATCTCTCTCCTCAGTGGGATTCAATGGCGCGACTTCTCCTCGAGCAACAAGTACTGCTCCCCTTGCCGCCGCATCATTGTAGTCAGCATAGAGCTTCGATAGGAGGCGCTCCCTGAAGACTCTGTCTTGCACGCCATCCTTTGGTAGCTCTTTCGCCGATTGAAACTCCTCATTCCAATCTCTCAATGTATCCGTGTTCTCAACGCCAGCAATCAGGAAAGACTCCTGCGTTCTTGTGATATCTGGAATATGAGAGCACAGGGGAGAGGACGAAGAAGGTATGAGCCAGGGTGCCGCTGGGATAGCATTCGTGATCTGGAAGGTCGCCAAGGGTTCCTTGCGGTTGTTGAACTCCTGGAGCTGTGCGAACGAGCCGGCAAAAGATGGCGAAATCTCCTCGATCAAGCTCAATAGCGAGTGAGCTGCATGGCCCTTAGGTGCGGGTCGCGGGAATGGGTCAAACTTCGCATTGGATGATTTGTTCACGAAGAAGCCTCCGACATGGGCGGTTATCTGATGTTGCTCACCCTCGTTCGTCGTGACGATCAGGTAGAGCAGATGGCCCTTCTGTCGCAGATGGGCTGGCGGAGGATTCCAAGGCGACAAGGAAATGGCCTTCACAGTTTTCGGCGCCGGGTCGCTCTCTTCCGGCAGCAATGTGGAGACAGCTGGACTGGCGGCGAAGTCATACTCTGTAATGGGGGCAGGACTGGCCTTGTCCGCTACGTCGCCAGCTTCCGCAGCGACTTTGTCAAAAAGACTAAGACCAGGCAGTATGCCTTGAATCGTGTCGGTGCGGTCTCCAGCGGCACCAATGAGTTCCCTCACCCTAACGAGGTGGATTCTTGCCTCCTTCTCCGTGTACGGATCCTCCACCAGCTGAATCTCAGATTCATGGCCGATGCCATTGATATCGGAAATCTGGACGAAGTCGTTGATTCGTTCGCCCTTATGCTCCAAGTGGAAACAAGAGTATTGTAATGCCGCAGGGAGCTCGATTATGGACTGTCGAACCTCGTGGACTTGCTCGTGTGGGGCCACCTATACTTCAAGTCTCAGCACTTGAACCACAAACACCTAGAGGACTGCTGAGGCACTGACCATGATTTGGACCTTATTAGAAGAATGCGGAAGCGCAATGTAGAGGCTGAACATGGCATCTGTATTCGATTAGTCCAGACGTTCGTCTAGCACCGGCGAAATCCCAAGAATCCAAGTGACCAGGGAAAGGAGCAGGATCATACCTTCAGGAGCTTGTTCAGCGCCGTCCTCGGCCAGAGGAGCGTCGTTTGAAGCATCTGTCTGCTTCGGAGGGTCTTCGGGGGCTGCGGCGCCTACTTCACGCTTTGATCAGCATCGTCCTTGCTTGTTTCCACATCACACCCTCCGGGCATCATACCAGCGGCAGCAGAGCCATTTGTTGCTGCAGCCATTGTGATTAATGGATGGGGATTGGCTATATATCAGAGGTTGCAAAAATCCGAACGATGCGCCCCGTCCGAAGTGTTGCCGTATCTATTTAAATCAAGCGCAGACAGCTGTCGAAGCAATGACGAATTTTGAGGTCAAGCACGTCGAGACACCAGAGGCCGAGAGATGCGAGATGAGTGTATTGTACAGAGGAATTAAAAGGATCGACAGCCCCCAATTAGCCCAGAGAGGGAGGATTAAGGTATAGACGATTCGAGGAATTCGCGAAGGGCTCTAGTAAGGCATAGAGAAGGGAACGAAAGCATGAGGGCAGTGTAGGTTGCAGAAGAAGAACACCGGGGACTGTCTTTACGTCGATGATTTTTTTTCCTGCAAATGGGCCAAAGAAAATAACGAGAGTCCCGGTCTAACGGGAAACTCCCGGCAGCTCGGAGAAGGACTAGTTCCAAACCCATGGATACCTCACGCCATGAGCCGGCCTGGGTAGCGCTACCGCTAATTAGTATGCAGAGGTACCTGTCGAGTAGTTCAACGTAAAGTACCTCGAGCTCTGTGTACTCGAGCTCCTAGGGGCTTGAAGGCACTGGAGGGGACGCTGTTCACCAGTAGGACGCGCGAAAAAAACCCGCAAAGGTGCCCCGAGGACCCAAAAGGTGCGGTAATCCTCGCCCATTCTATGGAGCAGCTGGCAACGCGCCAATCGAGTTCCGGGTGTCACGCCCCAGAAAATCTTTAGTGCTAATGTGCCGGTCCTTGCCGCGCTCTTTTGCCTGCCAGAAGCCCTGCTGGGACTGCAATGTGAGCTAAAATTATTTACTTCCCTTCCAAAACGGGTAAGCACGTAAACACATTGGCTGCCCCGGTGCCGACTGCCATCTACAATCTATCCATCACTCACCCTCGAAGGGCAGATTGGATCATCGGGCATCATGCGGTGTTAGCTACCTCAGTGCATAGCATCAACCTTGAGCATTTCCTACCGCTTAACACACCAATCATCTTCAAGTAAATCTGGCATACTTTTTACCCTCCATCCTAGCAGTATCTCTGCTGCGTTGACCAAGCATCTTAACAAGCATCAAAGGGCTTTTGCATCGCTCTGCTATACATCTCGAAAGCATCTTATCCGATGTCCAGCATTGATATATATAGCTCTAGCAGTGGATATGGACACCTCACCTGGCGCTCCCTCGACATGGCGATCTCGGCAGCCTCTGAACTCGACTCAGCCAGCCCTGGAACACTCGCAAACATGGACTGCGAGTAGATGCCGTCGCTTGCTACGGCCACTATTTTCTCATGTTGCTGCATTGAAGAAGCAAGTCAGGAGAGAGCAAGCAGAAGCAGCTGTCGAATGCGGATCAGCTGGTGACTCAGGGCCCGACAACGTTGCTATCGCTTTAGATCCCAACGCACCAAGGAATAAAGTGCGGCATACTTATTCTCGAAGGCGCAAAAATCCAAGGCAACCCTCTGAGTCCTCGGCTAAAGACAATCGACCAACAGAACTCCCATCCACGATGTATCAGCATTCTCGACGCCGTACTGTTCTTCCGGGAGAAATCGTGCTTCCGACCCCGGTCTTAAAACGAGCACGAGGTCATCAAATACTGTCTCCTGTTCCTCAACCTGCTCTAGGTCAAAATGACAACACTCGGCCCAGAAAGAGACAGAAGCTAGTTCGGGGTGACTATCCTGTTTACGTTCGTGCGAATCTGGAAGATGAGTTGATGGCTCTTCGCATGAGCATTCCTGCTTGTCAATACCCAGTATACGAATCTCTATTTCGTTCCTTTGAAGCATTACTTCGGGCGACCTCAGACATGAGCCAAGTATCGAAGCCTAAATCATTGCTTACTATGTGCCTGCGCAAAGTGCCACATTATATCGACGAACTGGAGTTCTGGGAGCAGAAAGACGCAGAGGAGCACGGCAACAAGTCAATCCTACAGCATTCAGAGATCCCTGACCAGATCTATGGTGAATTGGAATCTCTAGGCTCTGCAGACTGTGGTTGGAAGCATCTCAGAACGGTAGTCCGGGCGCACGGTGTCAAGGTGATCACTGATGCTATCAGGGATGGGCTCCTGGACATTGCCTTTCCAAGGCTTCTGGTGATGCTTTGTTGTCGCTCACAGTGTTACATCGAAGGGGAAGACATCATTCGAGTTATGGTGGACCGCCAATACCCCAAACCAAAGACAACTAACAGTACCTTTGACGACACACGACGGCTCAGTCCCCTACGTACGCTCTGTGACTTTGCTCGGGACAGCAATCGACCCCAAACTTTAATGAGGCAAATAGCTGCCCTGCTAGGCAATGGCCGCTTACCTGCCAGTTGGTTGACCACGAAAGAGTTTAGAGCCGTGTGGTCCTCGGCAGCTCACAGCATCTCTGAAGTCAAGGGATGTGATGAGGCGGTGTTCTTCGTGGTTCAATCAGTAACTCTATTGTGCCAAATGGATTCAGAAAAAAATTGGACGGCATCAACATTTCAAGACGACGACTTTTATAGAAATGCTCGACAAACTTTGATCAGTATTCTGACAGTATTGGTATCCATACCAAGACTGAGTAAAGAGGCGGATGGGCAAAGCAATTCGCCAAAACAGAAAAGCATCATCATCACTAGGAGAGTAAGGTACATCATACAAGCTTCTCTTCGGGGAATCATGGGATCACAACGGGGAAACATTTCTCTAGCTAAATATCTCCTCACCTTGGCAGAATATTTCACTCCTACCAGTCTTAAGATGGACCATGATGGCTCCACCGCACAGAGCCAGCTGTCCCGTCTTTGCAAGACAATGTTGAGTAGCGGAAAGGGAAGGGCCTGGACTCAAGTCTACGAAGGTACCCTTTCTATGATGTGCTCTGTTGCGCATTGCTGTGGACGAGGTGCATCGCTACCGTCACATCACTATGTTCTCGAACTTTCCAACATGCTCAACTCCTTAGAGTTACCTGGTCAGCCGTTTAAGAGAGTCGACTCCGCGGCTGCATTCTCCCTCGCAGAGAGAACTAACGACTTGCGTGACTTGGCATACGCTGAGACTTTTCGTGCATCTCAGTCGGGCGGGACTACACCAACTTCACAGAAGTCTGTCTTTTCGGGCTATCGTTGGGATAAGGATATTAGTGGTGAGTTGTTGTTACCGCCTCTGTGTCCTCTAATGGCTACTTTGACTGGGAAACTTTGACACATACTAATCTGGTAAATAGAATGGGTCATCGCTAGCCCAGCCTTCGATAGACTGGAGACTGTCCACTCCCCATCGATTGATACGAGGCGGAGCACTGCTCATACTCAGACTTTCACAGTGAAATCAGATCTGACACAACAAAGTAACAGCATACTTTCAATCTTGGGTAATGCAGATGACTCATCTGAAGATGACTCCGTACCTTCAACAGATACATCTGAAGACGAAACCACATTCACAAAGTGTTCGAAGGGTAGCATACGAAACATAGATCATCGATTACGACGAAGGGGAAGGGATGGCATGTCGAGTAGTCTCCAAACTACAGCACAAGCCCGCAATCTTGCCCTTGGCCAGGAGAACCGCAAGCCAAGTCAAATTGCTAAAGGCAGTGGGGGAGGCAAGAAACGGCACACTGGTGACCTGCTTCGAGCCCGCATTCCGCTTAGGACCCTCGATGGAAAGATGAACCATAACGAAAGCGATGACGAACTAGGGATGTGAACCACCAACTTCTGTCACATAAAAGATGACCCCTCTTGTGGGAGTCGACGAGAATAGCAGTGTCATGCCAAGGCATTCATCTGATAATGTCGACGAAGAGGATCTTGTCAGGGACACAGCCTAGACAACCATCGCATCCATGTATCAGGACGGTGGATATCATGGTGGAGATTTAAAAAGCAGATAGACACGACTGGCCTATGGAGTAGAGGCTGAAATAATCCATATCAAGATACTGCAGATCATCTCGGTGGCTACCGAGTTTTGACGCACAATTCGAAACAGAATGTGGCTCGACTAAACCTGCCGTGCGAGATAAGGAGAGTAGGGCCAGGAATACTGGACGATTCGGCCAGCGCATTTAGACCCGAGACGAAATCCAGAAATTTCACGGAAGTGACGGCACAAGTGCAGCGAGAATCGTACAGATCTGGCCGACTAGTTCATACAAACTGGGACTCAAAGAATAGCAATGAAAGACGACATTGTAGCACGAATGACATTACCTGACTGAAAACATCGCCTCCAGCCGTGGAACTCACCTTGACTCGTAAATCTCCGAGAAACTCGGTCGAAATGCGGCTCTGAAAAAATATTAGTTATCAATTGGAACCAAAATGGCTTTTCATGGTGGTTTGGGCAAAAATGCCATCTCAATGTAACCCTCGTTCAACCCATTTAGACGGTTTCAAAACCGTCGCGATGACGCACGCACATCAAGAACCATGGCGTCGCAACGTTTGACTGATGCACGACCCAGATTTTTCGGAGTCCTAAAAAAAGGTGAATCATTTCTTGGCATCCAGTACGTAGTCTCACCAGAGAACATGTTGACGTTTGTGTGTCCGTGGACGCGGGCGCAGTGGCTGCTGCGGTCCGGGTTGTCTCCCATCGCGGTGGTGGTTGGGAAAGGCCCGAAGTTCGACGATTTCCACATTCCAGAGGGACGCACATGACCTGCCCCAGCCACAACACGACGTTCACGATTCGGCGGGACTTGTAGTGACGATATGCACATAATTGCTCGGGATGTGGGCATTTCATGCGCGGGAGGCCTGTCCGGGCGTGTTCGGAGCCCTCTTGCTGGTTGCATGAACCAACGTCTGTAGGAGGCGTGTCCCTTGTCCTGACCAGTATTGCGCAACACATTCGTCCTGTTTTAAAAACATGAACAGTGGCCACGAAGGTCGGGCCATGGACCGGGGGTTCGATAAGTCGCTACATGTGAAAAAGGCGGAACCAAGCTTTTGCTGGACACCAGAGATGAGACAGGTCGTGCGATAGTCCTGGCCGCCTCTGCTCATGAGAAGAAAGAGAGATACATTGCCAAGGGTAAAATGAGCCGTTGCAAAGCCAAGCCTATCGTGCGGCCTCTATCATTTCGATTTCCTGGTCCACCTCCGAGGCGGACGATTGATGAGTCTCAAGTGTATTACGAAGGCATGTCTCACGAAATTCTGTCGAGACCCACGGCCGATATGATCAATAACCAATATCGGGTTGGCCAGCTGGATGTGGTACAAGGCCCGACCAGTCACGAGGCCAGCCTCTCGAACCCATGAGGATGATGGTCAATGAACAGTCGATCTGCGCTTGTTCGATCAAATTTTGATGGAGAGAAACCTGACCGCTGTGGCTTCCTGTTGTTTGTGATTTGCCATGGCCTGTTTTGCCCGTTGTTGCCAATCATCGTGCAAGCAAACAACCCGAACTCTCCTGAGAAGGCCCCTGTCCGCGGGGCGGCCCCTGGCCACCCACTGGAGTGGTCGTTTCAGAGTTGTCGTCGTTCATCGTCGTCCAATCGGCCCCGCTTTCGCGCAGCCAGCCACGCCGCTGGCTGGCGAATCATCAGCTCCAGGCCGCCGAAGAGAAACGCATCGCGGGACGGCCATTCGCTGGAGGCGGCAGAGCCTCGGACGGTCCATCGCAGGCTTAGTGCTGTGGCGGACGCAGGTACAGGCCGAAGCACCCCAATCACCCCTAGCATTGACGGGACACGCAGCCATGTCGAACACGAGAGACCTGCGTCTATCTGCTGCTGCGTATACTTACTGCGCATAGTACATGTATCTGGGCAGCTTTGCAGGGCAGGGGCAAGCAAGACGCCCAAGCCAGCTCGGCGCCCAGGGCTTCCCTGGCCCCTGGAGGTCGGGCAACCCCAGCGAGGATCCCTCTCTCGTATGCGTCTTCCCATCGTTCTATCGGAAGATCCTGCTCGGTGATCACTGGGCCCCTGGGGAGCGGGCTCGCCTGGAGATGAGGGACCGGCGCTGCTAATATATCTCAGAGCAGCTAAGCAGGGCAAGGCGGGCTCAGGCTGGCACCCCCTTGATTCGCCAATCTACACCATTTTACCAAACTTGCAAAGTAGATGCTGACATGCAGCAACCACGAGGGGATTCTCCGGGTGCCGGTAGGATCAAGAAGCGCGCGCTGCTGGTGCTGGCACTGGTGCTGGTGCTGGTGCTGACGAAGTTTGCCCTCCAAGAGATTCTAGGTGTAGGGATTGGAATGGTTCGATACGCTATGCGTTTATGCGCCCACGCCATCGTCATTAGGGGAGGGCGGAGAGGACGACAAGCAGAAACAAGGTGAACGTCAGCGTAACTAAGAGATGCCAAAGTGAGACAGCCATACGCAAGTGTGAGAGGGCGGTTGCTTGCTTCTTGCTCCACTGAGCGTCCTGGGAGCCTGGGCCGGTGGAGGCTTGCTCCAGGTGCTCCAAGTAAATTGGAACCGCGACGGGTAGTTGATTGACTGTGCTGCACACAGCAGACGCCACGCCCGCAATTGTAAAACACACACCTCTCACACCCACTCACACTCACCCACTCACTCACTTCAGGTACACTGTCCAGTGGCCCACCTGCACTCCGGGAGGGGAGGGAGTGAGTTGAGTACCGGTACCCATCCCTTCTTTCTCTCTCTCTGTCTCTGTCTCTCGCACTCACACCCCCTGACTCCCCCAGGTAAGGCTACACCAATATATCCTGCCATGCCACCACCGCCGGTAGGTGCATTGCATTTCACCTTCCACTCCGTCTTGTTTCTGTTTCTTCTCTTTCTCGGAGCCTCTCCGTGACTTTCCCAAAAGTCGAAGCCGTCGCTTGTTTGCCCAAGTCAATTCGATTTCACGAGCGCATCGACATCGTTCTTTTCGAGGCTTTCTCTTCTTCTCTTCACATTTTTCCCGCTTCGGCTCGTCTTAGTGCCGCGATCACTTGGCCCCTCCACCAGCCTCCTTCAACCACGACCTGTGAGCTCATCTAGCTGAGGGGATCACCGACCTCGTCAGTATTTTTTCGCTGTGGCATTCCTGAGGTGGGCAAAGAAGAACATCACGGTCTGGTCACGCAACAGTATTATTCTTCTGGAAGATAACGTACGAGGGGAGATAAGTGGCACTGGACAGGAAGCCATCATTCAGCCATCGTCTCACGATTGAACCCTTCTTTTGACTCTGATTCTGTCGTCACTACATCAGGCACAGACCTGCCATCATTTCAAAAGCCACAGATTACATCACCTTTTTTCTTTCTTTTCGTGCAGGACTCGAAAAACGCAGAAACCCTTTTTACTGAGCTTGGGTACTTGACTTGATTCTCTTCAGAACTAGGTCTTCTTCATCCCTGTCAAACGAGTATTACATTCGACCAAGGACTTATGACATATCAACTGGATATCTGAATTACCTTCTCTCACCACTCTTTTCGCCCGCAAGGGAAAACATTCGCAATTCATACTCTGGTCTTGGATTTTGAGTAGGAAGCATGTCTGCAACACAGACCGGAACCGCTGCTGGGGGAGGTGGAAATGGAACTGCTACTGGAGGGCAGGCGCAGGCGGCGCCTGGTGAAGGGTCGGCCATCAACCCGGAGTTGGAGAACGAGATGCTATCCCGTTACCTGTTCGCCGTCCTTGGATGCTTGGCGGGCGTCCTCATCATCTGGAGATGTATCAACGTGCTGGTGAGGTATGTGCGGCAGGTTACATGCCTCAACAACGACACCCAGCGATACTTTGCAGCTCCGTCGTCCAAGGTGTCGTTCTTCAAGAAGACTATTCAATATGCACCTATCCTAGGCAAGCGACACAACCGGGAGTTCGCCCTCAGCTCCGCAGTCAATATGGGAACTCTCCCAACGAGGCTTCAACTTGTCGTCTTAGCAGGATACTTCGCAACCAACGTTGCCTTTTGTGTCTTGAACGTGCCTTTCCACGAGAACTTCGACACTGCTTCAGATCAACTGAGGAACAGGACGGGTGTTCTTGCGGTCGTCAACATGGTCCCACTGTTTCTTATGGCCGGGAGAAACAACCCCCTGATCAACTGGCTTGGCATCTCATTTGATACCTTCAATTTGTTGCATCGATGGCTAGGACGAATCGTCATTCTGGAATCGATTGCACACGTATTGGCTTACTGGATCGGTTCGGCCGCAGAGAAGGGATTCCCTGCTGTCTTCCAAAGGACAATAAGTGTTCCTTACATGATGTGGGGCTTTGTTGTGAGTACACCATCCATCTATTGCTGCGAATCCCTGCTTACGACTTTGTAGGCCACTTGTGCTTTCATCGCCATCGGTATTCAGGCCATGAGCGTCTCACGACACGCCTTCTACGAGACATTCAAAATCGTACACATCGCTCTAGCGGCCTTGGCTGTGGCTGGTGTTTGGTATCACTTGGTCCTGAAGCATCTCCCGCAAATCAAATACCTATATCCCGTCATTGCTCTGTGGTGCCTTGACCGACTGGCTCGATTCCTGCGTGTCATGTACACCAATGTCGGAGCGGGCGGCACCAAGACTCTTGTAGAAGCTCTTCCCGGCAACGCCTGCCGCGTGACTGTCACCATGGCTCGGCCGTGGACTTTCAAACCCGGCCAGCACGCCTACCTGTATATGCCTAGCATCAGTGGCCTGCAATCTCATCCGTTCTCGGTCGCCTGGAGCGAGGAGGCGGAAGATCTGCATGGAGAAAAGCTGCCCATGGATCGCACTGATGTGCTGGCGATGCGCAAGACAAGCATGTCCTTCGTGATCCGGGCTCGCGCCGGCTTTACTGGCAACCTATACAAGAAGGCGTCCGAGTGCAAGGGCGGAAAGCTACTAACAAGATGCCTTGTTGAGGGACCGTATGGAGGCATGCACAGCCTGCAATCATATGGCACGGTGATGCTCTTCGCCGGCGGCGTCGGCATCACGCAAGCAGTCCCGCACGTCCGCGAGCTTGTCGCTGGCTATGGCAACGGCACTGTTGCCGCGCGCAAGATCGTCCTGGTGTGGATCATCCAGAGCCCAGAGCACCTTGAGTGGATCCGGCCGTGGATGACCGAGATTCTGGCCATGGAACGCCGCCGGGACGTGTTGCGCATCATGCTCTTCGTCTCACGGCCGCGGTCTACCAAGGAGATCCACTCGCCTAGCGCCACCGTCCAGATGTTCCCGGGTCGTCCCAACGTCGACACCCTATTGGGCATGGAGATGGAGCAGCAAGTCGGCGCCATGGGCGTGTCCGTCTGCGGTCCGGGAGCACTCAGCGATGAGGTCCGCCGCGCGGTTCGCAACCGCCAGTATCAAGGCACGATTGACTTTGTCGAAGAAGCCTTTTCGTGGTAAGGACAGGCTGTTCGCCCCGCCTGCCTTTGCCCTCTTGGAGTGTACATAATTGCTTTGTGTTTTGCGTTTTGCTCATGTTCAGAGAGACATACTACCCCACGGTCCTTTCCGTTGCGGTGCCCCTGGAGAGATTCTTGTACATGGTTCGATAAACATTGCTCCAACCTTCCTGTCAGGGAGGCGGGCTTTTTTGGATTTGTTTTGCAAATAGATGGCGTGGGAAGGGAGATATCTGCTACTCAGTATGGAAATGAAAGAAGATAACGATTTCATCGATGTTCTGTCGCTACCAATGATTGTCCTCGACTGCACTTAATATTCCCTCCTCGTGAGATTTCGAATATTCTCTTGTGTCTTCTCCTAGATGGTGACAGGAGAAATGCCTCTGCCCTACAGACTTGCACTATGACATCTCAAAGAAACCTGGCCTTATCTCTTGTGGCTTCGATCATGGCACGGACTGCTATCGGATAATGGACCCCGCATGGGAGGGTCACCCCACCTAAGTCCACTAAGTCGTAGCACTAAGATGCCCCTCCATCCCTTCCAGGCTCGAGCCAGGGTCTTCTGTAGTGGACTGTCGGGTGACAAGCGACAGCTGACCGGCCACTCACCCACCCCCCAAGTCGCCCATGTCACGACCTGGACCGTTCGTTAGCCTCACCTAGACTTCCTCCCAAAGGCGACAGATACCACACCTCAGGCAGTCGTCGTCCACCAGTAGGAGGCTGTGCCACCTTAACTATTAGTCCTCACACCTCTTTCTATGGTCTCTTCACTTTCTTGACAACTCCTCACGACAAAGCAGACCTTCTACTGTAAGCTACCACTCAAGAGGAGCTCTTTTTCTTCCTGCCCGCCCTGCCCGTGCCCTGCCATCACTAACGTCATCGAGCGATAGCCAGCCGGCAGGCTTACCTGACCGTGATCTGATTCCCACCACATCGCATCCCACGATATCGATATCCTCTGCAAGCCACTGGGCTGTAACGTTTTTTCTTCATATCAAGCAGCCATGGGTCTCGCATACAATACCTACCTGAACGGCGGCAAGATCTACGGCTGCAAGAACTGCAAGGCGCACCTGTCCAACCACGAAGACATCATAAGCAGAGTGAGTTGCCCTCCTCGTCAACCCACAGGAAAACCAAGCGTCCTCCCCAAGCCCAGGAAGGATCGTAGGTATGAGAGGCGGCGGGCCCTAGACTGATCGCGCACTCTTTGCAGAACTTCCGCGGTCAGCATGGTAAGGCGTATCTCTTCAACAACGTGGTCAACATCGACACCGGCGAGCCTAGCGAGCGTAACATGACGACGGGCCGCCACATCGTGCGCGACATTGCCTGCAAGCAGTGCAAGGAGACGGTCGGCTGGAAGTACGACAAGGCGTACGAGAACAGCGAGAAGTACAAGGAGGGCAAGTTCATCCTCGAGGCCGAGCTGCTCTGCAACGTCAGCTGAGAAGGGGGGGGATGCATGTCCATCTCGCCGCCGCCTTTGTGGTGCGGCTGTCCGGGGAATGCACTCTCGCCCGCGATGCACAACGCGCTTGAGATGAGCGTTGACCCATCGGGATGGAGCTAGTATCACCTGCCGGGGGATGGGTCGGGGATGTGCTGGTGCTTTGCTTTGCCTTGCGATTTACGACATTCATCATTTGCATATCTGCTTGGCGTTGGGGAGGATGCTTTCGGTTTGGCTTTTGCACAGCTTGAGGATTGGCGGCCTCTACGGCTGGACATGAGATTGAGGGATTTGGCTAGGCTAGGATAGGTACAGTAGAGGAGGCTCTGAACTCGCATCAATTCACATCAACTCACACACTAGCTCTGCATAGGCTTCTGTCCACTGTCTGGACTTGCGCTACTCGATGCATGTGACGGGAGGAACGCTAAGCTCTCTAATATGGTTTACCTGGGTCGTTGGACATGTCATTCCTTTGCACTGGACTAACAGAGATATCCGAAATAGCAAGGGGAAGTAATATTGAGACGACTCTGGAGCCTAAAGCTGACTAGAAACAACCAATCCAAACCATGTAAGTGGCCAATGTCCAAACCGGAGAAACAAGACAGGGTCCAACGTCCGAACGCCAGCTCTTACAAACTCCATGTATGCAATGCAAGGAATGTCTCGTGTGTATATACAAGTAGAAGGATGGCTCTACAGGTGTTCAACGGGCTCCTCTGGGAGGAGCTCGGGGATGCCCTCTTCAACCCTGAGGAACTTGAAAGGTGGCTGGACAAGCCCGTTGAATAGGAAGGTGAAGTACACCAGCAAGACGAAGCCCACCACCTGGAGCCACTTGAAAGTCTCCCAGCCCAGGCCAAGGGACACGATCCAGATGAACAGGGTCCTGCAGGTGTCAATGGTGGAGCGCGACGTCGCGCTGACAGACCTTGTCACAGACAGTCCGAAGAAGTTGAAGCCACTATTACATGTTGTCAGCAGTAATTCAGTATCTAATGAAAAACATGCAATCTTACCCAATGCTGAACATGATGAGGATACTGGAGAGAAGCACCTGAGGGTTCTGGGTCCACTGCTTCCAGCCCTCAATCATGTCGAAATAGCCGTACTTGCCAGCCTCCGTACGACCAATGGCAAAGTGCAAGATAATCATGCCAAGCACCGTGACAATGAAACCAAAGAGGCCCTCAAAGCCAACCACACGAAGGGGCTCGATCGTCGAGCGTTCTAAGATGTACTCCTCGAGCACAAACTGAGTGGCAGTGAAGATCTGCGCTCCGGCGATCAGGAGCACGCCGATGACGGCGCGCAGTGCATCGGCATTGATCTCGACGTCTTCCGGCTCCGGGGCTGGGGACGGTCCGCCGGCCGAGCTGTCCTTCTTGTCGGGGTAGATGGCCCCTGCCAGGCCGACAATGGCGACGCCGAGCACGACGCCCAGGAGGGACAGCCACTGGAAGAGATGCAGCTTGCGCTTGAGGAATAGCACGCTGAACAGGCCGACGAAGAGCACCAGTGCGCCACGGGTCATCTGGTAGATGGATGCCGCGACCAGCAGCAGACCAGCATTCATCAGTGTCGTGCCGCATATGTCACAGATGGCTGGCAGCGCCAGCAGCGTGACGCGGAAGCCCTTCAGGAGACCGTCCGACGACTTCTTGCTTGAGCCATTGGGCGTCAGAGCGTCCGTGGACCGTATGCTCGCGGCGTCAGCATCAGCGTCGGCCTCCGTCGTGTTGACAGCTTCGTAGCCGGCTTCCTTGGAGACGAAGCGCTTCCAGAGATTAATCAGGCCGATCACCAGCCAGCAGCCCATCTCGCCGACGAACATCTGCGCCGTCTGGATGACGGGCTGCTCGAAGTTGGCTCGTTTCTTCGGATCGGGGTCATCGCAATTTCGGACACATTGATTGTCCTGTAGGCGCGCAAGCCAGTCAGTATGAATTGTCCGTAAGCTAGCAGTTGCTGTAGAGTGTAATATACCTGATACTTGGTAAGGAGAGTGTTGCAGACGCCTGTGAGAAGCATCATCCCCACGAGGAAGGGGATAACGGCTCGGGACGCCATGATGAAGATTGAGGTTGTAGAGCGTTGTCGACTTGCGGTCGTGGAAGATGGCGGGATGACAGGCAACCGTTTCCAGCAAGTGTGCAGTTTACCAGCTTGGGAGGTAGACCAAGCTGTGGTCGATGCAGATAAATAGGAGAGAAGAGAGACAAGAGAGAGCAGACAGAAGTAGCTGACTGTTTCTCTTGTGGTGTCTATTCAGGCACCGAAATGGAAGTCTCCGAGCTCGCCTTTGTTGAAGAGTCGAGGTCAAGGTGTGGTGTCCGATAAGCCGCGAGGCACGTCGATACAGCCGAGCCAGCAGTGGTGACACACGCACTGCGGAGATCACGCGGGCTAGTGCTGCATCCCTGCTGGACCAAGTCAGCGGCTCCACTAGCCAACTCTACAACAGCCTCTTTGAGCATCTGGCCAGCAAGCCACTTCAGGTAGACAAGTCATAATGCCAATGCGCGTTGGAAATGTATTATTGTCTGAGTAAATACTGTGCTAAGGCAATGGGGGTGCCATGTATGATTGACAAGTACATCTTTGGAAGTTTGTAAGCTACTTATGATGCTCGACATAGGTTGACTCGAGCAGTCATGAATCTAAAGAAGTCTGAAATGACATACATGTAACTACCTCTGTAGGTATCACTGATGGAATCTCACTCGCTACAGTGCTGATAAACGCCGAGGGATCAAGACCTCTGATATTATTCACATACGCTAGCTGATTATGGGTATCTTATCCTGCTTATACTCCCGGTCGCACCGCTTACAACGAAAGTTGATCTTTAGTTCTTCTCCTTTCTAGCAAACAAGCCGTGCTTCTTCTCCGAGTCCACCTTGTTCTTCTCCTTCTCCTGCTTCGGCGCCTTGTCCTTCAAGTTGTTGTAGTGCTGAATTCCCAGTTCTTTGTCTCTCGCAAGCTTCTCCCGGTCTTCGTCACTTAGAGGGACACCTTCAATACCCTTCACCTTCTTTCCTTCTATAAACATCATCAAGCCTCCCAATGCTGCAACAATGCAGGCCAGGGCCACAAACAGACCAGTCGACCAACTAGGCCTGTCATAACGGTTCATGCCCCACATGAATCCAGACAAAACACATTGGAGAAACGTGTTGCCAACCATCATCCAAACAACAAAATCCATTCTCCACAATGCGGTAGGTGGTGCCCGCGTTCCCGTCAATGGCGCGTTTGGGATGAGCTTTTCTGGGAAGGGAACGCTCGCCATCGGAACGTGTGCGTCTCCCTCGCGGTTCTGGATGTTGTCCGGGCCAACATCAAGGGGGAGTGTCTCAGATCCACCAAGACGGAACCATCCTCGATGAATGCCTGCGAGGCGGCGGAGAGCCTCCTGTTTGCCCCAAATGCGATACCTCATGAGGTAGTAGAAATCACGGAATCTCCAAGGCGCCAATCCAAAGCCAGTCACGCAGAACAAGGCGTTGAGGATCTGCGAGTCCCACTCAATCCATTTTCGACGAGGGGAGTTGATGTTATTGCAGCTCGGATGGCACATGGCAGGGCTGGCGTTGCAGAGGAGAAGGAAGAGCATTCCACCCCATGCGACGACATTGAGACCATAGACAACGACGCAGAAGCCAAGCGGTGTGAGGGTGTAATTCCAAAATGCAATTGCGGCTTTCTTGGTGGACTGTCGCTTTGAGTAGCTCGGTGGGAAATGGTAGCCATTGTCAAAGGACTCTGTTGCTTTGAGTTCAGGTGCACTGTCCGTGGTTGCCGCGCGCCCAGCATCGATTGTCACCCCATCCGAGGATGACCCGGGTGCTCTGCCCTCCCTCTGCTCAGCGGATGTGGAGATGTCTTTCTCGATTCCGTCATCATGGTTTTCTTCTGCGATCTTAGGTGTTGATGAGAGCAGTTGTCCTGATTGTACCGAGGCAGACGCCCGTCTCTCCACTATAGGAGACGGCGGCGCAGGATTGCTGCTGGCGCGACTAGGTCGGGTGGTCGACTCATCGGAAAGATTAATTATGGAGGAGGCAAAGTCGCCTGTGGCCGCCATAAAGCCCGCCGGCGGATGCGATTCCTCAAAGTCCTTCGACAGACTCCGTATACGGTTTGATATGACAGAGGCAGTTGACGGACGCCTCGGTGGTTGTGTCTTGTCCGTGGTAGAGCTGCGCCGGCGGGAGGGTGGAGGCGGCGCACCTTCAATGGGGGGGAACTGGTCGACTTCTCTTGAGCCGGCCATTGTGTGTTGAAGGCTCTCTCGTCGAGAATGTCGTGAAAAGCGGATCTGCGGATGTTGGGGAGAAGGAGAGATGTACCGGGACCAGATCAGTTGATCGGACAACGCAATTAAAGTGGTAGTGGCGAAATAATAGAATTTGAAGAATTATACAGTGTTCAGGCCAGATTGTTGCCAGCAGAAGAGAACTGGTTCTGGCAAAGGGATCTGGATTGAAAGGCAAAGGGGAGGAAGATGTGTTGTTGCGAAGAGAAATTGTGGTTGCGAGAGTCAGGTAAATGCGACGGTCTAGAGTCTAAAGAGGTAGCGAGAGCGAGCTTGGCGACGACATGTGCCACATAGTGGCTTTGAGTCGTCGAATGCACCTGCATGCGGTGCGGTGCTGATTGAGGTAGATCTACTGCATAGTAGGTAGGTTAGATAGGCTCATAATTAGGTCAGCCACGCTCTGGGCCAGTCGGAGCTCCCACACCGGCACACTAACACGGCACGAATTCAAGTTTAATTGGGTGGAACACCCCCGCCCAATTCCAGCCTGTTTAGCTGCTGGAGTGCGAGATTCATCGTCATACGCGTATCTCAAACTCTGGATTCGTGATGTCACAAGAGGCCATAACAGAGGGTTTTATAGTGTTTCTGTGAGACCTGAAGAGCCGGGAAGCAGGCTCGTGAGACACGCGGCTAGCTTGGATAGCATATCGAGTATCATAATGACGCTCTGTCTAGGTGGTAATTCAATGCGTGTGAGCTGGTGACAATTGTATGATAGGCGATACTACAGCCAGTTTCATAAGACCAGACAAGAAACTATTGCGCAGGAAAGCCACAGCACATACCTCACTCTTGAAGCCAAATGCGGCACCATCTCTCAAAAGAGTTGCCAGTATTCGTTTGTGGGCGAGAAAAGAAAGACACCTCCTGCCAACCTGAGTAGGAGGTCATGTTAGAGCTTGCAGTGATGGGCCAGGGTTAGGGAAATTTTTGTAACTCAGGCTCCGCTCACCTCACCTGCATACCAGCACCATTTGCCAACACGAGCACCTCTTTGGCCCCTTGCATACCATCGCATACCCGGGTCCTGGTATACTTAACCTACCTGGTCTCTCAATCTGTTTACTCATTTCAAATCTGACCGGATTCATCATGTCTTTCCCGGCTCATATTGAATCCCTGACGCTTGCAGTTCTTGATAATCTTGAAAATCAACAGGACTGGACGAGCCTCAAGGTTCACCGAGATGCATCGAAGCCAAGACCTTTGATTTCTGGCCTGCCGCCTCGCCGCATCTATGTCCATCCAGATGAGCAAATCGAGATCCTCAAGGCTGAGAAGGCGCAAGGGCAGAGCATACCGCAGCCACCGGAGCTCGAGTGGGTGATGCCGATCCATCTGGCTGAGAAATCGTCTCTGAGTGCTTTTGCTGCAGTCTTTGATTCCATCGAGGCCATACCTCCCGGTACAGCAACTGAGGGAGCTGCATCGGACGACACGGCCGTACAGTGGCGCCAGTGGAGAGGCCCAAAGAGAGGCAAGAGGATTCTACTTGCTACGGTACATGATGACTCAACAGTTGTCTACTATCTCATGCATGATGGCATCGTGAAGCCCAGGCAGAATTGATTATATGTCAATTCTTGTTGTACACTCGACGCATGTCTAAGATACAGGCAAACTAAGCATGGCATTGCTCAGCCAAGCTGAGGCCTGCTATTGTTCAATGCTCCCGTCTTCGCGATAGCCAACTATCAAGGTGTGAAGATAATTTTCTGCGCCTTCATGCTGTTAAACAAGTCATAGCCCTCGACAGCGGACGACAACGGCATAATCTTGTCGAACATAAAGCTACTTAACGTTAGCCGCGCATGACCCAGAATAGAAGCTGCCATATCAAGGTTTGCTTACCTCAACTTATCCTGATTCCTCGCGAGTACCTCCAAAGCCTCCGGGAAGACTGACCGGACGGGGCATCTTCCGGTCTGGATTCTAAGATTTTTGCTGCGAATATATTAGCTTCGGTCGTCATTGACAACTTATGTTTTGGGATTTACCCATAAGCTTCCGATCCGGAATATGGGATCTGTTGAGGTTAGCTTTGGCCTCTCAAGTGTCTTCGGCTCCGATCCTACCTCAGCATTGTGCACACCGATACTCGAGATCACGCCGAATGGCCGGAGGAGATCGAAAGCCGTTCTCAAGGCGGGACTCAGCCCGACGACCTCGATTACTGCATCAGCACCTCGTCCATCGGACGCTTCCTTCACACGCTTGAGCATTCCTTCTTTGTCAGTCATGAAGTTGAGTGGCTCCGCACCCAACTTCTTGGCAAGCTCAAGGCGGCTGTCAATGCTGTCTACGGCGAACAAGTGCTTGGGCTTGTATTCCAAGGCAGCGATGATTGCACAGAGACCAACTGGACCACATCCAACCACGACAACAGTGGCGCCAGCCTTCTCTTCCGGGCTCAGTTGTCGGAATGCGTTCTTCGCCCCGAAGTAGCCAGTCGGAAAGATATCAGCCATGAGAATCAGCGCTTTGTCATCTATCTCAGGTGGCGCCTTTGTCACCGTCCCATCTGCGTATGGAATCCGCACGAACTCAGCTTGGCCACCATCCCTAGATTACTCTCAGAATCGACGTCTCGTTCCCGCTTGATTAGTTGATATGGCAACTTACAGGCTAGCCGAGCCAAAGAGCTGTCCCTTGGCACAGCGGGATGAATAGCCATTATGGCAGTAGAAACAGTCGCCACTACACAGTTCATCGCAGGTCAGCCTGAACATATGCTGGTACTGCGTGCTTGGCAGTACCAATTGCTCAGTGCTGTACTCACCATGAGGTAGTAAAGGGTGTGACGACCTTGTCGCCCACCTTCACTGTTTTCACCTCATCGCCAGCCTCGACAATGATACCGGTGAACTCATGCCCCATAATAAACCCAGTCTCCGAGACCTGGTGACCCCTGAAGACATGAAGCTCCCTGCTCAAGCTCAATTGTCAGGAGGTCCATTGGTAAGGAAAACCAAGATGGATCTTGGTAGGATTTCACTAGTACATACGAGCCGCACAGGGCGGTGGCCTGGACCTTGACAATGATATCTTGCGCATGCTGTACTACATGCATGTGTCAGCCAGAATGAGGCGAAAAAGCCATGGGGCTTGGCGGCGGGAAGAGCCTCCGGCCTTACACTTTGGGGTCGGCCGGTCCTGGACAGAGACCTTGAACGGCGCATCAAAGACGACGGCCTTCATGGTGCTCGGCAGCTGCGACTGAGACATGGTGGTGCAATATGAGGTACTGATTAATTGAATTATTGAATCAATTTGCGGATTTGCGGGGAAGCAGATGCTATGACATGATGTATGTGAGGCATTGTTACTCCGCGGCACTGTCTGTCTCTCCAAAACACAGCCGTCAAATCAAGCTACAGTGCTGAGTGTAGCCATCCATCATGTTCCGAGGGCTAGAGGAATCCGTAGCGGGGTAAGGACCAACGAAGGCCCTCTCCAAGGTGCGACTTCGGCGGATGAGTGCCGGATTATTCACGGCGATTCACTCTGAGGCAGGTAGGTACAAGCGGGTTCCTCCACTCTTGAATTTAGCATTGAAAGATTTGCTTGGGGCTTCCTCGCCGTTCAATATCTTTTATGAATTCGTTTGCATCAGGCATGAAAAGATATGACGTGAGACAGAAACGGAAAGAGGCCAAGAAGTAGAGGACTAATAACGCTCGCTTCAACCTGTGAGGATGCGCAAAATAGAGGTAGGATTGATGGGAGAGGCACAGAACGACAATGCTGACCGACCACTCAGAAGGGCAGTAGCCTACTGGAGGGGGGGTGGAAGCAGATGAGGTGGTGCAGAAAGCCTACAGGGAGTGGGTGGACGTCCTCATCTTCTGTCCAACCATCATGATGTTAGGTGTGCCCTGGGCTGGCGGCTCAAACCCGCTATTCGCGGCTCCTTAGCGGCTGAGGCTTTAGTGTGCGGATAAAGTGGTCAGAGTCGCACCTGGCGGATCGCCGCGAAACGTCCTCCCTAAGACATTTGACACCAGAATGCACATCGGTGCTCTCAGGCTCAAGCACATGTGCTGCTGGCTGCTGGTCTTGCTTCTGCATGCAGATTGCGGACGGGACCGGCTTGCTCTCCGTCCGTCGTCCTTGTTCGCTGCCGCGCTCTCACCGCTGTCCTTGTAGCATTGGTAGGGCATTTACTCGGGACCGCGCTATTGCCCCATGGACCCAGCTGGCACCGAATCCCAGAGCATCAACGATGGCCAGGAAGGGTCCTGTCGCAGAGGCCCCAAGTGGGTCGGTAATGAGAACGACAAGCAATAAAGTTTCGCTTGTGCTGTGATGATCGTCTCACAGCCCCCCTTATTGTGATGTGTTTCTCCTTGGGACGACCACGAAAAAGCGAATGCGCCGCAGGCATTGCGCAACCATATTTGCCTCCTTTTAATTGCACGGTCAACGCCGAGAGGTCCCGTTGATGCGATGACAATGCAATATAGCAGAGATAGAGAGAGCCACGGAGTACGCGGGCAACAGATGACGCATCCCATCGAGCTCAGCCATGCTGGGGTCTCTGTTTCTGTTTCTTCGGGTTTGCCATGCACCATTCGTCCATCTCGCCAACGTTTCTCCACAGCGGCTAGTAGTACTAGAGCCTCATGGGTTATTACTCTGTACCAACCGAGAGGATCGCCGGTGAGTTACTCGCCCTGTTCCTCGGGGAAGGTTCCGACTGAGACCGACTGGCCTGTTTGACCATGTGAAATCTCCTTAAGGCGCACACAGCCTACTAGAAGGGAAGAATTAAACGAAAAGGACTGACGCCCCCAAAGCTGTTGTGCATAACTCACTCGATCGAGTCTGCTGATAAGAACGTGGCATTCTCCGGCCAAGGCTATTCACCAGCTTGCATAGAACGGTGTGGTGCACTAGAGGCCATCTTAGTCCCTGAAAAGGCATCTGGGGCCTGCCCCCTTGTACCGGTACTTGTGTTCTCACCGGCCGGGGGCATGATTCAGATCTCGTATGAAAGTACCTAGAAAAATGACAAGACAATTGGGCGGGATTGGTTGAGGCTGAAATGCCCGCTAGAGACACAGCCACTCAATATAAACCGCATCCCAACCCCACACCCACACCTATTCGAAATGGGCATGGCGACAACGAAGACCTTGCTTAGCAGAAAGGTCGAGTCTGACGAGACGGGTTAAAGAAAAGGGGGTTGACAAAGGCAGAGTGAGTGGACAAGAGATGAGACACGATCAAGGAGTTAGGGCAACTGGGAAGATCCGCCGTCCTTTGCCATGTGTGAGACTGCAATGCCCATGGACTCGGCCATCTCTGCTTTGTGGTGTACAGCGCCGCCTTAAAAATGATCCCCTCAGAAAAGTTTCTGGTCTACTGAACACCCAATTTGTGGAGGAGCGCCTAGGGAGACTAGTCTTTTCTGCCGTCTTTCTCCTCACGCCCAACTGCCCAGGGTCATGCGACGACCTGTGCGAAAATGGAAAAGCGGCAATTTCTAGAAGAAATCACTCACTTGATGGTTGCTTTCCAAGATGGTGGGAGGGTGGGTAAGTAGGCTTCGAGAGTAAACCCCAATCGCTCTTAGTTCAAAAAGATGGTAGCGGTGCAGAAACAGCAGATCTTTTGCCTGCCCTACGCGGGCTCTGGTTCTCGAATCGAAACGGGCGATGCACCCGCCTACCTTGCCGTGAGAGGGGCGGCAGGGCAAGTGTGGGCAAAATGGGCTCTTTACTTACCCCGAGCGATGGTAGGGCCACGCCAGAGAGCATCTGCCGCGTGTTCGCCAGTTCCAAGTTCCAGCCGGCCAATCCTTAGTGAGGAGAGCCACTGGCGGACGGGCGGACTGAATGATGATCTGGGGGAAAACTCGGCAGCTGTGTAGGTAGGTCCCGTAGCTAGGGAGTAAGGATAGGTAATGTAGGCGTCCATGGGCATGATCGGTCGCCTTACGTGAAGTATTTCATGGGCGGCGCGGCGCTAGAAGTGAGGGAAACGAAACAGATTTATTTTATGCATGCATGCCATATCGACGACATCTTCCTCTGGGAGGAGGACCCGGGAGGAGCAATGAAGGACAGGGCAAAGCAACACACGATGCCCAGGCCTGAATAGACATTCGGTCTAGTAGAACGCAATGTGCAACGTGCATTTCATTCCTCTTGTGGGCAGCGCAGGCATGCTCTCCTGTCTGGGCGTTATCCTTCAAAGTACTGTACTTGGCGAGCCGGACTGGGCCGCAGCGCTGTTTCTCTGCACTAACCTGACCGTTAATCGGCTGCCATTGGGCGGTGTCCATGGACGATGCTGTAGTTTAGCCCTGCCATACCCTGTCTGGCCCATGATAGTGAGTGATGATGAGCATGCAGACTGCACATCTGCTCCTGTCGCCGCCTCCCTGTCCCTTGCCTTGGTGTGCGCGGGAGTGAAATGTTGTCATGCCTGGCGGCCCGCGTTGGATGGACCCCCAACGCTCCTCATATCAGGGTTTCCTCTCATAGGGCAGGGGCCAAGGTAGGTATTGGAGGAAGATGCGAAGGAATTGGTGGAGAGATAGATCGACAGATCCGGAGCTGCGCGTTATCCTCGTTGTGAATTCCCAGCCGCGGGAAGATGCCAGAATATCTATCCACCCAGAGAGAGAGAGAGGGGGGGGCAGGGAGGCCAAGGGGGAAAGAAGCCGTCATGTCTCTGCTGGGCTGTGCCCATGATCTGTTGTAGATATACGAGTGAGACGCCGCCTTTGCCTGCCTACCCGGTGCTTTCCCAGGCAGGCAAGTACAGTACTTGGTGGTTTGACGGGTCAAGATGAGCCTCGAGCGTCGACTTTCATTTCGGGTTGCGTGTTTGTGTGAACCTTCAGTCGCACTCTTCATTCTGATTGAGAGTCGTGGGTGCACCGCAGCAGGAGGATTAGCTACCAAATTCCCACCGGACTTCATCCTACTTCTTCACGCATGTCGGGAAAGCTCGACCCCCGACTTGACAGAAACGGGAAACTGCGACCTCTCTCTCCACAAGCAAGGACGCCGACCCTCGTAGCAATTAGTCCAAGTCGGGAGTTCATTTTTGAAGTGACAAGTCTGAAAGTCAAGTCAAGTCCGAGCAGACAAGGCAAACCTTGTAGATTCTCGACTTAGACGAGACAAGATAGAACAACAACCAACTTGACTCAACTTAACACAAGACAGTCAAACTCAAGACGGGCCTCGGGGAAGAATATCGAGATTCAATTGGAGGCGTCGACACCTCTCGTGCACCTCTTCGGTATGTACTAGACATCGGGCACCTAAGAAGGTGGTAAGGTATCATCTTGCCCGTTCAGTGCAACTGACCAACCATCCGTCGCCGCTTCCTCCTCACATATCTACCTACTTAGTTACCGTACCTACGTGCCTGCCTTATTCCCCATCTGCATGCACACCCGCCGCTTCTCACCATCAAGCATCCTACCATTGGATCTCTCTACCACCTGTCCAGGTATCTGCCTGCTTTTCTACCTTACCACCACCTCACCACCCACCACCCTCCGTCACATTGCCGTGGATTGGATTACCTTTAGTTGCGGTCAACTCGGAAGAGTTCCCCTCTCGCGTCTCTGTTTGCGACATTTTGATATTTGTCCGGGGTCCTGCATCCTGCCCGTGGGCAACCCCTCTGTCGTCCTGATTCTCTACAACAAAATTCAACCGAGCAGCCTCGCTATCTGTCTACCTATCTATCTACCTGGACTAAGCCGCCACGACCGTTATACCTTGCCCTTGATTACAGACCAGCAACGCCTCTATCTCCTGCCACTTGACCTGCCCGGCACCATCTCACAGGGTCGAAACAGCGGTCATCTCCAGTCCTCTGTTCTTCCGTTTACAGTTGCATGCAGCTCACACCCTGTCGATCTCCCTGCTCAGCTACTGCTCTGCTCTGCTCTGCTGGGCTGGCCCGGTCTTACCTCATCCACCAACACCAGGGCCGTGAGTGGTTGTTGCCCGGTGGTCAGGTCTTACCTACCTTACCTTGCGCTTGTGCGGCTTTGAAGGCTCTCCCGCTACCCGTCTTATAAGCGGCTGAGTACGTTCCACAGGAGGCTGCCAATCCCTTCCCTTGCCGTTGTTGCGTTGCGTTGCGCTGCGCTGATTGCTCCGACATATTCCCCACGGATCCTTGGGTACGTGCATTCGACCTGATATCCATTCGACATCCCATCGCCGCACGTACACGCACCCGCTTGAGGCTGGCATATTTGGACAACTGACTTTCTATCTGGGCTGGCTTAGTTCCGTCGACCTTCGCCTTGCCATACCTAAACTTATTCGACACATACCACACCTTAATTCCCGTCCCTGTCCCATTGCACAGGAACTGGGATCCCGGCTCCCGCAGCATCCTTCACAGCCGCCTCACTAATTAACTTACTACCTTTTGATCCCTCGTCCCGATCTTTCCAAGCATCCACCATCCTGTCTGTTCCTGTCTGCCCCAGACAGATAGAGGCACACACACTTGGACAGAACTGGACCCTGCCAGGTTTCTTCACCTTCCGTTACTCGACGCTGCGCTAGACACCTACCTAGTCCGCACCGCACCACGCTAAGCACACCATCCACGTCGCCTCTTGGTCTGCCAGGCTCTTGCAGGGCCATCAGGTAACTCGACATACTGGACGGGTCCCTGTCACATACCACATCATCCTTGCCCGGCCCACCTTGTACGGCAGGCATACCTTACCTTGCCTACCTGACCTGGGTAATACCTCTCGACGCTTGACCGTGGGCCATACCGACAATTCGCCTTCCTCTCCAGGGCTCCATCCCATCCATCTATCTATCCATCCCGTCCGGTCTCCTCCCCTAATAACCACCAAACCACCTCGTTCGTCACCCACATTTGTCGTTGCCCGCTTGGCTACGCTACGGTATTACTACCCACTGTAAACGACTCACTGGGAACGAAGCCGACTCCCCCCTCCGCAACATCCCTCCCCTCTTTTCCCCCCGACTCGTTCGCAATTTACCGCTCCCCCCGCTCCAAGAACGTCACTTAAAACGGCTCGGTCACGCGGCCAGATCTCCCTCTAGGGTCGCCGCTCATTGTCGCCGCACTCCTTCCTTGGGGCTCTGTCCAACCGAACCTCCACCACTAGCCGTCAAAGCACATACATACCGCCCCCTTCACTGCCTCTCCACACGCCCTCCCTCCCATTTCATTCTCTCAACATCTGTTGTTGAATGACTGGCGCGACACCCACTGTCGTGTTGCCCTATTGGCACAACCAAGAGCTCGGCAGATATCTTTGTCGCGACTGCTCGCCCCCGGCAGATTCGCGCATACGAAGGACGAGGCATAGTCGAAGGCCGAGGGAAGAGACAAAGGGCTTACAAGACTTGCTTTCAGTAAAAAGAGGCGCACAGAGGACAAGACACAAGCAGATAGACGGACGGGCAGGACATTCGCGTCTCAGCTTCCGCCATCATAGCCTCCTCTTTTCTCTACCTTGTCCGATGGCGAGCTGAACGGACCATCTTCGTGAGTAAGAGCACCGAGCACAAGCGAAGCTATGAATACGACCGCCGCTCCGAATTTCGCTCACGCTGCTCCCAGCGACTTGTATGATCCTGATGAAGTAATCCCTCGGAATAGTCCACTCTTCGAAGCTACCAACGTGGTTTTACGACCGTCGCCATCCCCGCCGCCGCATATCCCCCCGCCTCAAGTTAGTCCTTCCTTCAGTACCAGTGGCAGGAAAACTAAGCGAGGAAAATTCAAGGTGCGGCCAAGCCAGGGCGATGCCGTCTTAGTTTCCTTCATGGACAGTGGCAGGCGACCGGATATTGCGAGCCTCGCGGGGACACAGGCACTTCCATCTGACACGTCTGAAGAGGCTTCCACTCACGACGGCTCCGACAGCTCTGGCGACGAAGACGAGCTGATGCTAAAGGAATCAAATGCGCAAGCCATTGGACACGAGAAGGAGCAAGCTCTCAGTGCAATTAGGAATATCAATATGTCTAACGATCCGCCGGCGCCCCCTGAGGCCGGGAGCGCGATGGATGCCTTGAAGTCACTGGCAGCGGGTGCTATGAGGAGCCTGATGTTGAAAGATACGAACAGTGAAAGCGATAATGGCCCGACACCCCCGACTGCTGTCGAGTCCGAGACGAGGCCCGAGAATGGACAGAACTTGGAAATATCGCAGATTTCTCTGGTGAGACGAGATGGGCTGGTTCGAGATGGCCGGCCACAGCCTCTTGCTCCGTCACAATCTCCCTACAGCGACTCCTACTCCCCACATCAAGTAGGCTCCATACTTGCAAACAAACACGATCCGAGATCGCCAACCACAAGTCTTACCGAACGTGGTTCATTACCCCCGATTCATATGTCGCCAAGGACAGACTCGAATGGACCAATTCTGCCTTCAATAAGGGATCAACTTGGGGATTTCAGGCAGCTTGAGGTACAGTCGCCAGCCTTCTCGCACCATTCACCTGGGGTCCCACGAATCGTTGGCGGTCATGGGTCACCACCAGTCTCCCCTCAGGATTTTCGCCAACACAATCCAATGTCTCCTGGACAGTCCATTGTCCCTCACAGCCCATATTATCCTGTCAATGGAATATATCAGCAGCGAGTCAGTGTGGAATATAGCAGTAGTAATACGGAAACCCCAAGCACCGATCATTCTGGGTCTACGCCTGCAACACAGACGTCCGTCGCTGATAGGATGAGTATTGATGGCGCTGCATTTAACAATCCCGAGGGAATAGGAGCGTTCATATGCAAATTCCCAGGGTGCAAGGCTCCACCTTTCCAGACACAATATCTATTAAATTCGCATGCAAATGTACATTCTTCTGCAAGGCCTCATTACTGCCCGGTAAAAGGCTGTCCGCGAAGTGAGGGCGGCAAAGGTTTCAAGCGGAAGAATGAAATGATACGACATGGTCTTGTTCATGACTCGCCTGGTTATGTCTGCCCCTTCTGTCCAGATCGGGAACACAAATATCCCAGACCAGACAATCTACAAAGGTGAGATACAATTCTTCCATCTTTTTATTCGATGGCTTGCATGTTGCTTTAGATTCAAAAATATAGAATTCTGCGCTAATAGCTCTCCAGACATGTCCGAGTACACCATGTCGACAAAGATAAAGACGATCCCCTTTTACGGGATGTCCTTGCGCAACGTCCAGATGGACCTAGTCGCGGGCGAAGGAGAAGAGGTGTTGCAAACTGATGACTCTATCCTCATCCCCATTCGCTTTACTCTTTTCTTTGCATATATAATCATCTTAAGCGATACCCACTTGGAGGCTGTTCTGGAGCCGCTCCTTTCCATGGTCAGCATATTTTCGCTCGCTGTACATAGTTTTGACATGTGCTGGCAGGAATATTTGGAGGGGCTACACTTGTTCTAAAACTTTGGGAAGTTGCTCTCTGTGAGGCGCATTTTCTCCTGGTTTTGAACTACGGCGTTGATCACATCGGCTTCATCCACACAACGGCGCGAGAGGGAGGGGAGGGCCACTTCTCGAGGTTGGGCGTTTCTGGCGCAAAGCAACAAACATATTCCCCGGTGGTGGTGTCCAGCTGCTCGAGTACGCACATCCATCTTGCGTTCGTATTTTGTTCACCTCGAGAACAATGTCAGAGGTTTTTTTTATTGCTTCTAATCTTTTTGTCGGAGGATATACGGGTTTTATTTTTACCTTGCTGGTTGCTGGGTGGGCGTCGGGCTGAACACGGAGGTCACGACCATCACGAAGCGATTATTTTTATGAACAACAATAACAGAAGTACAGAAAGGGGAAGATAAGAATCTCCTTTGTTGAGGTTCTAGCCTGTCTGCTCCTTCGTTTGCACTGAAAAAGAGACCGGTGGGATTTCATGGGTGTGGAAACCAGTGTGAAAGTGCGCAAGAGATCAAGAAAAGGGGATTTCTGATATAAATCAATTGCAGTGGTTAGGTCAAATAAGCAAAGCTTTGCAATGCTCGAAAGAAGCGTTGCAGAAGACGATGATTCGGTCCGTCAACGAAATTTGTTCCCATGATATATGCTATCCTATCCTGTGCACAAGTAGCGGTATGGGTCCTACAATGATGTAGTCAGAATGAGCCAGTACAGGCGTCAAGCAGCTAGTACCGCTCGACAGTCTCCCAGCGTCCTACACTGACCTGGCCGTCGCTGAGAATGTCGACCTGGATTCCCTGGTCCGCAGCCCGACTACCCATTTGCTCGACGACAACCCAAACGCCACCACCTGGCCCCCGGACCATATCCGGGTCTAGATCTACCTCCGGCGTGCGCACCCCCATCGTGCCATCGGCAAACTCGCCATCCCCGCTGACGGCCAACGTCGTCCGGTGCGGGCCGCTGCCACCCTCGATGGACACCCGCAGGCTGCTCGGCACCGCTGGCAGTCCCCCGCCGGCCCCGGAGAGGCTACCGCTGCGGGCGACGAGGCTTGCACGCGTGAGGCGGCTGACCGCCACGCGGGCGCGTTGCACCGTGTCGCCTTCGCTGGCATGAACCTCGTCCCCTTGGAAGGACACGACGGGGGCGAGCTCTGTGCGGAGGCGGCCGGCCGCGTCGGAGAGCACTGGCCTGATGGTCAGGGGTACGTCGGAGCCCACGCGCAGGGTGAAGCGGGCGTGCTGGCCCGGCTCAAAGGTTGAGACAACAGCGGTGTAGGTCCCGGCATCAACCACGGCCGATGGGGCCTTGGTCTCGGCCAGCGCGCAGCCGCGCCGGTACTCGCCGGACGAGGCGACGATGTCCCTGGTCGAGAGGGCCATCACGCGCTCCCCGCCTGCCCAGACGAGATCCACGTGTACGGGGATGTCGGCACCGTCAGCGCACAGCAATAGGGAGACAGACGTGGGGCGTGGCACGGTAATGCTGAACTGCGGGTTGTGCAGAAAGGTGGCGGTGGCAGCGTTGCCGCCAGCTGTGCGGCGTGTCCAGTATCCTTCGAGCTCTTCGTAGTGTTGGTGTGCTGGCGCTGCCTGGGCCACGTCGAGCGGGCAACGGGAGAAGAATGACAGTGTGAAGGAGTATTTCGGCAACGGGAGATCCTGCTGTGCTATGGCGACGGTGTATTTGACTCCGGCTTCGGCGTCGATCCGCATCAGGGTCTGAGGCGAGTCTACGTAGGCCCCGCGGTGAAGGGCCCGGTCGGGCAGCTGCACGCGCTGGCCGGCGGTCGTGTTGAAGAGGTAGAGGCTCATGAAGCCCAGGGAATTGGACACAGCGGCGAGGCTTCCGTCTTTAGAGTCACCATATTCGTTGGCGGTACGGTTGCGAGCTATGGCTAGCTCCCCATCCTGAAAGTGACGAGAGAGGAGAATCCAAACAGCCCCGGAGGATGATGCTGAAAAGCTGTACTGGGGATTGTGTGCAAAGGAGAGCGCCATTGCTGGCGAGGGGATCGTCCATGTGAAGTGATGGTCCTGCCGATCTGTGAAGAGACTGGGGTTCCAGTTGAGGTATAGAGATTCAAAGTTTTGAATAACGTCTTCAAATGTGATCCAAAACGCGCCCGTCAGGTCTGTCGTCGAATCTGTTCTGTCGGATCTGGACGATGAGCTGGGTGGATAGGCGGCAACGTCAATGGTGGCGGACGACCCGACCCCTTTCCAGACCAGACCATCACACCATGGATTCTTCAGTAGCAACCGGCGGTTACCAGATTTCTCGTCGACTTTCATGTCTAGCACGGCGTAATCGTGCTCGCCAGCTAGCCCAAGAGCATCTTCCTCTTCGGGAGAAAGGCGCCCAGTTCCAAGAGTAACTACGACATCGCTGTAATCGTAAGAGTTCTTTATCCGCTTCCAGATCTGGTCAACCTCGATATCATCACTTCCACAATATGTGTTAGCATTGCTTTATCAACTCGTTTGACATTCCCATACCTCTGAAGAAAGACCTGTTCCGGTATCCATCCTGTGAGTACCCAAAGATCCGTCCCTGAATTGCTCCCAGGAAAGTCATAACCCCCTCGAACTTTCAGATAGGCTTTCTCCAGTAGTGCCGGCCATATTAAATGTGGGTTCTTCCGGTCGACAACGAAGAGTGTCCTAGACGTCTTTGAGGCCGGCAGGCGATCATCGATGACGACCTGGCGGAAACAGCCGTTGAAGTGTAGGCGGAATATATACTTGCCATTTTGTGAAGTGACGGGCGCAAAAGTATTATTGTCGAATGGATACATGAGAGCCGAGAGCATCTAGGGGAGAGTGTTGGAATAGCGCACAGAGAAAACAGTCAAGCATATCATTACTTACAGAGTCTTTCGTCCGGCGAAAATGGGGCATAGCAGCACACAAACTGGCAACCACTGAACAATCCGTGGTGATGTCCTGAACGAGGTCGCTTTCAGCTTGAGCGATCATCATACTGTCAGGAACCTCATCGCCACCGCCACCCCTAGAAGCATGGAACAGCTGACTGGGCCTTTTCCAACCCGCGAATATATCACTCTGCCTTTGGGAGAGTGTGAAAGCAGAGGTGTCACTGAATGTAAACGGATGAATAAGTGACCAGCAATAGGCTTCTGAAGAGACTTACCTGTAAAGGGGTTCCTGCGGCGATGATTTGCGAAAGGCATTTGCATCCGGTTCAGCGTCCCAGGGCGGGAATACGCTCCCATGTAATCGAGACGATCGCAGCAGGATTGCCTTTTCCCCCGCGGGTAGCTGGCGGCTCTGTCGAGGCCATTTTGACCGGACTGGAGCTGGCGCCGGGGGAGCTTTGAGGCGCTCAGCGCGTGTAAGCAGCTCCTCACATTTGCGCTTCAGTCTGGCCTTCTCAGCGGCATTGGGAGCCTCGCGGACAGCCTTCATATAGTACTCTGCTGCTGCGATGGCGTGACTGAGGGCTTCTTTGCCAGTCGAGCGAGCTATCTTGGCTTCATGTTCCTATACACGACCAATTAGTCAGGTGTCTCTAACGAGCTTGAGGGGACAAGGCACCGTACTCGAGCCTGTGCTTCCATCGCTAAGCTTGGGCTTTCACAGCGCTTTTACACGCTATACCAAAGCATGAGTTACTCTAGAATCGCTTTGCTGCATTACAAATAATTATTGAAGAAAGATAGATCTTGAATCAGGAGTGAGAAGCGAATTATGTTGAGGTTTGAAGGGGTGCTATTCTCATTGCAGACTATGGAGGCTGTGCACACGATTCGGCAAGTGCACGCTGACTAGTGCTCCTTTCCATTGTTGCTGTAGGTGGATTTAGAGTATTGAGGCTGCCGTTTTAGAGCCTCCAGGCGCCGCAGCGGGCTGTGGAGACTCACTCTGGGGACGCATGCCACCCAGGTAGGTAGGTACGTTTGATATAGGTAAATGATCTGTATCATCTTGCTATGACAGCTGGACGGGAGTTACTAGGCAGATGAGACAGGAGAGCACCAAGGTGGACATCTACTCGTTTCCTTTGGAACTGGCTTGTATTTTTGAAATAAGATCGTAAAGCTGCACCGGCTTAGCTTGATTTTCCCGCGGTGCAATAACTCTTTTACCTATACAAGCGGGCTCAAAAGTAATTAGATAAATTGATGAAATGAAATTGCAGACGTCGAACACAGCCAAGAGTATATCCTAAGAACCGAATAGATAAGAAATAAAGGGCCATAGAAAGATTATCATTCCTCTCATTAGCGGTATCCGGCAGTGAAGAGAAATCCTCGGTATATTCTTAGGTAATACTACTACTACCTGTATGTACCGACAGAGGGACACTCGGTTCAGTGGAGTGGCTAGAGCGAATGCGGGGCAAACCGGCAGCCACAGTGACGCTGCTCCGAGCTGCTGGGGCGGGCACTCTAGCTGCACGAACACAAGCGAGCAGGGACCAATGCGCCAGCTTTTTCCCCACATGCAGAAAGACCGAGGTTGACGGCTATCAATATCACGGGCGGAGCACGGCAGCACAGACATACCCGCCCGCCCATACTGACCTACCTACCTACCTGCCTGCCTGCGCTTCCGGCCCGGGCCAGCCCATAACTTCCTGTCCTCCGCCAGTTCTAGTCCTGCGCATCACAAATGTTCGGGATGCAGAATTCTGACTGACCGATCGAATTGCCTTCTTCTTGCCGGACCGAGACCAGATTCCCTTGCTTATGAATCGGTGATAGCTTCACAGATTAGCCGACTTTAGCAGGTGTCACAGTCCTCGAGGGACAATCGACTCTGAGCCCCCCCGCAATTTATTGTGCTCCTCCATCCAGCAATTCTCGCCGTAGTCTCCCTCAAGATCTCAGCGTTTCCCCGTCAAGATGGCCATTCAGTCCAAAGTCGCTCCGATTGGCCCGTGGGGTCGAGCAACTGCCGGTGCAACTGGTGCTGTGCTTGCCAATGCGCTCGTATATCCTCTAGACATGCAAGTAGATTCACTTTGCCAGTGAGAGACATCTTCTAACTCTGTATGCAGTGTCAAGACTAGACTACAAGTTCAGGTCAAGACGAAGCCTGGCGAAGCTCCTATAGCCGATTCAGATGCGACCGAGCCTCACTACGACTCGACATGGGATGCCATCACCAAAATTGTGGCAGATGATGGTGTGAAGGGCCTGTATACTGGTATGAGCGGCTCGCTGCTTGGAGTTGCCTCGACGAACTTCGCCTACTTCTACTGGTACTCTGTTGTCCGCGCGCTCTACTTCCGCTCGGTCAAGAGCGCTGCTGCCCCGTCGACGGCGGTCGAGTTGGCGCTAGGCGCCATCGCCGGTGCTGTCGCCCAGCTCTGTACTATCCCAGTTGCTGTCGTAACCACAAGGCAACAAACTCAACGAAAGGAGGAGAGGAAAGGCATGCTTGAGACTGCACGAGAGGTTATCGATGGTGAAGATGGTGTCAGTGGGCTGTGGCGAGGTCTGAAGGCCAGCTTGGTTCTTGTCGTGAACCCAGCCATCACGTACGGCGCGTATGAGAGGCTGAAGCCTGTTCTCTTCCCAGGCAAGGTGTTGAAGCCCTGGGAGGCTTTTGGTAAGCGTCTAAATTGTGCCATCATTTCTGACCTTTCAACTAATGCAAACTCAAGTACTTGGTGCCCTGTCAAAGTCCCTGGCAACCATCGCAACCCAACCACTCATCGTAGCGAAGGTTGGCCTTCAATCTAAGCCGCCCCCGGCGAGACAAGGCAAGCCTTTCAAGAGCTTTGTCGAGGTCATGCGATTCATCATCGACAACGAGGGCGTCCTGGGCCTATTTAAGGGCATTGGTCCTCAGATCCTCAAGGGACTGCTCGTTCAGGGCATTCTAATGATGACTAAGGAGCGGTAAGTTCAACAAGTCCTCTTCATTTGCTCATCCAGCTAATCATATCTCGTTTTAGCATGGAACTCCTGTTCATTTTGTTCCTCCGCTACCTCCAACAGGTACGGGCGAAGCAGCTGGCCCGATTGACCGCTGTAAAAGGCAACCTTCCAATCCCAATCACAACGAAATAGACGACCAATAGAAACTTTCGTAGAAGGAATATGGTGGTCCAGCTGTATAAGTAGCTCTGGAAAAGATCTTGAGAGCAGATGCGAAAGCCGCAGTTGAACAGTTCTGGCGGCAGGGTGGTTCCTCCTGGCCATTAGGCGGCGCAATGAATACGGGAATGGTATTAAAGGATTTGATATATACACTGCATCTTATTTAGATAAATGTATCACTTTTGGCAGTATTTAAGCACCTCAGCTTCTGATGCCTGGCGAAAGGAATCCGGTCCTGGCTATTGCGAGCACACAACGCTAAGCTGTAAACAGCAAAACGCGAGTGGAGCCTCTCCCCAATGAATGTGGCTGACGCTCGCACTAGCCACATCTCTTTTGTTAGGGCAAAATTTCGGATACTTTGTGCGCGATTCAAATTCTACCCAAGACTTCACGACTCCTAGTTTGACTCCCAGATCTCGACGCATCGCGAAATCCAGTCACAATGGCCAGTATGTGACAATCCCCTGCCTATGGAAATGAGGGAACTGTTTTGCTGACAAGATTTCAATAGAGTCCAAGAACTCGTCTCAGCACAACCAGAGCAAGAAGGCTCACCGTAACGGGTACGCTCCAACATCCCCCGAAAGCATCCTGCAATCCCTCGTGCACCGGCTAGACAATTGGACGTCCTTGCTAATGGTGTTTCTCGCTGCAGTATCAAGAAGCCCAAGACCTCCAGATACCCCTCTCTCAAGGGAACCGACCCCAAGTTCCGAAGAAACCACAGACATGCTCTGCACGGCACCATGAAGGCTCTGGTGAGCTTCCCCATTACTGGCGACAGCGATACTTCGTGTGGGAGTCGGTCCGGTCACTAACACACAGTTTGCAGAAAGAGTTCCGTGAGGGCAAGCGCGAGACGGCATAAATGTGTGCGTGGACGAAAAGGGTGCAGGGCGGCGGCGATGACTGCTGAGGAGATTACATTGGGCATCGGCATCATATGACGGTCGAGGGAAACGGCGTCCTGTGCGTATTCTACTACTACCGGACGAAATCCCCCGGGGTTTTCTTCCATTGGCAAATGCGAGCATCAACGACCACATTCCAGACCGCCCGTGACACCAGTCGAGTTCCTCCTTGCAATGTGACGCAAAGATACCAAACCCATGGCTCGGCCAGAGATGAAGCAACATGACTGTGGTGACATGGACCTCCCCCAAAACGGCATTTGTGTGTACAGCACTGAGCTTCTTTCCCATGCTCAATTGCTGAAGGATTATTTCTTCGTGCCAAGATTGATTTCAAGCCCCTCTATTACCAAACACCTCTGTCCCTTCTTTGCCAAAAGGCTAAGGTGCATGAAAGAAGGGCCACATGCTAACTAAATTGCAATAACGTCTGAATCACGAAGTGAAAGAGAATGAGTCCATTGTGAGAGATTGAGTAACCCATGGCAATATGTGTCGTTTTCGTCTGATCATCCTCTTCTTGGCAGGCAGTTGAAGCTAGCGAGTCTACAGGAAAGAGCATTTTCGTTGCCTTGAATCCTCTAGATAGCTTGCTATTTATATTAGTCATGATTAATATCCATGCTTTATCTGGCAGTCTAATTCAGTTCACGGTATATATCTAAGGAGCTCTTTCCATCCTTCAAACTAGGTGTGTAATTGAATGTCATTCTTGGAGTTTTCACCGGCCTTGCCTTCATAGTGATTCACTATCCAGAACATGAGATCAATCTCAGAGAAAGGAAGCAACTTCTTGGAGGAAACTACAAGCCATTTTCGCAGAGATGGTCACTTGTTGGTGTCGGTCCTGCCTCAGCCTTGATTTATTGACTTAGAGTTCTTGTGGTCTCAGTTCAAAGAGCCGGGTACAGTTCAGTAGAGCCAGGCCATAAGGGTATGTCTCGCGACCGCTCGTGTGGACCTCTCTAACACCTCGTTGATTTGATATCAGCAATTGATGAGTCTCTACAGAGCTATGTCCGAACCGAATCTATTCAATGCAAATTCTGATGATCAGCTTGTGTTGGACCTACCAAGCGACCAGTCATAGTCATGGGCAAATTTCCTAGATCTCACCACAGTTGTAGACCCTATGTTGCCCCAGCCTTTGCTACGACAAGTCGTAACTTTGAGAATATTACGGTTCCATACATGATTGACTCTCAGCAAATCTTTAAGTTTTGTCACCTATTTTGTTCTGGCATCGCCTATAATCATTGACACTCACTTCGTCAACGCTAACTCTCAAGAAAGCACTTCAATATTGTTACTTAATTCTAGTTTAACTACGCAGAACATACCGCAGTTGGAAAGACTACTCTTCTAGAATTGTGAATATGAGGAAACATGTGTTATTATTATCAGAGGGATAAGTTGAGTAGGCAATTCACACTTCCACAGGGTGGTACATGGGACCTAGACCTCAGCCATGATGTGATTGCGCCCCGGGAAAAAAAGTCGCCTCTGGTCCCTACTACCTACTCGTCAAGAAGGAGCGAGTACAGCCGGCTATCAACTTGCATGGCGACGAAATCCATTACTTACGCTTGCCGATCAGATACAGACAGTGTCAGATGACCTGCATTCAGTATACTCCACGATATGCCAGACCGAATGTAATGTATCAGAGTCAACTTATCCCATATTCACGGGATATTGTTGTCCTACACTATTCCTATTGTAGACTAGCAATCTTGAAATGCACTGTACTAAGTTGTATAGTGAAGTGTTAGAAGGCCAAAGTCTAGGCCTCCGTGTTAAAATGTTCCTCTATTCTACCACAGTTATTATAGATCACTTCATGTCGACTACCTAACTCGAAGTTGTTACTGACCGAATATCCCATAATGTTAGTGGAGGAGACAGCGGAGGTAGAGAGATGCGTGGCCACATAGGCCTACACCTTACCTAATCTGAAAAGGAGGGACTGTTGCATCAGAATCCATTGGTTTCCGCTGTAGCCCGTTTTCTCTTCCCGCTGGCTCGCTTATTGTTAGCAGCAACGCTGCACTTGGACATTTGGTAGGACCTGGACCTGGAACTTGTTCCTTTTTCACCTCCCAACCAAACCCGTCCGTCTCCCCCAAAAAACCCGACCTTCCTTTCCCATCAACGGCGACAAAGGGTTTCTTTTGCGCCCGCTGGTCCTGGCTGAAAGCAAAAGGAGTTCCTCGTTGTCATTCTTCGCCCTCGACCTTCGCCGTTGCTGTTTAATACCGTTTATTCCGTAGGTACCGTCGTCTCAGCAGCTATTACCAATGGGAACCGGGGAGAACGGTCCCCTAATCCCTCCTCAAACCAGGCTTCCTCCTCCTTTCAGCTCCATCAGCCAAGAAGGCTTTGCTTTGAGTCTTCCATACTCAAAAGCTGCCTATCTGGCCTAATAACCCCCGAGCTTGCCATCAACCTCCACCTGCATACTCCGCAGGCACTGTGCTGCTGCTCAAGTCTTTTAAATCCTTGCCATTTGCCTTCGCAACTGCCCCCGAGTGCATTCTTGTTACTGTTGCGTAAGACCTGGCCAGGCGCTGTTTGCTGACCTCGAACTCGGACAATAGAGTATCCACAGAACCCCTTTTCGCACCCTTTTCGACGTCTCCTTTGAGGTCAGCACGGTCTGCAGGAGCTTACGGAAAGCCGATATACCTCGTCCTCCTCATCGATCGTCAAGCCTACGAGGCGAGCGAACTTAACTTCCCCAATATTGCCAAACTTGGATTGTTGCTACATAATACCTTCTAAGCATTGATCCGGGGTCCTTGGAAAATCACGAAACACCTGCATTGCATGTCACGGGCCACTGATCGCCGCGACAGCGCCTCCTCGAACAGCCTTGCAACCCTGTTTCAGATACTTGCAACAGGGCCCTGGCCATCTCAGTCTTAAAAAACACACAGCGTAATAATTCTTGCTCAACAACATCATCGTCGACCTCCTTTGCTACTTCGGTCATGCTCAACAACATGTCTGCTAGCCACATCATGAACAACCGCAATAGCACCCCCGAGGCTACCAACACCTCGTCGCTGCGGCCGCCCTCCTCGAGAGCTGTTGGCGCCGGGCATCACCTCCGAGCCTCTGCCGACATGGCCTCCCTCACCGGAAACGCTCAAGCTGGCAAGCTGAACCGCCCCAACTCCGATTTCTATGGCCAAACCCAACATGGGCCGGGTCAAGGTGCGGGAGACATCGATCCCCAGGACAAGCTTGCCCAACAATGGATTGCGGACATTGATCAATACGAGACCACACTGGAGGAGATGGCTGCTGCTACACTAGACCAGGACTTCAAGGATGAACTCAGCGCTATTGAGCAGTGGTTCAGAGTCCTCAGTGAGGCTGAGAGAACTGCGGCACTCTACGCGCTCCTGCAACAGACCACCCAGGTCCAGATCCGCTTCTTTATCCAAGTGCTACAGCAGATGGGAAAGAATCACCCAATGTCTGGTGTCTTGTCCCCTGCAAACTTCGACAAAGGTAGGTCTTGGTTCTTCCTTTGGCTCCTCACTCCTTCGGCATGCCTAATACTAACTGGTCTAGATCCGATGTCGAACCGTCTGAGTGATGCAATGAACAAGTTGAATGTAGACTCTGCAAGGAACTCACTGGCTCGTGCGCCATCTAATGCTAAGCGTCACTCGGGGCTTGATACTTCTACCATCAATGCCATGTTCCCTGACGCCGCAGCTGCTATCGCCACGGAGAAGGCAAAGTTCACCCAGCAGACTGGCAATCCCCCGACATCGAACCGAAACAGTGCTGCAGTCGATAACCGAAGCTCTCTAGCAGCCCCGACCATCTCTACACCTGGTGATGGACTCGATGCCAACGGGCAGAACCCTACATCACCCTGGGGAGTTGAGGGACGACCCAAGTCATCTTCTGGCCAACCCCCAATGGGACAGTTTGTCCAGCCTCCACCCTCTGCTGGCCTTCGATCGCCTCGTCCCCAAATCAGTGGCAACCAACAGATCCAGAATACGACACTTAATGCTGGTGACAAGAACGATCTGCCGCTCCTTTCACCATATGGTGCCAGTGGAACCTGGGCTTCAATGACGAACACCCCAATGGTTGCTAACTTCAGCCCCCAACAGAGTGGAACCCAGGCGGACATGGTAGCGAACGCTACTGCGATGAAGCTTGCGGCTCTGTCGACGGTCAACAACCGCTTCGCGCTAGATGATGTTCGAAAGTACAGGCGAGCCCGATCCAACGACGCCCCTGGCGCGCCGTCACAGAACCCTCTGTCACCAGGTGCCCAGGGTATGGGAATTCCGAGTGGTGCGAACGTTGTTATGATCAACGACCGTGGCCAAATCGTGAGCCAGGAACAGATGATCGCACTGCAGAATCAGCAGTTCGGTGGCGGCCGATCTCGACCAAGCTCGCCTGGCCTCGCTATGCAGACCGGGTTTGGCCATATGGCCTTCACGTCTCCCCAGAACAACGGCTTCTTGAGCGCATACGATGGCACTTCGCCGATCTTGAACCCCGCGTTGGGCGGCATGAATCTGGGACAGCTTGTCGGTCATGAAGGTTACCTGTCAGACCATTCAGAGATCAACAGGGGTCGTTCTCCTCGTGGACGGCGTGGTAGCAGCAAGCCACCTGAGGATCCGACCGACCCCTCGTTGCTCCAAGACATTCCCAGCTGGCTACGAAGTCTTCGTCTGCACAAGTACACCGACAATCTCAAGGACATGAAGTGGACGGATCTCATTGAGCTGGACGACAAGCAACTCGAAGACCGGGGCGTGAATGCTCTTGGCGCCAGACGCAAGATGTTGAAGGTCTTCGAGCAAGTCAAAGGTATGAGACAATGTTCTGATAATACGCAGACCACAGACTAACACGAGACTACAGAGGCGAAAGCCGAGGGCAAATTGAACTAATACACCCTTGCATATACTTGGGAGGCATCATCTATGCCAGAAAAGGCCGTCGAGCGGGACTAGGGAAATATTTCATCGTAGGGAGGCTTGGAGCTCGCGCTCAGGAAAACGGCGGTCTAGACTAGAAGCATTCCTTGTAGTCACCAAGTAGGAACTAGGGCATCTCTTGGAGCTCGGGAAACACACTCGACATATATGGGAAATGATTAAACTATATCTCGCCAGGCAGGCTCTCATCTACATTGTATTCATTTTCACTTCCAGTGAAAGCTTCGTGGACATGAATTGTTTTTGCCAAGAGTGAATTACTTTACACACAGCATAGATGTTCAGACCTATCGATTCATCTCGATACGTAAAATTCGATCAATTATATCATTTAGGATTTGTTGAATTGGGTACTTGAGGCACGTACAGGACTATTTCTCTGGTGTTAGTGTAGTCATAGCTTGTACGGGCTCTAGAAAGCCCCACATTTGTCAGAGGGAAGGTGGGGGTGAGAGTAGAAGGACAAAGCCGCTATTCCGCAAAGAGGCCTTGCATTTTTGGGCAGGTATGAGTGTACCTTGTAGACTAAACCTTGTTATATGTTTCTCGCCACGAGATTCTGCGACAAGGGACAATAACACGTTGATGCTAAGCACCTTCATTGATCACTTCAGGTATTGTTAGGGAGAAAGGACTTTTGATGACGCAAGTTGAGCTTCATCAAAACTTCCAGCATGAGCTCTGCGGAAACAGGACCTGTTTGGCCGTGAACACAAGGGGAGAGCGAACGTAATCCGACGTATCGACGGATGAACCCAGACCTAGTCAACTGCAAAGCACCAGCAGACGAGGACTCATACTTCATTTGTCGTGATGGATGCCCGAATCCAGGGCATGCTTAGGGGAAATGACTTCCAAGATTTTGCAGATGATGAGGTCCTGCCTGACTTTCCAGAGGAGTCATACGGTGGTAATGAGTTCGTAGATGGCTCATGTCTCTCCGCCAGCGCAAAGTTCTAATACATTCTCTAGGGACGGCGATGATGCTAATGATGACGATGGAGAAGAAGACGGCTCGGAGATCTCGGATGCAGACTCGGTCGTCTTTCAGCTACAAACCGATATGGCCAAGCTGGATGCCGACGTCGCCGCATTCAGGGCAGCTCAAATCGAGGACGGTGAGGATGTCGACTTTCCGGAAGGCCACCAAGGAGCAGCACGCGGCCGAGGGCGTGGTCGAGGGCGCGGGCGCGGTGGCCGTCGCCTACGCGGGCCGCGCAAGGCGGCAGAACCTACTGGCGAGATCAAGTACCGACTGGGCCAAGCATCTCTGGCTTTCATGGAAGAGCGATATGAGGACGCAATGGCGGTGGTGCTCGAGGTGATTCGCGTCAATGCGGAGACACATCAAGCATGGGTCATGCTATCGTCGATCTTCCAGGAGATGGGCAAGACTGATGAGGCGATGATGAGCATGGTCTTTGCCGCGCATCTGCGCCCAAAGGACTATCACGGGTGGATGGCTTGCGCACAGTTCGCGCTTGACGATATCCAGGGAAGTCGCGAAAAGAATCTGTATACTGCCGGTCTGTGTTTCAGCGCCGCCATACGGGCCAACCCAAAGAGTATCAAGGCACGAATCGGCAAGGCAAATGTCAGCCTCGAGCAGGGTCATGCTACATTCGCGGCGGCGGAGTACGAACGCGTACTGAAGAAACGCCCATACGATATTGAGGTCCTTAGACATTTTGCTGAAGCTTCTTTCGACGCAAAGGATTCGCACAAATACGTCCAGAGCTCAAGGGATGCCTATCAACGTCTCATTACACATGCACGGGGTGGTGGGGAGATCAAGAATGGAGAATTCGAATGGTCAGACGTCTTTCTCTACGGAGAGATGTTCGCTTTCCTTGAGCAATACGAAGCTGCCATCATAGCGGTACGATCACTCTCGAGGTGGCTCCTCGGTCGAAACGAGGAGTCGTTCTGGGAGCAATTCGAGGAAGATGACCGAGAATGGGATCGCGATGATGGGCGTCGGCTAGATGTTCTGGAGTATGAGGCGGGACGATACCCTCTCGAACTTTATGGCTTCAGCCTGCCCCTGGATCTACGAGCGAAGCTAGGCACCTATAGGCTCAAACTTGGGCATGAAGATGAAGGGCTGCGACACCTTTCTTGGCTGAACCCCTTCGATCCCGCGACTGAGGATTTACTACAGGATACTCCTTTCGTCGTGAAGGAGATTGCAACACAGCTAATCGAAAATGAGAGGATCGGTATGGCCTTGCAGTACTTTGACCTATATCGGAAGATCGTCATAGAGCCAGACCCAGAGGTCCTCGTTCAACAAGGTCAATGTTATCTCCAGATGCAGGACGAGTCTTCTGCCGAGGAGTGTTTCTTGGCAGCTATAGAAGCTGACGACAATAACATTGACGCTCGCTTCGAGCTAGCCAAGATGTACGAGAAAGCCCGCGAGGACGAAGAAGCATTTATTCTTGTTAGCGAAGCAATGCAGCTTGAGAGACGCCAAGCTGAAGACGACGAGGATGGCGAAGAAGACACAAGTGCTGAGCGCGGACGGAAGGCCAAGGTGTTACGTATTCTCGCTCCGAAAAAACCACGAGAAAAGAAACCAGGCCCGAAGAGGGCTCCGCGTGAGAAAGAACCACATCCGACAAGATACCGACCAAGGCGGCTCGGAGGTGGCGATAAACGACGGGATTATGAGAATCAAGTCACTGAGAAATTTAAGGAGAAGTACAATCTCGTGCAGCAATTGCGATCGCAAGTTGCAAGTGGTGATAAAGATGTCGTTGCGATGTGGATGGCGGCTGCCAAAGATCTAGTAGATGACTTCAGATCCTTCAAGGAGTTCTATCCCTGGGAGAAGTACCTACAATTCCTCGGCCACGGCAGTTTCTTCAAGGAAAACCGGAAAGAAGCGCAGAGAGGTATTCAAGTCGGAGACCAAGGCAATAGGGGCCTGGCCGCAATGGCAGAGCGACTCCAGCACAACCTGGTTCCTAGTGAGACCATGGAAGGTGCTCAGCAACTAGCATTTCAGCGGCACGAGCATCGAGGCATTCCCTTTGACGCCTGGCTGGAGCTATTTTTGGAGTACGCGATCAGCTTGGCTCAAGCTCAGCAACCGCAGGAAGCATATCTTGTTTGTCAGTCTGCTCGAGACTCGATCGTGTACAAGTCAAATGACAGCATGTTCTTGATCCACGTCGCGTGGGCTGCGTGCGCAGTACAAGCTGGAGACGAAGAAACGTGTGTCGCTGTAGCGCGTTTCTTCATGAGAAATAATTACGCCGCTACGGACAGTTACAGGATGTTTGCTGCTCTCTGTCGAGTCTGTCAATCCCCAATTTCTTGGTACGCATCGGGCCCGGCCCAGAAGTATATGCTTAGACAGATTAAGGCTATGGACAAAACGCTGCTTCCACCTGAGCAAGCCGCAAAAGTAGTCAAGGGGGATGCGGCAGCACCGGAGGGAAAGGATGATCCTCGTCGCCATGAGACGCTGGATGTCTGTCTCTTGATGTTATATGGCCATATCTTGTTGACGTCCACAAGCTATACTTATGCTCTGAGCTACTTCCTTCGAGCTCTTTCTATTGATCCAGAGAATCCCATGGTTAACTTGAGCATCGGAATTGCCTATGTTCATTATGCCTTCAAGCGACAGGCTGAGAACCGGCAGTTCCTCTTGCTACAAGGCTTCAACCACCTGTTCCGATATTACGAAGACCGCATCAAATCACCTCTTTCGGCGGAGAGGCAGGAGGCGCATTACAACCTTGGCAGGGCGTACCATCTTATTGGGACGTATCACCTTGCTGCAGAATACTACGCCCGAGTCCTCCGTGAAGCTTCGGAGCATCGCCGTGGGGACGGCAGCTGGAAGCAGGAGGACTTTATTGTTGAGGCTGCGATGAATTTGCGGACTTTTGCCATCATCAACGGTGACTTTACGACCGCGAAGCAACTCGCTGAGGAATGGCTGGTTTTGGAGTGATCTAGGACCACGAGCAGACACCATAGATGTAAAATATACCCCATACTGTAAAGCCGTGTGATGCTAGTTTTGTGATGGGAATAGACGACATGTATTGTTTCTTACTGTGTGTACTTATATTGCTCTCCAGAGATGTATCGCTCTGACAGCATGAAATATACCCTATACTGCGATGAAGGAGAAAATGAACCACAGCTGCCTGTCGTGAAAGTATATCAGCCATATTGCGCGTCTGAATTCCTGGCTTACTAGCAGAGCTCTCTTCAGATTCCTCAATTACAGGTTCAGGTTCAATTAGACGAGTCAATCGATATTATTTCGTGAGTCTTGGTTGCTAACGTAAAGCCTTACGTTTCTGGCTGCCCCTCGTCGTAAGCTGGTGTTAGCGAACAGATCGTCGGATCCGAGACGATCAATTGAGAGTGCCCCTCGTCCGGACTTCGTATCACCCAATAGTGGAGCTTCAAGGTGACATGAAGTTCTCGGGAGCTCAGGTAGCTTACCCCTAACTTCTCACCTTCCCACCGTGTGCAAGCGTCCACGCCGCATCGACGTATGTGCTATACGTCGGCTAAGATAACCCTTGTAAGTAATGATACATGGAGCCTCAAGAGCCTCGGAACAACCTCTCATTTACAACTTTATTATCTAGTCATCAATCAATGGAGTATGTCTTTGTGATCAATTGATTGTTTGACATACCACGTGTCCAATCAGTCTTGTTGACTTGAACAATTCCTTCCTTCACTCAAAGTCGTCTCCTGCAATAGATAGGAATCTATCCTGCATAGAGTGTTGTTATCATGCCGTTTCCTCCGGTGACCAACAAAGCTTCCCAGGAGGAAGCTCTGCCTCAATTCGCATCGCCATCTGGCTCTCCGCCGCCTTACTACGAGGCCGATGCATATCCTAAAGTTCGAGCCCGCCGCGCGCTACGCCCATTGTTCTCCGTGCCTGCCAGTCTTTTGATAGTAGTCTTCATCTGCGTTGTCTGGCTGGGCTTCCACTCTAAACACCAGAGCGGCGATGGACACAGTGCACACCTGTCTTCCGCCGTGGAGCAATCGTTTTCCCATATAAGCCTTAAGCAGTTCCAGACGTCCTTGGGGCATTGCACCGCAATTCGGACTTTCCCGCAACGCATTGAGCCATCTACCCGGAAGTCCAATCCGCGATGGAACGATGCCAGTGGTCAAAAAGACACGATCATCTTACGCAATGCGACTTTGTTTGACGGGGAATCCTTCTTGCCTGATCCTGTGGACATTGTTTTCAGCAAAGGTCTCATCGTTTCTGTCTCCAAAGTGTCCTCTGATACGAGCCGCCCGCTCGTCAACGGTGCAAAGGAGCTTGATCTCCACGGCCAATATGTCACTCCCGGCCTGGTAGATATGCATAGTCATCACTTGGTTGGCGCCTGGCCTAGCACAGGCGAAGGTGATCCACTCGAAGATGCGAACGAAATGCACCCGGATTTTGGTCCGTTGACGCCATTTGTGCGTGCAATTGATGGCATGAAAGCATATGACCCCGGTGCTAAGTATATCGCGGCCGGCGGTGTCACCAGCAGCTTGATCATTCCCGGCAGCGCAAATATCATGGGAGGCGAGGGCACACCCGTGAAGAACATTCCCCGTTCAGGCCCGCACCACGAGTACGTAGTCGAAGACCTGCTGTTGGAACACGGCGTACCACTTGAGGAGCGTCTTCGATATATGAAGATGGCCTGCGGCGAGAACCCGAAGCGCGTCTACGGACATACCCGTATGGGAAATGCATGGATCTTTCGGGAACAACTATCTCGCGCGAAGGAGCTTCTTGAGAAGCAAGATGCTTGGTGTGAAGCCGCGGTCGGTATGTCTTCTGAAGGGGAGAAGAGGGCCTTTATTGAGGCCATGGGATCATTCCCTGTGGAGTTAAAGCTGGACTCTACAGTGGGCATGTTGAGGGGCCGGGTTGCGTTGCACAACCACTGTTATGAGCCGGAGGATTTCGAGACGATGCTGAGAATCAGTCACGAGTTCGGATTCCGCGTGAGGGCTTTTCATCATGCGATCTCAGCATGGCTTGTTCCTGAAATGCTCAAAGAGTACGGCGATAATGTAACGATCGCCACTTTCGCCGAATATGGTCTTTACAAAAGGGAGGCGTATCAGTCTAGCCTACACGCCGGCAAGATTCTCAGCGATCATGGAGTACCCGTTGCGTATAAGTCGGATCATTTTGGAGAGGACAGTAACGCAAGATGGCTCTTACTCCAGGCAGCCGTTGGGCACTCCTTCCATCTCCCAGCTGAGAAGGCTCTACAAGCTGTGACGTCTGTTCCGGCGGCAGCCATCGACCTCGACTACCGCATTGGATACCTAAGGCCCGGTTATGACGCAGATATTGTGGTGTGGGATGCCCACCCGTTGTCAATTGGTGCAACGCCCCGTCAGGTGTATATCGATGGTATTGCTACGCTCGATCCCGTCAAAGTGGAAGAGAGCGCTCCAAGAACTGCCCAGCGCTCCTCGCATTCAGAACGCGGAGTTGCCAAACCTGCCATGCGCGCTGAAGTGTCACAGGCGGAAAGGCAAGACATTTGTGAGAAGGCTACAACCCCTGGGCGGCAATTCATCATTTCGGGCATCAAGAAGTCTTTCTTGGACAACTACCCAGAAGTTACTGTGAAAGGAGATCACGACGATGGCGACTTGACCTTAGTTATTGCCGATGGTGCTGTCACCTGCTTGAGCTACGGTGCAGGTTGTGCCCAAACTGCGTCACAGGTCACAGAGGACGCTACTCTGATCAATTTGACTAACGGTTATCTAAGCCCTGGTCTTACTGCCGTGACTACGTCGCTGGGATTGCTTGAAGTCGCGATGGAGTCAGCAACAGGTGACGGGGTGTCGATTCCTATGACGAATGTGAGGGATCCAAGCAATGTCAACTATGCGAAATACGGAGTATCCATAGAAGGAAAGGGGATTGCTCGAGCACGAGTAGGCGGGGTGACGAGGGCTATAACACCTCCATTCACATTCGCTGGTCTTGTTCGTGGCGTCTCGACGGGCTTCAGGACAGGAAACGACAGTAACCTGCTCAATGGAGGCATTTTCCAGCCTGATGTGGCATTGCATATCAACCTTGGAGAAGAGGCAAAGGCCATCGAGGGAACTGAGAGCAGGGCCATTTACGAACTGCGTCAACTCTTGACCACCTACAGTACGAAGGAAGACAATAGCGCTTATGCATCAGTGGTTAAAGGCAACCTGCCTCTGGTAATTCACGCTCAGAGTGTGGTATGAGTTTTCTTTCTCTCCTATGAGCGAGAACAGTTCACTAACATGGTCTCAGCATGCCATTCAACAAGTGATACTCTTGAAGAAAGATTATCCAGATTTGAAAGTGGTCATGCAAGGTGGCCACGCTGCACCGCTGGTGAGTTATGCTTTCGAGTCATTACTCCACGAGAAACACCAAGATTACATCGTACTGATTTGAAAATGCTATAGTTCGCAGAGGAACTTGCTGAAGCAAAAATTCCGCTCATTTTCACCGCACATAGAGGAAGCCCGGCTGTTTGGAGTGCCAAGGATGCGCTGCCAGGGCCACCTCTGGGACGCAGCCCGGCAAGTATATTGAGTGAAGCGGGTGTTTTGTATGCACTTGCAATTGTCCTTGATGGTGTGCTCAGTCTTGAGTCTAGATGATCCCATGTGAAAATGCTAATGTTATCATAGGGCCACCAGGGGATTCTCGTGTCCATGACTTAGCGCTTGAGGCATCTTGGGCTGCTAAGTATGCAGGACTCAGTGAACATGAAGCGATCCAATTGGTATCAAAGAACGTGGAGGATGTTCTGGGCCTTAAACCTAGCAAGGACATTGTCATTTGGGAAGGCAATCCTCTCCAGTTTGGGACACCAGTGCTTGCCTTCCAAGAAGGGGCACAAGGGGCGAAGCTGGAGCTGAACAGCTGTTGGCCAGATGAAGCCGATGACTAGTCAAGTCTGTCGCCACGTACGAGAAGTTGCAAAGTATAGAAACAATTTAGGACGGCGGAAGAGCCGAAAATCTCGATGAGATTTCTGGGGCAACTGATAATTTACAGATACATCAAATCAGAATTTTCATTCCCACCATCTTTGGGCTTTAGTGGTGTGGAGGCCATCTAGGTGCAACTTGGTGTCTCACTTATTCCGTGAGAGTGGTATCAAGGTATAATTTCGCGGAAGCCAGCAGTAATCCATTCTCTCCTCTCTCGATGGCCATGGTATATGAATCACGAAACGATCTGGACCATGGCTGTGGCACCAAGCTGGAGATTGGACCAAAGCGGCGAAGTCGGGGATGTCTTTGGTCGATTACTTACGCACAGAGTTGCCCGAGCTGATGACCAAAGTTGGTTGACTGACTGGTCTGAGTCCGGACAAGTCATCTTGACACGTCGCACGACGTGGCCTCCCGGAAAGCTTGGATGTCCGTCGAATTACGGGGGCACACAATATTCTTCGCCCACAGCCACTTATACCACAACATTCTAAGCCTTTGACAGCAACGAATCAAAGCTTTGCTAGGTGTGTTGTTCAGATGCCATGTTTGTCCGCCCATGTAGAAGGTTATCTGGCAACGGGAGACATCCGATGGGCTGAGTCATGAGGCTGTCGCATCTACATGCCAGAACTGTATCTGATTCCTCGGGTCTCAGAGGCGCTCGGCCCGTCGCAAGACAAAGGCACGAAGCCGCAAATTTCGAGCTTACCAACGACTCAGCAGTTCCCGTGTGAATCAACTTTTCCCACTGGACAGAGCGCAATTCGCCATGCTGTTTCCCGCGCGCTCGTGATGTCACAAACGGCGAGTTGCTCAGGATGCAAAGACATTCTCGTTTGAAGCGCAGCACACAGACATGCTCATGACCAATGACAGAGGAAAAAGCAAAACCTAGAAAAGGTTTTCGACATGATGGGCCTCGAAGAGTTTTCCAAGAACCTATCAACGATGCCAAAAAAGAAGAGCTTTCGTACGTTTCTAAACTTGATTGAGTCAATGACAACGTCCAGTAAGAACTCATAATTACCCCTGAATATGCCCAGGTTCTCAGAGTTCGAAAAGTGGGACTGAGGGGCAATAGTGAGGTCCGTGGGCGTGGTTTAGCTCTTTAGGTAGGTAGCCATCTACGGGTGGTGCGTGCGGTGGGGTAGATTTCAGGAACAGGAAGGAACAAACCGATTGTGGCTCGTAGTTTCCCATGCTTCGCGCCGTGCCTTGCTGCCTCCCAGTTTTAGAGTCTCTTTGTTTTGCACCCACACAAAACCCGCCCGGCGGGTGGCACGCTCACCAACTAACCTTAAAGCTTGAACAGTGAATGCATTGGTTGAGAGTGGCTCGCCATCACTGCCGCTTTGATTCAGGCGCGCGCAAATCGGCCATGCCAGCGACCGTTTGGATCGACGAATAAGTGCCATTATGGCATCTTCAATATTTCAAAAGTGAAGCAATTAAGTTGCGCGAGAGAGTGAGAGAGCCAAGAAGGCGAGACTTGCCTTCAGGAATGGGAAGCACAATGAGCATGCACTGGATTCACTAGCACAACATCGGGCGCCTCGGCGTCGAAAAGCGACATCCCACAGCCACCTACGGCGATGTGCACAAACTTGAGCGTTAGTGGGTTTCGAAACAGATCAAGGCCAGACCGCTAGCACAGGAGGAATGCAGACAAACAAAGAAGGTCCACGGAAGGTGGAGAATCGAAGCTGGTAGACATTCTTTGATCGACTGTCAATCCCCGGAAGCTGGACCGAGTAGCTTACTGCGTAGCCATGGGCAGCCCTTTGACACAGCGGAGGCGCAGTGCCCATGTTCCCGCCAAAATGATTCCAATTTCTCGCCTTTCTAGCATCTATGCGGCATGTCGAGAGGCTCCGCCATCGTCCCACACGCCTCGAAGCGTCGGGCCTTCTCTTTAATCCTGACGTTATCTCCTCAACTCGATAACCTTGACGGGGAGGCTCTGGGCGGCGCCCTGGAGAACTCACTAGGACATTCTCAGTCGACCGAATGCACTAAAATGGCTAGGCCCGCGGCGGAAGAGGCACCAAGAAGGGATGGTAAATTAAGGGCCGTTTCAGCTGCACGAGCTTTATCGTTTTTCCAGAACTAAAGTGCTGAGGGGTGGGAGCGCAGGGGGACCTTCCAAGAACAAGCCGATAGGCCCGTACCACAATTCAAGGGCCACCTGGGCAGGGTTGCTGGCGATCCCCGCGAGGGATGGCTCGGGGCAGAGAGAGATGGGATGAACGGGATGGTTGAAACGCTCGCGCTGACAGGACAATGAAAGAAACACTGTACAGTGTGTCGCTGCCAGAGGAGTCGGAGACTTTTCATAACTTTGACACCTGGTCAGCGCTGACCCGATCGGGAATATGACATCCAGAAAATGCCCGACGCTGAGCTGGACGCTGCAACGGGACTACGTTGTCGACGATCCGCATCGGTGTCGATCGAGCTGGACTCTGAGCCATTTCCCCAGTGACATGAGGCTCCTTTCTGAGCCTGGTCAACTGGGCGAACTCAGACTGAGACGATGACGAGTGGCGGCCAGAAATACAACTTAGGTCAGATCACTAAAGGGGAGAACAACGAGTAACGGTATTAGCGAGAGACTCCTGACATGTGCAGTGAGATCCTAAGTTTGGACTTTAGCCGCCTTCCCAAATCGAATTGTAACATAGACGATATCTTATGCCATCGCGCTGGTTAGGAAGAGGATCTCTAAAGGCAGATGGCTAACTTTGCAGCTTGGCTCTTGACAATGGCAGCTAGCTAATGGATGACAAGCAGATCATTGCTTCTTGTCAATATCTACGGCAATTTTGCGACGTCTGGTTGATTCTGAGCAAACCCATGTTGAGGCCACGAAACTAAGCTGCTCATCTGCCATGGGGCTAATGCTATTCATATGACATGTTTTGCATTGCCGACTCACCCTTAGAGGTGGTAAGCAGCTTGTCTGTACAAGTCCGCAGTGAGGCAATTAATAAATCGGGGGTTGACACATTCTGGCAGCTGGCCAAGGATTGCGATCAATATCGTGTATCCCATGTCGTGGTCACAGTCTGCCAAAGATGGTGGCGGGAGTAAGCCACTGTGCTTGCTACTTTTGCAATTTAACGGCGCCTTCCTACTGGACGCCACGGCCGCCTCGTCCGTTTTGTTTCTTTTTTATCTTGGGCCTTTTTTTACCGCACGTCCTTAACAAGACAGGGCCAGACTGCCAGCACACCACCACCCCCGACCAGGTGCAGCGGGAATCCAGGAACATCTGCAGGTCCTGCCAATAAGGCGAGCCTGCCCCCGACAACATGCAGGTACCAAACTGAAATTCGAGCAAGAATGGGCATCTTACCCGCATCTTCTCAGATCAAGGTCAGTACCGTCCAACCACGCAATCTTGTGTCCATCGCGTCCACATGGCGTGCATACCGGTTAGCAGAGCGCATCCTCCAACTCCGCAACTCTATCTTGTGCAATTGGATCTCGCGTGGCTAGGCCCTCTTGCTACTTCGCTGGAATCTCGATGACTCAATTGGCTGCACGATTCATTATCAGGTCGAGTGATGCAAGCGACGAGGCGGCGGCATATCCAAGATCAAAAACTTGGACAGACGGCCGCCTCCTGGGTCGTCGAAACGCCCATGTCAGCCCGACCGCCAGTGCTGTCACAAGGTCACATCTAGCGAGGAAACATGTTTACGCGCCACCGCGAGGCCGTCATAAGCTCAGCGTCTCAGCAGGGGGTCAATAGTATTCTGGGCTCAGTTTGTCTCCCAGTGTCACCACTCCCATCTATTATCCCTGCTCCTCTGGCGAGAACCTAGCCCCGGCGAGCTAGCTGCACCTTGCATGCTAGGTTGCATGCGCCGCAGGGGGGATCACACGGATTCACACAAGGGCCATAATCCAAGTTAGGCTTGACCCATGTCTGCACACATGGTCCTCCTGGCTCCGGCCGTGGACCTTGACAAAGAATCCAACCTTCGTCCCGTTCCACTGTGTATTATCGAGCTACACAACACAGACCAGCTGGGGGACAAGCAACACCCGGGTCCACCACCCTGGATCGCGCATACCGATAACTAACTAAGAATTGCTAGACGTGACCGGGCTCAACACCACGGTGCCATGGCCAAGAGGTTTATTAGTCTCTTGTCCCTCGTGAACCCTTTCCTTCTGTCCTTCTCTTCCCACCCTCAACTCCTCTGGGTTTCTGTCTCTCTCTATTCCACCCTCCTTTCACCAACTTACTTTCTTTCATACATTGACGCTCTTGCACAAGTTGCTGGGCATTTTCACTCCTTTCTCAAATCAAACAATTCTTGTTTGTTACTTTCTTTGAAGCAACCGAGTTCGCTGCCATTGTCACTATCGAGTCAAAGTAACTCTAGTGATTCACTCCTTGTCTATCATACAATCATCCCACGTCCTGGAGCTCCGGAATAGCACCCAAAATACAAACTCTCAGAGACTACAATTCTAGAGAGAGCAGATCTACTCTTACATTCACAGCACGATACCTTGAAAATCTAGATATCCGCTACATTGTTTAGGAACAAAACAACAAATCAAAATGAAGACCTCCGTCGGCTTCCTGGCGGCATTTGCCTCCGGTGTGACAGCAGTAGGAACAGCGGGGCGGTCATTTGCCGTGCTGAGATTCTTCGGTGATGGAGCGCTGGTGGAAACCCGAGCCGACCCAATCGTCCAGCCTAACGTCGCTTCGAGTCACGTACATACCGTCATGGGAGCGAGCAACTTTGGGTTCAACTCTACCGGCGACTCCCTGTTCGAGTCTGAGTGCAGCAATGCCCTGATTGAGGGTGACTTCAGTGCTTACTGGATGCCAAAGCTGTACTTTCATGACAAGGATAAAGGCACTTTCGAGCCCGTTGAACTGTTTTATATGAACGTCTACTACTTCTTCGAGGGAACCAACGACAAGATCAAAGCCTTCCCTAAGGGACTTCAAATGGTTAGCGGGGATGCCATGACACGAACGTGCCCTACTTCGGGCAAGCAGATCACGGATCCTGATGATGGCACTATCCAGCCTGCTCAAATCACATGCCCCCGAAGCAACTTTAACCCTCCATCATATCCAGTGGACTCTGACGGCTCAAAAGCTGGTATTGTGGACCCCAACAACAAGGGTTCTGGTGTTGGATTTCCATTCGCTGAATGCGATGGCTATGCGTCCCCTCTGCGTGCCGATTTGCACTTCCCTTCATGCTACAAGCCATCGGTTGGCCTGACCAACTACAAGGAGAATATGGCCTGGCCTACACACACCGGCAATGGCATGCAGGACTGCGCAGAGGGTGAGATACATGTCCCACATCTTTTCTACGAGATGTATTGGAACACCCCCAAGTTCATCGACCGCTGGACTCCCAACCAAGGTTACCAGCCATTCGTCTTCTCCAACGGAGACGTGACTGGATGCTCTCTCCACGGTGACTTCTTGGCCGCCTGGGATGAAAACACCCTCCAGCACATCATTGACACTTGTGATGCGGGTGATTCTGGTATGGACAACTGCCCTGGTGTCACAGTCAGAGATAAGAAGAAGGAGTGCCACATTGCACCTCTCGTCAACGAGGCTGTCACTGGTGTCTTGTCTAAGCTTCCTGGCGACAACCCATTGGCAGGCTGGAGCTACGGCACCGGCACCGGTGGTGGATCTTCGTCTGGCGGCTCTTCTGGCTCTTCCAGCTCCGCTGCCGCGCCTGCTCAGTCCTCTACTACTCCCGGCGGTGTCAAGGTCGACCCACCAACGACCTCAAAGGCTGCCCCGGTATCTACGCCTCCTGCGGAGACTGAATCTGAGTCCTCAACTAAGGCTCCCGCTGCTCCTACCACCACGGCAGTCGAAGAACCCGAGCCGACGTCGACCAAGGCTCCCGTCGAGTCACCAAAGCCAACGTCCGCCCCTGCCGTCGTCAACAACGCTGGCAACGGTGTCCATGTCTCGACCGTGTGGGACACCATTTATACTACTGTCACAACCACTGTTTACGAAGACGATCTTCCAGAAGCCACACAGGCGCCGTCCGCTGCGAATGCATCTCTACCTGATGTTGCGGGATGGAAGTATGCTGGCTGCTTCAAGGATACCCGTACGCGTGTCATCCAGGGCGAGAGGCTCCCGAACCTAGGCGCTATGTCAAACGAGAAGTGTGTGAGCTACTGCCAGTCCAAGGGCTTCTCCGTGGCTGGCACAGAGTATGGTGGTCAATGCTTCTGTGGCAACGAGCTGGTCGGCTCCGAGCAGCTAGCCGAGTCTCTCTGCGATGCTGCTTGCGAAGGCGACAGCGCAGACACCTGTGGTGGTGACTGGAGCCTGACGCTCTACAGCTCCACCGGCAGTGCTCCTCTGGCTAAGCGCCACGAGCACGCTTACAACCACTTCCTCAACCACCGCCGCAGCGCTCATCGACGCAGATGAGCGACTGTCTAACTGTTTCGATTCTTGAACATACTGGTTATTTGGGGCATAGAAGATGAAGAGTACCGCATGCTCGGTGATCATTTATATACCTTTGTCTGGACATAGAAAAAGGGGTCGGGACTCTGGGGACATGGCAGACACAAACAGGCGCAGGAACCACATCACTTCATTTTGATTTTTTTTTATTCTGGCTTGAGGCGCTTGCGTGGAGCACACCTCAAGTATGATGTTACGAACAAACCCTTTCTCTCCAGCTACTGGACAGACACACCTTCGCTTCTGGCTTTTGTATGATTTACACAAAATCTTCGATTCTTTTTTTGAGGGCAATGACACCGTGCTATTTTTGGCCGGGCTTTGTACCTATTTGGACACACTTAACAGATCCTCATTGGTGGCGGATTTTGTAAGGAAGAGATAGAGCCCGAGGGCGTTAGATGATCAAATCCAACTGCATGCGGTCGCTAAAAGTCGTCCCTGTCGCATACCCAAGCTTACTGTGACTGCCATCGTGTATCATAATTAGGAGTCGATCACTGAAGTCGGATACTGGTTCAAAGCCCGTTTTGGGGCATTACTGGTTATCATTCAAACTATATGCATAGAGGTATAGCTATTCTGTTAAAGGTATAATCACGTAATGCCCCCTTATATCCAGAATTAGATCTCCTTCAAGAAGCCAACCTCGACCAACCGATCCACGTCGATGTCCAGGTCTGCCAGCTTGGCTCTCGTATTCTCGCGAATCCACAAGAACGCCTCAAGCAGGAGGCGTCTCGTGACCCTGGCCACGTTCCACCGCGAGCCCTCCCTCTTTACCCGCATGGTTTCCTTGCCCAGCACGTACACCACCTGGCTCTCGTGCGCCTCCCGCAGGGCCGCCAGCTCGACCGCATCTGCCCCGGAGCGCTGGGACACGGCCAGCTCGATCTGCGCGACGAGCTCGCGCGCCATGCCGGGGCGGAGGACGTCGTCGGTGTAGCCGTGGCGCATCACCACCGAGTAGCAGTTGGGCAGGAGCGAGGGCAGGCCCTGCCTCTCCTGCGGCGAGGGTGAGCGAGACGACGATGCTGGCTGCGGACGAGGCACGGCCGACTGCGGCTGGAGGCGGGTGACCACGAAGCGCTCGCCGTGGGGCACGGTTGCGATGGGCAGGGGCCGCATGTGGAAGAAGATGACGACGGCGGGCCGGGCGGCGAACTTGCGGACGAAGTGCGCGAAGCTCGGCGGCAGCATGGCCGTGTCGCCGTTCTTGTCGAAGAAGATGCCCAGCCCGGGAACGGTAGACACAGGGGTGCCGCCGAAAGCTTGCGTGAGTCTGATCTCGTCCTTGGGATCGCCATTGCTGGGTGTGCGCGCCGGGTCGCCGTGCGCGAGTAGGCTAGAGGGCGGAAGACGGTCGAGAGACTCGGCGGCCCACTGGTGCTCCTTGCCAAAGCGCCACAAGATGAAGACGGAAGAGAGAATGACGGCGAGGAGTAGCGTGAACCATGCGCCGTCAGGAACCTTTGTGAGGACCGAGGTTAGGAAGGCGCCGTCGAGGGCGCCGAAGATGAGGAATACGGGGAGGACGAGCCAGATGGGCAGACGCCAGGCGAGTATAGCTACGAGGGTGACCATACAGGTCGTGATGAATGTCACAAAGATGACGCAGACTCCATAGGCATTTCCTAAAGATGTAGTCTGTTGGTATTGGTTTTAGCAATTGGTCTTGGCGGCAGCATCATGGGTTCTGCAGGGGTAGACTTACATTGTTGTATACGGCCGTGACGATGACAGTGCCAATCATCAGGAGCCAGTTCGCAAGAGGCATGTACACCTGATCGTGGAACTTCGTGCTCGTATGGACAACCTTGATGTGGGGGAAGTAGGACAGACGCATGACTTGTGAGAGGAGCTGAAATGTTGATGTGATCATCGCTTGGGACGCGACGATGGCAGCGAGCACTGCAATGACCAGCGAGAAGTACAGGCTTCCTGGCGGTACTGTGTAGAAGAAGGGGTTAGTGAACGCCGTCTCATCCGCATCCGTTGAAATGAAGGCTGCTTGTCCAGAGTAGGCGAAAATCAAGCAAGGGTATGCGAGACCAAGCCAGGAGATCTGTATGGCACGCTTTCCAAAGGCTCCTAGGTCCGCGAAGAGTGCTTCGACACCGGTGAATGCGAGCAGTAGACCGCCAAGTGATTTCCAGCCCTCGTGGCCATTCCTTATAAGATAAGCAAACGCATAGTGCGGACTGAAGGCCTTTAGGACGGTGTAGTCGTGAACGGCTAGGTTGTAGATTCCCGCACAGAGGTTAAACAAGAGCCAAACGACGACGATGGGTGCAAACGAGGTGCCGATTTTGGACGTGCCGAAAGGCTGCAAGAAGAATAGAAACACCAAGATTGCGCATGATATGCCGACAATAGTAGAGGTTCCTAGATCTGGGTTGGCGACACGGATGCCCTGAATGGCACCCAAAACGGACTGGGCAGGAGTAAGTACACCATCGGCCATAACCATGGCAACACCTAGAACACCAATAATCTTCAAGAAGAGCTTGGCGGCTGAGGAATTCTCGACGAAGCTCCGAAGAGGTCGTCCGGAGGATCTCAACTCGCCAGTCTTGTAACGCTCCATGCGAATCATGCCACTCGTAGTAGGATCGCGCTTGACTATGTTGGTGTAACGCGAGAGGAGACTGTAGAGGGCAAATGTGCCTCCCTGGCCATCATCATTGGCGCACAGAACAATAAAGGTGTATTTGACGGTGACAATAAGAGTCAGGGACCAAATGATGATGGACAGGGCTCCGGTCAGGTCATCCCATGATGGCTGGCTGGAGAACGTAGAAGAGTAGACGTAAAGGGGTGAAGTCCCTAGAATGAGAAGGTTAGCTCCTAGATGTCAATCTCAGGATACACCGAAGCTCACCGATATCACCATAGATCACTCCAGTTGCTGTTCAAAGTATTGGAATTAGTATTGTTCAAATGGTGGGTTTCTATCATGACTCTTCACCTTGCCAGCTCAGCCACAGAAGGATGAAGCCACTATACTTCTACCAGCACATCAGTACATCTCTCGAATGTTGGCCCGAAATGCGCGAAAACAAATCTGAGAATATACATACTTGCTTGTGACTATGGTTTAGATCTTCCTCGGCAATGCGCCGAGCCTTCTCCTCATCATCGATGCTGAGAGACTGCTCCAACGCAGTATTGATGTCTTCTTTCGTATCGCTCGCCCGCGAAACCCCGGAATGGACCGGCCGAATTGGTTCCGCAATGCGAATACGCTCAGGTTCTTCTTCGCCCATTTTGAATGAAGTGGCAGGAGAAGAGCGGGAGAGATCGTAGTTGCAGATCTACTTGATTGAACGGAACCGAGGGTTCACGAAAGGATGAGACACAGGGAAAATGTACGAAGGGTAAATGCAACTGTACTGCTACCTTGGTGGAAATACAAGAGTGGCATTTATATTTTCTAGCCAGCTGCATGGGTTACCAAGAGTCTTGACTGACGAGCCTGGGCTATCTGACTCGTGGTAATTAATTATATTATGTACGACCGTGGTAGTCCATATCAACATCCCTACTTAGTGGTGCAAGCCATGTTTTCGGCATACTCATTTGGGAAGGGCCGTTTTCTTCAAGACCTTGTATCCAAAGTCTCAGCTACATGCCTCGTCTATGAGAATCTGATCAGGTAGGATGGAACCCCCTGAGACACATGCAATTGGCTTTGGGCATTACATCTGCAGACCACGTGTGGTGGGGAGGCCTCCCCATAAGAGAGCGCAGAGGCAGGAGTGGGAAATGATACCCTCAGATAGCGAGCCATCTTTTGCAGGGACGATTGTGTTGTAGCAGAATGTGGTGAAGTAGAAAATACCACTCCGGAGGGTACCTGCTCCATCAAATCTCACCATCAAAAATTTGGTAGACGGTCCATGAGCTGTGCTAGTGATAAAATCGCTCATATCTTTGTCTTTTACGCGTGTGTATGTGAATAGAATAGAAAGGATGACAATGTACAGTCTCATTGTTCTTCTAAGTGCAAACATGGTGGGCGAGGTTCCTGTACAGGAGCCTGGGTAACTAGCCCTATGAAACAAGATTTGACATGACGATGATGGCAGGAGGTTGGTGGAGTCTGGGGCTATGTTACGGCGCTTGTGTGATTCAGGATTGCCCAACCAATAGGTGAATCAGCCGCGAACTGGACGACTTCCACCTTAGACCAGATTCATCCAAGCGACGACTATCGTCAGGGAGTAGACAATAATACCTCAGACTAGGAAAGGGTAGTCCACGATCTGGGTGCTTTCTCTAGTAGACATATCTAATCCTGCTCAACTCAAAGAAGGCACGTAAGATGTGCGAGTCAACCAAAGTGTTCGAATGAAGCCGTAAAAACTCGACATGCAATAAAATATCATGCAGTTCGTGCATCATGGCAGCTCTGTTCAGCATCTATCTAAGCTTGTAACAATGCAGACACCATATTTCCTAGCAGTGACCCGAGAACGACCAATGCGGGCCACAGCATTCGTAACAAACCTTGCAGGACATATTCCAGAATTCATTTCCTACCTTGGAGCTTACGCCGGCCCTGTCATTTGTGACTGTTTTGGCCATATACCTAGGTTGGCCTTGATGATGGTGGAAGTCTCGGCCATTGGCCAATTTGATGTCAGTCTCGGAGGACGTTGAATGTGCAAATCCGTTAGTGCGTTTTGGGAAGGTTATTGCGACAGGCGCCAAACCTGACGGGTGGAGGACATGGACTGGGGCTTTTCAGTCCATGGAACAATCATGTTTTTCTTTTCAAGTTTTTTGCCACTTCATACTGTAGATGTATGTGTGCTATCGATTCTTGTTCCGTATGCTGGCTTTTCCCAAATCTCAAATGCTCTGAGATGAATTCGGTTTTGATGGACATTAAGACATAGACCTAGATAGCGCTGCTGGGTATCTAGGTAGTTCCTTGAAGCATTCATATACTACAGGATCAAGTCTCGTCATAATTTAAGACCAAGTTCTATGTGGACAAACCCCATAGCTCAATGCCTATCGCATCCTCGGTCATCGCGGTACCTTTCGAATTGAACAGTGTAACTTCAAGACGCGTGCAGTTGTCATTCATCATCTGAAGTCTCTGTGTAGAGCCCTATAAAAGATTGGCAGCCCGTGCTTTCTGAGCTTAATTGCCTAGTGCGGACTTGGCGCCGTGTGGGGTTGCTCCGCGGTATATCACTTCCAGGGTCTCGATAATTTTTTGAAGCGCCTTAAGTTGACCAGAACGCCCGCCTCCGCACAGCTTGGTACCGTCATGTCCCTCTACCATGAGGCTGCCGATGTGCTGGACACCTCCAAATTGGACGGCGGGAATCTCAGGTCTCGCGTCTTCGGCCGCAAAGATCGAAAATCGTCGCCTGCCCAGATCTACGCCTTAGCCCTCGAGACTTGCAAATGGAGCCTGGTCTTGAAAGAGGTTGTCGAGAATGCGCAGCTCCTGCAACACGAGAAGAAGGTGCGTCTGCGCTCGTCCTCGACATTTTGTGTATTCCCACCAGGCCAATGGCACCTAGCTAACAGATCTGGTAGCTTACTCCCCTCCTCTCGCTGCTCCTAGTCCATGATTTCCTGCTCTCCAAGAGCGGCATCGCGCTCCCGGCGTCTCACGGTCTCCGAGCTTCCATCGAGCGTCATAAAGCCCGACTTACCTCAGAGTTTACACGAGCCAGAGTCCGAAGAAAATGCCCCACGATCGATGCACTGAGGGAGGTGGTAGAAGCAGATGCCATTCCGGACGATGCACATCCACGCTGGATCAGGATCAATGCTGTGAGGACTACGCTGGAGCAAGAGCTGGAGACAACATTCAAGGATTTTGAAATAGTGCAGTCTCCTGTGCAAGTGGTGAAGGGCACGGCAAAGTCTATTCACATCGACGAGCATATCCCCAATCTTGTGGCCGTCTCTCCGAGATTCGACTTCACCAAGTCAGCCGCCTACAAGTCTGGAGCCCTTATCTTGCAGGACAAGGCATCGTGTTTCCCGGCATATCTACTTAACCCAACACCTGCAGGTGGCGATGTCATCGACTCATGCGCCGCCCCAGGGAATAAGACGACACATATAGCAGCGATACTGCGTGGGCATTACGATGTTGCAGGAGATGTCAAGCAGACCATACATGCATTTGAAAAAGACGCTAGGAGAGCCAGAACCCTCGAGAAAATGGTGAAGCTAGCTGGGTCGGATATCTTTACCCGAATAAACCAGGGTCAAGATTTTCTTAAAGTCAACCCCGCCGACGAACTTTATCAAAACGTCGGGGCACTTCTGTTAGACCCTAGCTGTTCTGGCAGCGGCATTGTAGGACGCGATGATATGCCCGAGCTGCACCTACCAGTGCTGCCAGGTGCTAATGGATCGCGCAATCCCAAACAGAAGTCGAAGGAAACTTCCGCCAGCAAGCGCAAGCGCGACGATGCTGAGGAGATTGCGGAGAACGTCATGGTTGATGATGATGGCAATACGACAGTCTTATCATCTGAAAAGGACCTCAACGCGCGGCTGGCCTCGCTCTCGTCCTTCCAGCTTACTCTGCTACTGCACGCCTTCCGGTTCCCTGCGGCTAAGAGGATAACATACTCGACCTGTTCAGTGCATGTAGAGGAGAACGAAGGAGTGGTTCTCAGCGCTTTGCAGTCTGACATCGCAGGGAAAAGAGGGTGGCGGATTTTGGAACGAGCACATCAACCCAGTGGCATGCAAAAGTGGCCCGTACGCGGTCTTGAAGGCGCTTGTCCGGGACAAAGCAATGTTGCAGACGCCTGCATAAGAGCATACAAAGATGACGGCCGCGGAGTCATGGGCTTCTTCGTTGCTGCTTTTGTCCGGGACGGCGATATTGACGATGCGGACGCCTACGACAACACCGGAGGCATAGGGGAGATGTCAGGGGGACAATCGGCCACAGCAACCGCATTGGTTCCCTCTCCTCACTCACGTGGCAAGCGGCCTAAGACACAGCCTCAATCTGCCTATATTGATGAGCGCGACCACAACAACGTTGAGGTGCACGAGGAGAGTGACTGGAGCGGCTTTGATGACTAACTGGGCCCTTGTTGCTATATTCGTTCGGCCGAGCTGATGGGCAAGGCTCTGCGAAGGATCTGCCTCGGTACCTCGGCATGGCGCACACACTTACCTCATTTAGGACGTGAGGCCACTTACAAGGCCAGTGTCAAAAAAACAATGGGCCATGTCTGATAAGACGTGCGGACTATTGCGAAAATTTCACGTATGTTCCTTCTTGAGAATCGGCCCGCTCTCGTTCTGTTTGAGGATGAGAAGGAATGGGCATGGTGAGCCATCTCTCTTGGTTGTATTGCCAAAACGCAAGATGCGTCCCGCTGCCTGCGGTGCAACCGTGCAGGAGGCTCTGCACCATCTATCTACCTTGCTGTCATAGCACCAGTCCTACGGGACGGCAAGCGCTAGAGACTCGATCAAGGATCGACTCAAATGTGTCATCTAAATAAAGGTCGTTCACAATCATCTACCAGGTTCCGAAGGGTCCGTTTTGTGCACGCGCCTTTACGGAAGCGAAGTGAGGCGGCCTCCAAGGTCGGAGCGCGAAAGTTCATTCAATCCCTCTAGGATCCGCTCATCGTATCATTATGCTGTTAGTCGAACGAATGTGCACAAACCAGTTCCAATGCATTCGTCGGCGAGGGCGTACTCTAGCCAATGGCCCATTGAATCTGGCAGTTGTGCCTCGGCGCGGCGCTTCAACTTGGGCCGGTCGGAACGGAAGCAGGACCCGCAAAGAGCCTGAAAAGTGCTCGAAATCGTTCTGGAAAGTCTTTCTGACTCAAGCACTGGCCACCGCCAAAGCATGCGCCGACCCGCCGACACGGGCAGCATCCGGGCTGGCTCAGGCTGCTTCAGTCCCTGCCAAGGCGTTTATGTCCGGTAGTCCCGGGCTAGTGACGCCTAAAGTTTTGTGCATTACGGCATGCGTCGTGACGAAGCCGCAAGGCTCTTCTGCCGTCTCTTGCACAGGGTGCTGAAGTCATCGGGTCTCAACGTCTCGGCGCTACGGTGCTCTGGTAGGTGTGAACCACGCTGACCACCCCTCCCTCGATGTGTCGGTATGAGTTTAGCCAAACTTCCGTTGGAGTTCGGGAGCCCGGACGGACGAAGTTCTTGTTATCTACGTTGCTTGCGTGCGCGGACGCCAGACTGGGCACAACCCATGCACAATTTATAAGCCAGCGCCACACAGCAAACGGCGTATTGAGCCCAACTCTGGGAGAGAATCAGTCCCGTTGTGGGTCGCGGACAAGTAGCGTTGATTGACGAGATAAAGAATCCGATGGAGCTGGAATGATGCGATGGACCGAGCCTGTACGCAAAAAGTCCTGGCCCCAATATATATAATTCCGCCCCTGCTCTCCCGTCCCTCTCTTTGCCTTGTGAAATGTAGTTTGACGCTATCGTCTTGTCACCATCTTCCAGACAGTCAACATGGCGACTCCACAGGTCAACTCATCAGCCTCGTCTATCACGGCGACAGAAGCCAATCCCGATCTTGAGTCACAACGCCCGAACAAGACCCACGTTTCCCACTTCCAGATTGTCTTCGACCAGGCCGGTGTCACCCCGGAGGTTCTTGCACACAAGTATCAAGGCCAGGGAACAGCAGAGTCGCCATATGTCGTCGAGTTTCTCCCTCAGGATCCCCGTAATCCTATGCTGTTCTCGAAAACGAAGAAATGGAGCATTACCCTGCTACAAGCTGTCGCGACACTAGCTGTGGCTTTCGTCAGTACCGCGTTTTCGGGCGGTATCTTTGAGGTCATCGCCGACTTTGGCATCTCACGAGAGGTGTCCATTCTCGGTCAGTCTTTCATCTAAATTTGACATGGCATTCTCGCAGCTATACTAACATAAGTCAGGCATCTCATTGTTCGTTCTTGGCTTTGCCATCGGCCCCTTACTATGGGCACCAGCAAGCGGTAAGACCAAAAGACAATGACCCCTGATCTCCTGTGCCACTTCCGTACTGATACAAATTCTTAGAGTTCTATGGACGTCAAATCCTTTTCTTCATCACTTACATGGCCCTCACCGCCTTCAATGGCGGTGCAGCTGGTGCCAAAAATATTGAGACGCTGGTCATCCTGCGATTCTTTGCGGGCGCTTTCGGCTCGTCACCCCTGACGAATTCCGGCGGTGTCATCGCCGATATGTTCTCCGCATCGGAGCGAGGTCTCGCTACGGCCGTCTTTGCGACCGCACCTTTCCTTGGCCCGTCGATCGGTAAGCATTCCCTCCTGGTCTATGCACCCCGCCCGGAGCATACCTCATTCGGGTGATGTCTTGCACATGCAGTCGGGCACGAGACAGAGTGATCACGTCAGCGCTAACGTTGCTCCTTCTCTTCAGGTCCTATCGTTGGTGGTTTCCTTGGTGAGGCCGAGGGTTGGAGATGGGTTGAGGGCCTGATGGCTATCTTCACAGGTGTGCTGTGGATCGTCTGCACGATATTCGTCCCCGAAACATACGCACCGGTTCTCTTGCGCAAGAGAGCCGCTAAGCTGTCCAAGCAGACTGGCAAGGTCTATATCTCCAAGCTGGACTTCGGCAAGCCCCACAAGACTGTTGCCGCTCAGTTCAAGGTTGCACTATCGCGACCATGGATCCTGCTCTTCAAGGAGCCTATTGTGCTCTTGACATCCATCTATATGGCCATCGTCTACGGCACACTCTACATGGTACGTAAATTTGAAACAGGTATATCCTTGGCTGGCCTCAAGCCCGTCAGCACTCTATCTGGAAATCGTACTGACTTATGTGGTGCAGTGTTTCGCTGCCTTCCCTATTGTTTTCCAACAAGGCCGAGGATGGAGCCCCGGTATTGGCGGCCTGGCTTTCCTCGGTGTTGCGATTGGCATGCTCTTGGCTGTCGGGTTCGCCATGTATGACAATAAGCGCTACAACAGAGTCGTTAAGGAGCACGGTGGAGCGGCACCGCCTGAAGCACGCCTGCCCCCTGCCATCATCGGATCGATCCTCATTCCCGTTGGTCTGTTCTGGTTCGCGTGGACCAACAGTCCCAGCATCCACTGGGTCGTCTCGATTATCGGAACAGGCTTCTTCGCCGCCGGCATCGTCCTGGTGTTCCTGTCCTTGATGAACTACCTGATCGACTCGTACGTCATCTTCGCCGCCTCCGTGCTGGCCGCCAACGCGGTGCTGCGGTCCCTCTTCGGCGCCGCCTTCCCGCTCTTCACGACGTACATGTTCAACGACCTCGGCATCCACTGGGCCAGCAGCATCCCGGCCTTCCTCTCCCTGGCGTGCGTGCCCTTCCCCATCCTGTTCTACAGGTACGGCGCGCAGATCCGCATGAAGTGCAAGTTCGCGCACGAGGCGGCCAATGTGCTCGAGCGCATGCGCTCCCTGCACGTGCAGATCGATGTGGACGAGGCTGAGGAGGAGATGGAGGAGGAGGAGAAGGCGCATCGCATTGAGTCTCGGACGCCACATGGTGGGCTGATGACCGATGACGAGGAAGCCTCTGGCAGCGCGAAGAAGGAGGAGCAGTAAGGAGTCGCTGGAAGACCACCCATGGATGGGTGTGTTAGAAGACACGCGTTCCTGTGGTCTCGACACGCATTATTATGATCATATCATCTGCATTGCACGGCGTGGCGTTCATAGTAATGAGCACCCTTGTTTTAGGCGTGCATGGCGGTTGGCAATATAGACGGACAATGGAGCAGGACTTATAGATATATTATAGACATAATAGAGTAATCGGCCCTCAAAGGCAGGAAATATCACATCCACATTCAACACCATCTACACGCAGCTCGCACTAGATACAAAGTGTTCCATGACGAGTACTGTGGTTCTGGAAAGTTTTGCTAGGGAACGTGAACACAAATATCAGTGAGCGACACAGGCTGTACGATCAAATGTTGTCATATGTACTCAAAGTAGCGTTACCATTCCATCTAGTATTACATTTATGTCGATATTCCCCATTCAGGGATTCCCTGCTTGCCCTGTCTTATAGGGCATCGCTTGTAGCTAGCCTTGAGACAAGACGCTACCCAGCAGCTAACGTCAAAAGAGCTTGGGAGTATAAATGTGGGTGAGACATCAAGTCCAGCCAAATCAAACTTTACAAACTCAAAAATGAATTTCCATTCTGCTTTCGTCTTACCAAATCTCGAAGCTGGTTACTTCATCTTTGATCTTTTCCCAAGCTCGGGGATACAGTAGTCCCAGGCCAACTCTCTTAAACTTCTTCATTGTTGTGTCGATAGGCTGGAGCAGCAACGCCCAGTACACCTTTTCTGAACGCCCGGCTTGTATGAGGTCGACACATGTATCCTAAAAGCATCAATAATATTTGTCAAATCTAGAAATTATATGTACTTACAGTAGTAACATGGGAGCAAACCTCCTCATCGTTCGATCTGTGTTCTTGATGTTCTCGGAGAGAATGTAAGGCTCTCTTCATGTGACGGATCTCATGCGAAGTGCCTGGATCCGGGGAACAGTACAGAAAGCTAAAGAAGCAAAAGTGAGCTCGGTTCGTACCAGCAGAGTTCAAATATGGAGAGCTTGACTTCTCTTACCAAGGATCGTCAGAGAGCCGGTCATTTGAGGCCAGAAAGAAGCAGAAAGCCTCTTGACAATATTCTAGTCCATCAAACACAGCCATACCAAATATTCTGTCGGCCATCTCAACATCATGGAGCAAGAAACAATTCAGTCCATTGTCTCCATTCCGGGCAACTCCCCATGACATAAGCCTTTCGGGGAAAGTAACAGGCTGTGGAAAATATACCACAGGCACAAGGCAACATTCTGACATAGGGTGTTGGGATACTCTTGTCCTCAACAGTGATCCAGTAGCATCCAAAACTCCCGAATCTCTCAATGCGAGATCAACGTCTATGCTATTCAGACTTTCTATGGAGTTTGCCAACCACTTTTTATTCCATTCAGTAGCTGCCCAGCACCAAGAAGGTAAATCCAATACATTCAACTTCTGAGTGTGAAACTTGCTAAACATCCAGAGAAGTTGTTGATTGAGATTGTTTTCCCAAACTCCAAATCTGTAATTGTCACTCCTAGACTTTCGCATTTCGTTGACTATACCGTCAATAGCAAGCAAACGATCCTTCTCATATGTCAGCTCTTTCCCCGAGTACTGACCAAGAAGCTCTGTCCACGATTTATGCTCAAATGTACCGAACACTCGGTAATTATTGCGCTCATCGTGACAACCCTCGTGACATTTCCAAATGATTCCTTCCAGTGCGAAGAAGACCGTTCTGTGAGACATGTACCATTCTTGAAATGCCCAGGCTCGACTGCGGAGAGGGCCTTCCAGCATAGAAGTTGCTAATATGTCTCCTTCCTGGAGCTGTAGTGCAACATTGTAAGTGCCCATTATTGACTCATTTTTTGTTAGATAGGGGAAACGAGACACAAATGGTTCTGGACTTTTGGTAACGAAAAGACCCTCAGTGGAGTCCTTTGAGCCTGCAGCTGCGATGACTAGAGCAGCATTCTTGTAAATTTCCCCCATCTTTGCTGATTCATTGCGCCATTCCTTCTCATCGTCTTGATTGATGCAAAGCGAATCTATCCAGAGGTAGTCAACCCCCAAGGCCTGAACAAGTAGAGCAGCGTGTTTGAATGTCAGTGGAAGCTGATTGAAGGGTATACCGGCAAGATGATCTTGAAGATTGTCATTTATTGTGCGGAGTGGTTGCTTGTCTTTGGAGCCCCAACAGTGACTTAGAGCGCAATACCTGCCTTTTGAATGGCCTGTCTCAACTAATTTCACTACAATTCCCTCACCCTCACCAGTGACTAGAAGGAGTCGAGTAGGGAGATCAACGAAATCTTCCTCGGATCGCTCCAGACTTAGGTGACGCCCGCAACCATCGTGATGAGCCTGACAACTATGTAGCCAGCCCTTCACAAGAGCACCAATCTCTATGTGCGTCCAGCCAAGAATCGGAGGACATGTAGTGATTTCAACCGATGCAGGTGTTCCTAGAAATGATTTGTCAGTCTTCGTACAAGTTTCCCTAGCTGCAGGAGCCACTATTTGCAGATACTCGGTCTCACGATCAAACATACCGGCATCAGCCCACACAGCAAGTGTCAGATTGACTTTCTCCCTTGGTCTGGACTGCCATCCTATGCGAATAATTGAATATTTATGTAGGTCATTCGCATGCATAGGGTATACCCAAAACATGCTCAACTTATATCGTGAACTATCATCATCAGGGTGGTCGAATGCAGATCCATATCCGTTCTTGAGAAAAGTATAGATCTCCTTGCATAACCAACAATTCTGCGCCGAGATGCCAAAGCGCCTTCGCTGGTCGAGATGGCAGATCTTCTGCGTTGTGTTGTCTGGAAATCGATCGAGTGGTGTGATTTCAAGGAAGGCACAGCAAGTGCAGCAGTTATTCATATTGTAGCCTTTATGAAGACGCCTGTCTTCACATAAATATCATTGTGATCACCAAATGGAAGTTTGCTCAGGCTGGAGATTGGCATACACGCCGGACCCCATTCCTGCCTAAGGCGCCAAGCCTCCGCATATGCAGCAAAGGGCTTACTGACTATACCCTGGAGAGTTGAGTAGCACAACTTAATATGCAGATTGCCTCACCTAGGTACTATGTGAGATTTTGGTAATCAGTCGAATCAATATTTTCGTGGTGATTGGACTAGTGTGACTCGGGTTTGTTGCCCTTCAATTGAGATTACCGTCGTAAGTACATTCCCTCCCCTTATGAGACTTTTCGTCTTGTCAGAACGTATCGCCATATTATACAGCCAACTGTGAAAATAAGTTTATAGTACTATCAATCACTACGTTTTCTTCCATCTGGGCTATGAGACTTCTATCACCATAGTCGTCCGTCTTTCACCGGGCCAGACCAGCGGTTCCTCGCCCCTCTCCTCCCTCCAGTAGTTGGTCATCTCTACGAGGTCTTCGTCCAGGATCCACCACCACTTCTCTACGAATTGCTCCGGAAGCTCCCATGCTCTACCGTCCCAGGGCCGCCTTCCCCAGCACCTGATGCCCATCCTCATCACATCATCTGCCAGCATGTCGATGTTGACAAAGCCCTTGGCTTTGATGATCCTGTCTCGTGCCGTTGGAAATGGGATACAGTCAACGAAAGGCGAATGGGGCACCTGTGCTTGGAGCGCTGTCGGCCGCAGACTTGCTGGAGCGGTAGGGGGCGCGGTAGCCAGCGTGTGAAGCGCTCCGCAACCGATTTTCAGAGCGAATGCATTGTGAGTTAATGCGGCCACAGCGTGCATGGCGCGTATGGTGAGATCGAGACCCGAGGAACCAAAGGCGACGAAGTTGTCGTGCGTAGTGGCGAGTGCCATACAGTCTGCTACTGTTGCAGGTCTGAGATCGTCTGTAAGGCAAGCCATGCTGCGAAAAGTGAATGCTGGGACTTACCCTTTACTTCCCGGTATGTTGGCACTTGTTTGTGAGCCATCGTCGACTAAGGCCCAGTCACCAGAGAGACGGCTTCCGCCCTGGTCTTGCTCAGTAGTAAGGTCATCACGATCTGTGGACGGCATTGGAGGTTGGTGCTCCTTGCCATTCCGGCGCAGTTCCCCATCTTGACCAAGCGACCCAGTTTTGGTTCTATCTGCATCTAGTGATGTCGTCTCAGACTTGTTCAGGTCAGTTCGTTGGACTCGCTTTTTCTGCGACTCAGGCCTGGTATTCTTTGCCCCTATGAAATGCTTTAGTAAAAATTCCCAAGACAAAAGAGACAAGAGATTTTGATATACTTGAACGTCGCGCCCTTTGCGCCAATCGATTCTGTATTCGGCGCCTCTCCTTCTCGTCAGTGACCCCTGTCCATTTGTCGTTATCTGATTGTACGTGGGGTAACCATATTGACTCCATAGTTGTTATCACACGCATGAATTACTTTCCATGTCTAAGTCTGGCAAGGAGCTAAATGGTGACGTGAAATGCGATGGCATTCAGCACACCAGGATGCTTTGTCAATGAGTCGTGCAAGCGGACGGCAGACATAAAGTGGTCAGGGAGTTTTGTCAGCGAACCTGGTCACTATTTAGCGTCTCCATCGCTCCCGAAACTAAATGCTGACATCTGCCCCATGGCTGAATCTAGATAGATCAAAGCTTAAATTCCCCCAGATTCATCACTAACATGATTTACAAAGCACCACAACAAATGTCACCATTTAGTCTGATCGACTCATGGATGTGGCTGTGGCTGGTTCCTGCGGCCACACGAAGAAAACATCCACAAACATACGAAAGAAGAGAGGCAACTGTATCGAAGGTCATTATTTAGTCGAACAATTATGTGATCATAAATTTCTCATCTTTCGCTGTTGGGGTGATGTTTATTGGACTAGATACAATCTATATAGCTTCGCGAAATATTCAAAATCTTTTGAGTCAAGGGATATGTTAAACAGTGAGAAATCATTTGAACTCTGCTTCAGTGAAACAAGTCCAGCCTAATTATCACATCTTTTGTTTGCCAAAAACACCACGATGGCCGCACCCACAACGCTTCTTACGGGCAAGACGGCGATTGTCACTGGAGGAACACGAGGCATTGGCGGAGGCATCTCTCGGGAATTCATCGCCCGGGGAGCTAATGTGGCTATGATATACGTGAACCCAGCCAAGAAGGCTGCAGCCGAGACGTTCGCAACCGAGTTGTCTAGTCTAGGCGGCGATAACTCTGCTATTGCTATTTGTGCCGACCTTGCTGAAGCAGACGGTCCGGCCACGATTGTGAAGAAGACTTTGGAAAAGTTCGGCGGCAACAGGATTGATATCATTGGTAAGTAGCTGACTGTTCCCAGCATTTGAGATATTGCACTTGTTAAACAGTCGCCCCTTGTCAGTGAATAATGCGGCCCTATATAACGATACACCGACTCCTGATTTGACAACTGATATCTACGAAAACATCATGAATGCAGATCTCCGAGGCCCTATATTCTTGGTCCAGGCTGCATTGCCCTACATGCCTCGTGGTGGGCGAATCATCAATATGTCGAGCTTTGCAACTCGTCATATTCCCATTGGCCCCGGAACTCCACCGATGCCCTTGTATCTGGCTGCGAAGTCCGCGTTGGAGAGCTTGGCTCGAACATGGGCTGTTGAGGTATGATTTGTCACTTCGGTAAACGTGCTGGGTCTAACTATGTGTTCTCATCTTAGTTTGGACATTCTCGAGGAATAACCGCCAACGGTATGTTGATTATGCTTGTATACTAGCTTACAAACTGATCTTCTGGCATGTAGCTGTTTCTGTGGGACTTGTCGAGACCGATATGATGGCCTATCTGCCCGAAGAAGTCAAAGAGATCATTCGGGCGAACAACGCCAAAGTCACGGGAGCGGCACCCCGTACTGGAACGCCTGACGATATTGCCCAGATTGTAGCATTCCTTGCCAGTGAGGGAAGCCGGTGGGTAAGTGGAAGCACCGTGAGTGCTAACGGAGCAACTGTTGCGATTTAGGCGTGGATCGACGCTCTTGATGACGAGCCTCGAGCGGTGAGGTATCAGATGTTGTACCATGTGGATTGTTTAGAGAACATCAGTGGACTCAATCTGGAGGCTCCTAACACTCCGGAGCGATTTGCTTTAGCTAAAATCTGAGCGCAACATGTCCGGTTTCACGGACTGGAATTACCAGATCATGCTTGTATTACAGTACATTAGGAAGCAGCCTGCTCATATATGGGAATATCATACCGCCTATCCATGTGAATCGATTTCACTGACTATGGGAGATGGGCAAGAGGGGTAATAGTAATACCAGATGTGATATCAATCCGAAATAATGTGTTCGACTTCCGGGAGAGATTCGGGACAGCCCCACCCCCGGAAGTGGGTCGTCCTCCGGCCAGTTTGGCCGGCGAAATTAGCCGGACACGGCGAAGGTGGCCGGGAGGGAGCTCCGAGTTTATTCCCGGACTATATTGAGAGCAGATCTCTCGATGACTTGAGTTTGAGTCATCTGGAATTGTCTGTATAAAAAGCGATGAAACGCACTCAGAGATTTATCTGAATTTCAAAGCCATGTCATTCGCTATGAAACCAATTCAGATCTATAACGCTCCTCCGGGAACGGGCCCAAACCCGTGGAAAGTTATTATTATCTTCCATGAGCTTCAACTCCCATATGAAACTCTTTGGATTCCATACTCAAAGATTAAGGAAGAGCCCTACACCAATCTCAATCCCAATGGCCGTCTACCCTCAATGATCGACCCTAATACGGATGTGACACTCTTTGAGTCGGGTGCAATCGTGCAATACCTAATCACCCAGTACGACAAAGACAATACTATTAGCTATGGCAACGACAATTTGCAGGATAAATGGCTAGTGAACAGTTGGCTTATGTTTCAGATGAGCGGCCAGGGTCCAATGTTTGGGCAGAAGATGTGGTTTACGCACTTTCATAAGATTCGAAATGTCACCACCGCAATAGAGCGCTATGGTGATGAGACGAAGCGTGTCGTCGGCGTCATAAATGGCCATCTAAAGAAACAGAGACAAAAGCTGGGCATCAGTGCCGGCGAACCCGTTTGGCTTGTGGGCAACAAGTGCACGTACGCTGACTTGGCCTTTGTGCCTTGGAATCTTTTGCTTTTGGCGAGGTTGTTTCCGGATGGAGACCTCAAGCCTCAAGAGGAGTTTCCAGAATTTTACAGCTGGCATCAAAACACGATCATTCGCCCAGCAGTACACGAGGTTGTGGAGATGCGAGAAAACGCCATGCGCACGATGGAGGATAGTGCAGCAGCCGCACTCCCGAAGCGGGAGGACTAGACTTATGAGGCAGTCAAGATTCTCACATATCCTAAAACGGTTTACTAGCTGTTGAGTATTGAGTTCATCATAATGTAGTTAAATCTGTGGGCGTATTTTGCGAATCTTTCAGGTATTGCCTTGCGACTATGAGTCGACATTGTCTTAGGTGCATTCCCTGCTGCTTTGCACGACAATATAATTCATCTCAGAACACAACTGAGCACGTACGACCACAGTCAGTAGAAAGTATGGCATCCCGTCCGCTCTGCCTTAATCAAGCTACTGAACGCTGAACTAGTAGTTGGGTCGGTGACGACCAGCGAATCCTCGGTGTTGTACGTTAATTCATTTTTTGCCTTCTTTTTGTCTGTTCATTTTAAATGTATCGAAATAGCCATAGATAATTTTTGCTTGACTTAGCTTTACGTGGAATGTAAATCAGGTGCGGAAGTGATGGTTATGGTCTTTCAAATGTATAATACATTGTTTGGTAGGAGGACTTGGCAGTCTCCATCGAACTAATCATCTCTTCCCAGCCTTTGGCGTCTCGCCATCCTCCGTGGGATAAATATCGGTTCCGTACGTCTCATTAAGCGTTACATGAGTGACAATGTCTCCATTTTCCATTCTTACCCAAGTTTGAACCTCCATCTCACCCTCCTCGTTGAAGTCACCATCATCATTATCGTCATGAAACGACAATTGAACGAAGCGAGATCCACGATTCCAGTTTCCATATCCGCCATATCCAGTGTGCTTAGAGAAGCATAGAAACGGTCCCTCGTGTTCATCGCCATGTCTCTTTTGTTGTCCTGCTCTCGGCTTCAAGTGGTGATCTTCTGGCCAAGGCGAACACCATGCATCGCCATGGTCATGTCCAACGTATACGCTATGTAAGCCCTGCTCCGCCAGGAGTGCGTTGGCGAACGGCTTGTCCTCCGATCCTTCACCCTGGATAGACAAAGGTACATCGTCGTTAATTCCGGGGAAACGTGCTGGGTCAACGCCGGTCCTTTGAGCTGCTAGGAAAGGATGTGGGGGTATGTGGACGAATGCAATGCTCGGTAGCAAGCCATACGTCTTCTGAAGATCTTTTGCTGTCTTGGTGAACCAGTCGACAGTTTCAGGGGCGACCCAATTTGGAATATCATCCTTGTTGGACGAATCGCGCTGATAACTTGCGCCTCCTCTTGAATCAAAGAACCAGAGAATGGCCGCAGGTCGGCCTGAGCCAGGTTGCTGAATAAGAAGGTAATAGTTGGTAATTCCGGGCAACTTCGTATCCATGTGTTGTGTATACGATAATGGGTATTTCTCCTCGGCCGCGAAGATATCCTCCCGAGATAAATTGTACTTGGAGTCATGATTGCCATACGTAGATGCCCAAGGGACTTTGCGATCGACCATGGGACTTACAATTTGGTGCACATAATACGAGGAGTTTTCCTTGAAAGTGTTTTCGCCCGTGATGAGGTCACCATTGATTACAACTAAGTCGGGCTTTTGATAGTCAAGGATAGATGCCATGACACGAGTCGAATTGACGTCTTGATCAATGCCCCAGCCGTTTTCTTCCTCGCCATAATGAAGGTCAGAGAAGATGGCGATGGTGAATGTGCTGGACGAAGTCAATGAGAGCTTCGGACCATCGGGTACAGGAGGGTTATGGGGAGGTGCTGGCGCTGGTTGGCGCCCCGGGGAGACAGCGCGAAGAAATAGACCGAAGATAGAGAAAGCCATCAAAAAGACGGATAGAACTAACATGGCCATGAACCATGTTGTCCTGCTGTGTGACGAAGCCATCGTGGTACAGCACGATTGTCCCTTGCTTCGATACACTCAGACTTGTAGTGGTGACGCACGGTGGATAAACACACCAGACTGGCATCGATTGGCGATGCTACAAGATCATTGATTCAATTGACAGTATTCAGCATTATGAGGCCGGCTGGACATCTCGGATCATAAAGAAGACCCCGGCCGCACGATCAGTTGCTCGATCCAGCTGATGCTGTCGGGATGGTGATGTTTCTCAGCTCTTCTCTCCAAAAGGCAAAGACTCAGTCAGATTGTAGAATATGGATTAGGTAATCACCACTCTAGTTGCCGCACCGCCTAAAATAAGATGCTGTCAGATGTGCTGCAATAGCGCTGTAGCTATAGGGTTACAGCGCTAAGACAAGAGGTAGTAATAATCTTAAAACAGGCTTACAATGTGTTTCATGCGATGCTGCCTCGAAGTAATTAACAACACCATGCGGCTCTCATCAACGAACTTTCTTTCCATTTCATTACTCATAGGGCCATCTGGAACGAGTCTTATGGTCCCCGACCTCTGAACGGCGATGTCAGGGTTTAGAGTGCTGGCCATATGGCTCTTCACCTCGGTGTTCACGATTCTAGCTTGGGATCATAGTTCTCAAGACTCCCTGCAGAGATCAATCAGTGAAAATGACTGGATTTTGGTAGCTTGTGAGTCTTCTGCATGCCCGAGGAAGAACTATTGCTAATGAGCCATGGTGAGTAGTCGTTGCGGTAAGCATACTCGACCTTCTCAATAAGTGACGAGAAATTGTAGAGCTAATCAGTGCTATGTTGCGCCTTAGCCTTCTGAGTAAGTTTCTGAGATATAGATTTGGCCACTCAAGCTCACAATCTTGGAGGCCTAAAAGCAAGGCACTTGAGCGAGAGTGGGATGCCCTTGTCGAAGGCGCAAAGATCCCGCTTTCGAGCATCGATTGCGAACAACACTCGGAAATATGTAATGAGCTAGGCGTGGATGGCTATCCAACGATCATATTATACCATGGTCCTGACGTCCGAACGCGTTATCTCGGACCTCGCAGAGCCTCGGGGTACTAAATTTATTACATCCTCAGTGAGGCTTGAGCTAACACATGGTTCGGGAGGTAGTATTCTAAATTTCGTTGCTCGATTGCAGCGTCCTTCAGTCTCAGAGGTGGCAGAAGATATCAAAGCTTTCAGAGTCATTGATGAGGCAGTGTTTGTTGGATATATCGACGTTAATGATGCCGAGGCGACGCAGGCCTTCAGAGACATTGCCGAACGCTACCGCGAGGAGTTCACCTTCGGGCTAGTGACTGATCCAGAGATTATCGAGACAGAGAATGTCAAGTCGCCTACGGTCGTATGCCACGTTCCTGGCGATGGTGACACAAGACCATTCACTGCCTTTGCCGAGCCAGGTGAATTAGAGAAATTCATCCTCGAGGGATCAAGGCCAGTCATTGGGGAGATGATGCCCTACAATCAGCAAAGGTTGCTTGATGTAAGTCAACTCCTTGAATGGATCACATTGTCGGGTCTAACCAAAGTCCGCAGCGTGGTTGGCCCATGATATACATCTTTGCAGAAACTGAAGAGGAACGAGCTCGGTTACGGATGAGTCTGGCCAAATTCGCAAGGGGATATTACGACTCCCTAACATCCGTCACTGTCGATCCTCTGGAATTTCCTGATTTGCCTGCGAAGATGGGCTTGGAGCCAGGCGCCTATCCCGCTGGCGCAGTTCATCAGCTGTCAAAAGACAGGGTTTACCCCTACCACAAAGGCAAACCTCTTGATTCGAGGTCGCTACAACAATTCGGGCTGGATGTATGGCAAGGACGTATAAAGCCTTGGACACCACCAGGCGTGACAACGACATACACAGATATAGGTCCGACACATGTGGCTTCGCGCAAGGTTTCTATTAGGAGCATTCCCGGCATGAATATACGGGTCGCCGGACATGATGAGTTGTGATTAGGTTCTGTTGAAATATAAATAGGATTCTAAATATCAAGGTGGTCCTATAGCTAGAAACAAAGATTACTTGCGTAATACAGTTACTTATTCACAGTTTAAGAGTGAAGAGACGCCAAATCAGAGAACATCCCCTTCATTCAAAGGAGCTTTGTATTTCTGTTGGGCTGCTTGCCTAATTTCCAAGATCTTGCAGGCCGACATATTCCCAGTACCGACCTCTCTTCACCATCAGCTCTTTGTGACTACCATATTCGATGATTCGTCCGCGCTCGAAAACGTAGATACGGTCAGCATGCGCGATAGAGCTTAAGCGATGAGCGACGGCAAATGTTGTGCGACCTTCGGATGCGATGTCTAAACTCTTCTGCACGGCTTTCTCGGATGCAGTATCTAGAGCGCTTGTTGCCTCATCAAGAAGTCTATTCCTTATAAGTGCATGGTCTCTTGTATTAAAACAATTGCTCGGATTTTGATACTCACAGAATTTTGGGATTTCGTAATAGAGCCCGAGCAATGGCCAATCGTTGTTTCTGGCCTCCTGACACTCGACTTCCTCGAGCACCAACACTGGTGCTGAGTCCTTCTGGTAGAGATTGCTATTGATGTAAGTGAGGTATATAGGAAGGGGCATCTCAAGCACATACCACAAACTCCCAAATATTCGCCTGTCTACATGCGTCCTCAATGGCGACATCGCTGACATTCTCGTCGTTGCTGATAACATTGTCCCGAATCGTGCCATCGTATAGTGTAGCATCCTGGTCTACTAGAGCAAGGTGTTTCCGAAAGTCGCGCAGCTTGTAATGGCGTATGTCCCTACCATCGACTACAACACTGCCTTTCTGTGGGTCATAGAAGCGCTCAATCAAATTCAAAACTGAGCTCTTGCCGCTGCCACTGGCTCCGACCAGTGCAATGAGTTGTCCAGGTTTAGCAGTCACACTGACGTCTTGGAGCACTGGATGGGTATGTTGAGTCGGATACGCGAAGTTGACGTCGTACAAGCCCACATTGCCCTCTAGGTGATTCACGATTTGACCTTCGCATGAGTCGATATCGATTTGAGGGACGCTGTCCAGCAACGCTTTGAGGCGCTGCGCTGCCTCCTGGCCACCCGCCACGTCTGGAGCATATGAAAAAACACCTCCTGCCGCTTGACAACCCCATATAATTGCAATGAAACAGATGAAGAAATTACGAATAGTGTACTCTCCGCTTCCAATCAACTTGACACCTCCATACCAGAAAAGAAGTGCCATAACGAACATGTTCATAGACCATGACATCCCGTATAGTAGCGCTGAGAATGCGTTCTTTGCAAGTCCAGACTGAAAATCGTCATTCAGCTTCGCCGTGTACTGTTTCAGAATTGTATTTTCCATCCCGAGGGCAGCCACAGTCCTGATGGCTCCAACGGCCTCAGACGCAATACTAGCTGCCTCAGTACTTTTGAAGTGCCGCTTTTCCAGATCTTTGATGATACTGAAGCGGGCGTAGCCCACACCAAGAAGCAGCGGAACTGTTGCTGTCCCGACTAGTCCGAGTTTCCAACCAAACGACACCGATACCGCTATAGCCGAAATGGTAGTGAATGTGCTATTCAAAATAGCCCCAAGAGTAGCACCGCTCAGCCCGTTCAGTTGGGACGCCTGCACAGAAAGGAATGCAGTCAGCGCGCCGGAGCTGTTTCCAGGGCGGCTAAAGAAGGCGAGGTCTTGTCTGAGGATGGCTTCGAACGCGACACTCCTCGCTCGTGATACTAGCCTGGCGGATGCGATCGCAAGCGGGACACCCTGCAGAATATAGGAGAAAAGCATGACAAATGCCAACATCCAGAGTAGGCCACTCCAGAAATTGACATCGTGGCCACCATTGGTCAGAGAAGGATCCGTCAAAGCCATTGTGCTCTCCCCAAAAAAGACAGCCATCAAGGGGTATCCGGCGCCTGAAATAAAGGCACCTATGAGCCCTAGCACTAGGAGATGCCTTTCCTGTCTATTAAGGCTCCATACCCATCTGTAGAGTTCCCATCTGGATAGTTTCATGACTTTCTCCGTTTTCGTCTCAGTCAAGTCTTGTATTTCATTGGGTTTGTGAGATTTGACTTCCTTCATTTCTTTATCATCCATGTCAGAATCTGAAGAATTGCCGCTCGACCTGTCTGCATTTCCAAGCAAATCCTGGGCGCGGACAAGAGACGAGTAGGTGCCACCTCGTGCAACCAAGCCTGCATGAGTGCCTTCCTCGCTAATATGACCATGTTCCATCACAACAATATGATCAGCGTCGCGGATCGTAGACAGCCGATGGGCAATGACAAGTACCGTTCTTCTTTCCCCATAAAGGTTGATCGCCTTTTCAGATTTAGTATCCAAAGCCGCTGTGAACTCGTCCAGAAGAAGAATTTGGGGCTTGCAAACGATAGCACGCGCAATAGCAACTCGTTGTCGTTGTCCACCGGAAAGCAAGCCTCCTCTCTCTCCGACTAGCGTGTCATATCCTTGAGGGAGTTCTGAGACGAAGTCGTGAACATAAGCTATTTTAGCAGCGTCCTCAACGAGGCGACGCCTAGTCGCGTCATCGGTCTGCCTACGTTAGAATGCAAGTCCATAACCAACAAGGGGACCACACCCACAGTTTCAAGTTCTGTTCCGAGAAGACCGTAGGCAATATTTTCAAATATCGTGGTGTTGAAGAGAAATGGTTCTTGGCCGACAAGGGAAATTTGTGTTCTCAACCATCGAAGGTTGATCTCCTGTATGTCGGCACCATCAAGGAGAATCTGGCCAGAAAGCGGGGAGTAAAAACGTTCTATCAAAGACACCAAGGACGACTTTCCAGATCCAGAAGGGCCAACGACTGCGGTTGTTTTCCCCGCTGCGACCTTCAAACTGAAATTCTCCAGGACTATTTGGTTGTCTCTTGAAGGATATACTAGCTTCACATCCTGAAACTCGATCTCTCCCTTCAATTCGGTAGGTATAGACCCCCCTGAGAAGTTTATCGGAGGTGTCCGGTAAATAGTGGCAAGTATTCGATTTGCTGCCGCGCCTGCGGCAGCAAATGCTTGTGCGTAAGGAGCAACCATGCCAAGCTGGAATCCCGCAATTGACATGGCGTAAAGAGTCGTAAGAATTTCAGATACAGTTGCGTCGCCACTTACCAAGAATCGATGACCTTGCCAGAAGGCTAGAGCAAAAGCACTCATTTGCAGCCAAATCAGTGATCCAAGAAATAATGCCAGAAGCGATTTGGCGCGGGAATCCAGACTTGCTGGGTTGCTCAGACTATCGTTGAACTTCTTCAAAAATCGAGACTGCGATCCATATGCTGCGACATTTCTCATAGAGGAGATCACTTCTTCTGCAAATGATGCAGCGATGCCGTACCCTTTCACCGACCCAATCTGGGCAATCCTCATTCTTCCTCCGACGACTACCATAATCATGACGAAAGCGACGGGATTGCAAAGGAGAACCAACGCAAGCCTCCATGATCGAACGAAGGCGATGGCAAGTGCCGCAATGAAGCCGCCTACTCCCGTGACGGTAAGGCCAACCTTTTCAGATATCCCGTCTTGCACTAGATTCATGTCTGCCGTGATGCGAGCGGTAATCTCGCCAGCACCAGTTGTGTCGAAGAAGCCGATATTTTGCCGTAGAAGGGCGTCTAGATAAGTCGAACGAACTCTCTGAGAAATACGTTGGCCGGTGAAAGTGAAGCCCATTATCATCAAAGCAGTCGAAACGAGCGCAGCAATTCCTAAGCAAGTTAACTTTTTTTTATCACCACTCTCGACAGTAGAAGGGATTCCTACCAATGTAGACAAAGTAAAGCACAAGGTCCGTAGCGTCGTCAGTGAAACTTTGGATATCGCCACCGTCTGAAGTGAAGTCCGAGAACTTTCCAGTAAGGGAACCGAGTATGATCTACCAATCGTTAAAGAGATTCTGGTCAACGAGTTACTGCCGACACCTACAGTCATCATCGGCATACAAGCGCCTGCAGCTGCAGCCATTACCATGGAGAACATCATGATAAGCTTGTCCGAATTGGAAGCGTAGCGATAGATAGCGAGATAGCCGGCATCACTGAAGGGTGTCTCCAGTTGCCTGTGAAGTATATCGTGTTCATTATCACTAAGATTTAGGGGGTTATAGTCCGAGGACGGCAACACCTCTGAGGAAGGACTCATGCCGCGAAACTCTCGATAGTATCAGCTGTCGACGTGAGAACACGACAAGGCGAAGTTAAAGAAACTAATATTTCGACATCAAAGAGATAAAGACTAGACATTCTTTTACATACATACATACGAAATAAGGCTGATGGACCTTCATATATCTAGCTTATTGACTACATTTTAGTTAACGGACATGACAAATTCAAAATCACATTCAAGTATAATTACTGTCACTTGACAGTCTTACACTTCATTAACAGATTGAAGGCTACATCATGTCTGCGAGATGTTGCCTTCGGATTCCCAAGACGGCGGTGCTTTTTCTGGGATAAACGGAGGAGGGTTGGCCCGGCCGGACACTTTTCGAGACATCTCTGCTGAGACGGTACCGGCGAGACGGTGCCGCCATATTGTTGACTCGGCCTTCATACCATACAGATGGCGAACGAAACGGAGCAGCACGGCGGAGATGTCTTCGGATCGAGATTAAAAGATGGGCGTTGACCACGATCCTGCTCCCCAACTTACATACTCGGGTTGCTAATTTGAAGGGTCGCAAGAGTTTCAGGGGTTCAGTTCAGCGAGTAATGCAAGTCAGTGGGCCGAGCGCGTCAGCCAACTGTTAGTGGAGATCAAGACTTCGCATATCGCTTTGGGAACGAAGCAGATCTCGCATTCCATTTTCATATGCGAAAACCTAGTACCTTGATTGGCTTCAATTCATACATTTTGAATTTATGTCATTATATAATCTACATAAGCTCTACAAGAATACCTTAGCGAGACAGTGCGTCTCAAGTTGTGTGGCAAATGGAGACTTTTCAAGCTTCGGCTGAATAACAAAGCCCGGCCGCCGGATAGCGTTGTCTCACGACATAATCAAGTACGACCCCTCTACCATCACACCGGGCTGCTAATGAGAATTGTACATCCACAGCTGGTGCTACTGCTACTTTGAATATTCGCTGACGTGAATGGAAAAGTCTCCGAATTGGGTCTGCTACAAATATACGTATCTACAGCATTAAAGTGACTTTCACAAACACTTCGGTTGATTATACTTTGCGAAGTGCCTCTCGCTTCTCCTTTCGAGGTCGTTTTGTCCGCCTGAATCTCGCATACTCCTGTGATATGGCACGCACAATGTCGCCGGTGACTGCGGCCGCACAAGTAACTTCGTTTGCACACACATTCCTCCTCACAGACGGCGTCAAACCGAAGTTGGAGGTCTCGGACCCGTCCGAGGCTCTTCGGAGGAAGAAGCGAGCACACAGAAAGTCTAGAAATGGTTGTGTAAGTGTCCGTCAGGCGTACTTTTGTAATATTGGAAACCTTTTGATTTTTCACGGCAAGTACGAAGACGCTGCATAGGTAGTCCGCCGATGCCGAATACAAATTAAATTCGCCGTATGGCATGGCAATTTTACTATCTTTCTGCAGCTGTGCGTCTCAAGCTAGACCTGCTAATACGGATATTCTCTGCATAGATAACCTGCAAGAGACGGAAAGTCAAGGTATGGCGCGAGTACTGTGCATCACGATGCAGCCACGTCACGGCCGTGTCCAGCATAGCTAAGTCGGATCGTAGTGTGATGAGAAGCACCCATGCGGGAATTGTGTGAAGCGGAAAGAACTCTGTTCCAATGCTCCTTCATGCGTAGAGTCTCTCTCCGAGGAGCGCGTGACATTCCGCCTCGTGCCAGAGCTAAGTAACCGCATATTCTCGTCCGGCTTTGATGCCGACGAGCGAGTCAACTTGCTTCATATGGAGCTGTTCTATCACTTTGAGAAGGTCACCGTGCCCACGCTCTCATTCGATATATGGCCGCATATGCTGCAGCTCTCCTTTCAGGTCCGTCGATTCCATACCCTGGGTACCTCGTTCACCGTCAAAAGGACCTCTGACCGATCCATGTAGTGGGAATACCTCATGAACGCCATGCTCTCCTTAGCAGCTACACATCTGACCATGCTGTGCCCGAACAACGAGCGATACAATTGTGCTGCAATGTCCTTTTTGACGAAAAGTATTCAGGACTTCCGAACGAACTTGTCTGCACCTATCACGTTAGAGAACTGCGACCCCCTGATGGGCACGGCGATACTGATCCATTACCTGAGCTGGTGCAATCTCGAATTTCTTGAAATACAGCCTGGACTTGAAGATGACTGCAGCCCTGAAATAGCGCATCTCGACCTTGCCAAAGACCAGATGTTCCTGCTGAGCCCCGGCGTTCGTCAGATCTTCTTCGTATCATGGCCGTTCTTCCAGCGCAAGAACAGCGTCTTCGTGGAGATAGCGCTGCTCAAGCCATGCAACAGCCTCGAGGATTCGCTCGAGCCGCAGAACATCAATTTCCAAATTAATGCGCACGGTTTCACGGACATCTTCGACGATCCGGTATACAGCGGTAATCCCAGGGCGCCACTGCCGGCGGCACCACCAGCCACGCCGTCCTATTCCTCGCCACCACCCGAGTTCTGCCCCAGCCGCGCAGAGATCTTCCAGCTGCTCACCATGCCGACGACTCTGACCCCCGACACAGACGTTCAATCGAGCGTCCACCCGACCTGGGATCTCAATCTTGTCAGGGATGAGCAGCAGGAGATGTCCATCTACCCCAGCCTGAGCCCCAGCCCGCTACCGCGACCCCTGACGCCTCAAGCCGCCGACCTCGCCGAGGCTCTCAGCCCGCCAGCAGTACACGGAGACAGGGAGGCGGTGCTGCGTGCCGCCTACGACCGCATGGTTGCCCGCCTCAGTGTCGTGTTGTGCTTCATGCCGGATGCGCACTTCCCCTCGACGGCGAACCTGTTGTCACCGACCCCGGTGCCAATGCCGCAAAAGGCCGACCTGGAGAAGTATATCCTGTCGTTCCCTCTGTTGTGCTTCGGCCCGTTCCTGGAGCTGATCCTGGCGGGCGACTCGCGCGCGCTGGTCGTGCTGTATCACTTCTACCGCGCTGCGCGGGTCCTGCTCCCGACATGGCAGTCGTGGTGGTGCGGGCGACGGGCCTCGGTGATGGAGACCCTGATCAGGAGTGAGTTAGAGGCGCGAGGGTTGGACGCATGCATAGCGACAGCGCCTTGCGCGATTTGATACCCGATGTGAGGGGTTCACAAAAAGCGTTGATTGAGAGGAGCTCATCATATCGTATTGAAATGTCCGTCAGGAACAGTACTCTTATAGACGTCTATAGAAGGAAGGCGATGCAAATGGGGATCATGAAGCAATGAAGCCAACCGTCATCGTCTCCTGTCCTCCGCCTCTCGTGAAGACTCGCGGTTCTACACCTATATGGCCGATACCAATTCCTTGATCCGGAACAAAAACGCCTTTACCTCTAGCCGAACCAGGACTGTGCTTTTTGGTCATCTCCTATGCAAATCTAGGCAGCTCTCTACGCCTCGCAAGTATATGCAGTACAATCCGTAAACCAGTACACACCAGCCAGCCAACCTGGCGCCGCCGTGATGCCACCCCGAAACCAGAGATTTGATGGAAGCAAAGCAAGCTTGAAGCTTTAGAAATTATAGCGTGTGCCTTGCCGACCCTTCTTTGGCGGCGGCGCGGCTTCGATGGTCTCCTTCTTCCTGCCCCTCTTTCTTGACTGGGGAGGCGGAGGTTGCTCGCTGTGCAGATGGCCAAGCTCCTCCATAGCGGTAGTATTCTCCCAGTCTAGGCAGCGATAATGTCTTGGTTCAGGGGTCTGAGCATTCCTTGTTCGGGTGCTCATCCGCTTAGAATCGTCCTTCTTCTCTTCCTTGTCGCCTGGGTTCAAGTAAGCCTTGCGATTTTTCATGTGCTTGATAATCTTCTCCTTGAAGTTCAAGATCTCCTTGCGCAACTTCAGCTCGTTGTAGCCCCGCGGATCAAGCCACTCTAGAAGCTTCTCGACATCTTCAGGCTCACAATAGTAGCCCCATTGTTTTGAAGTGTACACGCTCGTCTCGCCTTCTTCTCTCTTCTTTCGCTCTGGTACAGTCATGTTGAACTTTGCCTTGTACTCGTTCTGATAATCAGGCTGCATATCGATATAACCTTCACGCTCCAAGTCGCTGGGACCCTGTATCCAGAGACAAGCGTTGGCGTAGTCTGCCGAAGCAGTTGAGCTGTCAGGCAGACCGCCGTAGGGCATTCCGTTGCGCTCAAACCAGTAATACCGATTCCAGAAACGATCCTTGCCCAGGACTCTCGTTCGCGGACAGTCAGCTTCTCGAAGATCATTGTCTATGACGGCGACTTCCTCTTCGCACTTGCTGATGAACTCTTCCTTCTTCTGAATCTCCTTGAGGAGTTTGGCGAACTGCTTGGATTGCTTAGAAGCCTTGGCAGCCTCCGCTTTTTCCTTCTTCTCCAGACGTTCTTTCTCTTTTTGTTGGCGTTCAGCAGCTCGGTCCTGGGCTCGTCGGAGACTGCGGCCACGAGGAGCCTCGTCATCGCTGTCAGCCACTTCGTCCTCAGCAGGTGTCATCTCTTCGACGCCGCTCATCTCTACGTCAACATGGCCATTGACGGCCTCTGCTGAAGGTGAATTTGGTATATTGTCGGGCAAAAGTATTTTGCGTTGGTCATTCAACTGCTTCAACTCTTCCATACTGCAAAAAAATTAGATACTCGACTGGAATTTGAGTAGATGGGGTGCTTACGCTTGTTTCCGCTGTCTTTGCCAGTCAATCTTCTCCTTTCTGAAAGCTGTCATCTGCTCACTGCAGTCCTCCATGTAAGCGCGGATAGCCTTAGTCTCGGCGGTGAGCATGCAGATGATTTGCAGTGCCTGAATGCGGTAGTTGACATCGAGAGCAGCGTAGTGCTGACGAACTGTCTCCTGAGTAGCCTCGACATCCCTCGGGACCAACTGAATAAGGAGCTCCTCGCATGACGCGTGGAGACTTTGTTTAGTGGTGTGGGAGAGTTGGTGCAACAGTCCGACCATGATCAACTCCCAGCCGCCGTCCTTGAAGTCACGTTTCCTCAGGTGGTCGAGCCAATCATAATCGGCAAGAACATCCTCAGCTCGATGTTTTGGTGCATTCTCCGCCTCTTCACTTTCCTTCTGAGCTGCTGCAACCTCAGCTGCGAGCCTCTCCGCTTCAAGTTTGGCCATACTGCTTCTAGTCGCACGGCCCGTTGGTTGCGGCTCCGGATCCGCATCGCTATCAGCATCCTCTTCCTCATCTTCTTCTTCCTCGTCGTCCTCGTCGTCTTCCTCTAGCTCGGGAAGTTTGAATTGTACTTTGCCTCCGTCAGCTTCGGAATTAACTAGGACCTTCAAGACTGCGCAGTGAATCTCATCGAAGAGCTGACAAGGAGTCTCTTCTGACGCAATCTGAAGTGCCTCGACATAGTCGTCAAACGTAAAAGAATCCAATTTGAAAATCTCGCAATACACATTGAGCGTATCCCAGGTCTCCAAGAGGGGTCCAACAGAGTTCATTCGAATCTTGTCGCCCAAAGGGGACCGGTCTTTGACCTCAACAGGGGGGTCATTGCATAAGTATTTGAGTGCAGGTCGGACAATATCTCTCGGCTCAAGCTGTAGATCTTCGATCGGGTACTTCGGAGGTGGAGGAGGCGGCGGGGGTTCTGGCGTGAATACTGGCGTCATGGCTCCATGATTTCGGTAAGGAACTCCAAATTGGAAGGGGTTACCGGGAAGAGGGAGATGTACAAATGCGCCAGGCTCAGGTCCATGATGCTTGTTGCCCTTGCCTCCCTGGCCCTGGCCCTGCTTGCCCTTCTGCGCCTTGGTGTGTGCGGGCTTGAGCTCTGGTAATCGCACGGGCCCGTTATTTGTGAATGCATTGTTCAAGCCATTCATGTCTTGCGGGTGGACCATCCTCTTCTGCGCTTGGACCTGTTTTCGCTCCATCAACTTGGTATCGTAGCGCAAATGCGGCGGGACACGCGTGTCAATTTTGTATTGATTGGCAATGTCATGCTTGACAAGCCAGGGCGCACCATTCCACGCTTCTCTTGTGACTGTCTTCTTGATGAAGGATCGCAGAACGGACTTCGTAAATGTCCTACGGTCACGGGACATGTGCGAATCGTCGACAACAGCTTCCTCATCCGGTCGTTCCACCAGGCTGACAAAGTATCGTGAGAAGGGTGGCGTCAGAGTACCGTCCGGGAGCACCTTACTGCCGAACCTAGTCTTGTCGCGCACGATGCCTTGCAACCGCTCCCCCGTGTGAATGTTTACGGTGACTGTCTCGCCGGGGTAATAATCTGTCTTGAATTCGTCGTATATCTGGTCGACCAAGTGATCGATTCGAGACACGGTCTGGAATTGGACGCGTCGAAGGATTGGTCCCTTGAGGGGCTCGGGGAAAGCTTGCTCGACCTCTTGGGCGCCGGCAGTCTAGACCATTTCTGTTAAGCATTGACAAGAGGGAGTAGTAACAGTAGACTTACCTCGCTCTCCAATGCCTCGAAGAAAGTAAGGCCGGAGTGGCCTGTGATCTGGCAGATGAAGCGACGCTGGTGGTGTAAGTGGGGGTCTCGAGATTGCGCGCCGAACTAACACGACGGCTTACCTGTTTATAAAAGTCCATCCTGGAAGAAAAGTCAGAACACGGTCGAATAACTCCTAGAACTTGGGGCAATAATACCTGGTCAAGTAGTCTTCATAGGTAGCAAAGACCTCCCCCGTCTGGGGGATCAGCCACACCTGGCGACTGCTCAGCTCCAGATCCCGGTGCATGCAAAAGCGCACACTTACCTCGTCGGACTCATCCTCTATGGCCGGCGGCACCAGGAACTGGACCGGCTTACGTTTGAAGAGGACCTTGAGTCGTGGGTCAGTATGGTGCAGAATCTGCAGTAGGGGGAGGGCGGCATACCATATCGGCGGACTAAGACCGCATCTAGATATTGGCCGAAAATCGTCTGCAAGGCTGAAAGTCAGCCTTCCCGGTCCAATACTTGGGACTTGAGGCCTCTGAGAGATGGATGGCTTCAATCGTGGCGGGCCGTGATTGTTGTTGTGCCCAGAAGTCGCGGTTGTGCCGGGTGGGCGACGTGGACCCAAAGCCCAAGTCGTGGGAGGTGGAGGTGCAGGTGCAGGGACTGGGGGGCAGCGAGCGGCACTCTGGAGGACCGACTTACACTTACACGAGGCTGCTGGGCGCGACGAGACGTGTTTCTGGGTGATTCTCGGGGCTGTAGAGGCTCTTTGGGTTGTTTCGAGCTGTGAGGCCACGGATGAAGGCGATGAGGAGGCCAGGAAGCTGACGTGCCGTGAGAAACAAAACAGGAAGCAATTTTTTGAGGAGAGGAAGAGTCCCAGGTCCCGAGAGCGTGCATCCCAAATAAGATGCGTCCACCCTGGTCGAGCCAAGTGGGTCCCGGACGGAGCGGCGTGTCAAACAACAGGCACACCTTCTCTCACCCAACTTCCCTTGTTACCTGTTAGGTGCTGGCGGCGTCCTCCCTCTCCTCCTCCTCCCCCATTCTCAAAAAGCCCCCATCAAAATCACAGTCCTCACTCCTCTTTCCTTTGTTCGCCTCCAGAATGCAGAATCCCCAGCTGAACACACCAATCTTGTACTCATTTTGATCCCCTCAATGAGCAGAATTGATTCGATGTTATACAAGTCAGATGCGACCATTTTTCGCATTTTTATCTCACAATACACAATTTTTATAGGAACCACCAGGCAGGGGGTCCTCGAGGTGAGCTGGCCGCTCCCCGGCCTCCTTCACAGGACCGCGCCTCTACACCAAGACAGCTCGCCACCCTTGCTCTGCAACACTTTCAAGTCTTCTTTAAAAACTTGATTTCAATTGACTCCAAGGTTCTGAGATTGAATCTGCTGCTCAGAGGGTCAGATAATCTCCAATATCAACAATGCGTCCGATGTGATTGAGGCTCAACCGGTGTAAGTGCATCAGATCAGTATCGCCTGACCGAAGCTATCTCTTTCAATATGAATGAGATGGCTCAATTTCTCAAACGGAGCAGTGCATGCTGTTCGGAAAACTGAGACGTGAGTATCTGCAAGTTTTCAATGTTGTTGATCTCTTCAAATCCGACTCACTGGGTCTATACCGACGAAGAGAGCGGCGAGTGGATTGGCGTTAAGCGAAACCCATCAGCCTTGCATTGTTTTCCCAAAAGCAAGTACAACAATGGGAAAGTGTTAGTGAATATTACTCTGGACACGGGAAAGAGACTTTTCGCAGGCGAGCTTAGTGGATTGCAAATTTGGCAAAACAATCTCTAACAAAGGCTCGAGGGCAGTACAAGCGGGAAGAAAAACACGTGCTAGTAATCCTTGCATTTTATATACGTATACGCCAGGGGTAGCATGTATAGTAACCTCCACTGGGCATCATCCGCCGTGGCCACTGTCAATTTCAGCGCATACCGCTAATCCTTTAAGATGCTCATGGTACATCAGTATTGCTACGCATTTGCAAATTCTAATTGATGTTTATTTGGTATATATAAGATGCGGCTTTCTACGTAATCTAGGAGGTGAAATAAACCACCATGAATCCAACCCAGCTTCCAACGACCCCTACTGCTGAGTAGGAGCTCGTAAACATCAGGGGCAGAAACTCAAAGCTCTTACCGAACACGATACCGTGGATCAGAGAGCAGTATGCAATCAGCGGTATGCTTACAGCAATGTACAGGGTGTTTAGACGGTCAAACAGGAACAGTCTCGGCCTGTTCGAGGCCGGGGCGAGACGGTCAAAGACCATGAGGAACAAGACAAGCCAAAAGACCGTGTAGATTGTCTTGATAGGGAACTCCGCTGGAGTAAATAATAGCGGGAAGAGAGAAACATGACCCGCGACAGCGAGCGGTCGGAAAGCACTCAGATATCGCCTGTCTTTCAGGGCTATGAGGCTGAAGGGGATGATGACCAGAAGAATTGCCTTCTCGTGAACATGCCACCCGAATAGGAATGACGCGTAGCCGCAGAGAGTCACTGCGCTAATGAAGGTGTCCCAAGTCGGCTGGAAGAAGAGCTTGATCAGAGGGATTGCCTGGAAGAGCAGAGTAAGGCCAAAGCATATCCTCGGGCTAATCTCCGGAAGCACGGCAAATGCTGTGTCTCCAACTAAACCACGAGTTACGCTGTTTAAAGCCTCCTCTTTAATCGGAAGGCCAATGCGCGGTGCGACTATGAAAATATCAGTATTTGCAGCCAGGAGAACATAATGCTGAGGAAAACGCCATACCATAGATCAGTACTCGATCGGTGAAAGAGTACATTGCCCATGCATTTGGTGCCCAGTAAGCATGGCAGAGCCCGCGAGAGAACGGAAAGAGTCTGCTCAGGATCTGTGGAATTTGTTCCTTTAGCGCGAAGGGGCCAAAGGCGGCACCCAGTATCGCAGCGATGCCGCTGCCGAGCTTCACGCAGTTGAGGAACTGAATTCGGAACATGGACTTTGGCGACAAGCAGTACACGCGCAAAAGATAGACAAAGTACGCGGGCGCTAGGTACGAGTAGATGTGCTTCATGCACAGCAGGGTAGCGAAAATGAGTCCACTCGCCAGCAACCCCGATCTCTTCCGAGCCAGCACAAGAGACGCGATGAGGATACCGTACATGACGCCGTTGTACTGGAAATGGATGTGATCGATGATCAGAAGACCGGGAGACAAGAGAATGGATATAGCAGCAGCTTGCGCAGCTCGTTTCGATGTGCCATGAGACGAGTCCACGAACATCTGCAGCGCATACACCAGCACGAGCTCCGTAAGGATGACCGTGGCTCTCTGGAAGTATACAGTCTGCCAGCTATCGTACTCCAAGTTGTATATCTTCAGCATGGCCGGATCTGCCAGCTTTGCGACTTGTGACAGGATCCATTCGAAGTAGGCGAAGAAGGGAGGGTAGTCCAGAGTCCACTCTGACGTCTTTTCGTAGTACCACTCCCAGAGTGGCAGACTGTGTGTAATGGCGAGCCAATTTCGGTGGACTTCGAAGTCTGTTGATTTACTGCTCGACTGCATTAGCTACCAGTGGCTCCTGGGAGGCAAGTGAAAGCATGTGAAGTCTGGCAGGAGGACTTACTAGGCCGGGAAGAGCAGCACCTTGAACGCTGCAGCTACTAATGCGCATTGCGCAATGGATGGGCGTATTTCAGACATTGAAACATGTCCACTCGGGGCGGATCAGGTGATGTTGTTGCAGCTACGAAGCTGGTTCACGAGCTCGATCTTCGCTGGTCGGACCTGAGCCCGGACTTTGCGTGGTCTTGGAGACAATCATTTTTGTTGTTTGGAGCTTCAGCCACTGTGGCTGCTTGAGCCACAAGCCACACACTCAAGCGATGCCCCCACTAACAAGGGAATTGGAGAAGCTCCTGCAGGGGCCGTGCTTTGGGACAGCTTGCTTCAGATTTGGGCTTTCAGAGGGGCTTGCAAGCTGGCGTCTCCACAGCCGGCGCTGAGGCGAGACACGGCCGGTTCTTTAGAAAGAGAGACCAAAGCTCTAAGACAAGCCCGTTTTCGGGTGTCTAACTTCAGCAACTTCCTAGCTACAGTACCATGTGCTCTTTATCCTCTTTTATTTAGCGTCCTCTTGTGATCGGCCATACTGTACCATTATCTACTGCTCCGTCTCGTTACTTTTTGAATTGCATTTCCGCTGTTGCTGGTCGTGTGCATGCTCTAGTCCCGGAGCTCTGGGCCGTTACATCAATTGGAGTTTGGCGGCGACCTTGGATCTGATATTCTGCCAGGGTGGCCTCAACCCGCGCGGAGACTGAAATACCCTGAACCACCTCCCGCAAAACCATAGTATACCCATATCCCTCGAGACTGCATTCCTGCTACCTCTGAAGCTTGTGAATAGCTTCATTCACCCGAGACATCGCCATGCGTGTCCCATCATTACTGTCGCTGTGCCTTGCGGCTGGCTTCTCGCAGATACAAGCACAATACCTAGTTAGTGAGCTCAGCTTCGGCTATGGCACAAGGTATGCAGGAGACATCGCGTGAACTTGCAACTCTGTATCTAATGGCATTCTAGGATAACGCCAGACAACACGAAGAACATTCCACATTTCTCAATCCAGGGCACGCCAGCGCCGCCCGAAGTCCTCTCCAACAAGATCATCCTCACGCCGCCCGCGCCGGGCAACTCCCGGGCGGCGCTCTGGGGCGACCGAGACCTCATGCACACGCAGTGGGTGGCGGACGTCGACTTCCGCGCCAACGGGCCCGAGCGCGGCGGCGGCAACCTGAACATCTGGCTGGCGCGGGACGGGGCGTACGCCGTGGGCCAGGGCAGCATCTACACGGTCGGGCGCTTCGAGGGCCTGGCGCTGGTCATTGACACGCACGGCGGCACCGGCGGCATGGTGCGCGGCTTCCTCAACGACGGCACCACCGACTTCAAGGCGCAGCAGGTCGACGGCCTCGCCTTTGGCCACTGCAACTACGCCTACCGCAACCTGGGCCGCCCCTCGCAGCTCAAGCTGCGCCAGACGGACAGCAACTTCCGCGTCGAGGTCGACGGCAACCTGTGCTTTGAGAGCGACAGCATTGCCCTCCCTGGCGGGTACAGGTTCGGCATCACCGCGGCTTCGGCGGACAACCCGGACTCGTTTGAGGTCTTCAAGCTGGTTGTGATGACCGACAACCTCGAGGCGAACCAGGACAGCGCACCTCCAATCCCTGGAGAGCAAGAACAGCAGCAGCAGCCTATGCTGAATCGCCAGAAGGACAACCGTCCGCCCACACGGTTCAGCCGCTCAGGGCTAGTCGTAGAACAAGACGTCTCCTTTGAGAAGGACATGCCCGACCAAGACGCCAACGCCATCACGAGCTCCAAGGCGCAATTCGCCGACCTTCACAACAGGCTACAGAGCGTCAACCACCACCTGTCCACCATCTTCCGCACCATCGCGAACCAGGACAGCATCGGCGAGAAGCGCCACGAGGAGCTGTCCATCCAGCTCGGCGAGCTCAAGGGCCTGATGACGAAGCTCGACAAGATCGTCGATCTGGAGTCGAGGATGCAGAACTTGGAGAACGAGGTGCGCAGGGTCAAGGGCGACGTGTCGAGCAAGGTGAAGGAGTCGGAGCACGCGATCAAGGGGCTGATGAGCGATACCCACGCCACGCTGCAGGACACGGTGAAGAAACATGCCGCGCCCGGCCACAGCCGCCTCATTTTTGTCATCATTGGCAGCCAGTTAGTGCTGGTCGGCGGCTATTTCTTCTATAAGAAGAGAAAGGGCGGCTCGCACAAGAAGTATCTGTGAGGCATGAGCATTTGGGACGAGAATCTATGTACAAAATGTGGCGTTTGATTATATAGGGAATTTCAGGGTTTCAGGTAGCATGAACACTTGATATTTGAACGAAGTCATTTGATTATTGCCCGCCACAATTCTCCATAAGTGACTTGGTCTCATCGCGTCTCAACAGTAGCCCCAACTAGGCGCCCATTTTAATCCAACTAAAATGGATTCAATCTCTTAGAAGCCTTCACCGTTCATGATCGCCATGGCCTCCTTAGCCTTCGGTGCGGTTGTCAAGTTCTCATGTCCGTCATCCGTTACCAAAATGCAGTCCTCGATGCGAACGCCGCCGACCGGATAGTACTGCTCCAGGATCTCCTTGTCGATGAACTTGGCATGAACAGGGCTCTTGAGGAAGTACGACTCGATGTACTCGCGGCAGAAATAACTATTGCACGTATCAGTATTCTATATCTCTCTCACAAGATTGCATTGACTATTCTGCAGGTGTGGGAGAGGCAGAGAGACTCACATGCCAGGCTCGATGGTGACAATCATGTTCTTCTCCAGCTTCTGCCGGCCCTTGTACGGCGGCGGCGTCGTGACCGCGTCCCGCGCCATGCGCACGAGCAGCTCCGGCGTGAACATCTCCCGCTTGCCCAGCCTGCGTCCGAGTCGCCCGGGCCCGCCGGCGCCGGCGCCTTGCACCCCCTTCTCGCCAAGCAGCAACCGCTCCCGGCCCATGACGTCGTGCACCTCCAGCCCGACGTGGTGGCCCAGGCCATGGGGGAAGAAGGCGGCCACCGTGCCCGCGGCGAAGATCTCGCGCGCCGTCCCGCCCGTCAGGATGCCCAGCCTCAGCAGCTCGACCACCGCCACCATGGCGGCGTGCAGGTGCAGCGAGTAGTAGACGACGCCCGGCTTGATGCGGTCCACGCACTCGGTCTGCATGCGCTCCACGACCGCGTACACGGCCTCGGCCTCGGGGCTTGCGAACTTGCCGCCGATGGGCAGCGTGCGCGTGACATCAGACGCGTAGCAGTCCCACTCGGCGCCCGCGTCCAGGACGACCAGTTGCCGGCCCTCGAGCGCCTCGTTGTTGGCGCCATAGTGCAGACTTGCTGCGTTGGGGCCGGAGCCCGCAATCACAGGGTAAGCCTGCTTGGCGCCATTGGCGATGCAGAAGCCGGTAAAAACGGCCTCGATCTCGCGCTCGTTGGTAATGCTCTTCATGCGCTGCAGGATCATCTTGTGTGCAGCGCTTGATACAGCGTTTGCCTTGCGAATCATCGCCACTTCGTAATCGCTCTTGACCACGCGGGCGGCATCTATAGCAGGCCGCAGCTTGTTGGTGTCGATGTGAAGAGGCCCGCGGCCCGGCCGAGTGCGTGGCGGCGGACCCTGGTTGGCGTTCAGGACATACATGATAGACGTCGGTCCCAGCGTAAGATAGAGATACTTCTCCAGGTTGGCAATGTACTGCACCTGGTCGACTTCATAACTAGTCAAGCAGTCCTTTATACTTGGCGTCGAGCCATGCCATAGCTTCTGTGTTGGGTCGACGTATGGAATCCAGAGCGTGAGCAAATCATTGCCAATATCATATGTCACGGCGCAACCTGGAAAGTTGGCACCAGACAGATAGTAGAAGCTGGGTTGGTGTCAGGAACCCAAGCCACAAGGCAACTAATGAACGCAAGTATCAGAAAAGGGGCAACGTACTACCTCCTCTGGCGAAACGGCACTTCAACATCAGAGTCCTCGAAAGCCCTCGTAGGCTCACCCGGCAGGTAGATCAGGCCCGTTGAGAAGCCCAGCTCCTTGACAACCTTCCTCGCATGTTGTTTTGCTTTGCAAATAAGTCAGCGTCAGTTCGTGAGCCATTGTTCTGCTATAGCGCATCAAATACACCAAGCCGGATGGAGCATGTCATTGAATTCTGAGCTAGAGATGGCATAGTCCAATACCATATGCGGACCAACCCATTTAACATATTTGGCACCACAGCCACATAGCAATTCAAACCCCTGAAAGAACCTACCAAGGAGAAGGGGGAAAAAAAAAGGGGGCATCAAAGAAAGGCACGCAGCTCACCTGGATACCTAGACGGCAGCGCCGTGCTCGATATAGACGGGATAGGCGCAGGCGGCAGCGGCGGTGAGAGCGCCGCCGCCGGTCCGGGAACCTTCACCTCGATCGCCCTGGACACGCGCGCACACACACCGGATTAGTTTGCCAATCCCTATAAACCCAGCCGCAAGGCATTGCCCGCCGGAGGATGATCTGGCTGGCAGTTGGGCGGGCGGTGTCTTCTTACTTACAGAGCATCGAACTCGTCCACCACAATCAAGTCGTAGTCGGCCTCCATCGTGCTTGCGCCAACTGGGTGAGGGTGAGGAAGAGAGCTGCTGGTAGCTCCGCACTGTATGTGCTCCGTACACCTCCGTACGTAGGCCGGGCGCCGCGGATCTCTCTGCTCGAGTCACGACAGCTCGTCGGAACGTGGATTCGGTTGCCGAGGTAGAGGATGAACAAGAGACTTGGACAGATGAGCCAAGTCGACTTGGAAAAGGAAGATTGGACTTGGCGCAGCGTGAGGGTAAGCTCCAGGTCAAGTGTGGTGGTGGTGAGCACAGTTCATTGTGGATGACCGTCTGTCCATTCTGTTGGGGTGGCTTTGTCCTCCTCTTGCACATGCCAATGCCAAATGCAATCAGCAAATGCCCCTACAGCCACACCTCAGCCGGTGGTGCTCCGTACCTACCTACCTATACCTATCCTACCTTATGAAGCTAGCTATCTACCTGCCTTATTACAGTAGTCCGCAGTACAAAGCTACCTAGATAGGCTAAGGTAAGACAGGTAGGTGTCCATCTAGGTAGGTAATCAATCACTGTAGGTAGCTATTAATCCCGTAATCGCCCCTAACTTACCTTATCGCTTTCGTACTGTAAGTAACTGCGGGCCGCGTTCGGCAGCAAATCCGCCCAACAACCGCCCTGGAGTGTTACAAGGATGGCAGGCCGACCGATTGTTACCACCCAACCTTCAGCACCTTGCCTGACCCGCCTTTCTGAAGTACCTGTAAAGCTTTGGAGGTACAATACCTGGCGCTACAGAATCCTTCCACCTCCACACCTCAACTCATAGCCAGCTCCGCCCGTTCAAATCGGGTAACGTTTGCGCCATGGCCAGCCAGCCAGTCAGTCATACAAGTACGATGGGTAATAATATTAGGCCTACAGACTACTGTAAACTACCGCCGCGTACACGTTATAAGCTATGATTACCTTAGCTGCCGTGCATTACTCAGTCTGCCTCGGCCGATAGACACTTGCCATCCCCGATGATGGACCCCTTTCGAGTCATGTTGATTCAGAATCTTTTCGTTAAGCGAGTCTGATGTCACTCCGCGCCAAAGACACTGGGGCCTCTTCAGATCGTCTTGTTTCATTAGGTACAATACATTCATCTCTTATCTCGCCTAATTTTGAATTTGAAGTCTTGAAAAATGAAATGGACTTGCCGTCTTTGGTTGGAAGCAAAGACGACAAGACACTAAGTGATGGAGGTATATAGATACATCGGAAGGGAAGAAGGTAGCGAGAGATATGTACATAGAAATCGTTGTGGTTCTGGATCCCACAGCCAGCTAATGCTGGCGGGTCCCGATGTGTGATGATTGTTGTAATAGGATATGAGAAGACGTGCCTGTCATTTCCCAATGCCTTTCATATTGGACCGTCTCCTTTTTAAATCCCCCCCGATATCGAATGCCATGCCCCAGGGCAGGCTGAAGTAAACCGCTCCTAGAGAGACCCGGGAGCTTGCCCAGTCGTCTCATCCGAGGCGTCCAAGGGTATCATAGATTTGAGCGCACAAAACCCCCTCGCTGTTGTTGTTGTTGTTGTTGTTGTTCGTATTATTTGCCGGCCGTTTCGTCTTTAGATGGGTCGATAATTAGGTCCAAACGCATCGCCCCAGTTTCCCCTGAAACCCGGGTCCGCCATCATCTCCTCCAACTCCCTGTTTTGCCGTTGCTGAGGGTCGTGATGTTGCTGAGGTTGCCCTTGAAGAGTTAACATGTTAGTCGAGTTGTACATTTGTTGTGACAAGTCCAGGCCGTGTTGGCCGTGCCCTGGTTGCATCAGGTATGATGGTACAGGGCCCATCAGCTGGCCCTCGATGTCGTCATACATGTTCGGCATGTAAAACTGGCCCGAGGCTTGAGGCTGACCTCCGCCTAGGTGAGGTGATTGCGCCACTTGTGATGCAGGGCTCAAGCCCATCAAAGGTTGGTTAGGATATGCGAAGGGATCTGCCGATGGAAACATTATTTCGTCAAGTTTATAAATCGTGTTTGCGCTGCTGGTCGGCGTCCCTTGGTTCATGAATGGGACTGTCCGGTGGCTCGTGGTAGGCGTGCCACTGGACTCGGAGCTTGCTCCGGTGGATGGCATATCCAGTGGTAGAAGGTCAGGGAAATTAGACATAAAGTTTTGTTGGCGGGTTCGTGCCTGGTTCTGGGCGACATTGTCAAACGACATTCGATGAGCAATGTGTCTGAGGTGGTCTGCTCCCGTGTGTCCAGATTGCGGTCGATGGAGCTCGTCAGAACGGCGTTGCGGTAAACTTGCTGGCAAGCTTGATGGCCCACCCTGGGGCGGCAGCGAACCAGCCTTCGGTCCTGGCGCAGATCTTTTCTTCGTCGGAATAGGACGACCTTTGCCTTTCTTCGTTTGGTCTGGAAGCTGATCAAACAGAATCTATAATTGTCATATATGTCAGTGCCGGAACTTGTTGAGCAATTAACGCCACTCACGCTGAGAGCCCCGGTAACCCTGTCCGCCGCCATACTTCTCTGGGCCAGACTTGCGATGACTTCTTTTCCTGCTGTTGCATCGGCAAGAATCTCGGCAGAGCCTTGCTTCTCTGGATTTTCAAGGGCATAGAATACAAGCGCAAGAATAGCAAAGTACTCGGTGTATAAGATAAACCAGTACGGGCCAATCAAGGTGGTCTGCTTTCTCGTTTCCATTCCGATGTGGACGATATTTCTGGAAACACTGATAGCGGCCGCAGCGCATGCATAGTATCGGTCATCAACCGTTTTCCCTGCGGACAGTCGTGGAGATACATAATGCAAGAAGGGTCGATACAACATCATTTGCACATGAGCATAAGCGAATCTGAGTAGTGTCCGAACCCTGTAGATCGCTGAAGTTAGCATCTGAAGTATGCCTTGACTTGAGAGGGAGGAGTAGGTCAGGTAGCCGATTTCAGCTCGGTCGAGAGATGCTGCCATGCCGCTGCAGATTTAGAAGCCTAATGAAGGCTCACAACAAAAATGCGAAAGACTTACCGGATCACCTCAATTGGGCCCTCTGGGCTTGGCCGCCATTGAATCGGAAGTTGTTTGTACCAATCCTGCAGCTCCCCTTCGATCTCTTTGATTTTAGCGTAGCTTATCATATAGACGCCCATCGAGTCGGCGCTCGCAGCGTCCTCAATTGACTTCATAGGATAGATATGCTTTATCACCTTGGCCAGGATGCCCATCAGCCTAACGTGGGCATTGAACGCCTGAAAGAAGGAGCCAGTAGCATCGGCAGGCGGTGTCAAAATTCCGTCTTTGGTAATGTACTCGTCGTCAACCTCTGTCGGCAGCGGTTGGTCGATGTCTTCTTCGCGCATCAATAGGGGGAACCCGAGCAATGCAGATACGTATGTATCCATCTGCCGAATCACATAAAAAACACGTCGTCTCGATTCGAGTTCGATGCACGTCAGCTTGACCTGCGGTAGGTGGCGGTGGAGACCCATCCGTAAAGCTGCGCGGAGAGCAATGCCTAGGAACGAATAGCAGCCGCTCAAATTCGATGTTGCCTGAAGGAAAAGAATCATGTACAAGAGGGCTTGTAAAGAAATCAGATCACGACATTCGGTTATGTCCTGAATCAACATCCTAGCAGCCGTGTAATATTTGATTCTGCACAACTGTCAGCAAAAGCATCGCATATGAGAAACGTCGGGATTATTACCCTTCCTCCATGGCCGCCTTGTAATGTACAGGGTTAGCTGGGTTATCCTCAGAGATGTTGTACATGCTGCCGAGCGCCAGAACCGAATACAGGAGTCCTAACGCTCTGTTGTCCTCAACCGTAAAGGTCTCGACAGGTTTTTCATACAACCTGTCAAAGGTTTCGTAGAAGGAGGGCTGATGAACGATCCGCAACAAGCAAGTGGCGCAATTCAGCGAGTAGTAGCAGAGAGTGCGGGCTCTCTCTTTGGAGGGAAGATCGTATATATCTGGCAAGTTTGAATCCCATGGCGAGCTGGTCGACGATCGGGGAGAGTCCAAATTGAACATCCCAGGTGGTCGCGGCGGTCGAGGAAGGAACGGCGCATTGTAATCAGTCCCAAGGAGCCCTCGAAAATGCTCTCGCATCCGCCTCAGAAAGACAGCGCCAGACGACCGTCCGTGAAAGTCCCACTGACCACCTTCCATCAGGTCTAATTGGCCCATACCTCCAATCATAGAGATAATTCCAGCATCCTGTTTGTCAGTCGCCGGTGGCTCCTGCTCACTTTTCGATCTTGCAGCCTGAGCTCGAGCCCGCTCTCGATTCTGGAACTCTTGTTGCACGACAGGGTCAAGGTTTGGGTCAGTCAGGTCCACATCTGGCATGAATTTCCGCAGCAGTGCCTCTGCTCGTTGCAACTTGTTCTCCAAAGCCTCTATATACTGAGGCGCAGGATTTCTCCGGCGATTGGAGGGTTTGTCGTACGTACATTCTGGTAAGTTGACTTGTCAGCACAGATCATGATTGTTCGGTCCGAGGAGTGGTGTTACCGTAGCTGTAGACCGAGCAGTGTGTACAAGGCTGCTTGCCGTCACATTTGATCTTCTTGCGGCGACATTCGTCGCATGCT